AATTTACAGCCCGAGGTGATATTTGCTAGCTATGACGAGTAAAGATCAAGAAATTAACCAATATATACTTTTTCCTAAAGTCTACTAGAGGAAATAAATAAAAGACTGAAAAGAAATTGGATTTCCGATGGTTCACAGCTGGAGATGAAGATTCTCACAGGAGAAAAACTAACTAAATAAGAAATGCAAGTACATCTAGCTAAATAAGTCGAGAAGAGAAGGTCAGGTCAACTAGTTTTGATTTAGTTTTGACTCTCTTTGTGTAAGTGGGGGGTCAAAATTTCTAGAAATAATTCTATTCCCCCCGAAGCTATCTAGCATTTTCTTTTCTTTTTTTGCAAAATAGTTACGTTACAAAATAATAAATTGCAATGTCTTTTCAGACAAAAGAACGTGTGTGTGTGTGTTAAACGGGTTTAAAGAGTCACAACTTGTTTGTAAATTCTCATGAACATAATTCATCCAAGATTTTATTGGCACACACGAGAAGAAGGAAACATTATTTCCATTCAGAATTTTGTACTGAGAGACAAGAAATGTGAGACGACGAGGACTTGTAGCTCTTTTTTTTCTTAAAGTATAGTGAATGACACCACCACGAGCAACACCATTTTCTTATGCACACATTTAATAATTACCATAAAAAAAGCTATCTCTCTCTCTCTTGGTTAATGATACATCTCTCCAGCAGCAGCAAAAGTTTTGTGAATGAACCACCAGCACTTGAGAGTAAGAGAGTCAGGTAGTGAGAAAAAAAGTAATTATCCATCTCTTTCATCATCATCATCATGATCATCACGGTGGCAGTTAAAAGGAGACAATAAGGATGTTGCTGCCATACTTTTAAATATTCAGAGAAATATCATCGTTAACTTAATGTGTGGAAATATATATTCTTTTAAACAAGAGCTTCTTTTAATGGCAAAGGTGATTTTCTGCTGATAGATTTTTGCTCTCTCTGGATATTGATATTTTTATGCGCTTTTAAATGGAACTCGGAGGAGGTTAGAGATGATGCGAAGGGATGAGAAAGAGGAAAAAGGGATGATGATCTCTCGTGGTGGTGGTGGTGGGTCTCCGCCGTCGGAGTTTAACGATCCTTTTCTAATGGACAAGAAAAAAGGTCCATTTCATTCATACAGTTTTTAATTATTTTTCTAAAACTGTGCTTTCTCATCTCACCCCCGCGAAATATACGCTCTTTTTTTGCTAATAAAAATGTGCATTACGCTTGGTTCACCCTCTTCTTTGCTATCATGTCAAACTGACAGTTGACATTTCAGACGAGGCGTGAAAATTGTGACGAACCTCAAAAACAAGACGACGGGATATTGCTCAATACATATTTTTCGCGTAATAAAAATGCAAATAATTTTTTAAAAAACAATTCGCACAAAATTGATTTAAATATTGCGTCACATCCACCACTAACCACCCTCCAATGGATATAATATTTTCCCCGAAAGAAATTTCCATGTAAAAACAAACGTCTTCTTCTTAATAAGAATTCATCCTTGAGATTCGTCGAGACTCTCGCAATCTCTCTCTCTGATGACAAACGATAAGATTGAAGCACGTTCCACATCACAATTACAAGAGTCAATATCCAATCTGTCTTGATCAGTGGGCTTGTTTTTTTCATTTTCATTCTCTTCAGCATTGAAATGATGAGAGAAATTGCCATTGAAATAGCTACATACGAAGGAACGTGATATTACAGCGTAGTCAACAACATTTTTAGTGGTGAGATGACAGGAAGGGAGGTTGTCAATCTGCGTATTATGGAGGATGTCAAATCTCTCTCTCTCTCTTCTCGTATGATTTGCTTTTTGTTTTAAGCCAAACATGGGACGATGTTCAATGTTTCAATCAATTTGTGACTATAATCAGTTTCTTTTTATTAAGAAATTTTGCAAAGTCATCCTCAATGTTTCCTTCTGTTTTTTTAAATTTTTAATCTTGATGCCAGAAGGGCAGCAGCAGAGGCTAATCTTGATTTTGGTCTCTCCGCTGTGGTCACATCATTATTCTTGTCAAGAAATGAGACGACGATGTTAAGGATGTGCTACTCTCCTCGAATGCATCAAAGGGACCGAATACACTGAATAAAAATCGTCACATATCTCATTTCCAGAAAATTTCTAGTTTTATATGTACGAGTAATTTTATCCTCGTCGTTGGTGAATTATGGGGAAATCATCAAAGAGAAAGAGAGTGTCAAAGTGTACAAAAAGTGATTATCCAGCCAGAGAGAGAGAAATTGTCAAAAGGACCCACTTGATTTTCTAGTTGATAGTAGAGTACACCAAAAATTCAAGTCCCTCTCCTCGAACTAGTCAACCAGATACGCTCCAACTACGCTACCGACGTGAATCTCCAGAGAGAGACCCTGAATTTTTTGAAGGGTTCTCTCACTCATCCATTTCAATCCTTGTTACAACATTTGACATATTTCAGTCAGAGGAAAAAACTCTTCCGGATCACGTAACAAACTAATGTCGTCTTTCTCGAGTAGTAGTTAACAAATTGCAGGTGCTCACTACACTCGATAGAGCGGAGCCTTCTGCTTTGATATTTTTTTCTTACCAACCCTCCAAGAAAGATATTCAAAATAGATGAAAAATGGTTAAAAATCTAACATCTCTGAGAGAGACCCCCACGGGATCGAGGAACTTACAACTCGTTTTACATCCTTCTCTCTCTCGATCTCTGTTATCCAGTTAACGTTTGTTGTATTTGAGTCTACTAGTAGGTACACGAGGAGGGGGATCTTACAGAATCCCACAGGTATACTGAGAAAGAGAGAGATGGGTCAGACAGGGTCAAGCCATGGATATGTGTTACCCCCTTCAAAGTCATAATTCATCCCCAAGTGAGCTTACATTAAACGCCTGTCATTCTTCTCTTACTCGCTCGCGATGAGAAAATGTGAGACGAAAATTACTTTGATATTTATAGGATTCCTGTACACACACAGAGAAACGTGGTTTAAATTGTGCTTAAAAATCGGGCTAAACATTGATTCCATTCATGATTTTGTGGAGCTAAATTTTTTGAAGAAACTTGCACACGCATAGACAAATATCAAGGTATAATTTCTCTAAAGGAGTGAAAGTCCTAAATCTTCAGAGTCTGCTTAAAAGGATTAATTAAACTTTGAGATTTACGATGCATTTTTTTTCTCCCTTGTTGATGAGGATTGTCCGCACCTCATTTTCTTTTTCTTAGACTTCATCCAGACTGAGAGTCAAACAAACAATTCTAAACTAAAATTAACCACATGGATTTTTCCCTTCATATAATTTATGGCTCATTTTTGAACATTTCTTAATAAGCTTTTTTAACTAAATGGAGCATATATTTTTACTAACAAGACGCCAAAAACTCCAGACAGCAGCGGAGAAACAATGACAAAATAGGAAACAATAGAGTAGATTTTTAGGTGACTCTCAATCCATCAATGCCTCTGAACAGTAGTCACACACAGAACCTCAAGGAAATTAGCACCTGGTCGATAAGTATTGTTTTCAGCTATTGTTTGCCTAATCTATTTGAGATTGTGTGATAATCTTCGACTTCTTGGAGGGGTTAAATTCAGCCTTTGTTTAAAATCTTTGTCTTTGTAGTGAGTCTCGTGTGCTTAAAAAAAGTTTTGTGTAATGGATACTTCTTCAGTGGTTCCTTGGTCCGATGCATAAACAGGTTTATAAAGTTTTCGTCTGTTTGCTCATTTCATTTTCGTTGGAAGACGACGACGTCACTCGACGCTGAAATTGGTGATCTTTTAAGCAGCGGGTTTATAATAATTGGCTTTTGAATTGGTATTTGTATCAATATTATTAGAGTTGAACTGTTTTTGACCTTTATGACAATTGACAGAATTTACACTGATACTTTTGTCAATTGACTCAATAATTCAAATTCCAAACTGTCACACAATAAAACCTGTCAAAAAAGATGAAAAATGAATCTAACACAAAAATAGAATCAACCTTGTCCATCTCAATATAAAAACGGAGGAGGAGGAGAGGAATCTCAAATTCCCACAATAATAATAAAAGGATCCAGAGAATGGAGAGTGGAGCATAAGCTAAAAGCATCATCAGTCTCTCATCATCATCCTATTAGATTTTCAAATTTTACCAAATTTCTTATGCATGTGCATTCATTTATTACTATGTACATAATTCGGGGAAATTGTCACGGGGAGAGAGAGCAGCAACCAGTTTATACACAATTTATACACCACCACCAACGCCACGAACGAACGATGAGGAGGGAGAGCAGGGTCGAGAAAATGGGTCGAATTTTAGCAATAGTGATTAAAAAGTTTTACCAAAAAGTTCTCCACCACCTTTGAAACAAGTAGTGGAGAGATGGGGAATGGACAAATTGTTCCATCTCCATTGTCAAAGAGAGACGTCCCTCGTCGGTGCTTAGTCAAATACTTGCCAAGGACCATTTATCATATTTCAATGGGAACAGATGTGACTCGTGATTAGAGACAAATTGTGCAACAGATGAAGATTTCTCGCTCTCTAGCTCTTGGTTTTTGAGGGGGGAAAGGTCACTAGTATCACAACCCCAGAGGTATTTAATTAACATGAGGGATATCTACTTTCCCTCCACCACCACCGTGGAGGATTTTGGGTGAAAGTTGTAAGGCGGAGCCGACAGAAAGCAGGACATCTCCTCCAAAAATTTGGTGAAAGCCCACACGCTGTTGGAGAAAGTGGTGGCCAAAACCGTGTCTCTCACATCGCCCCCTGTGCAGCATTGTCTCGACGCAATCTCAATTTCCCTACACAGAAAATAGAGACGAGAGATTCTTGCTTCTCGCATATTCAGACAAAGCCCATGGTAAACTTTACTGGTAAAGTTTTTGGTAAAGAGGAGTTGCCTGGGGTGGAGTTAGCCAATGGAAAATTCAGGATCCTGAATGGCGCATAACACCATCCTTCGCTTACTTCACTCTCCTGGTAGAAGAGGCAATCGCATTACACTCCACACACCAGTCCTCTGAATCTCCTGCCCAAGTGCGCACCACGCCAGCGACCAACGCCACAGCAGAGACGAGCTATTGTTGAAAATACCTGTTTTTCTTCACAAGTGTGTGTGAACAAATTTTTCTGCTTTTTTTTCGGAAACACGACTTTGGAAAAGAAAAAGAAAAGTGAAAATAGTGGTAAAGTCAAGTTTCCGCACTGATTTTGGTGAGATTTTTTCAGTGAACACACAGTGTAATGTGATCGTGTTGGGAATTTCCCTGTCTGGATTTATTATTAAGAGAAGAAGAGAGAAAACCAGAGAAAATTCGACCTAATCGAGGTTGGTGTGTTGATTAAAATGTATTTATTTTTATCAATGTGCATATTATTAGATTTATTTCCTTTTCATTAGCATTTTTTTCTGTAGTAATAATGAAATAAAATACGTCTCATTTAATTCACCACTCGCTTAAAACAAGAACATGGTGAAATTTGCATAAAATGTTTTATTAATCAAAATCAGAGTTTATATGCACATGTCATTAGATTTAAAGAGTTTTTTTTATGGTGCTCCTCCCGGTTTTATATTATCGTGAAATGTGATAGAAAAAATTGTGTGTGTTTGAATAAAGGATTTTAGTTTGGATTTTACACGGTTTTCACATAATCGCAGAGTTGCACAGAGATATTATAAGAGACACGCGTTATAGATCCGGTTAGGAGCGTGGATACAGATTTTAGGATTGGAAATGGAAAAACATTAGTGAAAGTCTTTTTTTAGGGGGGACCCTTTTTCGTTTCCTACTGATAAATCGTCACTTTGTTAATTTAGCAGAGCAGCGTAGAGTTAGTGAGAGAGGAGTCGATTTTGTGTTTTATATTATCTCGCGAGTGCAGGAGGAGCAGAGATGAGACGGAAATTCTATTCCACAAATGAGACACGAAGAGAGTGGAGATGGTGTTTGATAAGGGAAATTCTATTAATTGAGCTAATTATTACTGAACTAAAAACTTCAGGTTAAATGGGTGATGATGGACTTCCGATCAGGCAATGGAAATGAAGACATGAAATATTTAATGCAATCACACCATCACCACAATCACGTCCCTTGGGATCCATGGGGACAGGTGAGTCGAGAGATTTTTCTATTTCTCTCCCCTTATTGAAAAACATTTTCTCCAAAATTCCCCACAGTACGGTCTGAATAGTCAAGTAACCTCCTCCCCATCGAACCCCCCCTCATCCTCCCTCCCACCCCCAGGTCACCACTCCGCCCCACACGCCCACTCCCACGGGGTTCCTAATTCCTCCTCCTCCAACAATTCCTCCTCCGCGGCTGCCCAGCACCATGCCGCCGCAGCCGCCGCCGCCGCTGCAGCCGCAGCCCAACAAAACAGTCAACACCATCCATGGTCACAGTCTTATCTCAACGGAGGGTCTCCCATCCAACACCAACATCACCACTACCCACACCCCATGAACGGGATCCCAATGAATGCCGGTAGGGACGAGATTTTTAGTGAAAAATAGTGAATTATTTGGAGAGAAAATAGAATTGTAAATCTCATAGGTCAAATCCACCCCTCCCTCCGCGACATTCGTGACCTTCACAATTCTTCACCTGGGAGCGGGATAATGGACGTTCGGGGTCACGGGGACATGGAGGAGGAAACCCCGACCTCGGATGATCTGGAAGCTTTTGCCAAACAATTCAAACAGAGGAGAATCAAGTTGGGCTTCACGCAGGCCGACGTCGGATTGGCTTTGGGTGAGACTTTTATTTCACTATTTTTCAGTTATTTTAGTAGTGGGGACTGAGAGAAAAACTACGACCTCAAAATGCAGGTACGCTGTACGGGAACGTGTTTAGCCAGACGACGATATGTCGTTTCGAGGCGCTGCAACTGAGCTTCAAAAATATGTGCAAGTTGAAACCCTTGTTACAAAAGTGGTTGGAGGAGGCGGATTCCACGACGGGCTCTCCCACCTCCATCGACAAAATTGCTGGTAAATCACTCATTCGATGTGTCACCAGGGCTTTTGTTACCTTTAATTAAAGCGTTGCATTTAGCTCAGGGACGAAAGAGGAAGAAACGCACCTCCATCGAAGTCTCCGTCAAAGGAGCCCTCGAACAACACTTCCACAAACAACCAAAACCCTCCGCTCAAGAAATCTCTCAACTCGCCGATTCCCTGCAGGTTTTTGCAATTTTTTCGTATTTTTTCTCGAGTAATTTTCGCATTGCCCCGTGATTATAATAAATTTGCATATCTAAAAATTTCCAGTTGGAGAAGGAAGTCGTCCGCGTCTGGTTTTGTAAGTTCTTTTTTCCCCACTTTCTCCCTCCCAATAGTGAATTATGTGTGAAAATCGCAAAAATCCAACAGGCAACCGCCGTCAAAAAGAAAAGCGGATGACTCCCCCGAACGTCCTCCCGGGTCAAGAAGGATTTGATGGTCAAGGTCAAATGTACAGTCATCAGCACATGTCGCCCCGGTCTCCGCCCATGTTGTCGCCTCAGCCACACCCGCCCCAGCAGCCGCCCCCACATTCACAGTCCCTCACGGCCCACTGACGTTTACTTCACAGCTACGAAAACTACAATTAATTAATAAAGTGAAGAGTGTGAAAAAAATAGGACTGATGATGGCCAGATTTTTACGCGACAAGAGAGGAAAAAAACACGTAATAACCATGGAGATTTACAGATTTGGTGCTCCTCTTTTAAAGAAAAAAATGAAAGACTTTTGATCCAAAAACCAAATTTTTATGTGCAACGAGTGAGTTTTTTTTATAATCTCTCGATTAATTTCCCTTTAATTTCTTAATTAAATTTGGCACACTGCTCAAAATTCGAGAAAAAAAAATTCCAACACACCCGAGAGAAAAAAAGGTAAGAAATGATTTTTTTCTTTTCTAAACTTTACATTTGTGCCAAAAAAGAAAAGTATCCCGTATCATTTACTAAGGAGAGGCATTTACTGAGAGATGATGAGAGGGAGGGCCCTTTGACTAGTCTTGTGAAAGCCAGCAAATTTTTTTATATAAGAAATTACGAGTTTATTAGTTTTTTCTCTTGATATAAATGATAGAAATTTATAGTTTGAGTTGTATATATATAAAATTGTGTCATCGTCGTCGTCGTCGTCGTGAAACTTCATTTTTGTGTGAAGGGTATTTAGCTTTAGTTATTTATATTTAAACAAAAAAGTAATTAATTTTATGCAACAAGTTTACAAAAATAAATATCCAATATCAACATCAGAGTGTGTAGAATTTTTCATGTGTTGCACATTTTTTTTATAAACAATGGGCACGCGTTTTATATATTTAGACGATGCAGAGAGATGTAGAGAAGCAGAGAGATATCCACAGTGGTTGGTCTCTAAAAGGGTGGGTGAGAGAGTTTAATCAAAAAAATTCCAGTGGTAGTCAATCCAACAGAGGAATACTTTTGGTATTGAACATTTTTCTTGGCTGAGGTCACACTTTTTCTATTCGCATGAGGTTGACAAATACGTGGTCTCTCTGTTCAGCTACTAGCAGCGTGTTTATTATAAGGAATGTGCAAAAGTTAACCCTCAAAATTTAGAGAATTTTATTTCCCCCCTTCGCTAAATATCTCTCTTCTCTCTTAGAGTTTGGATAAAATTCCCATGAAAAATCTAGCGAGAAACGGATCTCATGAGATGGGTGCCTTTTTGTATCAAAGATATTTTTTGCTCCATCCAAGGGGGGAGAGCGAGTATTAAATGGATTGAATAGGGTCAAAATCTCCACTATTATTATAAAGTAACAACACTCTGACCCAGTCACCTTTACACACAAGATCTTTTAACCAAGGTCTCTCTCTTCTACTCTACACACACCTGGATTCTCACCCCTCAGCAGCATCTCTCTTATTCTTACGTCTTCTCTCTCTCTACTGTGTGTGGAGGCATACACAAAAAAACATATTCTCGAGGTTACAGAGATTAGTTTTTGATATATTGGTCAGTGCATAAGAGAAAAAGGATTTTCTATATGTGTTAAAAAAAGGGTTCCCTTTTATGACAAGTAGTGTGTGTGTGTTTTTTCTCTGTATTCCGATCCGTGGGAATCATTTTTATCCAGTGGCATTTGATGGGAAAAAATATTGGTGACATTGAGAAGATTTTCTTTTATACAAGGTTTTTTTTTATTAAGAGAGAGAAAATCGGGAGGGCTAGAATTTAAATAACCATAACCTTGCTCTCAGAAGTAGCAACATATTTGCATCAGATTTTATATCATAATCTTTAATGCACAACTGTTTTCCAGCTTAAATTCATCTTAATTAACAATCCACCCACCACTACCAGCACCACTGCCCATTCCTCTCTCTATTACTTTTATATCTCGTATAGTAGAAATAATTTATGTGCATATAAATGCATCCACCTGGCTTTTACACACACACACTCACTGGCTGCAAGAGAAACCAGTCCAGTAAGTCTCCGTCCGTCCGTCCTTCTCTCCTATATAAGCTTTTATAAATTTCTGCCAAAAAATTCTGCCCCTCAAACATTCGCGTGCCCCCACCGACACAATGCGAGTTAGAGAAAGAGGGAATATTTCCAGCAGCAGCACCCCCCAGAAAAGCACCACCTAGAAGACTAGTTATTCGGTCGGTGTATAAAATGTATGTTATATAAAGTGACGTAACTAACTGCAGAGATGTGGAGAGAGAGAGAGAGAGGAAAAGAAGGAACGACCGACCCTCTGACACGAGCTGAATACCAAATAGGTCTCAAATACACTCTTTGGTTTGGAACCCTTCTCACTAGTTTTGCTTCGGCTAGAAGAGACCAAGCTCTAAGCCAAAGTCTTTTGCTTTTAAAACTATCCATCTCGGAGAAGCACGTTTCTTTAGCTCTCTGTGCTAGAAGTAGTGGAGAGAGAGAGAAGTTGGTATGGATGCATAAAATCATATATATTGTGTGGACTTATCTTTATATAAAGAAAATATCCAACCATTCCATCTCCTCCAAGCAGCCAAGCCAAGCTAGGAGCGAGTAGCGAGAGGTGGAGAGGAACAACTTACTCGCTCTCCCATTCAGGTCACGTCCGAAGAGACCAAATCTAAATTTTACGCGTATCCCCAGAAATGCATTTGTGCCCGGTTTTTTGGACCCCACTCCTCTCTCACTTCGACTTGGATGCTTTGGAGAAATGTGTATTTCGTTTGGAAATATATTCTCAGTTTTTAAGGAGAGAAAAAAAAATTAGTTAAGAAAAAAAAATTCATTCATAGGAAATTTTTACTAAGAACAGCAATTTGTGGTCTCTGTCTGTAATTTACTTCCATGCGACACACAATGATGATGCAGTTTCTTTCTTTTAAAGAACGCGTGCCCATATCGACTCGTTTCTGTCTCTGTGTGTGGTTTTTCTAGGTGTGTGTAGAACTTAAGAGATAGAAAAAAAATTCATACGAATCCAAAATAATCAAACATTTGACATTTTTTCGCACACATCCAACAACACTACATTAAAAATTATACTCTGTGTATATCAGCATTCCATTGTGTCACGGCACTCCCTTTTCTCTCTCTCTACACACATGACCACATGTTGTTATATACGAAGAAGAAGAAGAAGAACAAGTTAAAAAAGACGACGACTACATACGTTTGTTGGCCAGAAAATAATAATGCCTTTGGCTACAAACTCTTCTTCTTCTTCTTCATCGTCTAAAACACCATTTCATTTATACAACGAGTTTTACTTATATGATGATCGTTTGTGTGGTGATGATCGTGGTGGTGGTGATGGTGATGCGATGTGTGCGGATGATCATGTCTGGCGTGGCACAGTTTAATTCATTCAATAAATTGTTAAGTGGTGGAAAATTGAGATTTTTATGCTGCTTTTTTTGAGGGTAATTATTTTTTGGTGGTTTTTGTTATATTTTTGGTAGGGAAATGTTTTGGGGAAATTTTAGGGTCGAAAAATGTTTCAGAGTCGGTGTGGAGTCGGTCGGTCGGAGGAGAGAGAACGACGACGGAGGGAGAGAGTATTCCTTAAAAAAAGCTTCAAGTTCCAAAGAACGTGACCTGAAAGAAAAGTACCTTCCACACACACCAACCACCCCTCTCTAAAAGTCCAACAACTCTCCCCACCACCACCACCACCACTGACTCACAATAAGAAGAGAGAGAATAACACTCCGTTATAAAATATATATTTTAAATGCCAAAAAGTTGTCACAAAAGAGGAGAGAGAGAAAAAAAAGTTGTCTGCCAAAAACAGGTTGACGATTTGTGTGAGGTGAGAGTTTTTTGGGTATGAAGGTCAAATCGTCTGGGTGATTGGGAGTGAGTGAGAGGTGGTGGTGCAGAGGGGGGCAGTGGATAGGAAATTTGGGGGATGTATAAAAAAATGTAAATGTATGTGCATAAATTTTTGGAGAGGGGAGAAAGTTTTTTTAAGAGTTATTTAGGTGGGTTAGTTTAAAATCGTGGTTTAACTGGGGGGCATGGATCCAAGATCCAAGTGGGGGGCAACGATTCTCTTTCACCCCACCCACCAGAAAAAAGACAATTTTGTTAATGTCCCTCATGAGGATTTACACACACAGTCGACTGCATTTCGTCTACTTTTCCTCTCTCTCTCTCTTCAGAGTCAACAAAGATAATCATGATTTTTTTGACGATATAAATTGGGTTGACTCTTTTTTTTGGGGAACTTTCACACACTGAGCTCCGCCGTCGCCGTCCTGTTTTCTAATAAAATGCAAAACTCTGACGGAAAGGAAGGAGAGAGGAAATGGGTCCCTTTGGACGTGTTGTATAACCCGTTCCTTTCTCTCTCCAGTTCTCTTATCAATTTCGGAATTAAGTTTTTTAGACCAAAAATATAATTTAAAAATAGCCAAATGGGATGCTGGGTAGTTGGAGAGATATAGAGAGGGGAGGACACGATGGGTGTGTATTTTTTTTCTTTGAGGGGGGTGAATTGAATCAATTAATGCAACCGGTCTCTTGGGTGTGATTTTATAAAGAGTATGGAACTTTGAGACAAGGAGAGAGGAATTATTATTTGAATTAAGAGAGAGAAAGTGGGGTTTGTATGGAGGGAAAACCTGTTGGTATTGGCAGTAATTTTTTTAAGGGAATCATTAGCTTTCGATACTTTTAAGACATCATTACAATTAAATTAATTAACAATCCATCGCAAAAAACCTCGTCACCAAAAACGTCACTAAAAAAAATCCTCCATACTCTCCATAAAAAGACAACCACCTTTCAACCTTTTTCTCCATCTCCTTGCCCTTCTCCTTATTTCTCTCCCTTATTTGAATATTCAAGACTTTCTCTTCCCTTTCACCACTCGCACTCTCTCACCGCTCCTCCTTCTCTCCTTCTCTCCTCTCAAAAACATGGAAATATCATCACCAACCACACGAAGAAGACTCACTTGTTCTCCTTTCACTGTCTCCACTCTATCTTTCTCTTCTTCTTCTCCTTTCTCTCATTTGCATTTGTAGAGAGTCGTGTCTGAGAAATGGGAAGATCGATCCGCACTCACCGCATCACCACCACCACCGACAAAACTCTATAACGACTCTGTCTCTCTCTTGCCTAAAAACAAATTCCCGTCTCCCTCTCATTAGGGAAACCACACCCCTTTTCAACACACACATAACCTCACATATGGTATATCGGGTGAACATCTGCCGTCCTCACTGATTTCTTTTTCACACTGCTCCGAAGGCTAATTGACCAACAGCAGATGACAAATTTGACTCGTTTTGTGTGTATGGATTGCGTTTGGAGGATATATTTTATTGATGGGGCTTTAATTGTGCAGGGATGGTGTGGGGAGTTAGGTTTTTTTCAGGAGTGGTTCAATGGAAATCGGTGAGGATCTAATGGAAAGTTAAAATTTGGCTTTGGTTTAAAATAAAAAAATGATTAAAAATTGTGTAAGATTATTAATTTTTGCATCAAAAAAGTGCATATTACTCGCATAACCCATAAATTAATCTCTCCCACAATTCTCTTCTGAACTGCACAAATGCACTCTCAATATTTTGGGCAATATATCGGGATCATTCATCATCTCTCTCCCCCCACACGACCCAGCACCACCAGCACCGACGACGAAATCTTCCCATCACAAAAAGTCACACACGCGTCAGTCCCTTTTTTTCTCTAGAAATCAACATGGCCAATAAAATGTTGCATTTGACAAAAGTTGCACATGCACAATAATTCCCAGTCACACCACCAACGACCCACCACCGATCCTGGAACAATGGAAATATATCAACGGGTGTCGTACCGCTCTGTCAATATTATACGGCCAATTTTAGGGGGTAGTAGTGGAAATATTAAGAGATGAATGAGCCGTGTGTGGATGGATGGATGGATATAAAAAAAGGTAATTTTTTATTGTATTTTTAGGTTGTATTGTATTTTTACATAAATTTTAAAATTTGGGTTTAAACTTGGCAGTAAATATTTCATACTTCATAGTTTCATTTTACTAACTTTACTTTTCATTTTACTCATTTCAATTAAAATGTAAAAGTTTACATGCAAATAGTTTGTTCATTTTACACAAATATTTTTAGTGACTTTTCCTCATTTCAATTAAGAATTTGTTTAGGTTATTTAAAAGAAATCAATTAATTCAATTACTAATTAAAATGTCAAAGTTGACATTCAAATCGTTTGTAAAATCCAATTTTGTGTATTCATTTTTGGCCATTTTACAAGTTTTAACATAAAATTTGCAGTAACCTTTCCTCATTTGAATTAAGAATTTTTGATGTCCTTTTTAATAAAGCTGCTAAATAACTGGAGATTTTATCATTATATATGTTTTAGTGAGTTTTGCTAATTTTCATGTTATAAGTCTTTTTATAAATCTGCTAAATAGCTCATTTTAGGTGAATTTTATGGTAATTTTCAGGGTGCATAAACACGGTAAGTATTTCATAATTTCTTCAAATAACTAATTAAATATGCATCTTCTTTTAAACCTTTCAAACAATAGTTTAAAATAAAATAATATCCATCCAGTAACTTTTACTCATTTCAATTAAGAAATTGTTATCAATCAGCTAAATAAATGGAGAGTTAATGGGTATTTAATACTTTTGTAGTAACGTTTACTCATTTCCATTTACACGTTTTTTTTAAACTTTTCTTTAATTTTACGCAGCAAATTCTTTCAGAAGTTATGCAGTTTCCTAAAATTTATGCATTTAAACAACTAAACCAATTTAAAATAAAATAATCTCCATCCGCATCCCCATTAATTAATCACCACCGATTTCCCCCACAAAAAAAACCCCACCACCATTAATTACCCCCTCCTCAAAAAAACTTCCCTCACCTAAAAATTATCACCTCCCACGACCACCACCACTACAAATATCTTGTCTCCGTATAAAGCTCATTTCCTTGCCCATCATCTCCCTCCTCCTCATCCTCCAATCTCCATCCTCCTTTCTCTCTCCCACTTTCACTCCCACCACCACCCACCCAACCACTTCCTCTCTCCTTCTCTCTCTCTCTCCACCACCACCAACTTTCCAGGAGCAGCATCAACAAAACTGCATTGTCCGGATGCACCGGAATATCATTTGCATCTTATTGGATGACTTTTCACACACACACAAATCGATAGGTTTTTCTGGTTGCCTCAAAATAAAGGCGACTTTGTGGGGGTGATTTTTTGCAGCATTTCCATGAATATTCCTGAGCGGAGATGCGGAGCTCCCCCAAAAAGAAACACACGTAAATATATCGACATCTCATCTCATCTGCATTGCAAATTAGCCTGAAAAGAGAAGAGACGGAGTGGAAAGGGGAAAAATTCAGCGTCGTCCCCACTGAATTGGAGAGAGAAAGAAAATAATGCAATTTTTTTGTAGGGAATTTGGAGAGAAGAGAAAAGAAATGGTTAATTAGGTTTTTGTAAGAGTGGTCGTGAGATATGGATTAAGAAAAATTGGTGGACAAGAATTGTCACTTTTTAGTAAATAAATAGTAAAAATGCATAGAAGCCACCTCCTCTATTGAACCACCACCACTGCAGAGCCAAAAAGGAAGACGCCACCACCTACTGGAAGAGATTTGTAGCTTTTCTCTACGTGGAAATCCTTTGTCTCCCTTACTCACTGGACTCCAAAAGGTAATCAGAAAAATTAAGTAAATCATCCCCAAAAACTATTACCCAACTTGCCACCCCAAATTTTATAACCCACAAACCCTCTCTCTCATACCACCACCAATTTAAAAAACAAAACCCCAGCAGCACACATCAATTAAAAGTGAAACTCTCTTCTTTATACAAACCAATTGTTTCCCTCTCCTATTCGCACATGCAATCCTTTCTTCTAATTGATCAACTTGACTCAATTTCGCCACAAAAATCGCGTAATCCTTTTATTCCCTTTGGTCGTGTGTAACTCTGTTTGTTCCTTTTTTTGGGTTGTTTTTCTTTAAAACTACAAAAATTGCATCCACCCGTCTATAAATACTGGGGAGCAGAGGGAAGAGAGCGTCACTCACTTTCCACTTCACACTTCACTCTCGGCTCCTAGTAAGTCTAACGTTTTTTAGTTTAATTAAAATGAAGCTCCTCCTCGTCTTCTGCTGCTGCTGGATGGGTGCGTTTTTTTTATAATTCCTAAAAAGTGTGTATATTTTTACGTAAAAATTATCCACACAGCGATCGCCACGGCATCGACCACACCAACCACGACGAAGGAGACCGAATCCACGGAATCCACCCCAAAAGAATCCGCAGACGACACTCCACGACCCAAGCGAGGTTTCGGTGGTGGTGGCGGCGGGGGTGGTTACTCTAACGTTGGTGGGTATGGATCCACCGGGGGAGCGGCGGCTATTGCTCAACAGGCTGCTAATCAGGCTAAAGCGGCGCAGGCTGCACAGGGAGCGGCTTCCTATCAGGCTGCTCAACAAGCCTCGGCGACCTTGGCGGCGCAGGCTTCTCAGGCGGGTGAGTCTTTCAAAATTGGGTTTTTAGGGGAGGGTTCTAAATTATTGTGTGTAAAATAGCCCAACAAGCCCAAGCTGTCGTGGCTGCTAAGCAAGCCCAGGCTGCTCAAATCACACAAGCTGCTCAGGCTGCGCAGGCGTGAGTTTTTGAATTATTAATTTTTAGTGGGTGGGTGGATTACGAAATTCTAATAATTTATAAAAACAGTGCCGCACAAGCTGAGGCCACCTTAGCAGCGCAAGTCTCGCAAGCTGTTCAAGCTGTGGAATCCACCAAAGTCCAGGCTATTCAACAAGCTCAGGCTTTACAGGCCGCGGCCCAGGCTGCGCAGAATCATGCGGCGCAGGTAGAGTTACGAGTTCTGTAATTGTTAATTAAGAGCATCATAAAATAAGTTCTGAAACATCCCACAGGCCGCCGCCGCCCTGCAAGCGATCCAGAACGTGCAGGCCGCTCAGGCTCAAATGGCTTATCAAGCCCAACAGAATGCTCAAGCTCTCGCTGCCAAACAACAAGCCTCGCTCGCGGACTTGGCCGGAGCGCAGAACGCCGCGAACAAGGCTTCCTCCGCTGCCGCGCAGGCGCAGTCCAACGTGAGTCTTTAAATTAATTAATTAATTGGTAATTAAATTAACCTAAACTAATTTTCCTTAGGTCCGAGGCTACGGACACGGCCACTAAAAAATCCCCACCCCCCCCAAGAAATGAATAAATTCTATAATATTTTTATTATATAAAGAGAAAAGTGTCTAAATTCCATATTTATTTTTAAATAATCTAAAACTGCATCTCTCATCAGTAGTCATCTTGGTCGACCAGGGTGAGGTCTTCTAGTCGCTGCTGCAGGGATGGACCCATGGCCGTGAACACCGTCGAGAAATAGTCTTTTACGTTCACTTCCTCTTTGGAGGATCGGACCAGGAAGGGGTGTTGGAGGAGGCGCGAGTACTTTGGGCGCTGGAGCTCGTCCTTTATTAAACTGTGAAATTATATTAGAGATTCGTTATTTTCGATAATTTCTCTATCGGATCGGATTTATTATGCGTCGGTTTATGCTCGGGAGTCGTCATGTCATTAATAGTTGTCACTTTGCGTGGGAGGAAAGCATAAACCGGGCATTTAAGCATAATAATTGACCCTCACCAAGTATTAACAAAGGAGACGAATTCCGGGGTGAAGCTCATCCCGTTCATGACGGGGACGAGTTGTGGCGGATCCCCCTGCACCACCTGACACAGTTGCTCGAATATCGAGTTCCATTTCGGATAGGGGAACGTTCCTGCAGTCGCGTTTTTTAATTATTTTGTGAATTTACTAATCACCATTATTTCAAATTACCCGTGGAAATCTCAAACAGCGTGATCCCCAGGGACCACACATCGCTCCGGATGTCGTACCCCCGCGCGGAGGAGGGGTCGATCCTCTCGGGCTGTCATTTCAATAATTATTAATTACATGCTATTACTGATTATAAATAAGTGACCCACCGCCATGTAGGGCCTGCACCCGGCATCCCTGCTCTGCGCGATGGAGTCCACCAGCTGCCCGCTGATCCCGAAATCACAGAGTTTAATGTTGCCTTGTCTGTCGAGGAGGATGTTGGAGGGTTTTATGTCACGGTGGATGATACGGAGCGAGGCGTGCAGGTAGTTCAGGGCGTGGACCACCGCCAGGGCAACCTTTCCTATCACTGTAAGGGAGCGGTTAGCGAATATTCTATTAGTGAATAAAGTTTTAATTAAGGATTCTAACCATTCTCTGGGACCCTCTCCTTCATCCGCCGGTAGACGAACTTGTAGAACTGGTCGAGGCTGGCGTCCATGAGTTCCATGCAGATCCAGCAGTCGCCCTCCTTGAATATCGCACCGTAGAATCCCACGATGAAGGGGCACGAGTTGCTCTTCATCACCACCTGCGATTATTTATTATTAATTGATTATCGGTTTATGCTAATAAATTAAGTGAGTTCACCTCCAAGTCCATCATCAATTTCTTCTGCTCCCTCTCGTCCACGGTGCAGCGGATCCGCTTCACCGCGATGGGCGTGGCGGACTTGGTGTGCAGCACTGTGTTACACAATCAATCCATGTTAAACACAACTAAAAAATAATTAATACCAACTCACTCTTGTTAACCGTCCCATAGGCCCCCCTCCCGATCTCCCCAAAGTCCTCCAAGTCCTCCGAAGTGAAATCAAACGTCAATTCCGGTGATATCTTAAGCTTCCCCGACGTTTCCAGCCCCGACGTGGCTTTGAAATGGTCCAGGGTTTGTCCACCTCCACTCGGAGTCGTTCCTCCACCGAATTGACTCTTTGCCGTAGAGGTGGTGGGCGTCAAGCTCATGGGTTTTTTATTAGTGGGTCCGCTGGTGTCGAGGGAGAGAGGAGCGGGTTTGATGGTGAGTTGCGAGCTGAAGTCGGATAGGGGAGAGGATAGTGGAGAGGTGGTGCATGGGGTGGTGGTGGATGGAGTGGTGTTGGTGGGCGGCGGAGGGGTGAAGGCAGCGGCGGGGTTGAAGTTGAGACGTTTGAGGGTTATGTGGGGAGGGGTGGGGCGGGTGCAAGTGGTTGTTGTGGTGGAGTGTGGAGTGGAGCCTGTGTGGATAATAAATTGTTAATTAGTTGATAAGGAAATGGAATACAGAGCGCATACCCGTCTCCCCGTCCTGCTCCATGCTGAGTCCCGAAGTGCTGGCGGTGGGCGTCGTGGGTGAGTCGATTATCATGGGGTCCATTTTTTTTATTTAAAAATTATTTTTCAGAAAAAAATTATCTTGACAGCCGAGTAGTTGGAGAAATGTTGGGAAATATTGAGAGAGGAGTTTGTAGTCGGCGCTGCGGGTGGAGGGATCGAGATGAGATGAGATTTTGAGAGGGTGAGATTTCTTGGATTTTTTGGCGATCGAGTGTGGGATGGACGGGAAATTGTTGGAAATTTTAGATAATTCTTAAAATTTGCGAATGTTTTTTTTAGGAAACGTGGAAATTTTTTGGATGATTAAATTTTCTAGGAATTTCCAAAACGAAATTTTTATTTTTTATTTTCACAAAAAAATTAGCAATTAAATTAAAAATTAAGAATTAAAAAAAACCACACCCAGGAAAAAAATTCTGCTAAAATTCTTTAAAAAAAACCCCTAAACATCAACTAAATAAATCCACGAGAAATAAACAACATGCGCGTGGTGCAGTGGCTTTGCTAAATTTTTTCACATCCTCCACTCCACACTCACTCACTCTCACTCTCCACGGCTGATCTTGATCCGTACACCAAAACACACCCATTGAAAATAATACACAAACGCACACGAGAATCTCGATAAGCACTCGGTCTCTAGAGTAGTTTAGTCGAAAGAAAAATGTGTCGAACCTAGAGGAAAATCCTACACCAAAAGAAGAGAAAAGAGAGAGATGGGCAACTCCCTGGGGAACTTGTCCTCGTCGTCGTCGAATCAGGTATTTTTTTTAAAATTTAACCCTTTACTGACTGATCATTAGCACAACTAACTAATAATAAACTATCCACAGCGGATAAGCGACGTGACCCGCGAGAAAGTGATGGAGTTGTTCTACGTCCTCCGAGCTAACCCAAAAGTCTCGATAAACAAGATCGACGGCCTCCTCTGCATCATTCCCAAGGTGAAAATTATTCCACTCTCAACTAACTTAATTCTTAATTAACTAACCACTCTTACCTACTCTCTCTCCTAGAACGAAAACATCCTCTGCGTGACGGACTCCTCTGGCTACAACATCCTCCAAAAAACGGTCAGCCTCAACCACATTGAGATCGTCCGCTGGATTTTATCCCGCTCCAACGTGGACGTTAATCGAGGGTCCTGCTCACTCCCACTGCACATTGCTTGCTACAAAGGGTATAAGGAGTTGGTGGAGATGATGGTGCATAAATATAGGGCGAGGTGAGGTTTGACTATTAGATAAGTGGCGATATTTTATTAAAAATCGCATTTTTCTCTGCAGGGTCGACCTAGAATTCCGGATGTGCTGGCCAGGTGAGAAACCCACAATAATCTAGTAGTAATTCCACTAATATAACTAATCCCCTTAGGTCCACACCACATAAACTGCGAGCAACGGAGTCACAACTGCATCACCCTGGACCACCACCTCCCCCGCCTCGACCGCTCCAGTGACAAGTTGCAGAATGCGATTTACTACGCGATCGACGGGGATCATCCAATAATTTTAGACATGTTGCTGCAGAAGGGGGACGAGACCTGGTTGCCCTGGTACGAGGCGAATTTTAGGCACCAGAAGAGGCCCCTCCTTCACGTGAGTGTTACTTAAATTAGGTTATTAGTGTTATTTATATAATAATTTGGAGTGTGCACAGGTGGCCTGCGAGCGAGGCGCCTGGGCCTGTGTTCAATTCCTGATAAACGAGCGGGGGGATGAGATCAACCAACTCTTCGATGAATACTTCCCCATCCATCACGCTGTCCTACACGATGTCAAATTCTCCATGAGTCTCCTCGCCGCGGGGGCCCTGGCCACGGTATTTTATTCATTTTAACGTGTTTATCAGGAACTATAATCGTAAATTTAACGTAGGTCCGCACCGCCACGGAGAACATGTCCGCCCTGCACGTGTTATTCTACCGCAAACGGGGCTCCGCAGAGGACGCCTTGATAACGACGAAATTATTACTCGATCACGGGATGAGGGAAATGATCAATGAGCCGGACTCCTTAGGGAACACGGTGTTGCACACGATCATTGTGAGATATGCGCTGGAGGAGTCCAGGTTTTCGCTGTATCAGGAGTACACTCCGTGGACCAAGTGGTAAATTAGGCTTTATTGGTTAGTGGGTAAAAAAATAACTTTTGAATAATGCAGGGACGTCCTCCACCTGGTCCGCTACCTCCTCCAGCAAGGGGCCCGACCCTCCATAAACCAAGCGGGGAACTCGGCCCTCGCCTGTGTCCTGAGGCATGTGAGGGATTGGGAGTTTAGATACGAGTTGTTGTCCATGCTGTTGCAGGAGGGTGAGTCGTGGTTTATTTAAATTAGTGATAATTAACTAATTGATACTTCCAAAAGGCGGCGACCCGAACGTCGTGGGCCGAGACGGCTCCGTTCCCTTGATGGTCTGCCTCGTCCCTCTGATCAACAAGGACCTCCTTCACAACTTTACTCACAACATGAAGGTCTGTTTCTATTAACTATTTGTCGATTTCTTAATAAATTAATAAATCCACTTAGGTCTTCTACCTGAACTGCATCCGCATTTTGCTGAAACACGGCGCCCAAGTGAACTGCTCCTCCCGCACCCACCTCACCCCTCTCCACGTCCTCATGTTCGCTGCGAGCGAGTACATGGGGCTCATGCAGTCGGAGGAGAAGAGGGCCAGTTTCGGTAATTTTTATTAGTTTTGCATGGGAAATATAGAGTAAATATCCAATTTCTTCCTTGCAGAATTCATCCGCCAACTATTAGAATTACTACTCTCATGGGGCCTGAACCCGAACATCGCCCTGGGCGGGTCTCGAACCCAGCATATTTTGTTGTCCTTGTTGGAGTTGGTCAACCTCGTGAGGAACCCGAGTGATTTGGACTATGTTTTCGATTTGACTCTCACGCTTATTCAGGTGGGATTGGTTTTTATGGGGTGTTTTTAAGGTGCTAATAAGTGGTTATAATTGCAGCACGGGGCCAACGTGGACATTGACATTTCGATGCCGGACATGATCTGCCACAGTCAGTCCAGTTTTTTCCTCAAGAAGTCCAGCAATAAGGTGGGTCTGCTGTTATTAATTGGTGGCAATTGACTAACTGGAGGTGAATCACAGGTGCTGTACTACTACATCCAGTGGTTGTGCAAAAAGGAGCACCTCCTCCTCGACCCGGAAAAGAGATTCGCTAAAATCATCAAGCTCTACGCCATGTGCATGAATCACAGGTGAGTTTATTGTTAATTGGATAGGTGGAGGGTCTCATAATCTATTAAAAACCTGTAAAAAAATCTTTAAATTCCCCCAGAGCGCTGTACACCACCCTGAAACTGCTCCACACCCAGTCGGCCATCGTTCCTGTGCGAACCTCCCTCTGCTCCACGCTAAAAGAGCTCTACACCAAACCCAGGAGTCTCATGGTAGCATTTTTAAATACAATTTCCATACAAAAATTCCCCACCAACTAAACTAACAAACTCCATCCAAAATTGCAGTCCCAATGCCGCCTGGTGATCTACCGCTCCCTCCAACGCTCCCCAGGAAAGTACATCTCAAAACTGACCCTCCCCCCGCCGCTGGTCAAGTATTTAATGGGCTTCGAATAATCTCACGCCCACGCCGCTCCACGTCAATTTTTATATGTGTGTAATTTCTGTGATAATAAAGATATTTAATCCTGAGCTACGTCATAGGAGAGGAGAGTTTATAGTGGCGGAATGGTGGAGGTGAGATGTGAGGCAGGGTCCATATATACAAGTCCAAAGGTTGCTGCTGCTGGATGGGTGAATATTTACCAACATTTAGTGTTCTCTGCTGAAAAAGTGGTGGTGGTGGTCGGGTCGGACTACTTATTTGCACACACACACGAGACGAAGACGAGTGAGAGTGGATAAAGCATTGGCAGAAGCAAAAGCTGAATAAAAGCAGAGCAGAAGCAAAGGAGTAGTGGGGGGGGCTGTTCATGTGTTGTGTGTGTGGGTTTGTCATAACGTAGGATATCCATTTGCTGGATCGGACTTGGTCACGGGTTTGAATTAGCTTTCCCTTTGTCAAGGCAGAGCGTCTAAAAAAACGATTGTAGAAAGATTTTTTTAAAACTTTACAACCTTTCAAAATTTCAATTCCAGAGCTTCAATACTTCTCTTCTTCGGCTCTTCTTTCCTAGTTCGTACTTTTCAAAATATACTTTTGTTTTTGATCGAAATGGTGCCTCTTATTTAGCTGAAATTTGCCACTATTTATGATTTTAGAACCACTTAAATAGCTAGAAAGTTTTTTAGGTAAAATTTTCAAAATGCTGAATCACTGGAGATTTCCGTCTTCTGTGGTGAATACCTGTCGTCACTTCCTTTCCCATTTGAAATTAGCTATATCTATGAGTCTCATCAACTTCATACTTTAAGAAAAAATCAATGGTGGCTTCGAAAAGAAACAAAATCTCTCCAGAGTTATTTTTAATCGATTCATCTGATTTCCCATAATTCAGATTTCCGTCTTCAACCGTCTGTGAATATCTGATTGCCCATTTCCCCCGCCTTCGACTCACCCATTTATTTGGACCTTATTAAAAAAAAAAAAAAATTTCCATCACCAACCCAACTGAACATCCCCTCCCCGCTTTGCACACACACACAGCACAGCACAAACGAGGCCACTTCTCTCTCTCTCTCTCCGCAACCAAGGACGGAACCGGTTCGAGGCAGATTCTCTCTCTCTTGCTACTTCTCGTGTATATTCTCATTCTCGCCACAAGGCAGGCAACATCACCACCACCGCTGCTGATTCTCCTCAATACACTTTCGCCAATCTCCGCCTCCTAAATCCCTGCCAATTTTTTTATTTTATTATCTGAAATTTCTCTCTATTTTGCTAAGGGAACTTTTAAACAGTGGGTGTGGTGACCATAGTGGAAAAGGGGCTGAAAAGACTAAAAGCCTATAGTGAGTGGTAGTCTCAAAAAGCAGCAGTTTTTAGTGTCTCAACATTCTCATCGCACTCGCTCAGAGAGCAGCGACGAGAGGAGGACGACGAATAACCTTCAAACCAAGCAGAGTAACCAGCACGGCTTTACATAATAACTCTTCTCCTCCTAATATCAGCCACCAGTCACGTGGACAACTCTCTGGCTGACTATTTTTCCACACCCTGAAAAATTGCTTCGTAGTTTTGTTGCTCTCTAATTTTTTGGAAAAAACAAAGTGCGACCAGTTCCCCCAGTTTTTAAGAAATTTGAGACCGAGAAAACCTACTGCGCATTTGTTACCCACTTGTTGCCACACTCTTCTCTCTCAACTCCACGATGGACTACACCTCCCCACCCCCACCAGCCCCTCAATCCTCACACCTCCTCCACCACCCCCTCCAACAACAACAGCACTCCCCACAACCACACCACCCCACCCATTCCCACTATTTGGACTCTCTCCTCTCGGACTTCCCCCCCACCCCCCGCGCCCGATCCAACACGTGGCCATGTCGTCCCGTGGAGGTGGACCCTTCTCCTCAACAGCCCTACACGGACCAGGACATGGGCCCTCAGCACAACCCTCCCAACACGACGACGCCTCCGCCACCATCCAGTTTAACATTGTTGCAGCAGAAGAAATCCACCTCTCGAAGGAACGCCTGGGGAAATTTGAGCTATGCGGATTTGATCACCCAGGCGATTGGCAGTAGTCCCGAGAAGAGGTTGACGCTGAGTCAGATTTACGATTGGATGGTGGGCAACGTGGGGTATTTTAAGGACAAGGGGGATTCTAATTCCTCTGCGGGGTGGAAGGTGAGCGGATTTACTTATTTAATGAATTTTAGTTAAGATTTCCATGGAGAAAGTGTGGCGAGTGAGTGAGACTGCGAGATAATCTCAAGGTTGCCCATAAAATACCCTGCTCAGTCAGTACCCACTCTACAGTCTCTACAGTCTCCCATACTAACAAAGGAGGCACCTTGAGACTTCCTCTCTCTATTTCCAACTCCATTTCATGGTCACCTACACACATCTCAAAAATCTCATCATAACCACAAACCGTCTAGACTCTTCTCCATCCATCAATACACCCACTAAATAGGCAAATACATCTCTAGTAGTAGTGAGTCAAAAAAAATTTAACGACAGCCAACGGACTCGTTAAAAATCGTTTTTTCTGAGAGTATAACGCCAATTCGGAGAGGTTGTTGAGCCCTTGAATTTAGTCTCTTTAGAAACAGACCGACGCCAAAACAAGTCGTTAAAGTAGCAGTCAATTATTTTAATAAAAATGGTGGAATGAACTCTCTGAAACTCTCTTCTTTGTCTCTTCTTTTGCGATGTGATGCGTGTGAGTACGTGAGTGTATCCTTGAAGTCTCAGATTCTCTCTCTCCTCTCTCAACTATGTGTATGCCAACGAACATGTATTTCACCCCTCTTCGATTGATTCATTCTCTCTGTGTGTATGCTATGGAGCAAGGCCATCCACCAACACCACATGGACACTCACACTAAAATAGCAAAAGAGGAGAATCTCATCCACTTCTACTCACAATTTCTCTGAATTCTCTCCGATGTCCCCCCTATTTGGAAGTAAATCCCACTGAACGTCTCTCTCTCATAATCAAATCAGAAACCTCGTCCATTACCAAATTTCAGGGATTAAATGGGAAAAGTTTTTCAGTTTTACCTTCTCTGTCGCTGGTAGTTTTTCACGTCGTTTATTTTACCCGATTTGTCTCTCTGCATTCCACCAAAAATCTGTATCCGCCCTTGAACTTTCACATCTGCCTTTTCCTCTTCTTTACCTTATTATTAATATTCCTCACCCTTTTTGTCCATCACACATCATCTGCCATACACAATCACAATTCCATCCGAATCACCATGCCAACCGCCGCACACTCCCATCAATCACCCGTTTAACAAAACCTCCTGCTCTTTCCACTAAGTGGTAAAAAACCCTCTCAGTCAGAGAAGAGCGCACTCTACTAAAAACTACTTTCTCCCATGGACAATACTTCGGCAAAAGTGAAAGTCAGTCCGGGAGAGAGATAATCAATCATCTTCCTCTCTCTTTTGTTACTTGGCTCATCAACATTCCAATATTTCTCTACTTAAAATCATCGGAATTTCTCTATAAATTCACTAAAATCACGATGATGAGACCACGCTACTCGTCACAAATTCTACTAACAAAACACCTCTTATTAATATATTAACCCATAATTAATTACTCCGCAGAACTCCATCCGCCACAACCTCTCGCTCCACAACCGCTTCGTCCGTGTGCAGAACGAGGGGACGGGAAAGTCCTCCTGGTGGATGCTCAACCCAGATGCGAAACCCGTGAGGCTTTCTCTCTCAACTAATTTGTCCATTAAAATAATGCCTCAAAACTAATAATTAACTAAATCCACAGGGAAAGGCCGCCCGCCGCCGGGCCACCTCGATGGAAACCTCCAAATACGAAAAGAAACGTGGCCGGATCCGTAAGAAAATCGAAGCGATGCGGATGAACGGGACTTTACTCGATGCGCAGTCACCCTGTTCTTCACTGAGTGAAGGGTTGGACTTGTTCCCTGGTGGAGGGTCCCTCAGCCAGCAGCAGTCGGAACATGACCAGGTTTATTTCACTACTTTCACCAATTTATCACCAACTAAAACTAACAAATATCTCTAAATTCCTAGTCCCCCCCACCGACCTCCTCCTCCACCACGAACCTCTCCACCCTCACCTCTCAAAACACCTTCCAGCTCTCCCCCCTGCCCGACTTCCGGCCTCGTGCCTCCTCCAACGCGTCCTCCGTGGGTCGTCTCTCGCCCATTTTGAACATCTCAGAGGAGCCGGACCTTCATGATAATCAAGTCCCTCCCATGAGTCCCTGGGTCGATTATTACAATACCGGGATTGGAGGTGGTGCGGGAGGTCAGTTTGGGATGCAGTTCGGCTTGGAGGAGGTTCAACTTGCGGGGAATTTGGCAAACATGGTCAAGATTCAAGAGTATGATCCCAGTTTTTATGATTTTGTGGAGCAGCAGCAGCAGCAGGAGAATCAGAACAGTGGTGCGGGTGCGGGTGGGAATGGGCAGGTGGGTTTGTATTTATTATAAATTACCATTATAAATTGACTAAATTTAAAGCGCAACCACTAATTATAGGACTTTTACACGTACAACACCTCCTCCACTCCTGCATCGAACTCCTGCAGCACTCGGCCCAGTCCCCTCTCCAACTCCTCCTCGAACCCCTCTCTAATCAAGCGCTCCACGCTCAACAACGTGGTCACGAATTCTGGCACGGCGGACGAGTTCGCCTTCGACCAGCTGGGTCACTTTGTTGACGAGGAGGAGGCCGCCGCCGTGGAGGAACTCGCTCTCAACGAGTTACAAATCATGGGCGCAGAGTTTTTCCAACCTCAGCAGAATGGAGGTAATTGCCAATTTTTTTGTGCCAATTTTTGTGCCAATTTCTCTGCCAATTTTTAGCACAAAAAAACTAACCTCATAAATTCCCACAGTCCTGTACAACAACTACAACACCACGACGAGCTCCACCAGCACTCTATCTTCGACTCCCACACCCCCCACAAATCTCCACCAGCAACAACAACAACTTCAACAACAGTACAATCAACAGCTTCTTCAGCCAAACTCACAACAGCAGCAGCAGCAGCAGCAAGCCGTGGTTGTGACGTCGAGCTCTAATAATAATTTGCTGGGCAGGCAGTGGGTGCATTAGTGGGAGGGTAGTAGCAGCGAGTGAGTGTGTTTCAGGCGGTGCTTGAATGAGCTTAAAAATAATAGCTTTATATTTTTAAATGTGATTATTATAAACAGATTTAAATAAAAGAATTTTATGTGTGACTTGAGATCAATTGCGTGGTTTAGCATTTTTTGGCATTTTTTTGGCGTGCCAATTTTTGTGCCAAAATCTCTGCCAAATTTGGCACATATAAAAATCATCTCACTTCACCCTACTCGACACCCCGCGCGACATGTCAAACTCCTCATTTGTTTACCAACACACACATACACTCTTCTCCTTTCTTCATACTTTCCCCACCAGCACCACCAAAAAATCGATAACCAGGGAGGATCCCCACCACCACCATCAGGAGAGAACCTACCCAACCTTTCACCACCACCAGCAGCAGCACACTTTCTCTCCTCCACACTCCTTCTCAGGCCACTGACGGCCTCCTCCACACAAATCACAGACAAATAAATTAACTAACTGCAATGTTGTCGGGTCTGACCTCCCAGCTGGGCGGTTTGATAACCTCCGTGAAGGCCAAGGCTGGTGAAAGCAATACGCCGACCTCGGAGGACGGCGCCACCCCAACTGCTCCTGATCCTGCGGCCGAACAGACTCTCAACAAAAGCAGAAGTGGGAGCACTTCAGGGGCTGATGGTGCCACTGCCAGTGCGACGGGAGGAGGAGTGGGCGCGGGAGCGGCGGCTGGGTGAGTCTGGAAATTGGCGTGCTAATTTTTGTGCCAATTTTTGGCACGAATTTAGCACACCTCTAAAATAACTCTAAAAATCCCTTAGGATAATGAACCTCCGGTCATCGCTGCCCTCCTGGCTTGGTGGCGGAGGAGCTAAAGACGACCCTTCCGCCGCCACACCACAACAACCAACAACGAACCAAGTAGACAAAGATCCACATTCCGATGCGGGTTCCAGCGACACGGGTGGTGCGGACTCGGAAAAGGAGGCAAGCCATTTCCTTAATTATCATGGGCGGTTCCTCAAAACTTAACTAATTTTTCTTAAACTCAACAGCGCACACTGTTGGACGAGCTATCCTCGAACAACGCCGCCGCCGCCGCCGGAGGAGCCGCCCCTCCAACAACCGAAAGAATAAAAAACGTGGGTTCCTTCCTCTTCTCCACGATCAAAGGAGCAGGACAGAAAATCAAGGACACCGTAATTTACACGTTTTTTTCAAATTCCTCGCTTGTTTTTATTTAGATTTTATAATTTTATGATTTGTATTTTCGTTTACGATTTTTTGTATAAATTTCCTTTAAAGAATCCGCTGGATCGCTTTCAAAAAGAGCAAAACTTGTTCCTCTCTCAGGCGAAAAGCAGTATGAGCGGCAGCGGAGTCGCCCCCTGGGTCGGCCACGTCAAGGAAGAAGCGCTGAAAGAGGAGGTCCTCGGCTTGAGCGGGGTGAGTTTTGTGATAATAATTGGCACGCTAAAATATTGTGCCAATTTTGGCACGAATTTTGGCATACTAAATACTTAAGTAAAATATCCACAGGACCGTCGCAACTTTGTCCGCTCTCCCCCGACGGGCGTTTCCTTTGAGTGGAACTACGAGGAGATGCTCCCCGTGGCGAAGGCCATATTAAAAGAGGATCCAAATCTGGAGAAGATGCGCTACGAACTCGTTCCAAAAATGGTCAGCGAGGAGAACTTCTGGAGAAACTATTTTTACAGAGTCATGCTCCTCAAGGGGTCGCTTGGTTAGTCCTGCTGACTTGAGATTTGTGTTCTTGGTGAGTAACGAGAGGTTTTTCTGTGCAGAGTCGGAGAGTCAACCAAAAAAGCAGGACAGCATTGACACGGACGAGGAGGAGGAAGTCGTGGATGCAGAGTTGGAAAAAGAGCTGAACGAGGAGTTGAAGGGGTTTGAGGTGTGCTAAAATTGGCATAAATTTTGGCACAAAAATTGGCACACTCTAAAAACTGATCCTAAAAAACCCCACAGGTGGTGAAGAAGACCTCGGAAAAAGACCTCGATTTTCTGAAATAATCACCGAACAAGAACGTGACCGGAACCACAAAAAAATCAATCATAAAAAATAGTAGCGAGCAAAAAAAATACAGTTTGTTGGAAATTATTGTGTACATATTATTAATGGGATATTACAATAAATATGTGCGTGTTTTTGGAATGAGTTGGTGTTGCCATGGAAATTTATTAAATTAAGCAATTAGCATATCTCCATGGAATTAGTGTGTATGTAAGGAAACCATGGAAATGAAGTCATCACACGGGATTTCTTATGTGGATTACTATGGATCATCAAACAGGTAGTTTTTTGCTGCTCCTAGTAGAGTCACGCAGGCGTCGGCGTGGATACGATAAAAAAATGCTATAGAGAGATCTGTTTATATCAAGTTTTGGTGTTGTTACGCAGAGCCAAGAAGAGAGGTGTTTCAGGTGGAAATTAAATTCTATTTTTAATTTTAAAGAAAGAGAAAATGGGGTGCTGCGGGGTTACCGGATTGAGGATCTCGACCGTGTTGGCGTTGGTAATTAGGAGTTTTAGTTGCCATGGTTTTTATTTTTTTTTGGGTCAGGTTTCTATGGAAACTTTTTTTTTATTTTTGTAAATTTCCATAGCAACTTTACCCCTTGGGGAAAATTAAAAATTTAAAAAATCCCCAAAATAATTATTAAAAATTTTAAACCTTCTAAATAAATTAAACTAAAACTAAATAACCCCATAATAAAACCGCAGGTAATCTCCCTCTGCTTGGCCCTCTACTCGGGCTACCTCTTCCACTCCCACTATTTGGACAAGTACTCGGACACGACGCGCGCCTTGGATTCGATCACCGGAATCTTCAACAAGTCCGTCACCACGAAACTCAACATTAAGCTTTTCTGCACGGGCGCTGTCGCCGTGGGGGCCGGGCTCCAGTTTCTCGGCAGTTTGGCTGTGGTTATCTGCGCGGGGCCGGTGAGGTTTTTTTGTGCTAATAATTTTTTGGCGTGCTAAAATTTGGCATGAAAATTGGCATAAAAAATTGGCACATTTTACTTTCCTTCTAGAACTCCTCCAAACTCCTCCTGACAGCAAACACGACGATTTTGATCTTGTTAATCTCCGTCATCGCGTGTTACTTCACTGCGAAAGTGGATTACGAAAATGATCAACAGGTTGGGTTTGCCTACTAAATCGCATGTAAAATCTCTAAAAATTTATAAATTCTTCAGGTTCAATTCTTCCTGGGCGGCTGTGTTTTGGACCTCGTCATCCTCGTTTACGCCTCCTGCGTCGCTGGAGCCTTTCTCAGAAATTAGGATTTATTTGCTGCTGCAAAAGTGTGAAAATTCCGAGCCATTTTTTTAAGTACAAATTTTTGGGGGGGAGAGTGTGGAATTTGGATAAATTATTGTTTAGAATTTGGAAAGTTTATGAGAATTCTTGCCTAAAATTGAAGTCACACGCTTATGAAAAATGCCTCATGAAAAAAATTATGATATTTGTTGAGCACAAAAATGCTAAAAATAAATTTAAACGTTATTTATAAAAGTTTGTGCCAATTTTTCATGCCAAATTCTCTGCCAATTTTAGCACACAAATTTAGCACAACTTAATCAAAGGTGCGTCTCCGAATAAATTTTATTATTTAACGACATTTAAAACTTGCATCTCCATCTCGAGTACAAAACGATTAAAAATTCGCCCACACGAAAAACACTGCATGGCAGTTACACTCCTCACTTTTTCTTAGGTGCGTCCAAGAAAAATCACAAATCTCGTCACTTATTCCCGCAGAAAACCCTGACGATCTCGGCGCAGATGAACCCGCCGTCCGTGCAGTCCGGATACATCCCGAGCACGTGATCAACCTGGACAGCGGGGAAAATTTGGGATAAATGATAGCGTAATTTATCAACGGGGTCGATCGGGGGGCCCCAAACCCGGCTCAGACTGGGGTCACTGGGGAAGGGCGGTAAGGAAAACGTGGTCGAAGTGGTCGTGGGTGGAGGGGTGTCCGCTGTTGAGAGTGAGAATAAAGCGCACCTTAGAATTTTATTTTTTTTATTAAAATTTCCCTAGAAACTCACCACTTCTGACCTCCTCCGAGTAAGGATTGATGCTCAGCTGCCTCGCCAACTTCCGATGACTCCTCACTTCCCCTCCCGCTTGTTGACTCGTCGTCGGCGTGGCGGCGCTCTTGGTCCGCATGATGCACTCTTTCTGGGCAAAAACGTTGCTGTTTTTGGTCAGTGGCACGCTCTGGGTTTTGGCAGCGGCGGATTTCATCCGAAGGACTTCCGAGACGGATTTGGGTTGAAATGGGTGGTAGTACTTGCACTTGGAGCCGTAGGTGCATTTTTTTGCGTAGGGACAGGGCGGGGCGGATGGGGTTCGGCTCTTCCGGAGGAATTGGTGCAGGGAGGGGCCTATGCGACCAAGGGGGTCCTCTGGGGGGGTGAACCTGTGGAGAGGGTAGAGAAAAGAGTGGGTTAGTTTGGGGTATGGTAAATTTTTTGTGCCAATTTTTAGCACAAAAATTTTAGCACGACAAAAACTCACCTCCCCGCCACGAAAGAATACATGAGCAACCGCTCCTGCACGACCTTCCTGAACTCTTCCCTCTCTCCCACCAAATCCCGATAATTATCATTCGAAACAACGACCCCTTCCGTCTCCACGGCCAGCTGCAAAATGTATCTGTCGTCATAGCAGATCGTCCTCTTGTTCACGCCCACGCGGGACGGGGTCCAAACTAGATTTCCGGATTTCTCGAGGTCGAGCAGGATCAGAGGGTCGGAGACGAGCGGGTCGTCCTTGCGGAAGGACGGGATGAAGATTGTGACCGTGTGACCCCGGGTTTTGAAGTAGGTGAAGCACGAGAGGAGGCCAGAGGTGGAGAAGGTCGTGTTCGAACCGGCGCTGTGGGAGAGAGAGAAATTGGGTTTTAGAAATTGGCACAAAAATTGGCACGCCAAAATTGGCACAAAAATTGGCACGCCAAAAATTAGCACTCACCTCATGGCAACATTGGACCCATCAATCACCACATGTCTTAATTCCTCAGGATTTTCCTTTTCTCCTTCGCTGACCAGACAGCCTCCACCAGAAGACAAACTCGACCCACTCGACCCACTCGACCCACCACTCTGCTGTCCATCCAACAGGATAAGTTCACTCAAGAGCTCATTCTGACTCGGCTCGGGCCCCAATTTGATCAACGCCAAGGAAACCTGAGCCTCGGTGTAGCCTAGTTTTTTGGCGAAATCGAGGCGAGTTGGGGAGATTGTAAGGTATTCGGAGAGTTCTGAGGCGAGGGTTTCGGAGGTGTGTGAAGAGGAGGAGGTCGTGCGGGAGCAGCTGAGGTGGGGGGGAGTGTGGGGGGTGGAGGAGGTGGATAAGTCGATGGCGGAGTCGCTATTTACAGACATGGCGTTTCTATGAGGATATTATTTTCACATTTTTAAAGAATGGAAAAGTGGAGTAAAGTGAGTGAGTGAAATGATGTCGCAGATCCCGGATCTGCTGATGTGAGTGTGATGTTGAGGAGAGTAGGAAAAAATTTGTAGAATGAGTTGAGAGGATTGAGGATGTAGTGAGAGGGGCAGCAGGGTGCGGATGTTTATTTTTTTGGTGATTTTATGGGAATGAGTGTGGGAGTTTTTATGTCCGGGGGAGGGATGGACAGAGAGCTAGAGGGTCACGGGTGTGGGTCTCGTGTGGGTGTGTCTGTTCGTCCGTCAACGCTGGCTTCTCATGAAAGGGGGTATCAAGTGATTAAAGTTTTTGAATGAAATTATGACTCGGGCTATGAGAAGTCTGAGGTGCCCAGAGTCATGGGGATTATGTAGGTGTCATGTGAGTGTGTCCGATAATGGGAAAAAATCATAAAAAATACATGGAAGAATATGAAAAAGTGAATAAAATTTCGAAATCGACTCGTTTGACTCGGGGTACGCAAAGTTTGGACCTGTATATTTAGTTTTAATTTTCTGAAAAAAATTGTGTGGGTGTCATGAAGGTGTGTCTGTAGACGGGAGGATTAATGGGTTCGATTAATGGGAAAAGCTGATCAAAATTTTGAAACGGAACTCTAACTCGGGCTATGCGAAGTCTGCATTTACATTTAAATTTTACATTTAGAAATATTTGAAGTATTAAAAAAAATTCCCAAAAAATCCTAATTTTTTCGTAATGTTAATTTTTCCTAACAAAAAAAATAAATATCCGTCCTCTGCTCCTGCTCCACCTGCTCGTTGGGGACCATCGGGGGTCTCATTTATACATTTAACCCAAACATTCCCATAATCTCTCGGAAAAACTTTTTAGTGGGTGGAGTTGGGCGAAAATTTTTAAAACAAAAAATGTGCAGAATTAAATTTCGAACATTTTTTGTTTAAATTTTTTTTCTGTAATTGTCATAATTTCCGAAATTTTCGAACATTTCCAACTTTAAGAAATTTAAAATTTTCATGAAAATTCCCATTTCCATCGAAACCATAAACAAAACTCACCTCAAATTAAAACTGATTAAAATTACCCAATAAAAAAATGTGTGTCAATGTTACTAAAATTTCTAAATCACCATGAGAACAATTCCCATGGCAACGAAATTTTTTTACTTTACGCAATATTTTCATGCAAAATTGTATTTTCATACAAAAATTTATTTTCAAAAAACGTCAAAAAACACGTTTCCTTAGAAAAACCAAAAACTTTCTAAAAAAATGCCAAAAGATAATCTCGTCGTTGCTAATCAAAAAATCTAGAATCGCAATGACAACCAGAGCATATCGTTACTATGACAACTATTAAAAAGATTATGCAATAATTTCACGTAATAATAATACACGCGTAATAATAATTTCTTTAGAGTGTTTAAATTATTCATTCCGTAGTTAACCTCCTTCTCGTCCACATTATATATTTCCATAGCAACCATGAATTTTATTTTCATTTTTGCATTTATTTTAGCAGTGGGTGCGGTCGCGGAGCAGGAACCTAAAAAAATTGGTATGCACTCTCTAAATTTTCGTAATTTTATAAAAAAATAATTTTAAAAATTTCCATAGAAACGCATCAAATTCCGTATTATGTAAAAATCCTGAAACGTCGTGGAGGTGGAGGAAAGACTGTTTTAAAAGAAAAATCCATGGAAACAGATTCCATGGAAACTACAACCACGACGACGACGGACACGCCCACATCGACCACGCCTACTTTTGATTTATCCCCCGCATCGAGTGAAATTGTGACAAATTCCCCAAAATCCCCGTTGCCAAGGGAATCCATGCAGAATTTGCTACAAGCGGCGTTGGAGAATTTTGTCAAACGACAGGTTGCCACGACAACGGGGGGGCCTCCGGTTGTTAGGCAGGATTTTGGGGGGCAATTATTTGGGAATAATTTGTTGCCAAGGGAACAGAATAAAACTGAGCAGTCGCCATGGATGACTTTAATTACAGCCCCGGTTTCCATGGTGATGGCCGTTGTTAGGGCGATCATGGGGATGGGAAGTTGGGTGGGTGGGGTTATGGGGAGGATGGTGGGGGGCGGGGGTGGGGGGAATTCAAATTTAGGGGGCGGGAGTTTTTGAATTTTTTTTAAATTGTTAAAATAAAAGTGAAATTTATATAAAACCTGTTTTTTAAATTGGGGTCAGTTCCCATGGTTACATATTTATTTATTCGTTGTCAAGTGCATATTTACGCACTCTCACACGCATCGCATTTCATCGCATGAGTTGTCATGGAAACATTAAAAATTAAGAATTTTTTTTTGAATAAACGACATTTACATAATTTTCGTAACCATGGCAACGAAACCAGCCAAACTAAACCAGGTCAAAAAGTGAAATTACAACAACTTCCGACCGGATCGATTTAAAACTGGTTTTAATTTTTGGTCACTCAGAAAACTCTCACTTTCCTAAAATCGTCATAGCAACCAACACGAGATCAAAGGGCCTAAAATTCAGTGTCAAATTGGACTTCTGATCGTCGCCATGAAGTTGTTGAGCGTGGTTGTTTTTAGCGTTTTCCTGGGCGTGGTTTTCGCCGTGGAAGGTGAGTTTTTTAAAAATTAAATAGTTTCCATGGAGATTAAATTTTTATTTTTTCATGAGTTTCCATGGTTAAATATTTTTATTAAACCCGTTACCATGACAACATTTTTTTCTAATTTATACAGACCAACCCAAGAAAAAACTCTTGATAAAAAAGCGCCCCAAAAACCACACGGACTCCACCCTCCCCCAGACCTTACACCACACCCCCACCTCCCCCCTGACCCTCCTGAACTCCTCCCTCTACTCCAAAAGGTCAAACTCCACGCTTTACTCAAAACTCCGCTCGCGCCTCGGCCGTTTATCCAACGTTACCATGACAACCACGCCCTCTTCACATTTATTAATTCCCATCCCCTCATCGCAACAGAAACCATACCAACCGGTGATTGTTTCCACCCAGGCCACGCCCACTGGGGGACACCAAAAGGACTCCATGATAACTTATAAATTAAATAAAATGTTCGTTCCCTTGGGGATTTACGGGAGAGTTCTGAATAATTCCGAGGTTGCCATGGAAACCGGAAAAAGGAAATTAAAACAATATCGTCCAGCGGATTCTGTCTCGATTACGAATGAGAAACCGGATATTAATCAGGTTTCCATGACAACCGGGAGGCCCGTTGCCTTGGAAACGATAAAATTGGAAAACAGGAAATACACGCAGTCCGTAATGCCACCGCCGTTGCCGTTGGATACGAGTCACGTGGATAGTCACGTGACTGGGAAGGTTGGCGGGATTTTCAAAAATCTAAGGGAGCGTGTCGAACAGGTGAATATTCCGAGTCTGATCCACAAAGGGTTGAGCAATTTGGGGCAGTTGACGAAATCGCAGTGGGGGATGACCGATGAAGGGGGGGATTTCGGGGGGGCTTACTCCACCGTGGGGAAGGTGACGAAAGATAACGTGATTGTTAGTGTTCCGGGGGGGAAGTTGCCCGATTATTCGATAAGCGCAAGTGGGGGCGGGGGGCAGGCGCTCGAGTTTTTCAGGAGGAGGCCGCACTTGAGGGGTATTTATTTTATTAATTCGTTACCATGGCAACTATTTTAATTAATTAAATTGGTAACCATAGCAACGAAGCAGTGGCGGAGTTATTTGTTCCCCCCGAGCCACGCCCACTTGGCGGAAGTTTTCAATCCGAAGAAATCCGGGAAGCAGTTTGACAAACTTTGGGAGCGGATCACGCAGAAATATTCGCTTCAAGAATTGGATTTAGCGAGGAGGGAGGCCTTTAGGGTTTTTGAGGGGGGTGAGGGGGCGGGCTTGGGGGGTGTGAGGGGGAGGAGTGGTGGGGCAGGGTTATCCAGTGCTTATCATGACTTGATGGGGTTTTATGAGAGGGTTTACAAGGGGGGGGAGAAGAAAGTGGGAGGGGAAGGGGGTGTGGTTGGGGAGAAGAGCGCGGGGGCGCAAGCTCAGTCGCGCGCGCAGCCGGAGTCGTCGCGCGGCGCGCAGTCATGGCAACCGGGTGAGTTTAAAAATTTAAGTTTCCCTGCCAATTTAGTAATTTTTAAAATTTCCAGTCTCCCGCCCCTCCAATCACGTGACTTTCGCTCAAAAACCCCGCAACCCAACCGAGTATAAACCCCGCTCTACAAACGACCTCCCACGTGACCTCCCCCGCGGATATTCAAACGACGAGTACGAACTGATCCCCAAGGAAACGTATTTGAAACAGCGCAAATCTTACGAACTCGCCGCCGTCGTGCGACCCGAAGGAATCAGCGATTTCGAGGCCGCGGATGATTTGGGACAGGTCCCCGTGATCAGCTATGGGGTGAGATGAGATTTTTTGATAGGTTTTTTGGAGGGAATTTTTAAGCGGGAATTTTTGAATTTTTAACAGAGCCCCTCATCGCTGAGGTCCGTCCAATCTTATTTAACAGCGAGGAACGACGTCATTTATCCCAAAATTCAAGAGAGCAAGTTGCTAGGTGATTTTTTCATTCACGCTGTTTCCATGGTTACCGAAAATTTAAAAAATATGATTTTTATTTATAGCGCCCTACCACGCCCCACCCACCACACCCACCCCCACCGAGTCGGCCCTCCCCTACCAGCTCATCCACCCCACCCCCTCATTCACGTCCCCCCCACTAATCGACCTCTCCCCCGCTTTGGACTCCTCCTCCTCCTCCTCCCTCGGCACGGTGACAAACTTCCGAACGTCCCTCTACCGCAACCTCCTGTCCGAAACCCTTCAAAAACCCGCCCCACCAAAAGAGCACGTGACCAAATTTTTCGCGCCCATCCCGATAAACCCTCTAGCTCTAAGACAAGCTAAATCCCGCTATGGCTCCGGAACCGTTCCGAAATTTGTCGTGGAGTTGGCAAGGAAACTGAAGCAGGATAAAGACGTTCAGGGGATCGTGAGGGTGAGCAGGAGGGATGGGAAATCAGGGAAAATGGTGGAGTTTCTGTACCCAGTGAGGGGGTAATTGGGGGTGTATTTTAGTTATTTATTGTAGTCATGGAGTTATTTATTTAATAAATTATTTTTATTTCTATGGAAACGTTTCCATGCAAAATTTTTTATTATTTCCATGGAAACATGATGGAAACACTAGAAAAATCCGGGGCAACAAGCGAAAAATATCGATCTTACATCGCATTTAAAAAACTGCATTGCATTTCCACAGCAACACCAAACTTTCACTTTTTTAATTCTTCTCTAAAAAAATGGACTACCCCGACTACCAAGAACCACACCCCTCCCCACATCACCATGGAAACATATCTCTAATCACCTCCCTGTTCCCCACCCCAATTTTCCCCCCGCCCCCACTTTTTTATCCCCATGGAAACCAAACTTTTCTTCAAAACATTTACTTTCAAACCTCTCAATTTTCCTTGTTTTTATTTTTCCTCATTTTTTCCATGACAACCAGGAAAAGGTATTTTTTAAAGTTTTTAGCTCTGGTTTATTCTGGGGGGAACGTGATTTGGGGGTATTTTACGATGGGGGGGTTGGATTTTGTGGGGTGGGGGGTGGCCGTGGGGGTGGTTGTTTTGGGGGGTGTGGTTTGCGGGGGGTGCGGCGCGGGTGGGGAGGAGGGGGAGGGGAAGTGGGGAGGGAAGAAGAAATTTTGGGGGAGGAGCAGGGAGGAGGAGGACATTGAAAAGGTTGCCATGGAGATTTTAAAAAATTGTTGTCATGGAGATTTGGTAACCATGAAAACTAATAAAATCGTATACACAGGTGTACACCACATTATTCTCCCCTTTGCACATGACCCGTTCGCAGTTTGGTCAAATATTGTCATGCCGACGGAAAGAATTGCGCGTTTTGAAACCTGGGGAACAGTACTGCTCGGAAAAAATTACGAGGGTGGACTCGCTGGCTTTGTTGCTGAGTGGGAGGTAGGGGTTGCCATGGGAATTATGATTAAAATTTCCAGGCGTTGCCATGGAAACTATATCGTTGCCATGGCAACAAAATTTAATTGCCATGACAACTAATAAAAATAAAAAAATTGCAGACTCCTGGTGACGCAATCCGGTCGGTCCCTTCACATGATCCACGCGAACCAATTCGTGGATTCTCCCGAGTACTTTGGCGTCACCACGGACGACCTTTTCCAAGTCAGCATCACCGCCGTGGAGGAATCCAGGTTGTTGGTGTGGCATCGGGACAAGTTGCGGTTGGTCATTGGGGGGGATTTGAAGGGGGGGAATAAATTGGGTGGGGAGTTCTTGAGGGAAATGTTCGATCACGTGATTGGCAGGGATGTCGTGAGGAAGTTGGTGCAGGTGAGCGGGTGTGCCAATTTTTAGCATGCTAAATTTTGTGCCAATTTTTGGCAATGAGGGTATTCATTATTTCTTCGTATCCTTAGTATTCTTCGTATCGTAAAATACTTACGACGCTTACGAGATTTTGTAAGCGTCGTAAGATTTTCTCATCGAAAATCACGTTACTACGCTTACGATTTTTACTAAACCTGACCCCTTGTTTTTTCTTCGTAAACTATTTTACGATACTACAGATACGAAGAAATAATGAATACCCTCAATGTTTTGGCAATTTTTATGCCAATTTTTGGCAATTTTTGTGCCAATTTTTGCACGCCAAATTTTTATGCCAATTTCAAAAACCCAGAAAAAATCACTAATAAAAAAATAAATCTTAGGTGAGCGACGAGACCAACTGCGACCTGAAGAAATCTCCACCGCCCGAAACCGCCCCCCTCGTCGATGAAGAGGAAAAGGAGGGTATTTCACTCACCTAAGATTATTTTTTTCTTCATTATTTTTAAATTAAATCCATAATTTTCCAGCGCGTTGGTGGATTTATCATTTTTCGGTTTGTTTTATTTCGTTTTTTCGGTTTTCCTAAGGTTTAAATTGGTCAATGATAAATTAAATTTCTGATTTAGCAGCACCGCAATTGCTAGAAGAAGAAGAGGAAGAAGAGGAGGAAGAGCGGATTTTGGAATCCTGGACTTTGGGAAAAATTGCCGAGGAGGAAACCGTCGTTTAATAGAGTTGCCATGGAGATTTTTTTTCTAGTCGTGTCTGGTCTGTGTGGGTTTATTAATTTATTAATTTTGTGTGTGGGTGGGTGTTTTTGTACTAATTTTTGTATCAAAAAATTAATCCATTTAATAAATTTGTACTTGATTAATAATACTTTCAAATAAAATCGTCATGGAAATTTCAATAAAAAAATATCACGGCCACGAAATGATTTTCCTCATTTTATTCTTCGTTTCCATGGAATCGTCCGACAATTTCCTCTTCATCTCGTTCTCCGTCGTTACCATGGCAACGGATTTCCTATTCCTCGGTTTCCTCTGCCCCAAGGGTAAGACGAGCTTGTGGTACAGCTCCAGGAGATGGTTTTTTTCCAGAGGTGGAGTCAGCCGCGCGCCGCGCTTTTTTAGGGGAATTTTTTTTAGGAATTTGCGAACTATGAAAAGTAATTTTTAAAAAAACCTCGGATAAAATCCACGTGATTTCCTCGATGGAGAGTAATTCCGGGTGGAGCAGCTGCCGGGGGGTTATTAGTAAATTGGTTGCCATGGTGATTTAATTTAAATTTTAGTTTTACGTTGCCAATGGCAACACTCACTCGAGTCAAGTGGATAAGTGCTCCTTCCCGCCCTTTAGTTTCCATGCATGCAAAATAAAATCACCATGGAAATGTTCACAAAATTTTTAAATTTTATTATTGTCAATTCTCACTCCTCCTCCCACTCAACCCCACCCCCACAATAATCTCACCCCATTATCATAGTAACCACCCCCACAATAAATGTTCCCAGAAACCCAAACACACCCCCTAATCTCCCCACCCCCCCACAATCCATTTCCATCTCATTCGCGTTGTATCTGACGCATGCGCCGTCGGCGGGTCTTTCTCGAAATAAACCTTGTCTCGCGAGGAGGCCTTGGGAGCAGGAAACGTCGTTGTCCTGGGGGATCGGGGGGTAGTCGACCTCTCGGAGTTTCACCGTGGTCGTGTTCATCCCCCCGCAGCGGCATTTTCCATCGGTCACCACCAGGATTAGGTTCGTGTGGGGGATGAAGTGAACGTTGAAGTAGCTATGGAAATTAATGTTTATTTGAGGGGGCGTTCATTGATTATGTGGTGGTTTTTTAGGGATAATTTTGGCAAAATTGGGTGAATATTTCGGAAAATAATCTGTGAACGCCCCCCTTAAAAAACTCACTCACCCATCACACCCACTCGAGTGCCCACATTTAGTCAACAATCCATGATAGGAAAAGTTGAAAGTGTTGTAACTCGCTCCATAAGTGTAAAGGAACGTTTCCTTGTCGCAGGGGCGTAGCCGGGTTTTGTTGATCGAGGCCAGTTCCAGGAAGGGGTGGAGAGTATCGGAGGTCCCTTCATCCACGATGGCGTATTGATCAGCGGGGTCCGTGTAGGCCTGGGTCAGAGTGTGGAGGTAGGTGAGGCTGGTGGTGACTGAGGTGAGGAGGGTCGTGAGGAGGGTGGTGAGGAATGTGGAGAGGAGGGAGGGGAGATGGGGGGAGTGTGGGGGGGAGGTCTGTAATGGATTAATTTTTTTAGGAGGTTATTAAAAATTGATTAGGAGGCAAATTAAGAGTCACCTTAACACCACAACTGGCTTTATTAACGGGTTGGAAGCAGACGGCTTGGTGGTCGACTATCCGGACACGCTTGTAAACATCGGAATTAACGAGCATCTCCATCACCATCCCGTCGATTTCACCGAAGAAGCGGCCTACAAATTTAATGTTTAGGAGGTGAATAACCATTAAAAAACGAGTAAAACTAACCAGTCTCCCCCCTCTTCTCGCTGATCAAGACGAACCCATTGTCATCCAGGACATAACAATCGTACTCTCCGGATTCACACGTTTTCTTGCAGTTCCCATCGACGTAGTTAGATGATAAGTGGCCGGGTCGGGAGTTTCCACCAGCCGTGGAGCTGGATTCCACGCACTAATAAAAAGCAAAGTGATTTTAGCTGGTGGACCTTAAAAAAATATTAAATAAACTAACCGTTGAGGTGATATCGAAGAACCTCGCGGCCCACTCTTCATGTTTGTACTGCACTCCGACCACTGCCACGGGTGCGGACAAGCCTTCTTTGTTAGTTACGAACACTGCCCTCGTGGCCGTGACTTTGGTGTCGTTTTTTACGTTTCCAGCGTTACCCCCAGAGTTAAAGGGCACGGAAAATACGAAGGAATCTGGGTCCAGTAAGTACCGTTCCACGGCCCGTTTGTACCAGATGGAGTCCGTTGCCGTGGGGGAGATGGGGGGGCTGTAGAGAGAGATTTTAAGGGTGAGATTTAGTTATTTAAGGGGTTAATAAAATCCAACCTCTCAATTAGTTCTGGTGGCTGTTGCTGACTCGATTTCTTTTCAAAATCGATCCACCTCGTGAGACCCGACCGTGTCGCGATAAAAGCCAAACTCGCCCCGTTCAGCTCGATTAATTTCCTGCAATTGGAGTTAATTACGATTAATTTATGCCAATTTTATATAGAAAATCAGTAGATCCATTGGCAGCACAATTCCGCACTCATCAAAAATTATAAAAAAATCCGCGAGTCAAAGTTTGGTTAGAAAGTCAAACTTTGACCGCGTCGTTAGTCCTCTGTTGATGTGATTTAAATTAATTTTACCTGGGCATTAGAGCGAACAATAATGCAATGGGGCTTTTTTTGTGGAGATAGTTAGGGTTTTTTATATGAATTTTTTTATGCGGCAATTTAAATTAATTAAGAGGTTAAATAATTACTTGTCTTCTCGATTGATTTTCCATAATTTCTTTTCGGTAAAGACCTCTGTTACGTTGGCGTCGAAGGCGAGGGATTGTAGTAAATCTCGATCGCCTATTGTTTCACTTTTAATCAGCCAGCTGTACATTAATAATTAATAAAAAACAGTTCCCTACACTCATAGATATCCCCATCCAACACTTTCCCCTTGTTGCCATGCCTCTGTTTAATCCCAACCCCCGTGTTTTTCCACTTCCACGCTTTCTTCGCTTTTTCAATCCTTTTCAAGAAATGTACCAGCTGATCCTCCTTGTTCCCACCGAAATCCGCCCCTCCGCGGATGTACTCGCAGTAGGACCAGGTTGGATTAATCGACCAGCGCCGGGGTTCCGTTGGAGGGCCGAAGAAAGTTATGAGTTCCTGGTCCTTTTCGAGGTAGAGCTCCATCTGGCCGTGGAATTGGTGGAGGTGGGCGGGGACGGAGAGGGTCAGGGTGTAAGGGGTGGATTTTAGGTGGGAGAACTCGTATTTTTGGGGGCGCAATGTTACGCGGCGCTATGGATACAGTATTTTTCAGTAAATTAGTTAGGGTTTTTGCGGTGGGATTAGAAATAAAACTTACGAATCCATCCTGGTGGACCTTTACGTTTAATGTCCGGTAGCCCCGGTCGAGCTCGATCATTTCTTGGCGGAGCTATGGATTTTTTAAAAATTAATTAATATTCCCTCCTAAATAAATTAATAGCACCCCATAAATAGTTAAACTAACCTCCACAACTTTGGAATAATTATTCCTGACGACCCCCGCCTCATCCCCGTCCATCAACTCGACTTCCATCATGTCCACCGTGTTATAGTTAGGTTTGAGTAATTCATCTCTGAATATTGGGCGATGGTCCGGGTGGTAAATCACGTAGCCGTTGTTGTTCGTGAGGAAGGAGTAGCCGTTGACTCCTAGTTTGAAGGGGGAGGCTATTTTGTGGAGCTCGCGGATCGGGATGTCCGTGCCGGCCACGCCGAGGAGGGAGGCGATGCGGGACTGCGGAAATTAGTGAGTTAGATTAGTAGAAATTGTGTATTTAAGCGTTTATCCCGGGTGATCCTCACGGGAATTCACCTTATAAACCCATAAAAACAAACTCCACTCACCCCCTCGCTGGACACATTCCTCGTGTCGAAAACCGGGACGCTCGCCGTGATGACAAAGTGAAAGTCCTTTTTCTGCTTTTCACTCAGGAGATTTGGCTGCGGAAATTAAATTATTAACGAAAAACGACCAACCAAAAGATTAATAAACTCCGCACAACCTCATGCACAATCCTGTTAATTTTTTCAGAGAGCTTTTTGGCACTAACAGGCAAAACCAAGACCGCCTCACCACCTTCATCAATCTAATTTAACACAAAATACCACGAGTTACTACAAATAAGCAAAGAAATTAGTTAATAAATGACTACTTTCTCATCGAGGAAGTCCCTCAGGGATTGTTCGATTTCCTCTTCGTCTTGGTCTTTCAGTCCGCCTTTCATGAATCCATTTTGGTGGTAGTTTGCACGGAGGAAGTTTTTGTAACGGGAGGACCGGAGGTATTGACGACGGGAGTTGTCCTCGTCCCACGTCCAGTCGGAATATTGGGGTTCCTTTTTTATTGGGATTTTTGGGTGTTATTAGAAGCGGGTTATTAGGTGGGTTAATCAGTTAATTTTTTAAACATTGGCGCGGCTTAATGATTAGCAGGGCGGGAATTTTGAAAAAACCACGAAACACGCCACAAAAAATACACGCGACTATATATAAAAAACTACAACAACTACCTCTTTAAACCTAAGTAGCCAGTAAGTTCTGCGTCTACGTTTAGGGCTCGGCTTTTTTTTATGGGAAATTTTATATAAGAAAATATACTATGTTTTTACTACAAAGAGAGAATGGTAATTAAAGGTAATTATTACAGCGACGTCGGCGTACACGGAGGTCCAGGCGATGGAGTGGTTGTTGTAGAGCACCTATGGATTTTTATTTTTAGGGTGGAAATTATTAATAAATAGAGTGAAACTCACGAGGGGCCTGGCCATGACGGGGATGTATTTGAGGACCTGCTCCTGGACTTCGGAGAGGGTCGAGACGTGGGTGTAGTAGCCTACAAGTAATTTATCAGCGGGTGGATAATTAATGGAGTGGTGTAACATACCATTATTGGCACAAGCCATGTACATGACCTCCCTCTTATCCGTGACGTCCCTCCCGATGAGATAAGTGAAAATCCTCGCAGAGTACTCTCGATTTTGGCGTTGTTTAAAAATCTCCTCGAAATTGTACGGAGAGCCGTCCGTTATTATCATGATTGCTGTGAATAAAAGTCACGTGATTAAAAGCACATGACCAAGTCACGTGACACGTACCTTGATTACAAGAGGAGGTACTCTCCGCGGGGGCATTCGGAGGCAGGTGTTTTTCTAAAATATCAAACGCCGTGTTGAGAGCGGCGGAGAAATTGGCCACGCCGGTCGTGTGGTCCCCGTCCAGGCCGTCCTTGAAATCACGGATGTTCTCCAGGTTGGCTTGGACCAGTTTTCCAGTGAAACAGGGCACCACGGGGGTGCAGTCCTCTGCGAAACTAAGGGACAAGTGGGGGGTTTGAATTATTAGGGGTGTTTTGGTGGTTAAAATAAGAATTAGAACCTGTAAACATTGACGTAATCATTTTCCGTGAGGGTGTCGAGAATTGTGCTAACGACATGTTTGGCAATTTCTCTTCTCAGCCCGGTCATGGAGCCGGAAATGTCCTGGAGGATGACCATGTTTTTCGGGGAGGTCGCCGCAGAGACGTACCATTGCCGGGTGCGGGCGTCGTACAAGTCTAGGTTTATATGGGTAAATTTATTTAAATTTCAGTGGGTTGAATTTAAATTGGGGGTGTTCACGTCGCTCTCACCAAGCTTCTACATGCTTGGAAATTCTTTAAAAAAGTGGGCGTGAGCACCCCCAATAATAATTCGTAAGTTTACCCGGATTAGTCCTTATTCCATTCTCATTGGGCCACTTCCCCGCTGGATACTGCCTCAGGAACCCCGTCGCAGAGCCGAAATATTGATAGGACAAGGTAGGATTCGTCTGATAATTAGATTCAAAAGTCGAGTCCATCTGGGAGGTCCACCCGATGGCTTCCAAGAGGGGGGTTTCTAAGCGGTTCATCATTTTATCACCATTAATTTACCTAATAAAATAGTAGTAAACTAACTCTTCTCATAAATCGACGTTGGCACATGGATCGAGCTGAAGCTCGTGTTCACGGCGGCTCCGAAGTGGGCGTTGAAGGTGAGGTTCACCACGTGGAATAGTTCACGAGGGTCGGAGCGACCGTCACGGTTGAGTTTTTTGGCGTTGTAGTAAGTTTGTGGGATGGGTGGGGGGGTGGTCCGGGTGTGGTGCTCCAGGGAGCGTTCCTCCGTGAAGAGCATGATTTTCTGTGGGATAATATATTGAGAGTTTTAGTGAAATTGAGGTGAAATAGAGGGAAATTAGTAGAATTTACCCTGACGGCCTCGACTTTCTCTTTTAGAGCAGTGTTCATCTCGGAGGTTATATCCGTGATGAGCTTGTCCAGCTCGATCCGCCGGATGGAGGTGGGCGAGGAGGAGGAGGGGGAGGAGAAGCGCTGTAGGTTAGAGAGGAGCCATTTATTAAAATTCTGAATTTCAGGGAGGATTAGCAGGATTATTAAATAAAACCATCGAGAAACTCACCCCCTGGAGCTCATTATATTTCGTGACGCTCCTGCCAAACTCGAACAGGGGGCCGCCGAATTTTGAGGCCCAGTTTTCCAGTCTATTCTCAAGAGAAAGTGTTGTTAAATTAGTGGGATTACCAGTTAAAACAGAGTAAATACAGAATAAAATCTCACATCTGTTTGGATATCCCCTGCTGCACTTCTCCCAGCACGACGACCGGAGTTTCTCTACTGATAAAAATAGTACAACAAATACAAAAATATGAGAAAATTGTAGGCACCAGGTTGGTTTTCATTTCGTTTGATTGTTTTTGTGCTGATGGTTTTTGGGTTAGTTGGAAGACGTCATTGTGATTAGTTGATTTTTTTTGGCGTGGTGGGTGAGAGTTGTAGTAGGCGTAGTTTTCGAGTAGTGAAAGTTGGAATGGAGAGAGAGAGGAGTGTGGAGTGGGGCGCAGCAGCAGCAGCCAGGAGAAAGTTTGTGTCAGTGGTGAAAGCGGAGCTGGAGAGAGAAAATAGTGAAGAGAGAGAAAGTCTATCGATCTTCCACTAAAGCTACAGAGAGAGTGAAATCTCATATTCTCCCGGCATTTCTCCTCTCCTGCCCGGAAATTCCACTCTAGGAATTTCCCATCCGAAGTCGGTGTTAAATCGGTGGAATGCACGTACACCACACATTTCCATGGAACAAAGACGTCTACTACCGCACTCCCCTCTAGCCTCGCTCCCCACGAGCACAACAACAAAGAGTCTCTCGATGGTGGTGGTGGTTCTTTTGAGATTTTCTTCTGAGAGAGAATTTTATTCTAATTTCATTGATAATGATTGGAGATATTTTTGTGAATTAAATTACTTACTGAATTTTGTGGTGAAGCCTTCACCGTGAATGTGGTGGTGGTGGCGGTGGTGATTTGCTTATCTTTGGTTTAGTGGAGGTTTCAGAGTGGAGTGATTGAGAGAAGAAATTTTACTGAATGGACACGGGAGTTTTGGGAGAGATTAAATTTTAGAGTTGCTGCTGCTGGACTGAGCCACTGCCTGGAAATTGACTAAATATACGAAAGAGTGATAGAATATTAGACTACGAATGGAGTCCCCCCTTGACATACTATCCCGAGCGGCCGGGATGGTCGTGGTGAATTCAACAAAGAGGAAATTCGAAGAGGATGAGGAAGAACAGCCGCTGGATTTTAGCTGTAAGAAGTCGGCCTTGGATAATAATGGGGTGGTTGCGGCGGCGACTAGTTTGAAGAGAAGAGAGGAGGAAGATGGGTGAGTTTAGTTAGTTTATTTGTATGGGGAAAATTACTAATAAAATTACTTACACAGCTCACCACCTTATCACACTAACCACCGCCCCTCCGTGATAATCCCCAGCACTGGAGGAGGTGGACCTTCTAACTCACCCAATTTACCAACTACCCACCCCACCCCATTGAAAAAGCGGCTCCTCTTATCATCCTCCTCCACAACGCACTCCCCATCTCATCACCACCGCCTCCCTCACAACAACCCACCTCACCACCACCACCGCCCCCGTCACTCCTCCACGTCCAGCACCTCCTCCACCGAACAATCCACAACCACTTCCTCCTCCTCCACCACAAAGCACCGAAAACTGATAAAACGGAAGCAAATCTCAAAGCACAACGGTCCTAAAAAACAAATCCAAGTGGATAAATCCCGTCGGGTCGTGGTGATAAGCAAGGCGATCGATGGGGACGGGGTGGGGGGAGCGGTGGAGGAACACTTCAGGAGGAGTCTGGAGAAGTATAGCAAAGAGGAGAAAATCAAGGAGGAGGAGGATGAAGATCGTGGAGGGGATGGTAGTGGAGATATCCTCAAGCCGTTGAGTGGTGCGTTTTTATTTTAATTTACTCATTTCCATGGGGATTTCACTAATAAAAGCCTGCATTTTTCTATCCCCAGTTGACGACCACTTTGCCAAAGCCCTGGGTTCGGAAACGTGGAAAATGATTAAAAAGGACTGATGTTTTGTAATTTTTAGCTTTTTTGTACATAATAAAGAGAGAGAGAGATTTATTGTATTACCCCGAGTAGTTGTGAGTGGGTTGGCAAAAGTTGAATTCTTTCAATGCACTCTTGGACTTTCGTTCGGCTTTTGTTTGTCCTTTGTCACACTTCACGAATTGTTAAATTCACTCCCCTCTCGCGTGTCACTAAAAATGACGACCATCGCCACTACAACCCCAACGACCACCCCACTAATCTCCACCCTGACCTTGTCCTCCTCTGAGGACGAGGACAAACCCGTCGCCACGACGACGGAAACAGGGGAGAAAAAGAAGAAGAAACGCAATCGGAACAAGAAGAAGGTCGCTAATCCACCCGTCGCTCCATCCACGCTAACCCAAACAACCCCGACCCCCACGATCCCAATCGACACGCTCTACCCTACAAAAAACTTCCCGGAAGGCCAACTCATCGACTACGCTCCCCAGAGGAAAAATTTTATTCTCGAAAATCTAGCAGAGAAAAAGGCGATGGAGAAATTGGTAGAGGAGAATTACCAAGATTTGCGGAGGGCGGCGGAGGCCCACAGGCAGACGAGGTCAGTAAATAAAATATACTTAAATTATACTTTAGATTAATTAAAATCATCCAACTATTTAGCTTATTTATACCTTAGCTAAATAAAAATCAATTGCAGACAGCACATCCAACGCTGGATCCAACCCGGCCAGACGATGACCCAAATCTGCGAGGAGCTCGAGACCACGGCGAGAAAGTTAATCAACGAGAGCGGGCTGGATGCTGGGTTGGCCTTTCCCACGGGGTGCTCTTTGAACCATGTGGCGGCGCATTGTTAGTTTTTATTTAGTAATTAACTTATCGTGTTTACAAAGAGTGTTTATTTCAGACACCCCCAACGCGGGTGACACCACCGTCCTCGGAGTGGATGACGTTTGTAAGATCGACTTTGGCACACATGTCAATGGTGAGAATTTAATAATTTGGTGTAGGTGAAATTAATTAATTAGAGTGAATTTTAGGGCGAATAATCGACTGCGCCTTCACCCACACGTTCAACCCGAGGTATGATCCACTGTTGAAGGCCGTGCAGGAGGCCACCGAGACGGGTGAGTCACGTGACCCTAAAATTAATCGAAATACTGACCCTAAAATTAATTAATCCCCAATAGGAATCCGCGAAGCAGGGATCGACGTCCGCCTCTGCGACATCGGGGCCTCTATCCAAGAAGTGATGGAGAGCTACGAAGTGGAGCTAGACGGGAAAAACTACCAAGTAAAAGCCATCCGGAATCTTAATGGGCACTCCATCGATCAGTATCGTGAGTGGGTTTTTATTTTATGGGGAATATTCCACTATTTAAATACTAAAATCCAGGGATCCACGCTGGAAAAACCGTCCCCATCGTGAAGGGAGGTGAACAGTCCTCACGAATGGAGGAAGGAGAAGTTTACGCGATTGAGACTTTCGGGTCGACGGGGAAGGGCCACGTCCATGATGATATGGAGACGTCTCATTACATGAAGGTGATTAATAATTATTAGTGATTATTCACTAAATTTATTAATATTACCACTAAAATTCTATCGTAACCTCCTAGAACTTCACCACCACGACCCCCCTCTCCTCCCTGCGCTCCCCAAAATCGAAACAACTCCTCTCCGTCATCAACACTAATTTCTCGACCCTCGCGTTCTGTCGTCGATGGCTGGATCGCCTCGGCCAACAGAAATACCTCCTCTCTCTAAAAGACCTCTGCGACAAGGGGATTGTCGATGCGTACCCACCATTATGCGACCAGAAAGGATGTTTCACTGCGCAGTATGAACACACCATTATTTTGAGACCGACCTGTAAAGAGGTTGTTAGTAGAGGGGGGGATTATTAGTTGGAGTGAAATGAGAAGTTAGTGGGGCAATGTGAGACGCTGGATTTGGGCGGTGGATTCAAATTTCTCCTTTGGGATTGGCAGTAAATTATAAAAAAACTCTAAATAAATGTTTCTAAAGATATTGTAAATTTTGAAAATGTCTGAAAATTTGAATAAAAAACCGCCAAAAGGAATTTTAAAACAGAGCTCGTCCTTTGACACGCAGAATTCAAGTAGTTCTTCAGCGGCGGGGAATTCAAAATTTTATTCTCCGCGATGTTCTGTGACGAGTTTGGGGGTGGTGGGTGGTGGGGCGGGAGTGGGTGTGGTTGAGGAGGGTGGTGGTGCAGCAGGAGAAGACGAAGGAGATATGAGCCCCGGGTCAAGGAGGAAGTGAGTTGTCATGGGGAGATTTTATTTTAAGTAACCATGGAAATTAATTCATAAATTAAGTAACCATGGAAATAATAAATTAATAGGAAATCCACAAAATTCGACGAGATGAACATCTTAGCAACGCTCCACCCTGCGGATAAAGACTACGGATTTATGAAAATAGAGGAGCCAAAAACCCCGTTTAATTACTATGACAACGACGAGGAGATTTCTGGTGGAACTAGGAAATTACTCGATCCAGAGTTATTAGCGGAAAAAATGTTGGAGGTGGAGCAGCAGGGGGGTGGTGCTGGGAGGGAGGAGTTAGCGGCCGAAGGGGGTGTGGTCGATGAGGAGGAAGGAGAGGAGGGGGAGCCGAAAAGTAATTTTTTAATAAATATAGTTTTCTTAGTTTCCATGGAAAATAAAAATAAATTATGAATTAAATAGGCCACCCCATCTTTGAATCCAAGCGGAAAGCGCACTATAACGAGTATTTCGCGGTGAAACTCGCGCGCCAGTTGATGGAGCGCGACGAGGAGGAGGAGGAAGATGAAGAAGTGGGCGCGGCTGAAAAATTCATTCCCAAAGAGGAAACTACTGTTGATGAGGAGGAAGGATCTCAATAAGTTATTTTTTTGCAAAAAAGTGGGGGTTAAGTGGGTGTGCCCCCCTGAAAACAAGTCTTTTTTGTGTGATTTTTTTTGTATATAAAAATAGTGTGCTAATAATAAATGATTTCCATGGTGATATAGAGATGTACAAATTTGGGTCATTTTATTGTTTCCATAGATACTAGGTAATGCGCAATGGTAGAGAAACAATGGTTGCCATGGCAACAACAACGTGTGAGCACTCTCTCTCTATTCTATCTCGGGGTTTTGTTTTCTGCGTGTGAATGAAAAGTTACACAACTTTCCATGGCAACAATGGCGTGGGTTTGTGTAAAAAGTCTATAAATTAGGGGTTGTCATGGGGAAGTGAGGCAGTCGTTGTCATGGCGTTTTACTACTCCGTTGTTGCTGTTTTCTGCGTTGGTAAGGGGTTGGAGGTTTTTTTAATTAAGATTTTTAATTATTTAATTAACTAAATCCCCATAGCAACCATCTTCCTGCCCACCCCAATTAATGGCGGGTTTGGTTCCTCCACCTACAATTCCGGCGCGGGGGATCGCGCTTTAGGAGAATTGCGCGGAAATGAGGTATGCAATTTTTTATAGATTTTTTTGTCGCGCGCGGTCACACCCCCCCTGACCACACCCCCTTAAAAAACTCCCCACTTGCAGAACATCGCCACCTACTCAGCCCAAAGCGCAGTCGCCTCCGCCGTGGGACGTGACTATGCCAACCAACTCTCGACCACGTCTCAATTCGCCTCACAATTCACGGCCCCCGTTACCAAGCAACAAGCGAGCGAGGCCTTCAACGCAGTGCGACATCAACAACAAGGGTCGCTAATTTCCGCCGCGCTCGCAAATGCAGCGCCCGCTATTAATCGCGCGGGGGAGGGCGCGGCGCGGGATAATTTCAATCAGGCCTATGCCAAGGCGGAGGTAATGGAGTTACATGAGATTTTTTTGAAATTTTCGCGGTGGCGGGATTTGCAAAATGTTACGAACATTTTTTTTTAATCTTAGGGCGACCGTCTCCATGGAACCTTCCATGATCGTCAACAACAAGAAATGGTTTATCTCGCGGGTGAGTTCGTAACTGTTCGAAACGCGTTCGAAACACTTAAAAAATCCCCTAAATTCCACAGGCTCCGCCCTCGCGGCGCAACAGCAGCAAGCGCAGCAGGCGGCGCACTACCGCGACGCTGCGAAAACGAGTCAAACGCGCACGAGCGCTGCAGCGATCCAAGCGATTCACGGGATTCAAGAGCGAGATCGAAACGCGGGAGGTTATGGCGGGTGATGGAGGAATTCAAATTTTTAAATTTTTTTAGCGGGAAATAATGGCGGGAAATTTAATTTAAAAATAAATTTATAACAAAAAGAGTAATAAAAAATATGATAAATTAATAATTGGCGGGGTAATATTCGTCACGTGATTTGTATTCCGTGGGGGGTGGGGGGCGGAGGAGCGATGGAGGGGGCGCAGGGGGCGTGGTCGGTGGGGGGGACGGGGGATGGTTTGTACTTGTTCGGGTTCTCCTTGTAGTTGTTCGGAACTCTGGAAGTTATCGTTTCGGGGGAGGACCGCCTGTTCTTCGAGGTTCGAGGAGGATCCGTGGTGGTGGCCCCACCCCTTTTTTTCTCCTCCTTTTTTCTTCTCGTCACCATGGTTATAGTCCCAGTAGGACTCGCCCCACCCGTGCTTGTCTCCCCAGCGGACCTGGAATTTTTAAATTTAATTATTGGGTGAGAAACGCTCGAAAAAATCCCCCAAAAAACGCTCGAAAAAATCTCCCAAAAAACGCTCGAAAAAACGTTCCAAAAACCACTCCAAAACCCTCACCTTCGTCTTAAAAGTCCATCCATGAGCCTTTTCGAACCTCGACGTGAAATGATGTTGATTTCCCCGATTATACCCAAACTCATACGCGTTCCAAGCGGGGACGTTGGCGTACTGGAAAAAATGCGAGTTTCCCCCCTGGGCGACGGTTGCCATGGCGACCAGGAGCAGCGTTGCTATGGTGATGGGGTGCATCTTGAATGTGGAATGTGAATGATTGAAATTTTTGATTGTGTTTGAGGTTTATATATAAAATTTTTGTAAAAAGAAATTGTGCGTTGCCGTGGTGATTGAATAAATAATATTATTGAGTTTTATATATAAGAAAGTTTATTTAAATAGAGATGGTTGCCATGGTGATTAAGGTATTTGTTGTAAAGTTATTAGTGCGAGTTATGAGCCGTGATTGAGATGAGATTACGCGATTATTAGCGTGTGTGGAAAGTGATGAAGATGATGAGAGTGGAGAAGAGGAAAGTGAGATTAGGGGATGAGTAGTGAGAAGATGAGACGGGGGCAGGGTGAGATTTTTGTGTTGCCATGGGAACGGTGGAATTATTGCTATGGGAATATTTTTTAGATTGGAGGCAATGTGAGATTATGTTTTTAGAAATGTGTGGTTTAATTATAAGGTTGCTATAGAAATAAAGTTGATTTGAGATGGGACGTGAGGCAATGTGAGATTTTTTAAAGAGTTTCCTGGTTGCCATGGAAACGGTAAGAAACCGTTGTTATTATTTTTTAATGAGACAACGTTTCTTTAGAAAAAGGTTGCCATGGAAATTGAAAAAAAATATATAGTTGCCATAGAAACAAAGTTTATTTGCATGAGATTTTGAGATTAGGGTGAGACTTGAGGCAATGTGAGATTTTTTATGATTCCTTAAAAATATGGTTGCCATGGAAACGGAAAATTATATGGTTGCTATTGAAACATTTCTCTACGAAATAAGAAAAACTCCAACCAAATTCCAATCTTCCCCTTAAAAAACAATTTTTTTTATTTAACCAAATTGCCATGGAAATTAATAACCGTACAACTTGACGACGCTGACGACGTGTTTGCCTTGTTTGGCCGCGACCTTGTCCGCCGCCTCGCGCGTGAGTTTCCTCTTCATCTTCCGAACCTTTTCTCGAACGGCGTTCTTCATCCGGCGCTTGTTCTCAAGAGTGTGCAGCACCGAGGCGTACTTCCAACCGACCTCGGTCGACAGGCGGCCAAGGTAACAGTACTGCAAGTAAATTATTTTGTTTTATTGTTGTCATGGCAACCAAATTAAGTATTTTTTAAAATCCATGGAAACGGTAATTATTTGTCTTGGCAACAGAAATAAAAACAAATCCATGGTAACATAAATATCTTTAAAAAATCCATGGCAACATAACTATAAAAATCCATGGCAACAGGAAGTTATTAAGTTGTCATGGCAACAGAAAATAAAAAAATCCATGGCATTTAAAAAAACATTAAAAAAATCTCCATGACAACACAAATAAATTTTATAAATCCATGACAACACAAATAATTTATAAACCCATAACACCCACCTTCCTCCCCGGCTTCAGACACATGACCCTCATTGCCTGAGGAACGACGACCCTTTTCTTCTTATCATACGGTGGTGGGATCCCTTCGAACACCTTCATCCTCTTGAGCGCCTCCTTTCCGCGCTCCGTTTTGTGCGGGACCATGCCGCGCACGGTGCGCTTGAAAATTTCCGAAGGGGCGCGATAATGGAATGGACCGCGCGCCGGGTTCACGTTGCATCGTTTACGCAGGAAGGACAAGTATTTCAATTTGTTTCTATGGAAACGGAATAATTTTATATAAAAAAATCCAAATTAATTAATTGCTAATTAACACACCTGTAAAAGTTCCCGCTCATGTTGATTAATTCGGCCCTGAGGACGACGACCTTGTTGCCTTGGAGACAGGCCTTCGCGACCGTCGCGGCCAGGCGACCCAACATGTGACCCGCCGCGTCGATCTTCAGGGGCTGTGGAATCACTTTATTGTTATTTGGTTGCCATGGTTACTAAAATAAATAAATTCTCACCCTGGATGTTAACCCGGACATTTTTTAATTATAATTAAAAAGTTGCCAAGGAAATTAATTTGCTGTCCGGTTTGGTGCTGCTGATGGGAAAATGTGTGGTGTGTGCGTGTAGTTTAGATTTTGGTGGTGGCCAGGGTTGCCATGGTTACAAAGTCAGAGGGGAGATGGCGCGGGTGATGCCGTGGTGATTTTTTTGGTTAATTATTTCCATGGAAATTATTTTTATTTTCATATTTATTAATTTATTTAATACCCAATAATAACAATTAATTAATGCCCCCACCCCCCACCCACTGGGTGATCCGAGTACCACCCAAAAGCCCCCCAACCCCCCGTGTACGCTCCATAATCGACGTAATCGTGACCGTGACCATGGCCACCGTGTCCTGTTTCCGCTGTGATTGGTTCTTTAAATGAGGATGCAGAGGGGACCATGGGGTCGTATTGTTGAGGTGGTGGGGGTGGTCCTTGGGGGGAATAAATTACCGTGGGGGGGCGGTCTATAAAAATTAATTAGTAATTATTTTTAGTATTTTTAATTGGTGATTAATTAAATTAATGATTAAAAAAATTACCATGGCGATTATTTTTAATCCGTTGCCTTGGTTCCTGGAATCTCGATTCCCCAGGAATTCTCAACCCACGTGGGGTGCGGATTAATTCGACGAGTTCATAGCCGGGAATTTCAGGGGGTGTGGTCTCCTCGCGGGAGTCCAGGAGGGGGTGTGACCGGGGGTGGGGCCAGGCCGTGGCAAGAGTAAGAGTTAAGAGGACGAGGAAGTGCTGTATTTTTTAAAGAAAAAAAATTGTTGTCATGGAAATGTTAATAAAATTTTAAAAACTAAAAAAAAACTATCCCCATGGAAACTAAAAATAATCACCTTCATGGTAACGAATCTCTATGGAAACTGATCACCAAGTTCCTATGGCAACCTGAATTTATACACTTTTGAAGTGAAGATGAGATGATTTGCTATTTGGATTATGATGAGAGAGAAATTTGTAAAAGTGAGATTTTACTTGCTTGATTGAATATCCGTGTCGCGTGGTTACTCTTTTTTCTGTAGTAACCATAGTTACCAAATTTGGTTGCTATGGATAAATTTGTCATGCTACACATTTCCATGGAAATGAAATCATAGAAATAAAATAATCATAAAAAAAATCTCACTTCCAGCGTTTCCATAGAGAAACCCCGATTCAAAACTCCCGCTCTTTTTTCCCTTGACTTAAATCACACTCGACACTCAAACACGACGATAAAAACAACGGCATTTTTATCCCCACAATTTTATCCCCCAGAAAAATTTACAAAACTAAAAAATGACCTCCCCCACGACCACTAATACGCAAAATTCCATGACGACGCTGTTCGCCTGTTCCCGTTGCTATTCGCGACATCCGTTTGAAGATTTATCCGCTGGACAGCAGCTTTGCAAGGTGATTTTTTATTTAATTTTAAAATTGTTGCCATGACAACTAAAATTATAAATCTCCATAGAGCTGCCGAACATCGTATCCTTATTGTAAATGCACCTACTGCCGAACGGAATTCCAACAAACCTCAAAATCCACGACGCACCCCACGTGCGCGAAATGCTCGTCTAACGTGAAGACTTATGGGAAACCGCAAAGTTGTGTTTATTGCAATATTATCGCGGCTTTCATCGGGAATAAGTGTCAGCGGTGTACGAATTCGGAGAAGAAGTATGGTTTGCCGGTGGGGTGCGAACAGTGCAAAATGCAGTGCGCTTTTGACAGGGGGGAGGAGGACAAGAAGGTTGGAGCGCTTTTATCCTTGGGCGCTTTTTTATGTAGTGGCGCGCTGTTTATAGTTGCGCTAATTTAATTGCTGTTATTTTCTCCGCAGGTCGATGGAAAACTGCTCTGCTGGCTGTGCACCTTGTCGTATAAGCGCGCTCTGGCAAAGACTAAATCCAGCGAGAAAATCAGCGGCGCGAGTGGGGGTGGCGGCGGGAGAAAGCGGTGAGTTTTTGAATTTTTTTAATTTCCCACGGAAAATTTAATTTTTTTATAATTTCCTAGGAAACACGGCCACACCCACCCATCATCAAACCTCTCCTCTTCCACGCACCCCTCTTCAAACCCCACCCACCACTCTACTTCCTCCACCCACCGTGACCACACCCACTCGTCCTCCTCCAACCACCCCTCCCACCAGCACCATTCCTCCCAAGACAAGCGCCCCCACCGCCCTGACGTCACTAAATTGTCACATGACGTTCCTACTTCCTCCTCCTCCCCCCCACCCCAGTTATCTACAAAAAAAGAGGGGGGTGGGAAACTCATGATTTTGAACGAGGAGCACAACTGTTCGGATCACATGGTCGCGCTGACTCAGTTAAAAGAACAGATCGCGGGGCTCAATCGGCAGGTCGCGCTCAAGGACAAGGAGTTGCTCGCGAAGGATAGGCAGGTTAGGGGCGCTCAGCTGCGCTTTAATTATAATTAATTAATTGCAATTAATGATTAAAATTAAATTAAAGATAACCGACCTGAAAGCGAACAACTTCACCACTGAAAACGAACTGCGCTCCAAGCTCAACCAAGCGCAGCGCGACTATGACGTGAAGGTTCAAAACATGAGCGCGAAATTAAAAGCGCTCCAAAAAGAACTCGCCGCGAAGAGTAAACTCGTAAATAATAATAATAAGATAAATGAGCGCGGAGAGCGCGACCGCGACCGAAGCGACCTTCGCGCGACCAAATCCAGCCTAACCATCGTTGGTCGCGCGCTGAAAGAAGAGATAACAAAAAACAGTGATAGCGACGATGAAGCGAGCAAGGGGAGTGCCTCCGGCGGGGGGAGTGGTCGAAAAAGTGATGAAGATTGATTTTATTTTTTGTATATGCTATATTTTAAAAAGAGATAATAAAAAAATGGTCGTCATGGTTACGTGGGTTTTCGTGTGTTGGCATGGTTACTAACCTTGAACTTGAAAGTAAGAGTTTTACTTTCATATTTTAGGATAGAGAGATATAATAAAAATGGTTGTCATGGTTTTTGGATTAGTTTTATTGCGACGGTTGCCGAGGGAACATGTATTTTTCTGTTTTTATCGTGGGTGTGGTGGTGAGTGCGGTGGGGGGTGTGACCCTGGTTCCTAAGCAACAAGTGCACCATGCAAAGTACAATGCCGTGGATTTTAAGCCTTCAACGGATTTCACCATGGAAACGGCCGCGAATCAGTATCCATCGCAACAGAATTATTATGAAAATTCGTTTCCTAGGAAACCGCAACAACAGCAACATAAGCTCCGCCCACAATACCCTCAACAGCAATCACTGGAAAAACTCACGTCCTCCGAGGAACGTGAATTGGAAGAGGAGGAGCAAAAACCGGATCGTCTCCAGGAATTAATGCTCAATTCAAAGTTTGAATGTGGTGGGAAGAAGGTGGGGATTTTTAATTGGTAATTTTAATTGGTGTTTTTAATTATTGATTAAAATTACCGATTAATTTCCAGGACGGTTACTATGCCGACGACACGCTGAATTGCGAAGTATTTCATTATTGTCAGGATGGGGGCAAGCATTCCTGGCTGTGTCCTAACCAATTTGCTTTTCATCAGGTAATTCACTATTTTTTCGTTGCTATACCAATTATTTTTTGTTGCCATGACAATTATTATTTTTACTAAATCGCGTTACCATGACTTTTAATTTTTTTTCTATTATCACAAACTTTCCACAAACAATTTCCCCTAAGAAATCATTCACCCATGGCAACACAAAAATATTTATATTTATTCACCCATGACAACAACTTTCTCAACAGTAACCATGGCAACTAATAATAACAATAAATTGTGTAATAGATCCACCTAATCTGCGTGCCCCCCTCGTCGGATTTTCAATGTCAGAAATCATCGGATTTCCACTTTGTGAATGATTATTTGTACAAACCGATCAATTCCAAACAGGCTGCGGCTTATAATACGTCATTGAAATATGCGGATCGATTTTTCCCCGAGGGGTTCGGGGGGGAAAATGGGAACAGGGAGGTTGTCGGAGGTCACGCGAGTGGGGGTGGGGGTGGTCAGGGGGGGAAATATTTTGCGAGTAGTGAAGAGGGGGAGGAGGAAGAAGAGTATAGAAGGCCCCAACAGCAGCAACAGCCGCAGCAGCAATTTCAATCACCTAGGCAACCACACCCACAACAGGCACACCCCCCACGACAGCAGCCACACCCACACCCCCACCCACAAAGCTACTACACCTCCCCCTCGGAGATAAACATCCCCCTCACCTCCCGACGACCCATCCCATCCAACAAATTAAACTCTTTCCGACCTTCCCCGCAAATCGTCAATAAGGCCAAAGAATTTTATTAATTTGTTTCTAATTATACATTTAAAATATATATATTTTCAGGACGTGTTAGTAATTTTATTTCCATGACAACCAGTAATAAAATGAGTTTCCATGACAAAAAAATATTTATTTCCATAACAACGTTATTTACATATAATACTGATTATTTGCATAAAAATATATAGGAATTTTTCAGTGGAATTTATATACATTTTTTTCGGGAATAAAGTTTCCAGAAATATATATTTTTTCTCGGAAATTTATGAAAAAATATACTTTTCACGACTCCTCTTTCTTCTTGATAATTTTCCTATGAACCTTTTCAAACTCTGAGCTCGCATCTCGCGCGGCCGCGGCTGCCGTGCCCTCCGCGGTCGCTAAATTATTGTCCTTATCAACGAAATAATGATTGTCGTCAATGTATCGTTTCCGCTCGGTTAAGATCTTATCGAAATCAGTGGATACTTCGGGGGGCGAAGAGGATGAGGCAGCGGCTTTCGAACACTTGATTTTCTCCAGGGCCTTTTGTAACTCGGTCTTTTTGGAGAGGGGGGAGGTCCCTCTGTGGAAATTGGGATTTTTATTAATTTGGTTTCTATAGAAATAATTCAGTTTCTATGGATTCGAAAATATTTATGCAGTTTCCATGGAAAAAAATTATTTAGATTTTTTATTTAGTCAGTAAGAATTGAAATTATGCAGAAAATATTATTTCCATGGAAATAAAAAATAAAACCAAATTTATTTTAATTTAAAACTTATTGCTTGGTTTCTATAATAATTTAGAAAAATTTCCATGGAAAATCAGGGAATTTTAGTTTCCAGGGAAATTATTTATAAAAAAATTAACGTTTCCTTAGAAATAAAAAGTATTTCCATAGAAATAACTTAAAACAATTCAGTTTCCATGGAAACAGTCCAAAAAACCACTAGTTTTAGTTTCCATGACAAAAAAATCCCTAACAAAAAACCCCACCCCCCCCCCCCCCTCACTTACATTTTCTGATTGAACATCAACTCCCTGTGTAGCTCCATCCTCGCTTGACTTTCCTTGACGGGATTTTGTAATTTTTTAGGTTGAATTTGTTCCTCTGTTTCCATGGCAATTTCCGAACTACTCACTCGCGTCGTAATTTTCTTTACACGCGGAATTATGACCATTTTTTGATTTTGCGACATTTTCCAAAATAAATAAATAAATCACTACGACGACAAAAACAACGATAAAATCACCATGGCAACCAGTTATTTATTCACCCTTCACAGAGCAACATATCCCTTGAGGAGATTTTATTGTTCCCACGGTTACAAACTATTTCCAGGGGGCGTGTATAAATCACGGAATTTAAGTACCAATTAATACATAACCGTTACCATAGAAATAATTTAATAATTAAAAAAATCCCCCACCCCCAAAATAATGAAAGCTCCCTCCCAATCCACAATCCATAAAAAAATCACCCTCTACTCTTCTATACGCTCCACCTTTATTTTTTACTCACTCGCAACTCCTCGCATACACACAAAAATTGATCTCCAAACACAAAAATTACAAATAAAATAACCATGACAACCTAACGATCTCTCATAAAAAAATGTCCGTAGGAACGCTGTTGGACCAGTCGTCGCGCGTGGTCGCGGCGCTGTATCCTTTTCAATTGATTGAAGAACGTTACAAAATAATTCCCGAACCCGTGCAGCGGAAAATCATTTATTACGCGTTTCCACGGCAACTCAAGGAAATTTTAATCTATAGCAACTATTTTAATGATGAGGAAAAAGAGTGGAGGGGGGAGTTGTGGGAGGTGAGTAAGGTGTTGCAGGTGGGGTTTTTGCTGAGTGGGAGGGTCACGAGTGGGGGGAGTGGGTCAGGGGAGGATGTGAGGATCCATTTTGACAGGTGAGTATTTCCGTGGTTACTTGTTTGATAGGTTTTGCCAATTTTTAGAGGGTGCTAAATTTTTTGCCAAAAAGTGCCAAAATTGGCATAAAATTTGGCATTTTTTAGCGTGCCAATTTTTATCACGCCAAAATTTATGCCAATTTTGGCATTTTTTTGGCACGCCAAATTCCTCTGCCAATTTTTAGCACGAAATTTGTGTGTTAAATTAAAATTTAAAAATGTACAAATCTCCATGGAAATTAATAAATGTTCTTAATATAGTAATAATAAAAAATTCCAGTTGAAAAAATCCCATGGAAACTATATTTTACATAAATTTCCATGGTTACTATTTATAAATCCCCATGGAAACAATTTACCAAATCTCCATGACAACTAAAAAACCTTAAAAAAATTCCAGATGCAAGATAACCTCCATATCCTGTACGTGCACCTCCTCCCCGTCGCACCCCCCGCCGACGACGCCCTCTAAGAAAACCACACCCACTCTGGACAAATTAATATTTTGGTGTGATCACGTCGTCGCCTTGGCAATTTTCAGAATTCAACACCCTCAAAAAATCGAATTGAGGGTTCCTATCAGCGGTAATTATTTCCATGGAAACTAAATTTATTTTTCCATGGCAACTATAAAATAATATTTGTTAAATAAATTCCATAGAAACGCTCCAAACCCTGACGCGCCCCCAGCTCCAAAAACTCGTTCAATATTTGCTCCATTCGCATCCTTCCGTGTTGCCATCGACGCAGAATTTGGCGGATAAGCTCTTATCGAATAAAAATGAGATAAATTCCATACACGGAGCGCCGGATATCACGGCGGGGGCTTCCACGGGGGATGAAAATTCGTGGGCGTTCAATGAGCAGAACATGGCGGAATTGATTAAGGATAATGTTTATGATGAGGGGAGGTTAGAGGGGGTCGTGGGGGGGTTGTTCAAGAAGGTGAGTAATTTTTTTTAATTCCATGGGAACGGGAAATTTAGAATGTGGTGTTTCCATGGAAATTCAACCACAATAATTCCATGGAAACGGTAGCTAAATTTCCATGGAAATAATTAGAATATCGTTTCCATGACAACTTTCTCTAATTTCCATGGAAAAATATCGGAATTTATTTTATTTCCTTGGAAACATTTCATAATTTCCCATAGAAATGATAAATTAATCCATATCTCTAATTTCTATGGAAACACATTAAAAATCTCCATAGCAACAAAATAAATTATTTCCATGACAACAACTAATAAAAAATCTCTATGGAAACAGATCCACACGATGACCTACAACTCGGACACCAACGCCCCCCGGATCCTCACCCTCCTCACCCAAACGATCCTCGAGAACAAACCCCCCCACCGGACCTCCCTCTGGGACCAGATCCACACCCTCTGGCAAATCACCGTCATGTCCCCCACGAAAACCATCCCCCAACGCGACGCCCTCTACACCAAACTCCTGACCCAATTCACCTCCTCCCCCAACATCCCCCTGGACGAGAACCACACCCCCCTCTTGAAAAAATGCCTCACCCTCCTAAAAACAGACTACTCCAAAAAAACCTCCGACCTCAAGCTAAACACCCTCCGACTGCAATCCCTAAATTGTTACCATGGTTACCAAAAACAGACCTCTCAACTCGCGCTGAAAATCTATAAAATCACGAAAAAATTAGAGAATTACGAATTGGATTACGATTTAGCGAAAATAGTTTACAACGTTTTGCAGCGGGAAAATTTGGATTTAGCGGGGGAATTTGGCTTACTAACTCTCGCGCAGAACCGCCAAATTCCAAATTCCCTTTACTTACAAGAGAAATGGCTGAAAAACGAAGAATTATTCATTCAAAATTTGAAAACCCCTCCATCCGTTACCATAGAAAAATACATTTCTCTATTTCTCTCAAAAACCTACACTCCCAACATCCTCCCCCTTTACAATTTCGCTAAATTTCTCTACAAAAATAATCCTACTTCCCAGTGTTTCAAATTGGCTGTTAAGTATCTAAAACTCATCCCACCCACGAGTTTCATCACGACTCAGTTAGAAAACCAGCAAGTTAACCTCACTTTATTGCTAATAAACACCTCTAAATTATCAAAAAAAGACCTGGACACGATCCTCGCCACGCTATCAACTAATATAAAATCCATCTCGTGTCTCTTCCGGATCGCCCAGGAATCCTCTCGTTTGGAGGAAACTAATGCTAATTTACTCAATTTTAGCTTTAATCTTGGATTGCACGTGCTGAAATCGACGTTAAAATTCAATCACCGGAAGCGATGGGACATTGTACGATGGGTCATGAATTCGAGCCTCATCTGCGGGTGGATCCAGGTTTTGTATTTATTGACCAATTGGGGGGATTACTTTACACCGAATGAGGCAGTGGGGACCTTGGCGAGGGAATTTCTCACGAGGGGGACCAGTTTGAGGTTAAATTTGAACTTCGCGCAGCAACAGAGTTTAGGGGAGGCGGCGAGGCAGGTGGGATTGGGGGGGATGCGGGTGGTAAGTAAGGATTTTTTTTTTGGTTTCCATGGTGGCAATGGGTTAATAACTCGAAAATAATAATTTTAGGACCCTGGTAACTGCTCCCTGAACGCCCTGACAATCTGTGAATCCGACCCGGTCTCCTTTGAAACGGCGTATCAGATCATTTTAGAAGCTGCAAAACAGCAGAATTTACTCAACTGCCAGCAGATTTTCACTATTGCGAGGTACATGGAGCATCGGGGGTATCCCCTGAGGGCTTATAAACTGGCGGCGATCGCCATTGGGCATCTCCACATCCCTTTCAATCAGGTGAGTCGTCACCCGGGGAGGCACGGGCTTATTTGCTAGTAATTAAATTTTTAAAAAATACACGGGCTTACTAACCAGTAAATAAAATCCCACACAGGAAACCCACTCCTCGATCTCGGACATCCACTGGACCTGCACCCTGGCCCAAAGCCTCGGCGACACCGAGCTCTCGAACCTGCTCCCGGTGATAATCTCCAATATAAAATGCGCTTCGGTATTATCCGAAATTTTAAAACGAGCCGCGATGGAGCCCCCTCGAAAATGTCACCGGAACACAAACAGCACTTGTAAAATATATGCAAGATTGAAATTATTGGTTGAGGCTACGATAAATTCCTATGTGACGACGATCCATAATCGACTGGCGCACATCTCGCCGCGACATTACGCGGATTTTATCGAGTATTTGGGGAAAGCCAAAGAGTGTTTTTTATTCGCACCGGAGGGGTTGGGACAGTTTAGGAACGTTGTCCAGGGGATTAAAAGGGAGTACAAGGGGAAGAAGAAATTGGTGGTGTTGGTGGGGGAGAGGTTTGGCTAATTAATTTTTTGGGGTTTTTTTTAGGGGAGAGAAGAGACTGATTTTTTTATACATTGTAAAAGGTTTTTTGTATAAATTGTAATAAAATTTTGTGCAGAAAAATGAGTTTCAAGACGGGCTTTGGTACTAGTTTTTTTTTGACACAGACTTTTATTCACCCGTCGATCTACGGGCTTTTCACTAGTTTTAAAAAACAAAATCACTTTATTACAGAGAAAAACGAATTAATGACCCCCTGAAAACTCCCCGGCGTGGGAAAATTCATTAATTGGCGGGCAAATCCTGACGGTCATCTCGGCCAAAGGTTCCAATTCCTTTGCGGAAATTAAATTAAACTCGGAAACGAAATAGTAAAAATGCTTGTAACACGTGTTCACGTGGGCTTCCTGCGGAAATTATTTTTTTTAATAAATATTTTGGTTGTCATGGAAATGGAATTTTTTTAAATTAATTAAATTACCGCCCCCAACGCCACGATTCCTGGAATAAAATACATTTTTAGAAATTTTTGTTGTCATGGCAACAAAATAAATAAAACTCACTGTCGAAATGGTGAATGTAGACGTGTACGAAAACGCGGAAAAGCCGCGTCAGGATCTTTCGGCAAATGGATTGGAAATTTTTCGGGAACGGGTTTTCTATGGAAACCGGGAAATTAATTAAAATATGGAAATAAAAATCTCATCGTTGCCATGGAAACTCACCGGTGCTGGTGGGGAAGACGTTTTCATTATTGATTTGGCTTTCGATCCAGTCCATGAGCAAGGCGACGTAGCGTGGGGCCGGCAGCTGGGTGGGTTTTTTATACTCGGGCGTCGAGGGGTCCGCCCACAAATACTCGAACTTTGGGCCCCCAGACATTTTGGGGCAGGTTTTTTCTACGGATTTAAGGATTTCTGTTGTCATGGGAACGGGGTTTTTTAAAAAAGAATTTAAATACCTGTGCAGTAATCACAAACGGTGCCGTAAATTAGGTTTATCCGGTTGAAAAAGTCGACCACTGTGGAGAGGTTTTGTCATGGAAATTAAATTAGTTGTCATGGAAATTTAAAAAATCAGTTGCCACGGAAACACGAACCATGAACGGCTATCCAATCATTCAGATCTTCCCCCTTTGGTAACTTTACGGCTTGCGCTAAATTAATTCCCGAATTTAGCGAGGCCTGCGCCGCTTTGTGAAGTCCGTAACGGAGCGTCCCCGGTTCGAAACGTTTCTTGGGGCGGAATGTCTATGGAGATTTTATTTATTTTTAAATTTATTTCCATGGAAACGGATACAAAATTTAGATAACAATTTCTATGGCAACCTTTTCCTTTTGAAAAAAATCTAAAAATCCTTGGAGATTCATTGTTAATTAATTTTTAATTAACTATTTAATTGTCCAGCCATTTCACACTCCCAAAAAAATAAATAAACAATTTCCTCCTTTTTTTATTATTTCCTCGTTCCCGTTCCCATAACAAACTCCACGGCGGGAAATTCAAATCTCCATAGAAACTCACCATATTTACAATCTTTCTAATTTTTAAAATTCAATAAAAAAATGTGAAAATAATGGAAACCACGGAAACGACGAGCTCGACGAATTCCACCCTGGTTTCCATGGAAACGACCCCGACGGAGACAAGTCTGAAAAAAGACATTGAAAGATTTGTGAAATTTTTCTTGATAAAATCGACGCAAGTCATCGTCACCTCGCGGATCAATGGGGGCAAGAAGGTCAAGACCGAGTGTCGACTGCCGAACAGTCTTCAGTTGGCGGATTGGGTGGGGTTTTGAGTTTTTTTTATTTCCATGGTTACTTGGTTTAAAAAAATATTTCCATGGTTGCTTAAAGTTTTTAATTTCCATGGTTACATATTTTTTTAAAAATATTTCCATGGTTACTTAAATTCTAAAGTTTCCATCTTTGATCTAAAAAAAATATTTCCATGGATACTTATTTTTTTATAAATTACCATGGTTACTAAAATATTTCCATAAATCCCACAGTTCAACCTTAACATCCCCGACGAGGAACCCCCACCACCCCTCCCGCCTTCCACCCCCCCAGGAACCACCCCACCACCCCTTCCCCATCGCACCATCCTCCAAAACCTCCACCCCCATTTAGGAAAAACCCTCCCCACCTATTCAGTCACCATAGAAACGTACCTAACAACGGAGGATTTAACGATTCCCCTGGAAATTTGGAGGTTCCTTGTCGACGCCGGGAATTTACAGGTTTGTTTCCATGGTTACCAAAAATAAAACCGTTGCTATGGTTAAAAACCCCAAAAATTAATATTTAAAAAACCGTTGCCATGGAAACAATTGCAGTCCCCCCGCGACGTGTACAACATTTACAGCCGCCTGGGACTCACGATAAGATCGGTGCTTTGTTTAACCCGAACCATGCCGGGATACAAAATTGCTCGAAAGTCCGGTCCCGACGTTGCCATTGGTTACGAAATTAAATCGGATTTAACCGATGAGGATTTTACGGATGAGAAAATCGCGAGTCTTTTGGGGGAGGGATTTAAAAAGGCTTTCCTGGGGCAGGTATTTTTTTAGTTTTTTTAAAATGTTGTTGCCATGGTAACTAAGTGAATAAATAAATAATAATCACAGCAGGACCCCGGGACCACACCCACGGATGACTCCTCCTCCCCTTCGGGGTCCAACACGACTTCTGTTGTGACGTATATATTTCATCGGACGAAAATGGAGCTATTTACCTCGCAGAAAGAGAGTTTATTAATAAAATCGGATCACTATGGGGATGGGATGGTTGCCATGGAAACGAAAGCCAATCAAGTTCGGCCCGCGTTTGGGAGTATGGATCAAATTATTAGAGTTGACTGTGATGAGGGGGAGGAGGAGGAGGATGATTTCTTCAAGATGCTCAGGGTATGGGTTTTTTTTTTGGTTGTCATGGTAACTGGATAATATTTTTTTCTGTTTTTTTAGCCACCCCCCTCGACCCCACCGCAGAGCGAAGAAACAATCATTGTTCCCACCACCACACCCACCCCAAAACTCCCCCCACCCCCACCCCTCCCCCCACAGTAACCATGGCAACCAACAACCCCACCCACATCATAACCCTCCCATTTGCTACGCATTTCCCATCACCAAACCCCTTGGACACGCGCCACTCCCACTCCACACCCACCACGACGACGAACCCCACCCACTCGACGAATTCCTCAAACACTTCCGAGTCTGAATTACTAAATTTATTTGAAGAATTCCGGATCGCCCCGGTTACGCTGCAAGCTTTTGATGAAAATTGTAACCATGACAACCAGGCGGGCGTGTTGTTAGAGCAATTCGAAGGGGAAATTGGTTTCTATGAGGATTTCTTCGGGAAAACTTTGTTGTGCGGGGAGGAGTGATGTATTTTTATTTTTATTTAAATAAAATATCCATGGTTACAAAATGTTTGTTAATAATTTCCATGGTTACTTGTGTAAAACATATCCAACGGCATGTGGAGAAGGGGGAGGAGTTGTGGTAACTGTGGTTCTGCAGAAAAAAAAAATATTTACCATGGAAACGTAAAAAAAATCACCATGGTTACCATTGAAACTATTGATGAATCCGTGTCTGACTAAAAAATCCAAAATCACGGGGCATGAGGTTGTTTTGAATTTTGATGATTTCACGATTTCCATGGCTTCCTAAAAAAATTATGTAACCATGGCAACTAAAAAATAAAAATGGTAACCATGGCAACCATACCTCAACTGTGACCAAAACAAATCCCTCGACTTCTCCGTCATTATTCGAAGGTTCGAAATCTTCACTCAATTCAAGGTCAAAGACAAATTCAGTGTTCGGAAATAGTCCGTAATTCGACTCGTAAAAAAAGCTAACGGCCCCGGCGGGTTTCAAATTTTCCATTAAATAATCGCTCGGAATCGAGGCTTCTTCCGAGGATTCCTTCGTTGCCGTGGTGATTATCGTGTTTTTCGTGGAGAGCCCACCCCCGACCTGTGTTTTTATGGAATTAGTTGCCATGGAAACAAAAAAAAATAAATTCATATACCAAATTATCGAAAAACCCCGGCCACATTTCCCTATTTCCGGATCTTTTCTGTAACCATAGCGACAATCCACTGGGTTTTCTGACAAATCCGTTGACATGGACACCGAATTGTCGGAGGCCGAAAAGGGGGGTGGCCGAGCGGTCGAGGGTGAAAAGGGGCGGAGTTGAGTCCGAGGTGTAGTGCGAGCCGGGTTTTATCTCAAAGTTCTGCATAGAGATTTATTATTTTTAGTTGCCATGGTTACTAAATTTTTATTTTAATCACCTCCCCCCGCCACGTTTTGTCCAGGTGGAAAAGTCCCTTTTCTTTCCAGTCGAGGAGGATTTCATGGAAAATTTCGGTGCGTTTTTCCGGATTTTTTGGGGTGAATTCCAAGTTTTTGTTTCTGAGGATGAAATGTGGTTGCCATGGGGATAGGTTTTCTAGGATTTGGGGGGTTAATAAACCGATCACCACGTGGGGGGTGGAGTTTCCCTGGGGGATGGTGAGGCGGGTGTAGCCCGGGGTGGTGGCGGGAGGGGTTTGGAGGTGTTCTGGGAAATTATAAAAAAATTATATAGTTTCCATGGTTACTTTTTAATTATAGAAATTATAAAAATATATATTTATACATTTAAAAAATATATAATCAAAAAATTCCATGACAACCAAAAAAGAAAACTCACTGAAATAAAAATTATTAAACCCTTTGGCCAATTCGATAATTTTACTATTATTTCTCCCCATAACAATTATTTCTATGGAAACCTAAAAACAATTTCTATGAAAAATTCCCCCACTCACTCTTCTCCCAGTTTCCATGGAAAATTCAAACCAAACCGTTTCTCTCATCTCATCCGCCGCCGCTCCCGAGCGATTCCGACTGATTCCACAATAATTTCCACAAAAACATATCTCTCCTCACCAAGGAAACACACCTTTTTTATACAAAAAAATTAGTAACCATGGAAATAACCCACCTGACAACAATAATCTTATTCCTGACAACCCTAACAGTAACCATAGCAACCACTCCCCCAACCCCACCCAACACCCACTGCACTGCCGGAGCCCTGTTCCTCTCCCTGACAACGTCCCTAACTTATTCTCAAGAATTCCAGTACAACTGCTCGGAAACGCACCTCCAATTAAAATTAAAGAAATTAAAATCTTCCAAACCGGATCCTTTCGTTTCTTATTTTATAAGACCGAATTCTAAGAATAAACGAAACACGGTTGCTAAGCAACAGGAAGAATTCGGATCCGGTAACTATGACGACGACGATGAAGATTCCGAGGATTCTGAAGAATTACCTGAAAATTTCCATGACGACGAAGAAAATGAAATATTTCCATCGATTCCTTCAGAAAAATCGTTTGAAATCCCCATCGAACCGACGCCTTCAATAGTTTCCATGGCAACGAGTCACGTGGTTACGACGACCACGCCCATTTCCATGACAACCACACCCCCAACGACAACAACGACAACGACAGTATTACAACATTTCTACAGCTCCTCCATAAAACCTGACCACGTTTACATCGGATCCGGAGACTACATCCTAGCAACGCCCGTCGTTTCCATGGAAACCACGACAACTACTCAAGTTTCCATGGAAAAAATCATAAAAAAACTGCCAAAAAAAGTATTAAATTCTGGTGTTAAGTATGAAGAAATTATCCACGCGAGTTGTCATGAAATTAAACCGGCGTTGCCATGGATACAATTGGTTAATAGTCGGAATAATACGAAAATTTTAGCGTTGCCAAGCAACGAGGAGATTTCCGATTGGGAATTTGAATTAATTTGTGAAAATAATTCGGTTGTCATGGAAATTTATTTTTCCGTTCGGCAACGGCAACGTTCGAGAAATTGGAATCATTTGTGGAGGGTGGAGTTTGGAACGGTGGAAAGGGGGCTCAGGGAGTTTGTGGGGTTTCTCGAGGGGGTGAGGAGGGGGGGAAGGGGGGACCATTCCCCGGAGGATTTGGTCGTTGTGGGGGTCAATTTGAGGGAGTTTCCTTTTTGGGTGGAGTTTGTCAATGAGTCGATCGTGGTGGAGGGGGTGGGAATGGGGGGGTAAGTCACGTGGTTACTTAATTATTTCCATGGTTACGAAATTTTTAATTTCCATGGCAACTAAAATTTCTTTTAAAAATTACAGATGCCCCCTGACGACGCTGAACGCGACCTACTCAAAACTAAAAAATCTCCATGGCAACCATTTCCCCCACACTTACAAAATTCACAGCTTGACCTTAACACCGTACCCAGGCCACACCCCCTGCGACAAAGACTCCCTCCTCAGCATAACAACCACGAAGAAAACCCCCACGACCACCCCCACCGTGAACTTCCCCCCCTCGATAAAGAACCAAATCGACAAAATCAATGGAAAAGTGGGGTCATTTTTGGTGTACAAGATTCCGAACGATTTTTGCTACGATCCTGAAGACGGAGATAAAGTGTTGTTAAGCTTGAAAAAATTGGAAACGTTCGAAAATTTCCATGACAACTTTTGGCTGCAGTTTGACGGGAAAAATAACGAGATTTATGGGCTGCCCATGGAAACGGGGGAAATCGAGGGGGTCGTGGTCTGTGGGGACAGGGGGGGTGAGTAGTGCTATTTTTTGTGTTGTTGCCATGGGAACGGATTTTTTTAAAAATATCCATGGAAACTAAATAATTTAATATATCTATAATTTAATATATGTTACCATGGCAACTTAATTAATTTCCATGGCAACGGATTTTTTTATTTCCATGGCAACTTAATTAATTTTTGTATCTTAGGAAGGACCTCCTTCGACTCCATCACAATCTCAATCGCCCCCCAACCCCCCCAAAATTACTCAGCAGAATTCTCCCTCCACTTCACCTCCTCCCCCTGGACCCCACCCACTGTTCGGAAGTTCATCGATAAGCTCTCCTCCCTATTATCCCCCTCGATGATCGTCAAGTCTCATACGCCCCCCACAAAAAACTCGACCCACATCATTTTCAAGTGGTTGAACTCTTCCAATCCGACTTCGGAATACGAGTTAAACGAAATAAGGAAGATTCTCTGGTCGGAAGAAGGGGGGGTCAATCGGGGGGTGAAGAATTATTTCGCTCCAGAGTTTAATTTGAGTGATTCCGGGGGGGTTGTCCCCATTGGGGGGGTCCTGCTCGGGGGGGCGACCCCTGTGGAGGGTGGGGGCAAAGATAAGCAGGAGTTTGATTTTGGAACTGGGGGGGTTAGTGGGGGGACCGGGGGGGTCGAGGGGACTGGGGGGGATGAAGAGGAGGATGAAGATTGGAGGGTGTGGGTTAAGGAGGGGTAAGCTTTTTTAATTTTATTATTTTCAGTAACCATGGCAACTAAAAAAATAATAATTTAATAGAACTCCGTATCTAACGACGTACATCATCCCCTCGATATTAATCGCCGTGCTCTGTTTACTCTCGCTGATCGTGGCGTGTTACTTTGTCCGAAAAATCAAGGACTCCTCCCCCTCGGAAATGTCAACGTTCGAGAAAAAAATCGCGGGGGGTGTGCCCGTCATTTTCCAAGAGGAATTGGAACAGAGTTTGGTTGCTAGGCAACAGATGCAGCCTCAGGCGGAGAGACCCGTGAGACCGCCGAGTTACGTGCAGCAATCGGCGAGTGGTGGTGGGGGTGGGGGTCCTGGTGGGTGGGGCGAAGGGGGTGTGCCGTTTGGGAGTGTGGGGAGGGTTATGCGTGAGTTTTTATGTTTTTTTTTAAATATGTTGTCATGGAAATGTTTTTTTTTTGGTTGCCATGGAAATTAATTAATTATTAATTCTAGGCCCCCCGCACTACAACAAACCCCCACCAGCACCGATGCATAGCAACCCCCCTTCATATCCCGACCCTTATTCTTCCCCCAGTGGAGGGGGGAATAAATATCCCCCGTCATATCAACCACCCCCCGCGCTGAGTTACTATGGCAACCAACAGCAGCAGCATGGGATGATGATGAGTCAGCAGCAGAGGGGGCCGAGTGGGATGTATGTGCCTCCGTAAAAGTTGTGGGGGGTGGGTGAAAGTGGGTGTGGAAAGGGGCGTGGTTTTAGGTTAGGAGTTTTTGTAAATATTTATTATGAAATGTTAATAATAAAAAAAGTGTTTGTAGTCATGGAGATTTTTTGGGGTTTCATGGACTTTCATGAATTTTCATGAAGTTTATTTTATTTATAATTTGGCATGCCAAATCATGGTGTTTGCCAATTTTTGGCGTGATAAATTTTTGTGTGCCAATTTTTGGCATTTTTTTTGGTACACGCCAATTTTGGCGTGCTAAATTTTAGCAATTTTTTTGGCACGCCAATTTTTCGTGCCAATTTTTAGCATGCCAATTTTTGGCAATTTTTATTAGCACTCTGTCAAATCCTTCCAAATCCTTTTTTCTTAGATGAGGCCATAGTTACTATATGGAATAAAATCGTCTAAGTAAGCATTCACTACAGGTTTGAAAAGCTTAATTTTTTCAGATCTCCGTCAATTTCCAACCGATTTTAATGAAATTTTGCCCAGAGTTAATTATAGCTACATCGAGTAGAGCCCTGATTTGGCCGCCTGAAGCATCCAACGGTTTATGAGATATTCAATTGAAACCCAACCAATAGTGTGTTTTTTGGAGATTTGAAAAAATTTAAGGCATGTATGAAAAAAGTACACGGATAAAAAGTTGATACATATTTTCTATAAAAATACAAAATTAAAATAGACAAAATCGGTTTAAAAGTGAGAAAGTTTTGATGGTGGTAAAAAACCACTCCCACCACCGCCCAAAGTTGAGTTGCTAAGGTCGACCCAGCGACTTCTCAATTCAGAACCCATTTAGTATCTAGGTGATGCTTAAATGAAATGGGGGCGCTGATGCTGGAAATATTAAAATTCTATGTCCTTGACTGGAGAAGAAATTTATTAAATACTTTTTATCGCACTTCTTAGTCTCATCTAAGCTTTCCTTTTTTGGGTTTCTTTTATTGTGTTCGTTAATTAATATCCGAGTTTTGAAAATGTGGGTTAGTTTGATCCTGAACGAGCGTGGTGAAGGGAACAGGGAAAAGAATTTGATAGTAAAAATTTAAAAATTCGTTAAAATGGATGACTGAACGATAGATCGTGTTTTTTCGGGTTGTTTGGTTGAAGAGTTGCCTCCCGTTAGTTCCAAAATTGTGAGGATTTTTACCAGTTCCACGTGAAATATGGGGAAATATTCTTAGAAACTGTACAAAAACAGTGTGACAATGAAGGGATTGAGCATCTTAAGGCATGTACATTTGTCGCTAAAATGATCGGAAGGGATAATTATTTGGCGTTTTTCTTATTAATTTATTTCCTTAGCTCTCATCCCAAGTTATTGATCCGAAATCCGCGGATCAATCCGAATCGGATCGGATTGACTGTTTGATCCGAACACCTGCTTAATCCGAACCGGATCAATCCCATGGCGTCATAATCCGATCCGATCCGACGGATTGCCACTCCTATGTGGGATGAATGGAACTATGGGAATTGAACTGAGTAATCCAGATTGAGAATTAATCATGAATTCGTAATCATGATTAGTAATCATGATTGGGATTAATCAGGATTAGTAATCCGTAATCACGATTATGGATTAATGAAATCAAATGGGATTATTCCCGGATTAATTCTAATTCCAGAAAAATCGGGATTATGGATTGGGATTAATCTACAAAAATCTCACATTGCCGGATTAGGGATTATGGATTAATAATCCATAATCCGGGATTAAAATCCATAATCCTTAATCAGGATTATCCCAGCTCTGCTCACGATAGGTAATTTTGCATGACAATTTCCATTTCCTTTCTATTCAATTTAATCCAAAGAGAACTTTCATAACCGGCGTTGAAGTCATCCAGAAATCGAGGGGAGAGAGATGCCCGCTAAACAGCTCTTCCAGCTCTCTCAGCCCTCTTAGCTCAGTCGCAGAGCGCCTGTCTCGTAAACAGGAGGCCGGGAGTTCAATTCTCTCAGGGGGCAGTTGCTTTTTGCCCTGGGGCTTTTTCTTTTACTAATTGGGGGGAGGGCTTTATTAGGGTATTTTTGCGTAGAGTTTGCTGATTTAAATAGCTTGAGAATGTAGTTTTTTTGCTATGCCAATTTTTGTGTGCCATTTTTAGCATGCCAATTTTTCGTGCTAAAATTTTGTGCCGATTTTTTAGCACGCCAAATTCTGTGCCAATATCGCTAGAAATTTGGCAAAAATATTGGCACGCCAAAAAATCAGCACGCCAATTTTTCCTCATTTTCCCGTTTTAATTTTTTCCTTGCATTTTAGTGTCTCAAATTTTGACTGCAACTCAAGATTTGCATTCTAATTTAATACTCCAATCGATTACCATTTAAATTACCAAAAATTTGATTGCCCAATAAAAAAACACTTTTAATCTCAAGACGCTTAATAATCTCACCTCTACTATAATTACTTTATTAGCTCACCCTGCGTAGCATGAGAGCTATTGAATTCCTCTTGTCCGTCTGTCTGTCTGTCTGTCTGTCCGTCTGTTAACGAGTTTTTTGCATCAATTGATGCTATTTAAAAATCCCCTTGACAATTATTGAATAAGTTAGGCGCACCATTGGTATTGAACAAACCGAATCGAATTTTTAATAAATTAATAGCACCGTTGGTATCTAACAATCGGTAACACAAAATGATGCGAAATAATTGGGGGATGGGATGCATAACGCACCAATAATGCATACTACTCGGCGGATTTTATTAGACAATTTTGACATAAATTTTTCAAAATTATCGTTGATCGTTGGTAGGATAATCTGCATCAGTGATGCACAATATTTGGACTTTCCTCGATGCATAATAATTATTGAGCTATATTGTTTAATTCGACTGCACCATTGGTGCACTATTGCATAAAAATTATTGATCTACTTTGTTGGATTTTTCTGCACCTTTGGGGCAAGTTATAACCAAATCATTATTACAGGGTGAGCTACTTCTAACGTTACTACGGTTTATTTTTAATTAATTTCCCATGGAAATCCAAAACTTCATCTCGTTTCCATAGAAATTAAACCCTTATCAGAATATTTCTATAGAAACCATCACATACATTAATTAAACAACAACCACCACCCCTACCCCCTAATAAAAAAAAGCTATAGAGTAACAAAAAAACTAGCAGCACCGTTACTATGACAACGCAAGAGAGAGATTGTGAAATAACAGGAAATGCAATGCGGCAATCTCACTCTTGTTAACGATTTATAGGTCACCACAGCAACTGCTTAATTTTTTTTTGTGAATATTAGTTTCACTCGAGCCGTCGCCATGGCCACCAACAGGAAGTTTAAGGAGGTATACTTTTATTTATTATTATGGAATTTTTAATTTTAATAACCATGGAAACTCTAAAAAAATCTCCATGGAAAAAATAGCTCATCCACCGCCACCGCACCCACTTCCTCGCCCACAAAACGAGGCCCTACTCTTTTCGCTTAAATCAACTAAAAAACTTACTCAAACTCTATGAAGAAAACAACGACTTGATCTTATCATCACTAAAAAACGATATGAATAAATCCAAATTGGAAGCTTATTTATACGAGGTGGATTTCATGAAAAACGACGTTCGCATGGCGATTAAATACCTGAAAAATTGGATGAAGGAGACTAAATTAAAGATGAATTTACTCATGCCGATGGACGATGCGGGGATCGTGGGGGAGCCGGAGGGGGTGGTCCGTAGTTACTAATTTTTTATTTTATTTCCATGGCAACTGAATTTAATAAAAATAAATTGCAGGTCCTGATATTATCCCCCTGGAACTACCCCTTCCAACTCACGTTAATCCCCCTCTGCGCCGCCATAGCGAGTGGGAACTGCGTGGTGATTAAGCCCTCGGAAATTTCCCCCCACTCTTCAAAAACCATAGCAACCTTAATCCCACGTTACTTGGATACGGATTGTTATTCCGTTGTTGAGGGTGGGCCGGACGTCGTGGGAGCGTTGCTAGAGGAGAAATTTGACCATATTTTTTACACGGGGAGTTTTACCGTTGCCAGGGAGATTCATCGAATGGCGAATAAATATTTGACGAAATGTACTTTTGAACTGGGGGGGAAGAGGTAATTTTTATTTTTTTGGTTGCCATGGTTACTTTATTTTTTTTATTTTTTATAGTCCAGTTTATTTGGACTCCACGGTGGACGTGACCATGGCGGCGAAGCGGATCATGTGGGGGAAGTGTATTAACGTGGGGCAGGTGGGCTGTCATGGAAATTTAAAAATTATAATATTGTTTCCATGGAAATTTTATATCCTATAGACCTGCGTGGCCCCTGACTACGTGATTTGCACGAAATCCATGGAAACGAAATTCTTGACCGCTGCTAAACTTGCGATGGACGAATGGTACGGACCGGACTGGAAAAAGGCTGAGGACCTGGCGAGGATCGTGAATTTGAGGCATTTCCATAGGGTTAAGGATTTGTTGCTGAGTGGGGGCGAGGTCGGGCTGGGGGGCAAGTGGGATGAGGAAGAGTTGTGGATCGAGCCCAGTGTTGTGGGTTAGTTTTTTTATTATGAAATAATTGGTTGCCATGGAAATTAATTTTTATAAAAATAGTAAACGTCAAGGAAACGGACAAAATAATGACGGATGAGATTTTCGGTCCATTGTTGGCAATTTACAACGTGGAGAGTGAAGACGAAGCGATTGAGTTTATCAATTCGAGGTATTTTCAGCGTTTCCGTGGTGATTTTTATTAAAAATTTAAAAAATTAAAATTGTAGACCCTCCAAACCCCTGTGTTTGTACGTATTTTCCGCTTCCAAGGCAACCATGAAGCGATTTCGGGACGAAACCCAGTCCGGAACCATGGCGTTTAACGACACGATCGTGCAATTTGCGGGTATTTTTAGTGGTTTTTTTATTGGAATTTTTAACTAAATTAATTAAAATTAGTTGACGAGCTGCCGTTTGGAGGAATTGGCGAATCCGGTCACGGATATTACCATGGAAAATTCGGATTCGATGAATTTACCCATTTTAAAGGGATCGTCTACAGGGATTATTCATGGATTGGGGATCAGGTAGAGTTGCTATAGTTACTAATTTTCGTTTCCATGGCAACCTATTAATATCTTTAAAATAATTGCAGGTCGGGATCTTCCGCTACCCGCCCTACTCCGCCTTGAAAATTAAAATTTTATCCTTTTTATTGTGCCATTGGAAGAAATTTAAATTTATCTATTTCGATTATTTCGGAGAGATTTTTCTGTTTTTAGCCGGGTTTTTCGTCGCCTGGTGGGTTTTTCAGTTGTGACATTTTTTTGTGTTTTTATAATTTCCATGACAATTATTTTTTTAAATGAAATAAATTTCCATGACAACAACTCTCTGTTTCCATGACAACCTCCTAAATCTCACCTCACCCTACCCGCGCAAATCCTTCCCTCCCTCTCTCTCCCTCCATCCAAAAATCCAACGGTCACTTTTTTCAGTCCACTCTCTGCAACTGGAGGAGCAACTTCTTCTTGTCAAGTAAAATTATGGAATTTCCATAGCAACAACAATTTTTAAACAATGAGTGAAGAAGTGTTTTTAGTGAATTGGATCCCCGAAGAGGAAATTGTTGTCATGGAAACGACGGAAGAAAAACCCGTTGTCATAACAACCACGAAACCAAAGAAAAAACAACAGAAAAAAATAAATCGTGGGAGGTGGTCACGGGATGAGGATGAAAAGTTGAAAAGGTGAGTTTTTTTAATTGTTGCCATGGTGACGATTTTATAAAAATTAATATATTTGCAGTTTAATATTAACCTCTTCGACGTCGGTGGTGGGGAATCCGAATTTTTCACAAATTTCTTTGGAGTTTCCGGATCGGTAAATGATTATTTTTAGGTTTTGGGAGGTTAATTAATTAAATAAAATTAAAAAAGGTCGGAGATGCAGTGCGCCACGCGATGGTGGAAAGTCCTGTCCCCCTCGTTGATAAAAGGCCAGTGGACCCCAGAGGAGGATTCTTTAGTGATTTCTTTAGTGGAGAAACATGGGGCCAAGAAATGGACACTCATCGCGAGGCATTTGAACGGGAGGATTGGGAAGCAGTGCAGGGAGAGGTTAATTCATTAATTTAATTATTCTATAGGAACTAATAACCAGTTATTAACCATATTAACCTCTTAATAAATAAGTAAATTAACCACTTATTAACCCCCCATTCAGATGGCACAACCACCTGAACCCTGACATAAACAAGCGTCCCTGGACGAAAGAAGAGGACGAAATAATCCTCAACGCCCACAACAAACTAGGGAACCAGTGGAGTCGGATCGCTAAATTTCTCACGGGCAGGACGGACAATGCCATCAAAAATCACTGGAACAGCACGATTAAGAGGAGGGTGCTGGGGGGGAGTGGGGGAGGTGGGGGGACTACAAGAGCCAAGGGTGAGTCGTTGTTAAGAGAGTGATTCTAATGGAAAATTTAATTAAAAATCGTGAATTTAGGCCGCCCACCCGGAAGGAAAAACAAAAAACAAGACCTGACGCAAGTGGTTAATCCAGAGCCTCAGTTTTTGGACTCGGGGTTCTTCGATGAGGAGTTTTCAGCGGTGAGATTAACCTTTTTCTGTGGAAATTAGTAAAGATTTTTAGTAATAATTTCTATTTTTTCCTGAATAACCAGCAGATCCACTCTACCCCATACCCCTCATCATCCACGAGCACCTCCACAAACTGGCTCCTCTCGCCCCTCCACCCCTCCCCCATTAACCCAATAAACACCAACCCATCCACCAGCCAACACTTCCTCATGTCCACCCCTCCCCACCCTCCTCACCATCATCAAAATTCCAACTCCTCCACACCAACTCCCCTGCGTCTCGCTTTATCCTCACTCTCCTCTCTCTTAGCATCGCACCCCAACTCGCCCCCAAAGTTAGAAGACCTCGCGGACATCCTCTCCAACACGAACACCCCTTCGGTGGAAACCCCCTCGCGCTCTTTAAACATCAAAACGGAGGATTTCTCCGACGTTGAGAACTATTTTGACTTTAAAACTCCGACGAGATACGATTCTTCCCCGTTTACGGACAAAAAGGTTAAAAAGGCGAAGAAAAGGATCGCTTTTTCGCCGCTGAAGGAGAAGAATTGTCAAATTGGTGGTGGGGAAAAAATTGAAAAGAAATTTTGGGGCGAGGATTTTGATGCTATTCAGTTTTTTAATTGATTGATTTTAATGGTGGTTATTTTTGTACAGATTTTTAATTGTTTTTTTGGTGGGGGAATAAATAAATAAAATTTGTCATGACAATTTAGTGTTTATCTGATTATTTTGGTGGCTGGGTTTGATTGGTTGGTTGGAATTGGGCAACGCCCTTTTCCTTTTCGTTGGCTGTTTTTCATTGGGTGAGTGGTTGGGGGATACGAGGGGTGCTTGATATATATTTTTATTTCTGTAGGTTTTTGAGGTTTTCATAGGATTATTTTGTTTTTTAAAATTATTTATAAATTTCCCCATGTGTAAAATAATCCTTAGGCACACCCCCTCTAAAAACAAACAAAAAACTACCCAGAAAACCCACAAAAAACAGTAAATTTAGAAAACATACCAACCACCCCTCGTGAAACCCTAACTCCGCCTCCGCATTCCCTCCAGCCAATCCAAATCGACCAGCACCGGTGAGCTGAATCGACTTGAACGAGCGTGTATTTTTTGTGGTCATTCTTCTCCAAGTTTTCTCCAAGTGAAGTCTCTCTCTCTCTCTCTCTCGGGAATTATGAATTTCAAATTACTCCTCGGGGTGTGTCTCGTAGGTGTGGTCAGCGGGGAGGTCTTTTTCCATGAGAAGTTTGACGATGGTAAGTTGGACAGTAATTTTAGTAGAAAAGTTCGGAAATAAGTGTTCCAATTTTGCAGACTCCTGGAGCTCCTCCTGGCTCACCTCCAAGCACGACGACAAGGTTTTCGGAAAATTCGAACAAACCGTGGGCAAGTTCTTTGGGGATGCGGAGGACAAAGGTAAATACTCTCTCTCATAAAAAGTAGTAAAAAAACTAATAACTAATTTCCACAGGAATAAAAACCACCCAGGACGCCCATTTCTACGCCCTTTCGACCAAGTTCCCCGAGTTTTCCAACGAAAAGAAGCCCCTCGTGATCCAATTCAGCGTGAAGCACGAGCAGAACATTGACTGCGGCGGGGGTTATATTAAATTGTTTGATTGTAACTTCGAGCCGGAGAAGATGCATGGCGAGACTCCTTATTTAGTCATGTTCGGACCGGACATTTGCGGGCCGGGGACGAAGAAGGTTCATGTTATTTTCAATTATGAGGGGAAGAATCATCTGATTAACAAGTGAGTTTAATTTTCTGACGTGTAATTTATCGCTAATTTATTAAATTAATCACTAATTTCTCTATCCACAGGGACATCCGCTGCAAGGACGACGTCCACACGCACGTCTACACCCTCGTAGTCGAACCCGACCAGACCTACCAAGTATTGATCGATGGTGACTCTGTCCAGTCCGGAAACCTCGAGGACGACTGGAACTTCCTCCCCCCAAAGAAGATCAAGGACCCAGAGGCGAAAAAGCCCGAGGACTGGGACGACCGTGCTACTATTGATGATCCAAATGATTCCAAACCCGAGGATTGGGAGCAGCCAGAGCACATTGCGGATCCGGATGCGACGAAGCCGGAAGATTGGGATGATGAGATGGATGGGGAGTGGGAGCCTCCCATGATTGATAACCCAGGGTTCAAGGGGGAGTGGAAGCCGAAGCAGGTATGGGATAGTTTTTTTTATGGGTGAGGTGTGTTTCTGGTGGAAATAACATAAGGAATTATTTATAGATCGACAACCCAAGCTACAAAGGCGCCTGGATCCACCCGGAGATCGACAACCCAGAATACAAGCCTGATTCAGAGATTTACCGCTACCCTGCGATTTGCGGGATCGGGTTGGACCTGTGGCAGGTGAAGAGTGGGACGATTTTTGATAATGTCCTGGTCACGGATGACGTCGAGTTTGCCAAGAAGGAGATTGAAAGGGTCAAGGAGGTGGTGGTGAGTACTTACTTTAGTGATTTTTTAGGAATTACCAGTTATTTATGCTAATTGACTGAATAACTCTACAGGAAAAGGAAAAGAAGATGAAGGAGCTCCAAGACGAAGAGGACAAAAAAGCCTCGGAAGCCGAGTCAGCCGCCGCGAAAGAGAAGGAAGACGACGAGGACAAGGATGATGAGGAGGAGGGGGCTCATGATGAGTTGTAGTCTTTAGTAGTGTGGTTTTTCTTGGTCTTTTTCTATTTAGTGTAAAGTCACGTGAGGTATTTATGAAATTGTTTTTGTTTTTGTGAGGCGTGGGGAATTTGTGGGGAACGGTTTATATAAATTTTTGTGAATATATTTGTTAATAAAAAATTGTAATATCATGTCGCCCCGAAGGAATTGCTGTGTGGTGTGGGATGGTTGAGTTTTTTTACGGATTGACACTTTCACTACAGGAACATCTGTCCATTAGTAGAGAGGAGAGATAATTAAATAGGGTCGGACCATTTTAAATGACTAAAAAATGGGTGAAAATCAGCGTTCTCTGCTTCGCGTGGTATTCCAGTTCGAGTTTGAACAATGTCGTTGGTAATTTACACTCTTTCACATGGGAGTTAGTAGTTGCTAAATAAATTCCAAATTCCGTAGGAAAGCACCTCCTCACCCGCTACCCTCACCCGCTGACCCTCACGTTAATCCAGCTATTCTCAATCACCATCTACTCCTATCCTTTGATAAGGTGGTATCTGGAGAGGGCCCCGCTGGGAATTACTGTTCCGAAGAGTGTCTATAATTATTATATTATTCCACTGGCGGTGGGGAAGTTTTTGGCCTCAGTGGCGAGCCACGTTTCCATTTGGAAGGTCCCAGTGAGTTATGCGCATACCGGTAAGGATTTAATTAAAGAAGGGGCGGCTCTACTTCACCGGCGCTGGCGTTGGTCACGGTGGAAAGGGTCATCCGTGGAGCCGCCCCTTTCCGATCATTACCAATTTATACCGAAAACTAATAAAATTCTAAATTTTCCACAGTAAAAGCCACCATGCCTCTCTTCACTATCACCCTGACGCGCCTCCTCCTTGGGACTCACCACTCCACCCTGACCTACCTCTCCCTCATCCCCATAATCACCGGAGTCTCCATCGCCTCCATCACCGAGATGAACTTCAACTTAATTGGACTCACCACGGCCCTCCTATCAACACTAGCTTTTAGTCTCCAAAACATTTATTCAAAACAAGTCCTCCAAAAAACAAAACTCCACCAGTTCGAACTACTCTTCATTTTAGCCAAGTTGAGCTTCCTCTTTTTCACCCCGGTCTGGTTCCTCCTCGATTTCAACATAAGTTACGACGTGGAAATAGTATTTTACCTCTTTTTCGACGGTTTTTTAAGTTTTCTACAGAATATTTTAGCATTTAGCTTTTTGAATTTGGTGAGTCCGCTGGGGTACTCGGTGGCGAATGCGAGTAAGAGGATTTTTATCATTGGAGTTAGTGTGGTGGTGTTTAGGAATCAGGTGGGATTTAGTAATTGGGTGGGGATGGGGGTCGCCGTGGGGGGGGTGTTTTGCTATAATTATGCCAAGAATTGGGAGAGTGTGGAGAGAAAGAAGGTGTCGTTGCTGCCGTTGAATAATAATTATGTTTGATTTATTTAACGATATTTACGAGATGGTGGGTAAATAATTAATTTCGCTTGTTCATATTGGCGAGGATGATGGCGGTGGCGATGTCCTCGATGGAGGTGGGGCGGAGGGTCAGGGGTTGTACGGTGGGTTGTGTGCAGGTGGTGGGGTGCGGGAGGATGTTAATCGGTAGTTGTGACGTCACCGCCGGTTTGATCCTCTTCTTCTTCGGGGGTGTTGCAGAGGTTAAATGGGAGGAGTTGCGCTTTTGTGATGGGGATGAGATCTTTTCTGGGGATGATTCTGTGGTTGGGGGGGTCGTCGTCACTTGGGGGTGGCCTGGGGGGATTATTAAAAAAACGTTAGAAACGCTCGAAAACCCATTAAAAACCGCATAAAAACGCATAAAACCGCACCAAAAACTAAAGAAAAACAGCTCACCAAAATAACTGGGGCAATACTCGAACCTCGGCGGTGTTAGTAAAATCCCCCCCACTCCCCCTCCACCCTCCGTTCCCTTCCCCTCGATGATCCTCTCGAACCCCTGAACAACCTTATCAATCGGAGCATTCATCTTCTTCTGCCCGGGTAACAAAGGAACGTTGTCGAAATTGCAAGTGAAACTCTTCCTCTGTTTATTATTCCGCGATATCTTGCGCTTTTTTCGAACGATTCCGTCCTCTTCTTCGTCGGCGTAGGGGTTGAAATCGGGGTCTGAGGATGAGCTGGAGGAATCGTTGAAGTCGTCGTGGTGGGGACGTTTCTGGGGGGACGTTCCTATAATAAATTAACGTTAAAACTGCTCGAAATATTAAATTCATTAAACAGCTCACCCTTCGCTGGTTCCTCCCCCCCACTGATAACTCCCCCCTCATCATCATCGTCATAAAACCCATCCTCCTCCTCCCCCCCATCGTCACTCTCATCTTGTTCATCCCCTCCAACTTGACTCACCACCTGCCTCAACCTCTGTCCCGGTCCCCCTAAACTCCCCCCAGAACTACACTCCCCTCCCCCCTCCACCTTCTTCTTCTTCCCCTTACTCCCCCCCGTCCCCCCACCCCCATTATTCCCCACGCACTTCCCACAAGCCCACTTCCTCCCCCCCAGATCCTCCGGATGAGCCCCCCAATCCTTCCCCTGCATCCACAAATCGTACCTCTCCGGTTGAAACCTCTTCACAAAAGTTTCCATGTCGATCCGAACCATGTCCGTGCGGCAGATACAGTTTGAAGCACGTTTTCCGTACTCTACCCACCGGGGGGTGGCGAAATTCGTGGATTCGGCGCAGTTGTAACCGTGGTTGAAGCCGCAGTGGTAGCCGAACGGGAAGGTTATCATGAACTCTCCGGATTCTTGGGTTATCTGCGGGGGATTAATAGTTATCAATTAAGATATTAAGATAAGCAATAAGATATTAAGATAACCACCTTATCAGTGGGGATGTAATACGACTTCAAAATCTGGGGTGAGATCAGGGTCATTTTGTGTCGAAGAAACGCAGGACATTCCTTCATCCGATCGGGGAAGAAGTTCTGGGCGAGTCTTTCGAACCGCCGACCGTGCTCAGGGGGGATGGCGTACCTGTGATTATCAGAAGTTAATTATTCCCCAATAAATCCCCCCCCCCAAAAAAAATATCCCCCCACTCACCACGTCTTCGGAGCCCCAAAGTGCAAATAATTGATCGAGTACAACTCCATGTCCTCCGTGTGCCAACAAAAAGTCGTCTTCCACGCTCCAAAGTAAAGATAAGCCGTGTTCACCCCACAGATCTCGACGCCATAATCTTCTTCAACGTAGTCCAGGATCGACCCTAATTTATTGACGTTCCAGATCTTGCAGGTTTTGTCGGTTATCGAACCATTGACGTCCGCGCCGTAAATCGGGTTCTTGTACATTATGTTTTTCCAGTAGCGACGTTCCAGGTCTTCAAAGTCGAAGTGTGGGGGGGTGCAGTTGCTGGAAATTAATAAGTTATTAGTGGTTATCAAAGCTTATCTTAAGGGGAATAAGATAAACCACTCACCCCTCCTGTTCCGTAAACTCCCTGAACTCCCCCACGGTCATGGGTTTCTTCTGAATATTGATCTGTTGATACAAACCCTGCTTCCCCGTGACGACTTGAGAGATCGGAGCGGGGATAAGCAGGTTATCAATGTTCCCATACCCGTCGAACCTGGGGACGTATTCTTTTGGGGGGACGACCTTTGCGATCCCTGCTTTGTGCGCACCGCAGGATTCCATGTATTTTATGTAGTTGGAGAAGTCACTGAATTCCGCGAGGGTCGGGCGGAAGATCATTATTTTGGGGGTGGTGGAGGAATTAAAATCTTGCGGTGGGGGTGGGGGCAGGTCGCTGGGGAGGGGTAAAGGGGGCTCCATGGGAATGCTTATCTGTGGGGGGGACTCTTGTTTAATCTGCTCGGTTGGAATTATTTCCTCCTTTTTTACAGAAAGTTCCTCTTTAATTTCCACCTTTTCACTCAACTCTTCATCCTCTTGTTTGAGTAAATCCTTGGTGAACCCCCCAATCTTGATAAAGGTAGGTTCGCAATCCGATAACTCCATTTTCCTCAGGGGGAGTGGCGCGGGGGCGTCCATTTTTATTTCCGAGCACTCCGCACGGAGAGATTTATAAAATCAAAACAATCCAAACTGGACTGACGAAAAACGTTGTGTGCTTTGCTCGAACGAGTTGACTCACCCCCAGCGCCATCTACCCATCGACATTGAACTACGGTCAATAGATGGCGCTGGCTTCCCCAACTTTCCCTCTTTCTCTCTCTCTCACTACTCACTCACTATTACCAACTATCCACTAATTCACAGTCACTTTTCTCATCACTCCACACACTACTCACCACAACACAAAATTCTAAAAAAATCCACAACATAAATGGCAATTGAATTCATCAAAAAACAAACCACGAAAAAAATGCTCCAAACCTCGTCCTCCTCCTCTTCAACATCCTCCTCCTCACCCAACTCCTCCAACTCAACGGAGCAGGAGTGCCCCCTTTGTATGGAGACGTTGGACCTGGATGATAAGTCCTTTTTTCCTTGCACTTGTGGCTATCAGGTGAGTTTCACTACTTTATTTTATCAATTCACTAACTAACCCACCATCTCTCGTGACCTCCAGATCTGCCGCTTCTGCTGGCACCGGATCCTCACCTCCTCCTCCTCCTCCACGGACTCTTCAAACTCTTGCCCCGCCTGTCGCAAGACCTACTCCGAGAACCCTGCCAATTTCAAACCCATCTCCGTCGAGGACATTCAACTGAAATTGAAACAGCAGAGGAAGCTGAAGGACCTGCAGAAAAAAGCAAAGACCGTCGAGGGAAGGAAACACCTCGGAGAGTTGAGAGTGGTGCAGAAAAACTTGGTTTTCGTCGTCGGGATCACGCCGAGGATCGCGGATGCGGAGTTATTGAAGAAGGGAGAGTACTTTGGGAGGTTCGGGAAGATCCACAAGGTGGTTGTTAATTGTGTGAGTGCGAGTTCAGCGGGTGCGACGGCGGCGGGGGTGAGTTTTTTGGTCGTATTTACTATTTTTGCTAGTCGTTTTATGGCTAATTTAATAATTCCCCTCTGTAGACGACGCCCTGCAGCTCCTCCACAACTAACACCACCACTTCTGGCCTCTCCTACGGCGCCTACATAACCTACACCCGCTCTGAGGACGCCCTCCGCGCCATCCAATCCGTGAACAACATCCCTTTCGACGGGAAAACCATTAAAGCTTCATTGGGAACGACCAAGTACTGCTCTCACTTCATGCGGAATCAAATCTGTCCCAAGGGGGACTGCATGTATCTGCATAGTCAGGGGGACTCGGAGGCGAGTTTCACTAAAGAGGACATGCAGCAGGGGAAGCATCAAGAGTACGAGAGGAAGTTGATTGAGGAGTTTAGGAGGGAGCAGCAAAGGGAGAAGGAGCAAGTGGAGGGTGGGGAAGTGATTTCTGAGCAGCAGAAGGTGGAGCAACAGCAACAGCCGAAGCCCTTGATGATACCGTTGCTTTACAAGAGTGATTTTAATGTCAATGGGTTTGAGGAGGAGGAGGTGGAGGAGGAGGAAGTTGAGGAGCGGAATGGAAGGCAGGATTTAGTCGGGGATTTTTCGACACGCGACGAGGAAGAGCAGCAGCAAAGGGATTATTCACCACCTCCGCCGCCTCCACCGCAGCACATCCTCCCACCACCCGTACAGACACACACCGCGCATGCGCCACCACCCCTACAACCACCCCAACTAACTCCCCCGCAATTAACCGCTCCTCCCCTGGACTTCAACCCCTTCTCGGAAACCCAATCCCAGTTTGAGTCCATAATCCAGGCGGAGATGGCGAATTGGCAGTTGTCTCAGCAACACACGCATCATTCAGCGAGGCAGAACCACCCTCCTCCGCCAGGGTTCGACAACAATTTGGACGAGTGGATCGACCCGGCCATTATTTACAGCAAGTCCATGAATAGTAGGAGTCACCAGCAGGGGCAGCAGCAGGTGGGTCAAGGAGGGAGGGGAGGAAATGGAGGAGGGAATATAGGACACTTGTTGGGGAACAGTTTGCTTAATGATATTTTCTGTGCTGGTGGGAGTAACAATGCCGCCGTGGTGGAGCAGCAGCAGCAGAGGTGCGTTTTTTAATGAATTTATCGAGTTTTATGAGGTGATATGACTAATAATTTATTTAATTTCCTCAGACACTTCCTCCCCCCTCAGCAACAACAATACTATCCTCCCCAACAACAGCCACACACCTACTACAAACCACCCCCGGGATTCCAACCACCCTCCCCCGCCGCCGGCCAGCTCCCCGCTCTTCCTCCTCAACAACAGTTTATAAATAATAATTTTTTTAATAATTTCCCCTTTTAATTGATGAAACACCGAGAGATGGAGAGTTGGAGAATCGTTTATTAAACACTCAAAATTATTACACACTGAATTTTATAGACTGACTTTTTGACTACTTTATTTATTTGCTAAGCTAGAAATACGATTATTCACTATTTGAGGTGGTCGAAGATGGTCTTGGCCGCCTGGAAATAACGGTTTTGGTCGTTAATTAACCTCATAAATTAATAAATAAGCATCAAAATAGTAAAAAAAACTCACGCAATGGTCGACGCAGTGGAAAAAGTCAATCACCTCCTCCATGCACGTCTCTGTGGTTTTGGACCTCGAGTTGACCCGGTCGTTGCAGGTCTGGAGCTTCTCCGAAAGGGACGAGCACTTCGGGGTGGCCCGGCAGGAGGTGCGGAGCGTCTCGAGGGGGTCCTGCAAGTTATTAGGAGTTAGTTTATAGTTACTGAAGGAGAATTTTAAAATATTAACGTTCGTTTCTAGTTACGGATTTGACCTTCAACTCCCCCTCCTCCTCTGGAGAAGCGGCCTTCACGGACATTTTTTATTAGTTTATAAAAATTTGGGGGTGCGGTTTTATTTACACTCTGTTTTTATACCGAGGGAGAGATCAATCGAATTGAGTGAGTAAACCCCGTGACTACTACAAAAAAATTCGGGACATCCCCGCGCCATCTAGCGAGCGGGTTTTCCCATCTGAAATATAAAATTAAGGCAAAAATTCTCTTATATTATGACCCGCTATTTATATGCAAAATTTGATTGCTTTTCCAGCCGTTAAATAATTTCAATTAGCAAATTTTTAATTAGTATTAAAATTTAGTCAGAATAATCATATGCAAAAGGTGATCCTGCATGCTAACCAAAAGACAAACAGCACTTTCACATTTCTCATATCTCAGCAGAATCAGTCGCTGAATGGAAATCTGCATGTACACACAGACACAAGAGTCACAGCTCACAGATCAACTTTTAGAGACCCACAAACCAGTCCACAAAACACACACCTTTCACGCTGACATACACAACACACCTGTGGATCGGACTTTAATCTCTCATTCTCTAAAAAAAAGTGTCAAAAAACTTTAAATGTGATAAAACCACGCCTTGTATCACCTCCTCCCCTAAGGAAAAGCTACTTAAAAAAAAGATGACCCCACCCACGGAGCTCTTAAACAACATCACCTCGCTCTACCAAGATGTCATGGTCAACAGGAGAGGTAATTAGGACACATTGTTTTTAGTGGCCTAAATTTTTTTAGTAACCATGGCAACTGATTATTAATAGACCCCCGGGTGGACTCTTACCCACTGATGAGCTCCCCCCTCCCGACCCTCCTGATATGTTTAAGTTACGTCGTCATAGTTAAGTTAATTGGGCCTCATTTTATGAAAAATCGGGCTCCCTTTTCCTTGAGGAATACTTTGGTGGGGTACAATGCGTTTCAAGTGGTTTTCTCGGCGTGGTTGGTATGGAAATAATAAATTTATTAAATTTTGTTGCCATGGTGACTGAATAATTAATAAATTGCATAGTTCTACGAGTACGGTCGCGGGGGCTGGTTCCATGGTTACTCTTTTAAATGTCAGCCGATCGACTATTCCCAGGACCCGATGGCCATGCGGATGGTCAACGTCTGCTGGTGGTATTATTTCTCGAAATTTAGCGAGTTTTTTGACACGGTGAGTGGTTTCCATGGTTTCTGAATTTTAATTTCCATGGCAACTAAATAACAATCTCCCTGGTTATTAGTTCTTCTTCATCCTGCGCAAGAAGTACGCGCACGTCTCGGCCCTGCACGTGATCCACCATGGCGTCATGCCCATGAGCGTCTGGTTCGGCGTTAAATTTACACCGGGTTAGTTAATTAAAAGTAATTATTATTTAACAACCCAATAAAAACAAATTAATTTAGGGGGCCACTCCACCTTCTTCGGCCTGCTCAACACCTTTGTCCACATTTTAATGTATTTTTACTACATGGTGGCTGCCATGGGGCCCAAATACGTCAAGTTCCTCTGGTGGAAAAAGTACTTGACCAGCATTCAGATGGTTAGTTTTTAAAAATTCCCGCCAAAAACCCCGCTAAATTCAAAAAATTGATAGGTCCAATTCGTCGGGATAGCAACGCACTCTTTCCAATTATTATTCATTGAATGCAATTATCCAATCGGCTTTGTCTGGTGGATCGGTTGCCACGGGTTACTCTTTTTGGTCCTGTTTTCCAATTTCTACATCGGGGAGTACGTCGAGAAACGAAGGATTTTAAAAGAGAAAAAACGCGTTACCAAGGAGACCGTTGCCAAGGAGACGGTCGCTATGGAAAATATCAGACTCCGGAGAATCGTTCAAAATGAAAAGGAGATTTAATTTATTTTTTGATATTAATTTTTGTTAATTCGTTGCTATGGAAATAAATTATAGAGAGAAAGAAATATATTTTTCAATATAAATTTATTATTTTTTTTTGTACAAAAAAATCCACTCCACAATTTTTTTTATATAATAATAATAATTAAATTAAATCCCAAAATAACAATAAAAGTATAATACTTGTGTTTGTGTGGACCCAAGAACCACTCCCACTTTTTTTTATTTTTTAAATATCTGTAAAAAAAACCATAACGACCATTTTTATATAACAAAAAAAACACAAAAAAACAACAAAAAAAACTTAAGTAGGTTGTCAAAAAAAATCATTCTTCATCATCAATCAGTCAATCCTGTTTCCATGGAAACACACGATAAATTATTTTTTTATAAAAAAGGATTAAATTGTGGATTTGGAGAATGAGACGCGGAGGTGAGAGTTCTCACGGAGTTGATGATTATGCATTTTTATCAGGGCGTCCCCGGATTCCTCGATCGAGGGGAGTTGGAGGAGGGCCATCTTGCGGTCTTTCCTGGGGGGGGGGATAGTAATATTTTTTTATAGTTAGTTTCCATGGAATTTAAGAAAAAAAATATTTAAATTATTATGGCGACGAAAAATATAAAAGTTTCCATGGAAAATTGATATATTTCCATGGAGACATTTTAGTTTCCATGGCAAATAAATTCCTATATCTCTATAGAAACTCCAAAACTTACGGAAAAAACTTGAACCCCTTGACGTTGAAACCCTGCTCTTTGAAAGCATTCAAAATCTCCTCCTCAGAAACGGAAGCGGGAATGTTTGAAAGATGGAGCGTTGCGGAAGGCGCATAAATATTTTGATAGTTTTTCGAGTCGGGTTTCTTGAAGCGATGGAGGGGTGAGTTTGTGTAGTCCTTCGTCAAGCCCGCGTCGGGCTGCCCCTCCTTCGGCATCTGAACAAGGCCATGTTTCGATAACGTCACCCGAATCATTTTTTGGTGCAGCTTCAGGCGGTCCAAATATGTCAGCGCTGTGGTTAGGATTTTATTTAGTTTCCATGGCAACCAATTTTGTAAAAATAAAAAAACCCACCCAACTGCGCCTGCGCTGGTTCCCTCATTTGAACTAATGCAGAGTCCTTTTTGTTAAACAATATTTTCACCCTTTGCACGTCGCCATAGACACCTGCGGAGTTTTATTTTTTAAATTTAAATTTATAAATCACCATGGAAATAAAAACTCAGAAAAGGAAACAACAAAAAATCCCCCCGAGAATATAGAAAAAAACTCAAAGCAATAGAGAAAATTTCCCCATGGCAACTCATACTGACTCAGTTGCCATGGCAACACACACGAAAAAGGAGACACAGAAACGTACCGAATAGTGTAAAGAGACCGTCTGGCGTGATTAACTAAACAAAAAGATTTTTTTATATATAAGAAATTAGAAATATGTTACCATAGAAAATAAAAAAGGCACACCCACATTTACGAAATTACACAGTTTTTTTTATACGTGAAAAGTAAGATTACAAACCTCTTCGTTAAGATTGGAGACGAGTAAGACACATCCTGGTAAGTTGTTGGAGTGGCCCCCACCCCCGCCCCCACCGTGCATCCCGATCCCCATGGCAGCCAAGGACGCGGGGTTCATGGAAGAAATTGAGGCTAAAATTGAGGAGGGGGAGGAGTTTGAATTTCCACCGCCCCCACCACGGTGGTGGGCGTGGTGATGGGAAAAATGGGTGGAGGATGGGGAGGAGGAATTTGGGGCGGAGGAAAGTTGGTGCGAGGTGAGGCCCATGGCGGCGAGGAAGCCTGGGGATTTATTTAAATTTAAATTTAATTGTTGTTATGGTAACTTTTATAAATTATTTTAGTAAACTTGGTAACTATGGAATTTAAAAAATTGTGGTCATGGCAACTACTACAAAAAATTGGTAACCATAGCAACTATTAAAAACCAGTAACCATGGCAACTGAAAAAAATACAACCAACCTGGATGCTGATGATGGTTGATATGGTGATGTCCGTTAACTTGGCCGAGGAGGGCGGCGATTTGTTGTTGAGTTTGGAACCCCCCGAGGACGCCGTTCTGCTGGCCAAAGACGAGCTCGGCGGCGTTGTTTTCGCCGGTGGGGAGGTTGGGGTTCGTATAGTCCCGCGACTTGTCGTTGTTATAGCGCACGTTCAGCGAGGACAGCTTCGAGTACTCGATCCGTAACGTGCAACACCCGTTGTAGATGTTCTGGCCGTCAAGGGTCTGCAATTTTGTGTAAACTTTGTAATTTTTTTCGTAAACTTCGTAATTTTTGTGTAAAGTTTGTAGCTTTTTTCGGAAACTTTGCATTTTTTTGCGAAATTTTAAACAGCAAAAAATATAAACTTTGCAAAAGATTTTGTAAACCTTGCAAAATAATTTTTTGTGTAAACCTCGCAACTTTTTTGTAAACTTCGCAACTTTTTTGTAAACCTCGCAATTTTTCGCAAACTTTCCAACAAAATTGTAACCTCCACAACTTCCCGTGTAACCTTCGCAAAAAAGTAAACCTTGCAATTTTTTTAAATGTTGCATAGAAAAAAATATAAACTTTGCAAACAAATTGTAAACTTTCTATTTTTTCGTAAACTTCGTAAATAAAATTTGTAAACTTCGCATTTTTTTGAAAACTTCGCAAAAATTTTTTAACCGAAAACTTTCCAAACCAAACTTGTAAACTCCACAAATTTCCGTGTAACCTCCGCAAAAAAAGTGTAAACTTCGCAAAAACATGTGTAAACTTCACAAAATTTATTTTTAACCTTACCAACTTTGCCGCCTGAGCCATAACCACATCCGGATACTGAATGAGAGCTTGGAAATAATTATTCTTTGTAAACGTTACAATTCTGAGTACTTTCCCCACGCGCGAAAATATTTGATACAAAACGTCCAAAGTGACAGGATAGAGCATCTGCTCGATGATAACCCTCAACACCGTGTTCGGCCCCCCCTGGGTCGCCCCACCACCCCCACCGTTCTCCATGGGAATCTGCAATTGCGAAGTGGGGGCGGCCAGATTGTGACCCGTTAAATGCTGCAGGTGGGCTTGTTGCTGTTGGGACGTTGGGGGTGTGGCTCCTCCGCCACCGATTACCAAGGCTTGGGCGGCGGCGAGGGCGGCCTACAAAATTTAGGAAAGAGTTAGTAACCATGGAAACGGTTGCCATGGTGACGAGAGACTCACCTGCGCGGCGGAGTTGGCATTGGAGTGGCTCTGGTCGGTTTTTAACTCTTTGTGGGTGGAGAATTGGACGTAGACGGAGCGGCCCCGGAGCTGGGCGACGCAGTTGGTGAAGTAGGTTACCATGGCGACCGCCGCGGACTCGTCGGCCAACTCCAGGAAGGCTTGGTTTTTTCCCTAAGGATTTTACCCAGCGGTTAGTCAATTTTCATTAAAATTACTAAAAATATAGTTAAACGATCCTCACCTTCAACACCAGCACATTGCTGACCCTCCCAAAAGGGATCCCCAGATGAACAATTTCCGTTTCACTCACATCGCTGGGAATATTTCTGATATGAACCACTCTCGATGGGCCGTTTAACCCACCTCCCCCACCACCACCATTCTCCACCGTCGTCGTGGTGGCATCCCCATTCAGTTTGACCTTCTTGGCGTCATTGTTGTTTTCTTGGGATGAGGAATCATCCGGTGTGGGGGATGGCGTGGATGTGGTCGTTGAAGTGGAGAGCATCTTGGCCAAAGGCTGCGTCCAAAAGGGAGTAAAATGTTAGTCACGGTAGTTAAAAACACACTTGGTCAATAGGATAAAAGTTCAACAGGTGTTGGAGAATCTCTTCGCTGGTGGGTCGATACGCTCTCCTTTCTCCGATGAAGTTCGGAAAATTGAGGAGAGAGAGAGGAGAGAGAAAGAGAGGAAAGAGAGAGAAGTGAGAGAGAGTGGAAATGGAGAAAATTTTTGTTTGGATTTAGTGTGTGGATGCCATTTTGACGGGGAGAACAGTGTTGGGTTGGGATAGAGAAGAAGCGTTGGTTTTTTTGGGGGTAGCAGTAGTGAGCGATGTAGTGAGCGTTTGGGTTTACGGGGGTTACACACGGTGAGGCATTGAGGAGGGTGCCTGTGGCTTGTGTATACAAAGATACTTGGAATTTAGTGACAGCGTATATACACGCGGCGTGTTATTAGCACAGCGGTTGTTATAACAGCGTCGTCGGCTGCAGCGGCGGCGGCGGCGGCGATGGCGTGGAATTTTTCGGATAGAGGAGAGTGAAGAGAGAGCGGGAGGGTTTGAAATTTTATGTTAGGTAATAATGGGTATGCGAAAAGGGGATTTATGAAGGTGAAGGACTAAAGTCATGATAATGCTGATTAAATTAATGATGATAACTCACCTCTGCTGATGACCCTCCACAACCACCCGCTGAATCCACCCGATCCACCGATTCTTCATTATCAAGGCCACAAATATCACTCCCTCCCGCACTTATTCCGTTATATTCACTATTTTTCTCCATCATCCCCTCCAGTAAATTATTATTGAACCCACCACCACCTCCACCCACTCCACTGACCACTGCACTTCCACCTCCGGAGACAAACTTGACCTTCTTGTTATTCGTGGAGCACTCCTCTTGATTATCCTCCTCTTGGTGATTATTATTATCCGACAGCAAGTTTCCAATGAGGGATGAGACGGGGCGCTTCATAATCTTGTCTTTAACATTACTGGCTTCTCCTTGAGGGGTGTGGGGCACTGGATTTCTGGGAATTTATTAATATTGTCTCTGGAAATTAAAGAAGAAAAACTAACGAAAAAAAAGTGGAGCTACTTTGAAGCGAGAGCAGAGCGATGAATGGAGAAGAAAGAAAGGAAATATAAAAGCAGGGTTTGAATGAGGGAAGGGAATATTTTGGTGAGTGGGGTGGGGTGAGATTGATGGAGAGGTACGTTGGCATGGGGATTTTTCATGAGTCTGGAGTTTTTTCATGGGAATTTTTCGGTGGATTTTACTTTTTTGCCGATTTTCCCGTGGATTTTCCTCCGATTTTCCTGTAAAAAAAATTAGGGTGCATTCACAAACCACGTGGAATGTTGATCCTCTTCTCCCCTAAATCCCGGCACTCACCGAACCCGCACCGAAAATCCCGATTCTTCTCCGGAATCCCCACCAGAAACACACAAACACAATCCCTTTTGACTAAATTTAGCTCTCCACTTCACTTCTCACTCTCGCAATTTCCTCACAATTTCCACACCAAAAAATGGCCACCCCCACTGCCCCCACCAGTTCCACTTCCTCTAGCTCCACCACCCCCACCTCCAGCTCCTCCTCCCTCATCGTCCTAAAATCCTTATCGATCCTGCTCGGAATTTTCTTCATTTTCCTCGGCGTCATGAAAGTCACTCCCTTCATCTCCAAAGAACTGCACAAGGATGCCGTGAGTTTGTTTTTATTATTATTTCCATGCCAATGAATAACCCTCTACTCTCAATTGCAGCGCAAAGAATTCGTGAAATACTCCAAGGTCTTCCCACTGAGCGAGACTCTCGGGTTCAAAATCCCCTCGAAATGGTATCGGAGGTGCTTCGGGGGGTTCGAAATCGCTTGTGGGTTGATCCTCGCGGTGGTGCCGAGTGGTAATAAATTAGATCTATTGATTTTTGTGGAGATAAAGTAATAAAAAATAAATGCAGCCCCCTTGAAACGCGGGGTGAACCTGATCCTCGTGGGAATGTCGCTCCTCTCCGTGTACAACCACTGCCTCACGGATGACAAGTTTGAGAGGACCTCCACTGCGCTGGTATATATGCTTTCTACTACTTTCCGTTGCCATGCTAACTAACTAATAAATAACTCTAGGTCCTCTTCTTCATGACCACCTGCCGTCTGATCGTGGATTTCCAGTCGGACAAGAAGCTCCTCTTCTCCTTCCAAACCTCCTCAACCACCGAAAAATCCTCCCCGTCACTCTCCGAAGATTCACAAGATTCATCATCACACGTGAAAAGCGATTGAATTTTATTACTCTTAATTTTTTGAAATAAAAATAAATAAAAAAATCTACTCCTCCAACTCTCGTCCCGTCTGGAGTAAGTGGAGAGCTTTCGTGAGGTTAATAATCGCCGTGGGGATGTCGTCGAAATTCAGGGCGGAGGTGGCGATACGGGTGTATTTCGAGGCAGAAGCGGTGAGGGCGATGGTGTCAAGGGTGGGGGTGCTGGTGGGTTCTTGTTGAGGTGGTTGCTGTGGTTGCGATGGTGGTTGCACAGCACTTTCACTGCCATAATTATTCTGCCCTCCCTGCCCTTCCTCACCTCCCTCCCCTTGCCCTCCCACCACTGGATAATACCCCCCCTCCTCTTCTCCTTCGATGGGCCCCCCCACGGGGACCTCCCCATTCTTCAAACAATTATGAATATACGCCGCCTTCCACTTTCCATACTTTCTCATTTTGTCAAACTCTTCCCCGACGGTGCCCAGGTCTTCCAGCACGTCGATCAACAAGGAAGAAGTGTAGAAAGCCTTAATCGTGTTTTTATTAAAGATTCCTTGCCGATCGGAGTCGTCAGCGTACTTGAACAGCTAGAAATTCAGTAAAATTAGCACCATTTTTACTAGAAAATACCCAAAATAAGAACCCACCTTCAGCGCATAATTCTCCAAATGCGCCTCCGCGACGGTCTCATTCGTCACCGCCTCATTCCCCCCCAGTTCCTTCTTCTTCTTCTCCAGCCAGTCCAATAATTGGACGATGAAAACCTTGCAGTCCGGAGAGGCCTTGTCGATTTTTAGCGATTTTTGGACAGTGTGGAACCGGGCTACAAGGTTATTCTTGGGTTAAATATAGTATAAAAATAGAAATCACGTGACCTCACCCCAGTAGGCGACGACGGGGTCCCTCTGGTCATGCTCGGATGCGACTTTCATGTAGTGGGAAATTTTTGATAACGAAGGGGGGATTTTCGAGGGGAGGGACATTTTTAATTTTCGATTTATTCACTTGGAAAAAGAGTATGACTAACATAAATAAATAGTAAAATTTAAACTTCCCGCTGTGGAAACTCTATGCCAAACAGGAAACCACGATGTTCCGTACCACGAAAAATTCCAAAAAATAATCCTCAATCCTCCCCGCTGGGCAACGCATCCACCAGCTTCCTCACGAACCGCACTTTAACCTCCGTGGCCGCATCCCCTTTGAGCGTATCCTTCTCAATCCAAGCGACGACCTCCATCTGCACCATCTCGCACGCCCCACGGATAATCCCAGGCAGGATATTTGCATATTTTAGGTTTAGTAGGTTGTCAGGGAGCTCGGCGAACTCGGCGAAGGGATGATGGCCTTCGAACAAGAGGGTGAACTCGTCAGAGGTGATTTGCGTGAGGGAGACGGGCGAGAGGGGGGTGTAGAGCTTGAGGGCGGTCTGTGGAGGGAGGAAAGTGGTGGATTTAATAGTTAACCAAGGTTATCATGGTAATTTAATTAATTAACCAACCTGCACCTTCTCCGCCGTGTCCCTCAGATCATTGCACCTGCCGTACCCACTCCTCGCGAGAAAGTCCTCAATCAACCGCATCCCGATGTTGTAGCCGATCCTCTCGAGTTGTTTGTTCACTTCGTCAGTGTTGGAGTCCGTGTCCTTGATCAGTTGGGAGATTAGCGAGCCGTACGTCAGGGTGAACAGTTCGGAGTTCTGCACGGGAATTTAGTGGGAATTTATTTATTTCTGGGTTTTCAGGGCGAATAATTAAATAATTAAATAATAATTAAATAATTAACCAACTCACCACCCTCTTTGGGTCCAAGCCCGGGATTCCCCCCTCCCCCCCGTTCCCGGGAGCTGTGAGGCGGTCGTGGATCTCGACATCAGGTCAGGATTTTAATTTTCCCGTGAGAAATATTTTGACAAAAATTCAACCTCCCCGCTCTCTTCTCACTCTTCTCTCACTCACTTCTCCAGCGAACACAACCCGCCTCCGCCACCACCATCCCCTCGACACAACAAATAATAAAGATAAGATGGTCGGAAAGAAGCACCCCACCTGCGTCTGGTGCTCGGAAACCAAGGAAACCCTGAAATACGTCCTCCCCACGCAAAATGGGAAGAAAGAGTTCTGCTCGGAAGTGTGCTTGGCAGAGTTTCGACGAGCCTACAGCAAGGTCAGTTTTTATTATTATTTTTAGTATTTTTAACTAATTAAATAAATCCCCCACAGGGCGCCTGCACCCACTGCGACACCCCCCTGCATTCCACCCCATCCTCCACCACCCCCACCCCCAGCAGTAATACAATTCAAAAACCCATAAAACTCGAGGACACCTCTACGAAAACGATAAAAGAATTCTGCACCTCCGACTGCCTTTCCAAGTACCAAAAAAACCTCCAGCAAAAAGGCTTGAAAAAATCCCAGCACAATTTCTACGCGAACCCCGTGCTCGAAAACGCCCCCTTCGACTGGGACGAGTACCTCAAAACCACCAAGAGTATCGCTGCTCCAAAGTCCTTTTTCAAACAGTCCCCCGCCCCCCCACCCACGGATTTCGCCACGTCAATGAAATTAGAAGCGATCGACCCCAGGAACACGACGTCCACCTGCATCGCTACTGTCATTGGGTCGATCGGACCCCGCCTACGCTTGCGGTTAGACGGCTCGGATTCGTCCAACGACTTCTGGAGGATGGTGGACTCCTCGGAAATTCAGCCCATCGGGACGACGGAGAGGAACGGGGGGATGCTCCAGCCCCCTTTGGGGTTTCGGTTAAATGCGAGTTTCTGGCCAATGTTCCTTTGTAAGACGTTGAATGGGGCGGAGATGGCGAAGGGGGAGTGTTTCAAAGAGGAGCCTTTGGGGGTTAGGTTTAATTTCTTTAAAGTGGGGATGAAGTTGGAGGCGGTGGATAGGAAGAATCCCCATTTGATTTGTGTGGCGAGTGTGGGTGAGTGTTTGAGGATTATTTCAAGATATCTGGGGGGATTTGATTTTTGAACGTTTTTCTTTAGGAAACGTCAATGGTGACCAGATATTCGTAACGTTCGATGGATGGCGGGGGGCTTTTGATTACTGGACGAGGTTTGACTCGAGGGAGATTTTTCCTGTGGGGTGGTGCGGGTTGGCCGGGCATCCCCTTCAGCCGCCGGGTGAGTTTTTTCGAGCGTGACCGTTGCCATGGTTACTAACCCCCATTTTTTCTGTATCCCCACAGGATCCACCCCCACCACGACGCACCACTCGTCCCCCTCCTCCCTCACCCCCACATCCCACTCATCCCCCCATCACCATCCCACCCCCCAAACCCTCGCCCCCTCCTCAACCACCTCTCCCCTGACCTCATCCACCCCCCAATCTCACCCCACCCCACCCTCCCCCCCACAACCCCCCTTGACCCTCCACCTGACCCCCCACCTCTGCTGCACCCCAGGCCATCTGGACCTTCAGAAACTCTCTTCGATCCCCACGCTTATCGGTCCCTCCTCCTCCAACGAAGTCTTGAATCAATTCGTCCTCATTTTAAAATCGATATTGACCAAGGGGAATTTAATCGAGTTCCGAACGTACGACTCGTATCTCGAGCAGGGGGATTTCTGGGCGGAGGTCGTGGCGTTGCTGAGGATCGTCGGGTGCTGTGATGGGTTGGTCAGGGGGACCAGTGAGGAACATGAAGAGAATGGGGAGTATACTGGGAGTAGTGGTGTGGGGAGGAGGTGCGGGGGACGGTGCAGGTTCGAAAAAAGGGTCAAAGTTGAGAATGGCGGGGGCGGGGGGCAGAGAAAAAGGAGTAATTCCACTGCGTCGACGATTGTTGTGGAAAATAATTCCTCTGGGGGCGGTGGGGGGGAAAAGAAGAAGAAAAAAGACCCCTCGGAATGGACCGTTGATGACGTCATTGATTACATTTGTGACGCGGATGAGAGCATGCGGGGGTGCGTTCAGGTTTTTAGGAAACATGTAAGTTTTTGAGGATTATGTAGCTGGGTGTGTGTCTGTCTGTAATTTCATTAGGGGTATTCACCGTGAGTATTTACTATTTTTATAACTACCAAAAAATTACTTCCAAACCACCGTGAATCCCCCCAATAAAACTCCCTAACCTCCAACTCGGGCCATGCGAACTAAAAAAAACTTCTCTCTCCACACAGGAAATCGACGGGAAGGCGATGCTGCTCCTGAACTCTGACGTAATGATGAAGTACATGGGTCTCAAACTAGGACCTGCATTAAAAATTTGCAATATTTTAAAATTAGTTGGTGGGAGGGGGAAATGAATTTTGTTATATTTTTTTTTCTGGAGCACGGACAAATAAATAGAAAAATATTTTGATAATTTACTTTTTCAAACACTGATTTATTTAATTGTTTATATAAAGCGAGAAAAGCATTAAAATTGTAAAGTCCAGAGACTAAAAGAACTAGTTTTGAAACAGCTGCCGGGTGAATTCAATGTAGTCCAGGGCGCCGGGGACGGGGGACTGACCCGTTTTTGGGTCCACGTAGGGGGACACTAAAAATACGCGATTGTTAGCTTAAAATGGTAATTTATAATAGTTAAGAACTCACTCTTGCTCGCGCAGTACTCGGCCATTTCCTTGGTGAGGTTCTGCAAATAAAACACAAAAATTAGCCCACACCACCTTAAAATCCCCACAAATTATCCCTTAACTCACCGCATACAACTCCTCCCTCGTGACAAACCCCCTCTCGGCCCCACTGGTAATGGCCCTAAAAGCATTCTCAATCTCCTCCGAGCTCTGTACATTCTCCGTCTCTTTACTGATCATAAACGCCATATATTCCTGTAAAGAAACATGTCCATCCCGATTCGGATCCGTCACCGCCAGAATCTCCGCAAACTCCGGATCGGGCTCCCCATCCTCCACCATCGGCAGATCGTAACCCAACGCTCGCAAACACGATTTAAACTCTTGATGATTCAATCGACCCGATTTGTCTTTATCAAAGTGTTTAAACATCATGGAGAATTCTTTGAGGGCGTCCTCGCTCACGCCCGATTGGTTTCTGGCTTGGATTTGTTGTTCCAGGTTGTGCTGCATGCGCATGCCGAGCTGGTCCAGTTGGTCCCAGGCTTGGGCGAGGCCGACGGTGGAGTGTTCGGTGTAGCGGTTGTCGAGGATGAGGTGTTCCTCGAGGGTGGCCCCGAGGTCCTCGATTTTTTTGAGGTCGGAGCGACGGGCGCGGACCTCGATGGCTTTGCGCTTGGTGGAGTCGAGTTGTTGCTCGAGGGTGCCGGAGCCTTCCATCATGGAGGATCTACGGAATTAGAGGGGTTTGTGCGTTAGGTGAGGGTTTTGGTTGAATTATTCACGCATAAATTAGTGGGTATTCGAAGGAAGTTAATTTTTTAAGGGAAATTCTGTCAAAACTGTTAGTCCCACGGCACATCTAATCACACTCTTTCAAAAAACCATACCCATCCCACCCGAGTAAGCGGAACCTTTTCCATACACATTAAAAATTTATAAAATTCCCTCCTAAAATCACTAAATAATAAAATCACCTCGTCTCGGTCAACCACCCATGAAAAGCATTGGCAATCTTAGCAAACTCCTTCCTCAATTTATCATTCTCTTCTTGGCGAGAAAACTCCTTTGCCAAATCCACATCTCGTTCTTTAATGATTTTCTGCAGGTTTCGCCACGTGTCCTCCAAGGCCTCCATGGTGAACCAGGTGTAGGGGTTCTATAAGATAAGAGTTGTTAGCGTGCTTCCTACTAACTAAATTAAAGAGTAACCTCACCGGTCCCACATTGAACCCCTTGATCTGCTTGTCCAAATCGCCCAGAGCCTTGAAATCCGTCTCCGCCGTGGAGAGTGAGGCCTGGAACTGGGCGTGGGCTTCGCGGAGGGCTCTAAATTACACAAATTTATTGAAATTCACACCCTCCCCACCAAAAAACTAATAATAACCAACCTAATCTCCTCCAGCGAATTACACCTCACGGGATCCGTCAGATCCTCCTCGGCATTCTCAAACCACGAGTTAAAAGCACTGGCTTTCTTGGCAAAAGTCAAATACAACTCTTCAATCTGTCTAAACTGCTCCTGCATCATGATCAACCTGGATTTCCTCGCCTCACTCGCTTGCAACAATTTCTCCCATCTCCCCTTCACTTCTCCAAACCTCTTATTGATCATCTCCGATTTGATCCCACCACTGGAGACGAGCAAGTCCCTCAGTTGTCGCAAATTGTCCATTCCTTCGTTTTCAAAAGCTACCAATCCAGCGTCGAACGTGTCCTGTTTCGTGAGTAAAGTCTGCACGGTTGACAAATCCCTTCCGAACTCTTCCGATTTGACGTGTGCTTCCTTGTCGGAAATCCAAGACTCCACTACGTCCGCTTTCCACATGAACTGGAGGTAGGCAGAGTTTTCTTGTAATCCGCGTTTCCTTTTCTCCGCGAGGGAAGAGAGCGTCGCTGTTTTTTGATCCAAAGAGGAAAGGCGTTGACGGATGGAGTCCGAGTGGTGGTTCCCTTGGTGGATTAGGGTTTCTCCAGAGGTGGAGATCTCAGAGATGTTGTCACGGTGGACGAGGGAGTCCGTTTCGAAGGCGTCGTGTTTTTTTAGCAGGCCCTGTTGGTTATTTTGGGTGTTAGTTAGTGGTTGAAATAAAATTAAAATAAAATACCTGCACGGCCGCCATAGAATCCCCCAGATCATCCACCACGAGCAGCTGCTGCTTCTCACTGATCCAGGCCTCCTCCTCGTCAACTTTAGCCAGAAACTGTTGATATTCCAAACTCTGCTCTAATTTCTCTCCACGATTGGAGCTCAATTCCTTCAACTCTTCCCATGCTTGTGAGAGGGCTCGCAGCCTGGATTCTACATCGTTTCCTTCCTCCATCAATTTCCCTCCTGCCTCGATCACTTGGGTGATGGCGGGTTCGTGGGAGAGGAGCTCGGCTTCCAGGCGTTTGTGCTTCTTCTTCAGGTTTTGGACGCCTGGAAATAAATAGTGGATTAGCAATTTCCTTAATAAATAAAGCATAAAAAATTATTCTCACCCGTCAAATCCCTCCCAAAATCGCCACTCCCCACTAACAACTTTTTCTCCTTGATCCAACTCTCCTGATCGGCAATATCCCGAAAGAACCCATGCAGAGTATACGCCTCATTCAATTTCCCAGCCCTTTTATCCGCCAGATTCTTCACCTTTTCAAACCTCGCATTGATCAACTTCCTCTTCTCATCGATATTCCCATCATCAAACTGCCCAGAAGTGATCAAACTCTCTGCTTGATCATTCAAATCCTGCACCCGATCCTCATGCGATGAGATGTCCGCTTCGATTAGTTGCTGTTTTTTCATCAGGTTCTGCACGGATGCTAAATCCTTCCCGTTATCTTCCGATTGTAATAAAGACTCAATTTCCCCAAGCCAAAACTCCAAATCTTTCACCGCAGCGACGTAGCTCCGTTGTTTGTTGGCTTCTTTTAGTTTATAGCTTTTTTCGGAGGTTTTTATCGTTAGGGTTTCCCACTGGCGGGCGATGGATTCGAGTCTCGCTTCCACGGCCTCTTCCGACCCACCGCATTGGCGTTTTTCGATCAAATTGTGACCCATGGCAAGGACGGCCTGGATCCGGTCGGCGTTGGCGGCGAGCTCGGCTTCAAAGGCTTGGTGCTTCTGGTGCTTGGATTGGATGTTGGCGGGGTCCTTGTAGGACTCCTCCGTGGCGTGCTGGAGTTTCTCGCCGATCCAGTTTTCTATTTCGTCGGCGTCTCGCGAGAATTGTTGCAGCCTACGGAATTACTTATTAGTAGAGGAAATATGATTTAAAAATAGTGTAATAAACTCACGTCTGACTCTCTCCCAATCGGGATCTCTGTTCAATCAACGCTTCCTTCAACTTCTCCCACCGATCGATGACTTGATTTTTCTTATTAACAATTTCATCCTCCGCATAATGCCCAGAGGACACTAATTGATCAGCAAATGCTTGTAACTGCGCCATTTTCTCCTCTTGAGAAGTGAGGGCTTTGTCAAAGTCCTCGTGTTTCTTAATTAAAGCCTCGACGTTGTCGGACTTTTCGTCTCCTGAGGAAGTGGTGGACTCGGTGAGGAATTGTTCCCTGTTGGAAATTTATAAAGTGTGATTAGTACTAAAACTTAAACAGAATATTAGAATACCCACCTCGCCGCCATCCAATTCTCCGTCATCTCGCAGTCCCTCAAGAATAATTGTAATTCCAGACACTGATCCAACTGCATCCTCCTCGCGATCCACTGTTTCTCCAGCTCTTGCCTCGCATCCGCCATGGACTCGAGTTTCTCCCCAATCTCAACCCCAGCGTAGTGCCTCGAGTCCAGTAATTGTTTGCCAAACATTTCAAAGGCTTGGAAGGTCCCGGTACGGGCGTCCATTTCCGTGCGGTGCTCCTGGTGGCGTTCGAGTAGGGCTTCTGCCCCGGTGACGTCCGTGGCCAGTTCGTCAGAGGAGACCAGCGACATTATCGTGTTTATCCAGGTCATGAGGTCGCTATTAATTTTATTCATTAATTTCATTGACTATTAAATCTTACGCAGTAAAATAATAAACCCCTACCGGTAATCACTCAAAAACCTCTGAAGATCATAAGAATCCAACAACTTCTCCTTCCTCGCATTGGCCTTCCCTTGCAACTGCGTCCACTCCGCATTGATCTCCTTCTGCCTCGAATAAATCGGATCCGCCAGCTCCGGATTCGTCTTGATCAATTTACTCGCCATTTCATCCATCTGTCTAATCCTATCCCCCAAAGCAGCCAAATCCCTCTCCAACCCCTCGTGTTTCCTCTGCAAGGCTTGCACCGTCCTCAAATCCTTCCCCAAATCATCCTTACTCAAAGCTTCGTCTTTTTCACTGATCCAATCTTTCGTCTCGTCAACGTCCCGGTGGAATCGTTGGACTTGGTGAGCGGATCCGAGTTTCTCTGCTTTTTCTTGGGTCACGGTTTGGAGGGTTTCCCACTTGGTGTTGAGGTCTTCCAGTTGGGTCTGGATTTTCACGGCGGCCTCCGTCTGGCCAAGGGACATTAGCTGCATTGCTATTACGTTCATCTCGGCGAGGCGGACCTCGTTCGCTTTCAGGTCGGATTGGAAGTCGTCGAACTTTTTCTGCATCACCTCCACTTGCTCGAGGTCGGCGTCGGCGGAGACCTCGGCGACCTGCGGGAATTGTTTAGTTGTAAAAGGGTGGGTGGAGCTTAAAAATTACAATAATTTTATCAACCATACCTGCACCTGCGCATACTGCTCTTTGTCCTTAATCCACTGGGCCAACTCGGCCGCCTCCCTCACCAAAACATACGCTTTGCAGGCATCGTTTAATTTCTCTTGACGTTCTCTCCCCAGTGAAATCAATTGGTTGTACTGGGACTCGATCTGTTTCTGCCGGGCGGTTATGGAGGATTTGTCAGCCAGGTTTTGCTGGGAGGCTGTCAAGGCAGAGTCGATCCGTTTTACATAAGCGGCGGGGACGAAGCCTGAGAGTTTGTTAATTAATTAGCACCCCCACTACTACTACTAATCAATTAATTAATTAAGTTAATTTACCCTGCCGATCATTGACCTCCACCTTCCACCAATCTTTATTATTGGAATTCAACAGCGTGAGGACCTCTCCCTTCTTCATACTGACCTCCCTCGGACTCTTCTCCGTGTAATCATACAAAGCGATGACGACCTCCTTCATCAGACCAAAATTCTCGGACACGGTCGGCGCTTGTTTACAAGTGTCGGCTTGTTCCTTTAACGAGTCAATCGTGGATTTAAACGCTTCTAAATCCGACATTAGAGCTTCGTTTTTCTTTAGCAGGGCTTCGGAGGAGTCCTCGTCTTTCCCTAAATCTTGGTGGGCAAGGACCAGGGGTTCCTTTTCCTTCATCCAGGACTCGGCTTCGTTAGCGTCGGCAAAGTATTGGTGGGCCTGTGATGAGGGTTTTTAGTAATTTACCATAAAAATAAGCATAAAATAAAATCCTCACCAACAACGCATCCTGCAAATCCTTACTCCGCTTCTCCGCCTTCTCCCTCACCCCTGCCCAATTCCCTTTTAATTTATCCACCCTCCTCCCCACCTCTTCCCCCATGAAACTCCCACCTTCAATCAACCCCTGCCCAACCTCACAAACCCCATTAATTTTCCCTTCCCGATTGTTAATCTCCGCCACAACGGCTTGGTGTTTCTTGATCAAATTCTGCACTCCGATCAAATCCCTCCCTCGATTATTACTCGCTACAATCGGCTCTTTTTCCCGAATCCACGACTCCTCATCTTCGATATCCCTGAATAACTGCATAACTCGAGAAGAATCATTTAGTTTCTTTCTCCTATTTTCAATCAACGGTTTCAAATTCTCGTATCTCGTTTGGACTCCGTTTCCTTTCTTAATGATATTTTCAATGTCGAAATGTTCCTTTTCGATGAATTCCTCACAGGCGGATTTTATTTGGTCGACGCGGTCGGAGTGGGAGGACACGTCGGATTCCAGGAGGGTGTGTTTCTTCTGGAGGTTCTGGACGGAGGTGAGGTCCTTGCCGTAGTCTTCGGACGAGAGGGCGCCCTCTATTTCGCCGAGCCAGAGCTCAATGTCTTCCACGGTCCGGTTGAAGGTTTGTTGTTGGGAGGCGTCGTTCTGTTGGAGGGGATTTTATTTAGTTTTAGTCACGGTCGGGGTGGGAATTTATTAAAGTAAAAATTACCAATCTCTCCTCCTTCTTCCCAGCGGCGGCCTCCAGCGCTTCCCACAATCGTGCGATATCCACTAACCGGGTTTCAATTCGTCCTAGAAATCACCAAATATTTATATAAAAATCCCCACAATTTTCTTAAATCCCTATAAAAAACCCCCCTCACCACTCGAGTCCTCCAACACCCCCCCCTGTTCCACCAACTCATCGATCCTGGACTTATTCGCCGCCAACTCCTTCTGAAAATTGGCATGTTTCTGGACTTTCCCATTCAAATTAGTAGGATCCAAGTAAGAATCATCATTGGCTAATTTCAACTTCCCCCTGATCCACCCACACGTCTCGTCGCAGTCCCTCTCGAACTGCATCAGTTTAAACGCTCCTTCCAAGGTCGCTCGGCGGATGGCGGATTTTTCTAGTAACCCATTTCTACGTTCGAGTAACAACTGCCTCCTCTCGGAAACATCCTCCGCGGCGTAGTGCTGGCCTTCGATCAGTTTCGAGGCAAATTCATCCAGCGCTTTTATTTTCTCCTCCTGCGCTGCTAAAGACTTTTCGAAATCTTCATGTTTTTTAATCAAGGCTTCCACGGAGTCGAGGGAGTCGCCGAGGTCTTGGTTTTCTAGAAAAGCTTCTTGCTTCGACATCCAGGTGTCCGCCTAGGAAATAGGAATTTTTAAGCGAAATTATCTTAAAATAACCCAAAAAATTAGTAACCAACCTGCTCCGTGTCCCTATAAAACAGCTGCAAGTCCATGCACTGCTCATAAAGAATCCTCCTCTCCTCCCACAAACTAAGCAAAGTCAACTTCTCCTCATTCAAATTATTCAACTTCTCCCCAACTTCACCCCCCGCAAAGTGGCCTTTATCCACGAGTTGGTTCCCTGATTCTTGGATTAATCTGAAGGAGTCTTCCCTCGCGTCTATTTCTCCTTTGTGTTCTTGGTGGCGTTCGAGTAGGGATTCCGCACCGGCAACGTCTTTTGCGAGTTCATCCGCGGAGATCAGGGAGCGCATGTCATTAATCCAGTTGAGGAGGTCGCGGTACTCGGACAAGAAGCGGTGGAGGGAATAGGAGTCTTCCAGTTTGGATTTTCTTTCCTAATATTTTAGTAATTTATTAGATAGTGGTAAGGAAATCGCAAAAAATAGATTCATACCTCCGCCCGCTTAATCAGCGCCCCCCAGTTCTCCCCGATTTCATTCTCCTTATCCCTGATCTGCCCAGCATGGTCAATGTGAATCCCACACAACCTCTCCGCCTCCTGACTCAAAGTGTTAACTTTATCCTGCAACGCAGCCAAGTCACGTTCCACTCCTTCGTGTTTCCTCTGCAGAGCTTGAATGGAGGCTAAATCCCTCCCGTACTCATCGCTGGATAAAATCACGTCCTTTTCGTTGATCCAAGAGATCGCCTCGTCCGCGTCGCGGTTGAAGCGCTGGATTTCGTGGGCGCCGAATAGCTTTTCTTGCCTTTTGGTTAGGGTTTTTGTTAGTTAATTAAGTAATAAATCATAAAAAATAACCTCTACCTCATAACGGACAACTGCTTCAACCTCCCCCAAGCCTCATTCAACTCTTCCCTCTTCCTCACAATAGTTTCCCCTTCCGGATGCCCCTCCATAACTAATTTCTCCCCCTGTCCATTCACATCCATCACGCGGTACTCCTCACTCGCCATGTCTTTCTGGAACTCGTCGAATTTCCTCTGCAGGACTTCTACGTGTTCCAAATCCGTCCCGAACTCGTCCGCCGTGACGAAGGCTTCTTTGTCCGAGATCCAAAGTAAAACTTCGTCGCAGGAGCGGAGGAACTGGACCAGGACGAGGGCCTGCTGGAGTTTGAGGCCTTTCTCGGCCAGGCGGGAGAGGAGGAGTTCCCATAATTTGTGGAGTTCCTCGAGGCGTTTTCGGATGGTTTCGGAGGCGTAGTGGGATTGGGAGATCATCTCGGAGCCAATGTTGTCCAGGGAGACTATGGCGTTGGAGTGGGCCGAGACTTCGGCTTCGAAGGCCTGTGGGAATTGGAAATTAATGGTGGGTTTACAAGTTGGGTAGGAAATGGGAGTGATAATTAGTGGATAAATAGCCCAACCACTCACCTGATGCTTCTGAATCTTGGCCTGTAAATTAGTCACGTCTTTAAACCCCTCATCACTCGCGGCCTGCAACTTCTCATAAATCCAGCTCTCCAACTCGTCCGCATCCCTTTTAAAGTACTGGAACCTTCTGGAATCTTCTAGTTTTTCTCGTTTCTGCTTCACCTCAGTTTTAAAAGCTGAGTAACGACCTAGCACGGCCTCTCGGCGTTCAGAGATGTCGTCCGCTGTTTCCAGGATTTTTACCTCTTTCTGGGCCGAGGGGGGTTGGTTGGAGCTGGAAGTTGAAGTTGTGGGGGGGGAGGGTTGCTGGTGGGTGGGGGAGGGGACCGGTTCAATGGGTTGTTGTTGGGAGGAGGAAGTGGTGGAGGTGGGGTCGTCGTCGTGGAGGGAATCTTCTTGTTCCTCCATCATCGTTGGGAGAGAGGTGGTGGGTCGTGTTCGTCAAATGGGAATCTAAGGGGAGATGTAATTTAGCAAATAATTAGCAAATTAATTAATGAAAACCTCACCTTTTTTATTTATTTTTACACACTGTCAGAGAGAGAAACGGTGTGTTTATTTAGCTTTTCTCTGCCCGACTGCCGCACCCCGAGTGTAAAACACTTGAGAGTGCCACCACCACCACGTAAGTAACCGGCATGCGCGAGTACACAGTTTTTTAGTGGTGCAGTGATGCAGTGAATTTGAGATGCGATGAGAAAAATGAGATCATCAACGAGACAGACGAGAGGATTGTTGGTGAGGGCGTGTTGTGTAAATATACGAGTGCAGTCACGGCTATTTTTGGGTGTAATTCTCTGGACACACACGCGAACGGAGAGGTTGCATGTTGTTGAGGGAAATGTGGACCAATGGACTCGTTTTTTTAATGCGATATTGGTGGAAAAGGGAAAGTTTTTTTGACAAACCGGAAGCTCTGCTCTGCACGATTTTTTCTGGTGCAAAATTAAATATTCACGCATAGGCTGGATAAATGTTGACCTCATTTTATTCATTCACGTTACCATAACAATATAATATTAAAATATTGCATCCTCCCTCCCCTCCCCCCCCCATAAAAAAACAATAAAAAACACCCCCCCCTTAAAAACCCCCTATTTAATCTTGGTCCCATTGTTCCCCCCCTCCCCACTCAACACCTCCCCCACTTGCTCACTCCCCCTGAGTAAATTATCCCCAGTCTTTTCCCCACTACTCCCCCCACCCCCACTCCCACCCAAAACACTGGCCACCCCACCCACGGTCAAATTCCCCAAGGGTTCCTCCCCTTTCAGTCCTCCTAAAACAACCACTGGGGGTTTGTCTTCATGCAAATATTGAACGGTCGTCGGGGGACCGGGGGGTCGTTTACAGGTCCGCCAGACGTCGCGGGAGGGGCCCTGCAATTTAATCTTTTAGTTGCCATGGCAACAATCCTATAAAGTGTGAACTCACCGTCCCCACATAGCACCACGCGAAGCTCAAGCCCCTGGAGTAGCCGCACTGCCCCCCGTCATCCGGCCGACAGCAAAAATTCCAAGCCCCCTCGTGGTCCGTTTGGCAGTAGTAAAACCCGGCGTCAGAGTTCCGAACACAGGAGTGGAGGCAGGGCTCCCCGTCCACCGTGGTGCGGTGGGTGCTCGGAAATTGGGGATGATTGTAATTATTCTGGTAATTAGTTTGGTAGTAGTTCTGCTGGGGACGGCTCGACCCGTAGTACTCCCGTTGCGCGTAGTTACCACCCGAAGAGGAGGAGGTGGAAGGGTACCACCCGGATTGACTCCACCCACTGGATCCGTACCTCCCCCCTTGACTCCACCCACTCTGACCACTTCCGTACCTATCACTCCCATACCGATCACTCCCATACCGATCGTAATAATCGTCCTGGCGCCTGTTCTCCCCACGACCACACCCACTCAGAGTTTCGTCGTAGATGAGGACGGTGGTGCGGTCATAGTTGTTCCCGCTGGTGGTGAAGTCCTGGTCGCGGAGGGTGTGGCCAGGGGTGGAGGACAGCTGGCAGACTCCGGCAGAGTGGGAGGAGGAGGATTGGGTGGGTCTGGAAGATTGGGGAGGTTTTTAGGAATTGCGAGGTTTACGAAAAAAAATTGTGAAGTTTGCGAAAATGTTTTTTTTTGCGAGGTTTACAGAAATTTGCGAAGGTTACAAAAATGTATTTTTGTAGAGTTTACACAAAATGTTTTTGCGAAGATTACAAAAATTGCGAAGTTTGCAAAAAAAATTGCGAAGTTTACAAAAATGCGAAGTTTACAAAAAAATATTTTTGCGAAGTTTACAAAAAATTGCAAAGTTCACGAAAAAAATTTACAAACTTCACAAAAAAACTCAGCTAAACAAAATAAATATTTTTTGCGAGGTTTATGAAAAAATTGCAAAGCTTACACAAACATATTTTTGCAAAGGTTACAAAAAAATATGTAAAGTTTACAAAAAATATATATTCGCGAAGTTTACACAAAAAATGTACATTTTTGCATAGTACATTTGCAAAGTTCACAAAAAATGATATTTTTATGAAGTTTACAAAAAATATATTTTTGCAAATATTACAAAAAATTACGAGGTTTACTTTTGTAAACTTCGTAAATATACATTTTGCAAACTTCACACAAAAAAATATACAAACTCTACAAAACCATTTTTTTGAAGAGTTTACACAAAAAAATACTTTTTGAAACATTACAGAAAAATTTACAAGGTTCACAAAAAATTATACATATTTTTGCGAAGGTTACCAAAAATTACAAACTTAAAAAAAATATACCAAGTTCACACAAAAAATTTTGCAAACTTCCCAAAAAACATTTTACAAAGATTACAAAAAACCTCCCCTCACCTAAACACCATAACTTTACAAGGAAACCTCAAAACTTGTAAACTCTGCATACACTCCATTTCGCACTCCTCCATGGTTTTCACGGGAAACGTGGCCCTTGCCAATTCTGGTAACAACGGACCCGAGGGGGACTGACCACCCCCCAAACGAAGGCGACTCAGGCAGCCTAAAATAAGGGGTACTTTGAGATTTTCTCATTTTTCTCTCTAAAAATCGAGTGCAGTGGGTGTGGTTGTGTGACCTTTGGTGAATTCTGGTGCTAGTGCTCATGGTGCAGGTGCAATTATTGACCTTTTTCTACTACGTCCGACCCACCACCACCGCTGCCCCCCTTTTCCTTCTGCTTGTGAAGTAGGCCCATGGGGATGGGGGGCTCCTTTTCGTACTTGTGAAGAGTAAGGGTGGTTTGTGGCAGGACCCCCGTGCCCCCAGTGGAAATACCCCCGTTGTCATGGCGACGATCGGTATCGAATCGTCTATCGTTGTCAAGCGGCCGAGGACTGGACTCGGTTTGTTGAAAGTAATTCGTTCGGTCCCCCGGGAGACGGGAGATTTCTTTACCTTGGTTTCCACTGGGGTAAGGGCGCGAGTTGTAGTTCCCCCACCCCCCGGACCCACTGGACCCACCAGGGTAATAACCCGAATTTGACCCACTCCACGTGTTTGACCCTCCGCCGGGTAGTACCCACTGCTGGACCCGTAGTACCCGCCGGACCCACCTGACCCACCTCCACCCACGGGGTACCGATCATACCCACTGCTACCCGGAGGGTACCTCTCATACTGGTCATAAGGGTACCTCTCCCTCCCCTGCTGCCCCTGCCCCCACCTGTCCCCACCCCCACCCATCAAACTCGAACTGGTACTCGTCACGGGTCTATACCTCCCACCCCCTAACCCACTCCCCCCACCTGCCCCCCACTGCCCATTGAGCATGCACTCCCCCCCAATTAATCTCCCCATTTCATAAAGATCAAAGTCCATATCCGGTTCCACATTGTAACTTGGCAACCTGCTCAAATCCGACTCGTACAATTGACACGGCGCACCCCCCGCACCCACTGAATTCCCCCCGCGGGGGAACTCCCCACCCCCGTAACCACGTGACGTGGACCCCCGGTCCGTGTGTCTGCAAACCAACGAACCGATTAACAGTTTCCGTTACCAAGGAAATTATTGCACTTTTGAAGGTCATTCTCCTCTTTATATGATATTAATTTTCCGCTTGGTAACCATGGTAACTGTTAATTATTAATTAGCCCAAGTACCTGAACGCGAAAGCCCTGCACCGAAACAGACTCGTCGTGCAGAGGTGCTCGCACTGCGAGGGGGTCGACGTCTGGTGGGAGGATTTTATCAAAGAGAGGGACATCCGGCCCCCTTTGCGGACCACAACCGCGCAGACTGCGGAATTATTTATTTATTTTTACGTTGTTGCCATGGAAATAAACGAGTAACTATGGAAATACCTCCGAACCCACCCTGCTGCCCCCCCGCGGTGGTCTTACAGAAAGGCTCCCTCTGGAAATAATCATAGTCAAAGTCGTCGATAAAGTCGTACTGGTGGGTGTGGTCCGACTGCTGCGTTTGGAGATAAAACGGGCTCAGCTCGCAGTTGGCGACCTAAGGACACAAGATTTTATTGTTATTTTGCACTAAATCTCCATAGAAACAGTGAACTCACGGGATAAGAATATCCACTCGGCATGTAGCGATAGCTGACGGACCTGCAGGAGAAGGACGCTTCTCGGATGCAGGCATCCTGACACTCGGGCAGCGTCGAGACCGAGATGGATTTTAAGGCGTGGGTTTTTGAGAGGCGTTTCCCTGGGGATTTTTGGAATTAATTTAGTTTTTGGGTGTGCCAATTTTTAGCAAAAAATTTTAGCACGCCAATTTTTAGCAAAAAATTTTGGCACGCCAATTTTTGTGCCAAAATTTTAGCACCCGCCAATTTCCCTGCCAAAAAAATTCATCAAACTCACCACTCATCAACCTGTAGAAACAGTCAATCGGAACCAACCCCCCACCCCCACCCCCACCCCCACCCCTATCCCTCTCCATGAGATAGCTCTTCTCCCCTTTCCCACACCTCTCCCTGCCCTCCCTCCCCACGACATACACGTCCCAAGGAGGTGACTTATCCACGAGGGACATATTTGAACTCGGCGTGGCCCTCGATATCCTCAAATTCAGCGGAGCTATGGCCAACTCACACGTGTTGTTGTACGGGGGGTGCACCCTGTAGAAACATTGAAAATTTAATAATAAATACTAATAAAATCTCCATGGAAACCATGACAACCTACCCATAGGCAAATGCGGCACACCCACTTTGTGCTCCCCCCACCCACCCCACGCACTCCTCCTCACATTCCCTTAGCGACAAGTTTAACACGGTTTTTTGCGGTTGCGCAGACGCAATCCGGTAGCCAGACAACCATTTGGAGGAGCATTTTAATTCTATGGAAACGGAATTTACATTTTATATAACCATGGAAACATAGAAACTGTAAAAAACCTCACCATGGTTACAGTAAACGCAGGTTGCCAAGGTTACGACGTAGGCAAAGATTCGCTTGGGTGACGCCATGGAAACGGAACGGCGACGACGATGAAACAATGACCGGATGTGCACTGCTCAAGTGGTGGACGTGGACTGCGGGGTGGTGGTGCTGATACAGATGCATATGTTGCCATGGTTATTTAATTATTATTATATATGAAGATGAGGATGATGAAGAATCGTCATGCTCATGTGCGTGTGAACCTTCACCCATTTTTTTGTAATTTTATAATTTTTTTTTTTGAAATTGTTTAAAAAGGGGTGTGGCTAGGGGAGGGCGTTCAACTTTTGGATAGAATGGGTGTTGCCATGGAAAGTGTTTTTTTGGAGTTTCTATGGAATTGTTTGCGTAGTTTATTTATTTCACGAACATATTTATTTGCATGTTGGATATTTTATTAGATGGATATTCTCATATATATTTTTTAGTTTCTATAGCAATATAGAATCCTTATTAGCATATTATTCTATTCATATATTTATTCTCACATATATTTATCTGCACATTATTAACAATCATTTCTATAGCAATTAAAAAAATAATTCCCATTGTTTCCGCGTCTTAAAAAATCCACTAAAAACAAACAACAATACCGTTCGTGTCACACTTGATGACTTTTTTTGACGAAATTACGAAGAAGAAGAAGAAGGGAATCACGCCATGATGCGTTTTGTAATTGTTGACGATGAGTGAGTAGTTTTGGTGTCATGACTACGGCGACGCGACGGTGACGAGTGTGAGTAAGTGGGAAATGTGAGACGATGTTTTGAGACGGCCCGTCTCAGACGGGGTTTGAGATGAGACACACTGGTGGAGAGGCGAGATGAGACGATGGGAATTGGCGATTTTGCCAGGGGCTTATGGAGTCAGCGTGTATGTCAGTCGGGGGTGTTTTATTTTAATTTTTAGGGGTGTGATTTGTCAAGTATTTAATATGGGCCAAGTGAGGAGACGAGCAAGGTCAAGTACTCACTAGGGATTGCCAATTGGGGGCAAGAAGAACCTTCGAAAATGACTATTTGAAACTAAAAATCACCAATTTCGAATGGTGAGATGCAACTCTGACTCGGGCCTCCTCCAAATAGAAATAAATAACAAACAAAAACAATAAAAAAACCTCATGACAACACAAATATTAGCATAACCTCTCGGACACTTCTCTTCTTCATCTGTCCCCAATTTCTCTCTCTCTACACAAATCCAACAATTACACAATTCTAAAAGTCGTCTTCTTCATCTTCTTCCTGCTGCTGCTTCTGCCCCACCACCATCGCATCGTCCTCCACACACAACTGCTCATCTTCCTTCACTTCACTCCTCACACAGTTACATTGAAAAAAATTGCACAACACCAACACAGCGAGAGAGGAGCCCATTCTCCCAACACATCATCATCTGAACTGGCTGCACACAGGTGATATTAGACAAAAATTTATGATTATTTGTTCCAAATATTTGTGTGTGCTCATCACCATTTAAAAGATAAATACGTGGCACTCCACTCTCCTCTCTCCGCTCGCGACTCTTTGTGTGCTAATTTTTTTTCACTTATTTTTAGTGGAAGTGTGAGGAGTGAGTGTGTGATTTTTTTGTGGAAAAGTGTGTGTTTTTCTGGAGGAGTGGATTTTTTTTGGATTCGTTGTCGATTCTACAAGGAAATTATCAGTTGGCGGAGAAGGTTAATTTTTCAGCCAAAAAGTTCATTTGATCCACGGAAATTAATTATTTTTCTCCCCAAATTCCAGCAGCTGACCTTCTTCCTCCTCTCCCACCCTCACACATATCACTCCATACATATGACCCACCCATCGTCGCCACTCCTCACCACCTGCACCTTCACCACCCCCTAAATAAAAATGTCCCTCCGCCGCCTGCTCCTCACCTCCCCCTTATCAACCCTCCTCTTCGCACGCCGTGGCCTTTTCCTCAAACTAATCCTCCTCCTCCCGCTCCTCCTTTTTTTCATCCTCATCACCACAAACAAATTACCAAACCTGGACCCTCCACCCCACCAAAATCATCCTCACAACGAACCACTAATCCAACAACACAACAACAACGAATTAGGCTTGGGTGAGTCCAACAACGAAAAAGAACTGAACGTCCTCGCCCCGCCAGGCGACAACCCCGGAGAGAACGGGAAACCTTACAAACCCACTAATTTAACAGAGGCGCAAAAGAAGTTAGTGGGAGAAGGGTGGAAAAACAATGCTTTCAACCAGTTTGTCAGTGATTTGATCTCGGTCAAGAGGAATTTGCCGGACCCAAGGGATCAGTGGTTAGTCACGATTATCTCTAATTAATTAACTAAACAACTAAATAACTATTTACTAATTTAGGTGCAAGGACCAGGACTACTACACCTCCACGGAAACCCCCAAACTCTCCCCCACCTCGGTAATAATCTGTTTCCACAACGAAGCGTGGTCAGTCCTCCTCCGCTCCGTCCACTCCGTCCTCGACCGCTCACCTCCCTCCCTCATCACGGAGGTGATTCTGGTCGACGACTTTTCAGACATGCCCCACCTCGCTGCTCCACTGGAGAATTACTTCAAGGCCTTTCCCAAGGTGAAGATCGTCCGGGCGGGGAAAAGGGAGGGTCAGTAGTTCATTTATTTTCTGGTTTTTGGCAGTTTTCCAGTGGAAATTAACTAATAAATAATATGAAACTTAGGGCTCATCCGCGCCCGCCTGCTCGGGGCAGACGCCGCCACGGGCCCAATCCTCACCTTCTTGGACTCACATATCGAAGCCACCACTGGGTGGTTGGAACCACTCCTCTCACGAATCACCACCAACCCCACGACGGTCGTCTGCCCCGTGATCGACGTGATAGACGACGACACTTTGGAGTATCACTATTCCGATTCTAAAGGGACTTCCGTCGGGGGTTTCGACTGGAACCTGCAGTTCACTTGGCATGCCATTCCGGAGGTGGAGAGGTAAGTGCTTCTAATTAATTAATAAATAATAAAAAATAACCTCTCACGTGTGTATAGAAAACGCCGCCGGAACTCCGCCGAGCCCGTCAACTCCCCGACGATGGCCGGAGGCTTATTCTCCATCGACTCTGCCTTTTTCACCAAATTGGGAAAGTACGACGATGGGTTTGACATTTGGGGGGGAGAGAATTTGGAGATTTCTTTTAAGGTAATTCGCGTGGTTGGTTAGTGTTTCCATGGGAATTAATTTAAAAAATTGTGTGAATAGACGTGGATGTGCGGGGGGACGTTGGAGATAATCCCGTGCAGTCACGTGGGTCACATATTCCGGAAGCGGTCGCCTTACAAGTGGCGGTCGGGGGTGAACGTGCTCCGGAGGAATTCCGTCAGACTGGCCGAGGTCTGGATGGACGAGTACAAAGAATATTATTATCAGAGGATTGGCCATGATTTGGTGAGTCTACTACTGGGGTGGTTTAGTAGGGATTATGGGATCGTGTGTTTGTCGGTCTGTTTGTGTGTCTTATGACTTTGATTATTGCCGTGGAACTAGTCCGATGGAGTTGTAATTTTGGGAATAAGTAGTGTGGGTCAAATGAGGGGATATGTTCGAAAATGGGTTAAATTGGTCGAGTGGTTGCCCAGTGGGGGTAATTTAATTATGCAAAAAAACTCGAATTTCGCGATGATCACAACTTTGACTCGGGCTATAGCAAGTACATGGCGATATAATTGTGACAAAAATTGCAGGGCCAGTACGGAGACATATCATCGCGGAAATCACTGCGTAAAAATTTAGGGTGCAAATCATTCCGTTGGTTTTTGGACACGATTTATCCGGAACTCTTCATTCCCGGGGAGGCCGTCGCCCATGGCGAGGTGAGCACTGGTATTTTTTTAAATCGTTTCCATAGCGACTTAAATTAATTATTTGCAGATTCGAAACCTGGGTCTTGGTGGGTCCACGTGCTTGGATTCCCCCGCCACTAAAAAACAAATGAATAAACCCGTCGGGCTTTATCCTTGCCATGGTAATTGTTTTATACAAAATTGTTTCTATGGAAATTAATTTTTAAATAAAATCCACACAGGCCAAGGGGGCAACCAGTACTGGTCATATTCGAAAACTGGTGAGATCCGCCGTGACGAAATGTGCGTGGACTACGCCGGAACGGACGTCATGATTTATCCCTGCCACGGATCGCTAGGCAACCAACAGTGGATTTTCGAGGAGGACGTGAGTTTTTTTAATATAAAAATTGTAACCACGACAACTAATTAAATTCCAAAATAGACGCACCACGTCCGTCACGGCCCCTCCCGGAAATGCCTCGCTATAAAAACCAAAGAAAAGCTCGTCATGGAAACGTGTGATGAAAACGAGGATCGGCACAAATGGAAATTCGAAAATTACGATAAATCTAAATTATAGAAAACGGGGAAAAAAAGTCAAAATTTAACTGTGATCTTGCATATCTTTTTTTTTTTGTAAATCGTTGTTATGGTGATGGTATTGTTGTTACTACTACGCGTGTGCTTTTATAAATGTCTAGTCCTTCTGGTAATTTCTTTTTTTTATTAATTAATAAAAACAAACTTTTTAAAAATTTCCGTGGCAACGCGACGAATTTATTTCAACACATAAAACTAAACATAAACGGGGCCTTGATTTTGATCCCCTCCTTGTCCCACACCCCCCTGGGTAATCCCCCCTAAACTGTACGCATCGTCAAAGAATCTCCTAAAAGTGAACTCATAAAATCCGTGATAACCACCGCCCTCGCCGCCTCCGATATTCCCACCCAAATCTTGATGGCTTTGGTCGTCACAGGGGTCGAAGTTTGACGTGTCCGTGGGGTGGGTGATTCTCGGGATGTACGGCGCCGTGGTTCGTCGGATGTAGGTTGGGGAGGTGGCGGGGGAGAGGATTAATGGGGGGTCGTGGGGGTCGTGAAGAAGGGGTGGGCCTGTTTTAATACAATAATTAGTAACCATGGCAATGGAATTACGTTGAAACAGTAGTAGGAAGTCAGTTTGGCGAAAGTGCTTTTGGCGAAAGTAATGTTGGCATAAAAAAACAACCATTTGGCGAAAAACATATTTGGTAGTAAAAAAAAACATAATTTCGCCATTGACCATTTCACATTTTTTACCACACTGGCAAAAAAATCTTCGCCACCCAGTCATTCGCCAAACTGATGACCCAAAAAACCTCAGTAACCTCACCTTCACCTCCCTGGCCCCATTCTTCCCGAGTCTCCTCCCGTGATCGGTGCATAATTTAAGGATGAGATCTTTGGCGACGCCTCCGACTTTTTCCCCGTTGGCCCCGACGCGGGGGACCCTGAGCGTCCTCTCCCAGTGGATCACTTTGTACTGTGTTTCTGCGGGGGTGGGTGCGAGGAAGGGCGGCTGGCCCACCAGCATCTCGTACAAAATCACGCCCACCGACCACCAGTCGCACAGCTGCGAGTAACCAATGCGCATGAGCACTTCCGGCGCGATGTAGTTCGGCGTTCCTACCACCGAGTGGGCTAAACAACGCGGGTGGAGCTTGGCTCGGGCCAAACGAGCTTCGAGGGGTTTTTGGGGGGTGGGTGGGGGCGAAGTCGTAGTCGTGGTGCCAGTGGGGGTGGTGTTGGTGGGGGTGCAGGAGCAGGTGAACCTGGAATTTAATTTGGGAATTTTATAAACTTCGCCTGGCCCGAGACGGAAAATCTATAAGAATTAAACTAACCACTGCTGCTCTTCGCCCTGCTGTTGCTGTTGCCCGTCGCAGCCGCCATCACAATTAGAATAATATTTCGAATTATGAGTCCATCTGAATCCAGTACAAAGTCCGAAATCCGTGAGTTTGATATGTCCATCGCGGTCGATTAAAATATTATCCGGTTTTATGTCACGGTGAATAAAACCCATTTTATGCACCGACTCCACTGCGCAGGTCAGCTCTACAGACATACATACACGTTGGTTACATAATCCTTCATTCGGTGTAGAAATTTTTAATTACCCGCGATGTAAAACCTCGCTAGGTCTTCTTCGAAAATTTCTTTTTTAATTAATAAACTCATTAAATCACCGCCAGGGATGTAATCCATTACGAAATAGAGGTTCTCCAGGTCCTGAGGGGAAATTTGGAATTTTTATTATTCTTTAAAGACTTCGCTTGTCCCGAGTCAGAATCAATTTGAAATAATTTTTAAAATCCAGACTCAAGACATCCCAGCGACATAAGCCCTCTCCGACCACAAACCCGTTAAAATGCGTTATAAATAATTTTTAAAAACTTCGCATATCCCGAGTCAGAGTAATTTCCATAATTCCGACTCAAGACATCCCAGCCACATCATCCCCTGCTAAAAAACCCCATACTCACCTGGAAAGAATAGTAAAGCTTGACGACCCACTCATTATCGGCCTCTGCCAAAATGTCCCTTTCGGCCTTGACATGGGCGACCTGGTTCCTTCTGAGGACGTCGCTTTTCCTCAACGTCTTCATGGCGTAGAGCGACCTGGGCTGAGAATCCAGTTTTTGTACGAGAGCAACCTCACCAAAAGCACCAACGCCTATCGTCCGAATCACCTTGAACATCGACTTGTCCATTTTGGCACGTTTTAGTCTGCCCAAAAAATTAATTAGTTAATTACCTTAAATATTATCTAAATTGTAAAATTTCACCTTATGTAATTGGACTCTTTTTGACTTAACATCCTCCTCATTTGGGTTTGAGCTTCTTCGCTGAGCCCGATTTTGGCCATTTCGGATTCTAATTGCATCCTCCGATGGAGCCGTTCCTGGTGCGACTTTATCACGTTCTCCACGTGCTGCTCCATGAAAAATTTAAAGGCCTGCGGGCTGTACACGCGGACCTAGAATTAATTAATTAAAAATTACCACGTGACCTTGTATATTAAAACCTACAGTGCAGACTTGATATAGCCCGAGTCAGTGATACAGTCCTCTTTATAAGTTTTTGTCCGCGGACAACGGACTACTACCCAAATTTCAAGTCGATAGGATGAGTTTTACGACAGTTATCACAAGACAGACGGACGGACAGACGGACATGACAATTACATAAGCCCTGACTCGGGCTAAAAAATTTGCACGTGACTTACCTTCGACTCCATCCGCTCCACCTCCATCTCCCTTGACAACTTTTTCCTCTCCGGAATCGGGCTCTCGTGGGTATGCTTCTTAGGCAGTGACGATGTTTCCCCCACTTGCCCCCCTTGCCCCTGCTGCCTCTCCGACGGTGACCTCTCCAAATTCTTATTATTACTATTTTTAGGAGGCAACGCGGGCAACTTTTTAACGCTACTATTTGGTTTGGGTGGCAGTGGAGGGGCTAGATTAGAGTTAATTAAACCCGTCGCTGTTTGTAACACTGGTTTCGCCACGGGGATGGATTTTATTAATAGCGTAGGTTTTGGTGACGTGGGTGATGTGGAGGATGAGGTGGAGGTTGTGGATAAAGTGGAGGACGGGGTGGGGGAGGGGTGGGGTGGGTAGTTGTTGTAGGTTGGGGGGTCGTGGTGAGGGGTGGGGTGAGGGGGGAGGGTGGTGTGGCGTCGATCCGGCGGAGGAGTTGTTGGACCGAGGGGGGGACTAAAAAATAATATTCAATAATTAATTTTTTAGTGGACCAATTGAGTAAAAATGCAAACCTTGACTTGGGACGAAAGGATACTGCTGAGCACGGTACTCGATCCCTCGATTCCTTCCCTGCGCCCCATTACTAATAACCGGCCCACCATTTTGACTAATAGTGACGGGGCTCTGTTGTTGGCTCCTTCCGGCGGCTCCCACACTTGGCGTCGGACTCTCCCCATTGATGCTCCCGTTGTGAACGGACCCGTTGATGGAAGGGGGTCGATAAATGTTGGAGGATGGAAGTGGTGGGGCTGGAGGGAGAGGTTTGCTCGAGTACTCTGTTGAAGAGGAGAGGGATGAACAGGAAGAGTCGAGCTTGTGGTCGTCGTAGAGTTGGAGGGAGGATTGGGAATTGGGGGGAGGTGGGGGTGGGGGGAGTGGTGGGGCGGTGGAGGGGGGAGAGAGAGGAGGAGCAGGGGTGGGGTTGTACAGAGAGGTGGGGGCGGTGGGGTGGCGAACGGTTGGAGGGAGTTTCTGCAAGGGAAATAGTAATTAGTAAATAGTAATATTAGAGATTTGGTGGATCGATAAAATTTGTGGAGATTTCCAAGCACGAAATCTCAGGCTCAAATCTGTGCCCCGAATTTCCAGTCCCGAATTTGCTCCTCTTTTCTTTCGCACCTGTTGCGCTACTACTACCCTCTGGAAATCTCAATTTTCCTTACTAAAATTCGATGCGCTGATCTCACTGGACCGCATGCGATGACCCAAACTAATCCACTTATCACCCCACACTTTACTACTAATAAAACCCGCATTTTAACCCACGTTCCACAGATAACCCCGTAAAACACCCTCAAAAAAACCTCCACAGTTCTCCCCAACAAAACCAACCCCTCAGAAACCCATATATTTTTTATCCACTCACCTAATCTCCTGCAGGGCCTTCTGATGATAGCTCGACCTGATCAGAAACAACCGATTGTTCAGCTCCTTTTCCTTCAGCTGATTTTGAGTGGGTGTAGGGCTGGACTGATTCCCCACCACTCCCACTCCTCCTCCCGACTGAGACTGCGACTGTGACGAACCACCCAATTTCTCTTGGCTTATCATTTCTCATTATTTTCCACTTTTTTTAAAAGAAAAAAATAAACTCAAAACTAAACTCAAAAGTAAATCTAAATTTCCAAATTTCCTTAGCTCTCTGGCTGGGCTGTTTTTTTTTCTTCACTTCACTCACTTCTTCGAGTAAAATATAATAACACAACATTCCAATCTGATGACGTAAAAATTTTGAGTCTTCAAAATCAAGTGAAACTGCGAGCGCGATCTGCCTGCTGTACTTTGCATTAGGGATTTAATTTTTGTGTATTTGAGTTATTTGGGTTGGGTCTCGGGTGGAGAATTGTTATTTTTCCAAAGAGAGTTTATTCCAATGGACGTGAAGGAAAACGGTGGTGCGGACGGTGGGGGGGAGGACACGGGTGGGAGTGACGTCCCGGAGATTGAGCTGATCATCAAGGTGGGTTTTTTGGAGGGAGAGAGTTTTTTGGAGAAAGGAAATGATGAGCAACAGGTTATTTATTTTGACTCACCTTTTTCGCAGGCCTCCACGATCGACGGTCGTCGAAAAGGGGCGTGTTTATTTTGCCAAGAGTATTTTATGGACCTTTACCTCCTCGCAGAGCTGAAAACCATTTCACTCAAAGGTTTGCTAATTAATTAATTGGGGATTATTGACTAATTGACTCAAATTTTTTCTCCTATTGAAAAACCCCGCAGTGACGACGGTGGACATGCAGAAACCGCCTCCAGACTTCCGTTCTAATTTCGAAGCGACGCCACCCCCGATTTTGATCGACGGTGGGCTCGCAGTGCTCGAAAATGAGAAGATTGAAAGGTAGGTTTTTAGCTGAAAATTGTGGAATTACTTGAGAAAAAAATAATGAAAATGATGAAAAAATTCCCGTGGCAGGCACATAATGAAGAACATTCCAGGCGGCCACAATTTATTCGTTCAGGACAAGGAGGTTGCCACGCTGATTGAAAATGTTTATTCCGTGAGTCCATTTATTTCTCCTTTCGCCCACCATCAACTAACCCCACCTTTTCCCTAATTTCTCTAGAAATTCAAGTTGATGCTCCTAAAAAAGGACCCCCCCTCGATTTCCACCCTGATCGCGCACTTGACCAAGATAGACACGCATTTGGGTCAGAAATCGACCCGATTCCTCACGGGCGACACGTTGTGCTGTTTCGACTGCGAGTTGATGCCGAGGCTGCAGCACATCCGCGTCGCGGGGTCGTTCTTCGTCAACGGGTTCAGTATTCCGGAGGGGTTAGTGACTCTTATAATTTGCATATTTTACTAGTGCTAATGAGTAACTGTAGGCTGGGCAACTTGTGGAAATACATGGGAGCGATGTACGAGTTGGACGCGTTCAGCCAGAGCGTCCCCGCCGATCAGGACATTCTGAACCATTACAAGTTGCAGCAGGTCAGCTTTGCTAAATTTTCCAGTGGAATAAATAATTAACCCAAAAAATCTTATAGGGCGTCAAAGTCGCGAAGCACGAGGAGTTGGAGACCCCAACGTACACGACGTCCATTCCGAATTAATAAAACCAAATAAACCATCCAATATAACAAAAACTTTATTAAATAAATATATTTTTCTTTAACTAATGACACACTCTGATGATGCTGTCCCCACTCCACCCTTGTTGACTCCCTTGTTCTTCCCCTGTTTCTTATTGTCAATAAATTTAGGCTGTTGAATTGGATTGAAAATAAATTCTTGTTCACTTTCACTCGTTGTTGTGCTCTCACTCGTCTCACTGCTCTCACTCTCGTCGCCATTAACGTCGTCACTAAAACGGATCCTCGGGCGAGTTGGGGTTTGGGAGGTGGTTTGTTGTAGGGTGGAGACCAGTTTGGAGAGCGTTTGGGGTAGGTGGGGGTCGGATAAGGATAAAGTTAGGGTGGCGCCTTGGGGGGTTTTCAGCGTGAGGAGTTGGGATTGTGGAGGTGGTGGGTCAGGTTTGGTGGAGGTGGTGGTGGGGGATTTTATGGAGGGTTTCTTAGTGGGTGTCTTAAGAGGTGATAAGGGCGACTTCGCTGGGGCCGCAGAATAAATCCCATCCAGCGACGGCAATCCTATCGGTGCGTTCACTGCGCTGCTTATCTTTTCCTCCACGGTCTCTTCCACTCTTTGCTCATCCCTCGTCGTCGTCGTCTGCTGCTCCCCTCTCTGCTCCCTCTGCGACTGCGCATAAATATTCTCCTCCACCTTTTCAATCTCCCTCCTGGAAGCAAAATCCGGTTCCACACTCCTCATTTCAAACCTCCGTTTATTCTCAGATTTCATTTTCGACTGTGCTTCATCCTCCTCATCCGTCGGACCACCCACCGGCGTGGGCGTCGTATTCACTTTATTCTGACCACCACGACTGCACTGGATCGAGCAAAATATTTTCCCTCTTCTCGGTAAAAATGGTATTCCCAACAGGGATTTGTCACACTCCGCGCAGGCGAAACAGGAGGACGTGGCGTGCCAGTGCTGGCCCTCGTGGGTCATTTGGCCTGCGGGGGTTTTAGGGTTATTTTATTGCCAGTGGATATAAATTAATTAAATCTACCTTGGTCCACCCCGATGGGCTCCCCGCAAGAGTCGCAGTACTCGGCAAAGATGGAGTCGAAACAGGTGAGGCAAAAGGGTGAGGAATTTTTCATAATGTAACGCTGACCACCGAGAACACATTGACATTCGCAGCAGCAGAAATGACCCATGTGGAAGGCTTTCCCCTCCGCTTCTGTGCACTGCAATTTATTATTTATTTTCAATGCTGGCCAATACATTACTAAATAAAAAACCCACCTCATCACTGAAAATGATTTCATCGCATGACCAGCATCTGGGTTTCAGCGTTTCCGCGTGATGCCGTCCGCAGTACAATTTCTCCTCCACGACGAAATAAATACAATCCACCAACAACTCCCGGCAGACGGAACAGACGAAACAGGGCGGATGATACGTGGCAGAGACGCGCGAGGCCGTGATCACCAGGTCCGTCGAGTAGTAGGGGGAGGTGCACTGTGGTAATTAATCATTGTAAATATTGTCACAATTAATAAATAAATTAAAAACCAACCTCCCCGCAGAAGCCGCTCTTCTCCGCGACCCTAACAACCCCTCTCCCCAGGGCCTCCCTTTTCCTCTGATTATTAAAAATGAGAAACTCCTTCGTCTCCTCTGGAGATAATCCTTGGCAATATCGAGGCTCGTTGTCGTGCGGGGGCAGTTGGGTGAGCAGAGCGTTGATCCGGGACTTTTCACCCACAGAGTTTAAATACGGGATGGAGGATTCAGGGAGGGTCGAGAAGTAGAGGTGCACCTGTGGTTTTATTAGTTTTATTAGTCAATACTTATGTCAGAGGATGATAATAATTCTAATCCCACCTGCTCAGCGGACAACCCTGGAGGGACCCAGCTGTACTCTTCCAACGCGCAACCAGAGTCATCATCTGAGGTTTTTATTGTGGATGTGGTTGGAGTTGTTGGCGTTGGGGTTGTCGTCACGGGTGGGGTCGTCAATGGAGGGGTCGCCATTTGTGGTTTGACTCCCTCTTTTGAACTGCAATTAATATTTTTATTAGAAAAATTACTACTAAAAACGCTTAAACTAGTAAAGCTACCCAAAAATAAAGCTCCTTCTCCCACTATTTCTACTGTTTAACTTTCTTCCACTATTATTTTCCATGCCGTACAACCAGCAAACTTTCCACCAGCCACTCCCACTGGGGTTATTTCGTACAAGAGGAGGTGGTGGGTGCGGTGGGCTCGTGGGTGGCGTCGTCATTTTTTTTAAATAACAATGCGACGAGATTCTCTCACGAGAGAGATTGGAAAATATATAAACGCCTCGAGGCAGTGTATGTTAGAGGAAAAGGGGTTGCAGCGTTGCATAGAAGATAGCGAAGCTCAGGGGGTTGGAAGATAATAAAAAGACGAGAGAGAAACAGGTTCTTGAGAGAATCAAGCAGTAGCAGCAGGTGGAGAGAAATATAAAGAAATTCCTCGACGAGGGGTGAGAATCGTCGAAAGGAGATCTCGCTCTAGGAGAGGGGATGCTTTTTTTGTATCAAAATCTCTCTAGAGTTACGTCGGTGAAAATCATATGCTGGTTTTCGATTTGGGTTTTTCTAGGGTGGATTATTTTTTTGAGGTATAATCTAATTAATTTTTTAGGAATTACTTACTTTTTCGGGAGAAATGTTGGTATTTTTGAGAAGAAGTTGACTTTGATTCTGAATCGGATCTTCTCACCAACACCAAAAACTAAACACACCAACACGCACGCACTATGCAACTTTGGAGATGTTCTAAAAATAGAGTCCGTACTCCCCCTTTTGAAATCTCCGGCTTCGGTTTTTCCCCTCTCTTCCCCTCTTCTCACTCTCCGTTCGTCTTCTCCGTCTCCTCTACAAAAATCTCACTGCAAAAATCTCTCCCTTCAAAATTTCTCCTCAAAAAATTTCCCCCCCACTGCCACCACCATCACCACTGACACTGCCACCACAGACATTGAAACTGTCTCCAAACCCCAATAAAATACGATAAAACACTATGGGAATTTCCACCCGTCTTCTTCTCATCATCTCACCCGCACACCACTTTTCTTCACTCCTCTACTTCAGAGAGATTCCACGACAGACTGACTTCTTTTTTTCTGTCTTCTTCGTTGTGTCACTTGTTCAAAACACACTTGAAAAGATTGAAAAGATGACTTTGCACTTTGTTTTTCTTTGATTTCTTCTTCTCTCAATTCAAACTTCTAAAGAAATCCAAAAGAATTAAAGAAAAAAAAACAGTTGCAAAACAGTTGAAGGAACAAGCTTACTTCACAAAATTAATCTCACGCTGCCTCTTGGTCTCCAACTTCCTCACTTCGTCTCACTTTTCTCACCAGCACTCGCTTCACCAACCGACCAACTGCTGCCACCTCCACTCTTCCCCACTCGCCACTCTTAAAATCAAATCAAACCAAAATAAATCCCACTCTTCTCAGTCTCCACACAGAAAAAGACGAACGAAGATCGCCGTTCAATTCTTCTTCACATAAATTCTCCTATAAATTTCTGTGAAAAATAAAAAATGTCCTCCGGGGAATCCTCCGAGGAGGAAGGGTCACCTCGAAAATTCGTCCATTCGGACTCAGACTCAGACCACGGCCCGGGTTCTAATAAACGACCGCCTCCCGTTCATCAGCAGGATAACGAGGAGGAGGATGAGGTGAGGAATTACTAATTTATGAGAGCACGTGGAAATATATTCGTTATTAATTGATAACCACTTATCCAGTACTACTCCTCCTCTGAGGACGAGGACAACCGCGCCGCCGCACGTCGCAAGAAGAAAAAGAGGCGGACGGGATACTCGGATTTTATCATCGAGGAGGCGGAGGTAGGATTATTATTTTAATTATTTATTGCATAAATTAAAAAATAACCACACAAAAAACCCAGGTCGACGACGAAGTGGAGGAAGACGACGAATGGGAGGATGGAGCCGAGCACCTTATTTCGCAAGCAGAAATGGACGAGCAGGGTCCCACCGCCCGGGACATTGAAGGCAGTTTGCGTCGAAAAACCGGGCTCAACAATATGTGGGAGTAAGTAATTTAATTTAACTCACCAAACCCCAAAAACCTCACAAAAAAACCCACTTTCCCAGCGCCCAAAAGGAAGAAGAACTTGAAGAGTACCTCCGCAAAAAATACGCGGAGGACGCCGTGGCGCAACGACATTTTGGCGACGGGAACGAGGACATGTCGGACGAGATAACGCAGCAAACTCTGCTCCCGGGAATAAAAGACCCCTCCCTTTGGATGGTCAAGTGTCGTTTGGGAGAGGAGAAAATCACCGTTCTTCAACTGATGAGAAAAGCGATTGCGTACTCGAATAATAATGAACATGAACCTTTGCAAATTAAATCCGTCATTGCTCCGGAAGGAATTAAAGGATATGTTTACATTGAAGCGTACAAACAGACCCATGTCAAGCAGGTTGGTTTATTTTATTTTAATTTAATTGACAAAAACCTTTAATAAAAAAATCCCCACAGGCAATCGAAGGGATAGGAAACCTCCGGATGGGCCTCTACAAACAGCAAATGGTTCCCATCTCCGAAATGACGGACGTCCTCCGCGTGACAAAAGAGCAAACGGGATTAAAGCCAAAACAATGGGTTCGATTAAAACGAGGGATCTACAAGGACGACTTGGCTCAAATCGACTACGTCGATCTAGCCCAGAACCAATGCCACTTAAAACTCCTCCCACGAATTGACTACACAAGAATGCGCGGGGGTAAAAAAGATGATAAACAAGATGATTCAAAACGTAAAAAGAAACGTCGCCCGATAGCAAAACCTTTCAATCAGCAGGACATTCGCGATATCGGAGGTGATATCACGTCGGATGGAGATTTCCTCATTTTTGAATCTAATCGTTACTCACACAAAGGATTTCTTTATAAAACGTTTCAATTAAACGGGATTTTAACGGAAGGGGTGACTCCCACGTTAGCTGAGTTGGAGAAATTTGGTGAAGTTCCAATCGAGGGATTGGAATTGGATGGGGTTGCCTCTGCTGCGGCGAATACCAATTTGAAACAGGAGGAAACACATAATTTCGCCACGGGAGATAACGTCGAGGTCGCGGAAGGGGAATTGAGTCATTTACAGGGGAAAATTCTTGCTATTGATGGGAATAAAATTACGATTATGCCGAGGCATGAGGATTTGAAGGTGGGTTTTTTATCGTAATTTTACACTAGAAAAAAAACTAACCAAAAATTTAAAAATAATCCACAGGACCCCCTCGACTTCCAACCCTCTGAACTCCGCAAATACTTCCAACAAGGCGACCACGTCCGAGTAATAACCGGAAAATACGAAGGCGACACCGGCCTAATCGTCCGCGTGGAGGATCATTGCGTTTATCTCTTCTCCGACCTGACAATGCACGAGCTGAAAGTCCTACCAAAAGATCTCCAACTCTGTTCCGATATGGCAAGCGGAGTGGATTCGATGGGACATTTCCAATGGGGCGACCTCGTCCAATTGGACTCACAAACCGTGGGAGTAATCGTGAGACTAGAAAAAGAACTCTTCCACGTCCTCTCAATGCAAGGAAAAGTTGTGCAAGTCAAACCGCAGTCTATCCAGAAAAAGCGAGAGTCAAAATACGTGATGGGCGTTGATTCACGTGGAAATACGATTCAAAAACGTGACATTGTGAACGTCGTGGACGGTTCGAGTCCGGATAACCAAGGCGAAGTTAGACATATTTTTAAGAACTATGTTTTCCTCTATAGCCGAATGTGTTTGGAGAATGGTGGAGTTTTCGTTGTTAAATCAAATCATTTGGAAGTTGCGGGTGGGGTTAAATCCACTGCGCCGACGAATGTTGGGTTGGGATTTATGTCGCCAAGATTATCCTCCCCTGCTCATCCTAGTAGTGGTGGGGGTGGTGGAAGTGCACCAAATATCCTAAGTGGTGGTAGGAGTCCTTCGTTGGGTGGAAAAATATCCACCGGATCAGGGCCAAGGGTCGGACGTAACAGGGATTTAATTGGCCAAACTATTAAAATAACACAAGGACATTACAAAGGATCGATTGGGATTGTGAAGGATGCGACGGAGACGACGGCGAGGGTGGAATTGCACTCGAGTTGTCAAACGATTTCCGTGGATTGTAACAGGATTCAAGTTATCGGAGGAGCGGGTGGGAAGACTGGGAATGTTACTACTTACTCCAAAACACCAAGGGCAGAGAGCACGTGGGGTAAAACTCCTGCTTATGAGGGTGGAAGGACCCCTGGGTATGAAGGGGGCAGGACTCCTGGGTATCAGGATGGCTCGAGGACGCCAGGGTATGAAGGTGGGAGGACGCCGGGGTACGAGGGGGGTAGGACTCCCGGTTATGAAGGTAAGTTACTTCATTTACTCATATTTAGTGTGGATAACTAATATTTTGTGTAATTTCAGGCCCCCGCACACCCCACCACTTGGGCTCCGGCTCCACGACCCCCGCCCGGCCAACCTCCACTCCCGACGGGGACGATTCCTGGGAACCCCTCGGTTACACGACAAACCCACAAACCCCCGGAGGAGCCTATCACAACACGCCATACACACCCGCCACCCCGGGAGGCTACGCCTCAGACCATGGTTACTCCCCGTATAACCAACAGCAGCCCTCACCCGCCGGGGTTTACAACACAAATCCGAGCCCTGTTGGTTCTTATGATCACAATATTCCAAGTCCAAGCAGTGCTTACCATTTTGCAAGCACGGTTCCTTCGCCGGGTGGTGGGTACGGATTTGGTGGGACGGTTGGGAGTAGTCCCATGACGCCGAGTGCGGGGTTGGGCGTGGGATTCATTCCTCCTGGGACGCCCGGAACGGGTAATTTATTAATTTATTTAAATTATTAATGCAAATATTTAAAATACTAATTCCTCGAATGCAGGCCTGGACCCGTACTCCACGGCGCAATCGAGTCACACCCCGCACACGGACTGGTTAAGCACCGGAATTGAAGTGAAGATAAAGGACTCCATTCCCGAGTCTGGTCTCAAGCGACAGATTGGAATCGTTCGGAACGTGTTGGCTGGAAGCTGTGCCGTGTTTCTCATCCAAGAAGAACGGACGGTTAACATTATTTCCGAGTATCTCGTCCCCGTGCTCCCGAGGACTGGTAATTTTAATCTATTTATAATCCATAAACTATTTAACAACCCCCCCCCTTTCCACAGGCGACCGAATCAAGGTCTCGACGGGTGACCACTACCGCGAGTCAACCGGAACGCTCCGATCCGTTGACGGGAACGATGGCGTGGTTCAACTTGACGCTACAAATTTAGGCCACGACGACGTTCTCAAAATCTTTCCACTCAATTTCCTCTGCAAATTGGTCGAATTTTAACCAACCGCGACGACGTTTTCTTTTTGTATTAACATTTATTTTCTCGTGCTGCAATTATTTAAAGAATTTGTTCATTTCCATTTAAAAATAATAATAAAAATCTCCACAAAAAAATTGTCAATTCAAATTCTTTATTTACACATCCACACGTGCGATTTTTTAAAATTTAAAATTTAAAAATTCCACATTAAAATCTCTTGTTTAAAATTTGAAAAAAATCATCCGACGTCCACATTAAAATACAATTTCGACAATAAAATATCATTTTTGTTCGGCTTGTTTTTTGGCAAATAATTGTTTTTGGGTTTCGAAGCCGAAACCTTCATCATAATTTCCTTTAATCTTAAACAATTGTTTAAAATGGTTCTTGCAGTACAACGCCCCGTGGTGGAAGGTGAAGGCGTCCAGCCTGTGGACATAATAATTTATTAGCATGAAACCTTTACTAAATAAAGAAACACGCCTACCTCATGATCGTTTTGCAGACGGAGCACCTGAAGCAAGTTTTATGATAAACTTGTGAATTGGCTTCTAATTTTTCCATCGCGTACACTTTTTTCTCGCAAAAAGCGCAATTTGAGTCGGCCATCGTGTTATTATAACTCGTGGGCGAAGGAGTGGTGGAGATAATCAAGGAGGAAAATATCGAGGGAGCGGCAGAGTCGATGTAATCAGGCGACGAGTCAGGATCGTAGTCGGACTATGGAATTTTATATTTTATTTTAAACCGTTTTTTTAAGAAATTAAATTAATTACCTCTGAAAAACCCAGGCAGGCGAGAGAGTTTCCGAACAAGCGTGAAGAGAGTGTGAAGAGAGAGAGCGAATAAACAACTGAGCGAATAAATACTAGCGAGAAATGAAGGAAAAAGGAGAAAACACGACACCACTACTGAAAACGAGATTCAGTAGTGGCGTTTGTCGTCGTCGCGTTGGCTGAGGGTGACCTTTAAAAATTGTACAAAGCCTTGAAAAATGGAACGGCGATAATCGCACAAGGTCGGGTGCGGTTATTTTTATATACAAGTGAAAGGACACGAATGCTGCTGAGAAAATGAATGAGCTCTGAGAGAGAGATTTGCGGGAGATGCGGGAATTGGGAGAGAGAGGAAACGGAAGTGAGGATGGTGGTGGTGTGCATACGGTGGAACTTCCACACACCGTGGATTTTTGGAGAGATTGAGAAGAGAGAAGTGAGAGTGAGACATGCTGTGGAATTTTTCAGCAGAAGAAGAGTCTCTCTTATCACTAGATCCGGATCATATATAAAATGCATAAAGATATGCAATAATATCCCCACATTACATAAATTACAAAGCACATTTTATTTATTTTTGGCAAAATAATTTACTAAAAAGCCCAGCACCACCCCGAACAGCCGATGAAGAAGAAACCACATTTTTCAAAGCCCCAGGATTCACTATTTGTACACAAAACATTGCAATTTATATAGCAAAATAAATCCCGAATGGAAAACTAACTCACCACAAATCTCCTGACGACCACTTTGGCCTTGCTCGCTTTGATTTCTTGCTCTTGTCGCATTTTCTCTTCAAATTTCGCTCTGAGAATACTCGCAGATTCGATACTTTGATTTTGACCATCGGCGTCCTCACCGGATTCCAACGCGATGGGAGCGGTTTCCAAATGCGATTTTTTATTTCGTTCATTTTCACACTGTTCCCATTTCTCGAATCTTGCACGGAGCGAGCGGGCCTTGGCCAGGGACTAAAGTCACGTTTTTTTTTGTTATAAAGATCATGAAAATGATAAAATTATAGAAAAACATACCCCGACTTCCTTTAAGAAAGCATCTTTTTCCGTATCGACCACGCCGCCTTCTTCGCCATCTTCACATTCCTCGTCATTATCATTTTCATCGTCACTCCTCCCGCTGTCGCAGTTATCTTTAATGGTGTCTCCCCTCGGAGGAGTAAATTCCTTAAATTTCCTTTCCCCTTTGGCAACCGGTTTATCCTGTTGAGATTCCAATTCGCGGAAAACAGAGAGCATTTTCGAGGCAGTTTTTGATTTGGTTAAAATACATTGTTCCATTGGGTCAGTTGTCGGTGTGGTCACCGTGGGGTCCACATAGCGCGTGGGGCTCTATGTTTTTTTTAGAAAAAATATATGAATTTCTGAGAATTGAGATATGAAAAAATAATAATGATTACAATTTTCCCCCCAGGATTTTCCCCTTCTCTTTCAGGTGTGATTCTGAAAACTTTCCCCTGTTGTTGCTGTTGTTCTTTTTGTTGTTCAAAAAATTTGAATTTTTCCCTCAATGATTCTGTTTCGATTTTTATTTCGTCTTGTGTCGAGTCCGAACGAATTATTTCTTGGTTCGCCGTTGGCAGTGTGGTTATGAATCGCGTGGGGCCGCGAGTGGTGACGGGCTTCACAGGTTCCTGTGTCGATACATAATTTTTATAATATTTATCCCCAAAAATAACTAAAAAACCCACCATCATCTGCTGCTTATCTAACTGTTGCCATAATTTCCTGCCCTCCTTCCCCACGCCAGCTTCGAAAACGTCCATGTCCAATTTATTTTTATTCCCATCGTCATTTTCATCCTCACGGTAAATTTCTCCTTTTTCAAACAATTCCTTTAATTTACGATTGTTCGCGTGACAATTTAGTGACTCCAATTCAGACACGTTTGTCGATTCCGAGCCGGTGGACTCATTTTTAGTCAATCCTTGTTCGTATAAAGTTTTCAGATTCGTGGATTTTCCTTGACACAAGCGGGACCTGCAAAAAATCATGGAAATTATAAAAAAATTCCCCACGACATTCCTAGAAAAGCACCCACCGAAACCTGGCCATTTCTGACTTTCTCTCCTCCGCCATTTGTTCCTGTGTTCTCGCTTCAATCGAATCACCTTGATCATTTGACTTCCATTTATTTCTCACTTCTTCCAATTGTTTTTGCTGCATAATTTCCTGCATCGCTGTCAGTGGTGACTTTATTTTAATTCTCTCTTGTTCTTCTTCCTCCGACTCTTCCCCATTTAATTCCACGCCATTTCCGACTAATTCCTCCGTTAAAACACCATTCGTTGACGATGCTGACTTTTCGTATTTCGCTAATTTCGCTAATACCGAAGGGGATCTGTAAACAGAAATTTTGTAATCATTTCCATAAATAATTAAATTAATTAAATCACCTCTTAACCGGCGGTCCCTGAATTTTATCAGCTCCACCCAAATCAGCATCGTCACTTTTCTTCTTTTCAAACATTTCAAATCTTGATTTGACATCAATTTGCAAGTCTTCCAACCCAGTTCCCAAACTGTCGGATGCTATAAAATTACGTGGAAATAAAAATAAAAAACAATTGGTTTCCATAATCTAAACGGTGCTGAGGAGAGAGAGAGTAGAACATACCCCGAACAACGTCAGGTGGTAATTGGACGGGGTCATTTTCACGGATGATGCATGTAGGTTTTGGTTTCGTCACCGGTTCCATTTCCTCCTCTGAAGAACGAATCACTTGTTTTGGGAGAAATAATGAGCGGTGGTGCGGCTGTGTAATAATTATTCTGTTTTAAATTTAATCGTTTGCATAGATTTGGATAAAGACGAACCTTGCAGTAGAGTTTTCCTTCATGGGAACTGTACGTGTCCACGCTGAAATCGGAGAGAGTGATAGTAAAATTTGACATAATTTGCAAAACTCAAACTCACCTCAACTGCTTTTGGCATTCAACACAGCGAAAGCAATTTTTATGCCAGGATGACTTTTCTGCTTTTATCAATTCCACAAGAAATACTTCCTTCGAACACGACTTGCATATTTTTTGGTTGCTCTGCAATTATTTTAAATTTAAATATTGTCACAATTTTACATATAATTTTAAAAAAACTTACTCCATTAGCTTCCTGTTCTTTCAACGTTCTCTTTTGCAATTTATCAAATTTGGAGAAGCTGGATTTCTGCAGATAAAAATGATCCTTTAGTTTATTAAAATTTTGTTAAAATTCCCATATAAAATAAAAACTAACCAAACAACCACCACCACCCGACCAAACAGTAGGTGAAATAATTAATCTGCCATTTGTTAGCTGTTAATAAGGCCCGACGGATTTTGTTAATAGATTGTTAGTTTTTTTTATCCCCATTAAAGAAAAACATAACCAAAAACTCACACTACTCCTCTGGAGTTGATCATCACTGGCAGGATCACTGGATTTTGATCGACTATTCCAATCAAGGCTCGAGAAATCAGACTGATTATTATTACGTTCACAAATTAGAGACCCGAAACTTCGTCTCTAAATATTTAATGTTTTTAATTCACAAACTCAAAACAAACTCAAATCAAACAAACAAAAAAAACACTAACCAACTCTGCAACACAAACTTTAGCAAAAACTTTAGATTCCCCCAACGGAAATCCAGTTGGATTATTAATTGGGAATAAATTAGCTTGATTAATTTCCTATTATTAATTTCCAAACATTAGTCACTCAAAAAAAAACAGCAAAAAAATCAAATAAAAACCTTTTTCCTTTGTAATTTGTTCCCAACGGCGTCATTTTCTTGAACAACTTGTTGCTGTTCTTCGTGGTGTTCTTCTTCTTCCTGTTGCTGCTTCATGACGACCTGTTCGGATTGAACAACTTGCTGCTGAGTGACTTGTTTTTGAACGACCATTTTCTTCTTTTCTTTACTAGACGACTCCGTTGATGACTGTGTTTTTATCACCGTTTTTTGTTGCGTTATCTGTTGATGCGTACTTATCGAGGTTGTGTTTGATCCTTCTTTGACATGTTGAACTGACTGCTGTTGCTGCTCCTGCTTCACCTCTTTGACTTCCTTGACCTATTTTTTCACAGAAAAAAAAATAAGTAAAACCCCACCAAAAAAAACACAAAAATTAGTACAAAACCCACACACACATTGTTAATATTAAAATCATGCAATACGGATAAATCCGGTTGTGGTTCTGGGGATTTATTTAAATCTTCTTCAAACAAAAGCTCTTCTTCCTCTTCGTCCTCTTCCCCTCCGGAATGGTTGTTGTTGGCCATCATGGATGACGACGACGACGAGTAATTAGTTTTCTCACTCTCGATTAGTTGAGTAAATGTGCTTACGGATGATTTCTGCTTCTTTGAAGACATATTTCTTTTCGAAAAAGAGAAAAATCTATACAAATTTCCCCACTGCTTCTGCTCCTCCAAAAATCCCAAAGAGTTAAAAATGCGAATGACTAACTGCGAAGACTGCCAAGGCGACGACGAGCGGAGTCACAAGAATATCCGAAAAATCACCCACTCCTTTACACTTTACTCCTTCCTCGGTTTCACTCTCTCCACTCGTCGTTCTTTTTGGAGTATATTTTTTTATGAAAACTGTTGCTATTTTTAGTCTGAAAACATTTATAGAGAGAAAACTGCAGCAGTAGGAGAATCTCATCCGCAGAGAAGAAGAAGAGACAGGTTACAAGTTCCGGCTTATGTGCTTAAACCAGTGAATGAACTTTAACTGCTACTTTTGCTCTGCTGCCTGCTGCATTCCACTAAAATACAAGACAGAAGAAGAAGAAGAGCTACTACGGTAAAAACTAAACAACACGATAGAGATGAGATTATTATTATATAGAGGAAAAAAAGAAGAGTGGAATGGCCTGAGGGCATGCACTATAATGTTGTGATGAATGCACTAACACCAGTTCAATTCTCTCTTCTCGTCTGTAGTCCGTAGTCCTCGTAGTCTTTTTTATAGTTAAAAAGTTTTATTTCTTCTTAAACATCATCAAACAAATCTCTGGGTGGGTTAGTACAGTTATTACTGCTGCTACCAATGCTACCACTACCGATGGCTCCTCCTCCGCCCGATTGTGATTGTATTGATGAACTTAATGCATCTGTGTATATACAAAATAGAAATTAATCTCAATTAAAAAATTAGTCTAGAGAAATATGCACAAAACTCACTTCGATTCCTAACTTCCGAGTTCTCATCGTATCTCCAATTTCGATTAGATTGTTGATTTTCTTGAGAACGGAGGCGGCGTCGCTTTTCTAAAATAAAATTTCTACAATTTCCTGATAATTTTAATAATAATTTTATTTTCCCAACCTCTTGCCACCAACTCTTTCCCCTCTCTGACTAAATCTCCCGTAGAATCATCTCCACCCACATCATCCACATTTTCTTCAAAGAATTGTTCCACTCCGACCATGGCGAGTAGTCTTTTTCCAACTTTGAAGTAGGTTAATAAGCTAACGATTAGTATTCCCATTGGGAAATAAATGTTAAATCCGTCAGCAATTAGGGAAATCACGTCCATGTGACCCATGATTTTCGTGTATGAGGTTTCCTGTGAGTGTGATTTGATTATGTGGGAATCCAAATGAAATAAAGAGATCACATTCAAACATAACGGTGGCGTCAGACGGGAGAGCAACCTATAGAACATCATTTTTTTAGGGATTTTTAGTCATAAAAATGGATTAAAATTAATAACTCACATTCCGCTAAAGACCAAGCTGTACTCGTCCGTTTGATGTCTCCCGGCCAAGTAATAGAAATTGAAGATTCGGATTTTGAAAACTGTATAAAAAGCGCAGACAGCCAGATACGCTGTGGTCACAGTGGATACGATTTCGATCCATGTGTAATTATAATTAGCAGAGTTGAGAAAGGCTGCGAATACTGAAAGGACTGGATGTTGGGAGAAAAATGTTGCTTCTGACCAAATTATTATCCCTGATAAAATCCCGGTCAGGATGGATAAGATTTTTAATAAATACGGGGTTAAAATACAGCGGTAGTAGTACTCTGGAAATTAACAAATTTAAGAGTATTAAGGTTTTGTAACTGAAAAATAATACTAATTTTGCTCACCCCCCGTTGGCCACCATCTCCACAAGTTACTCCCACCACTACTAAAACTATGAACAAAAGACCTTCCTCCAGATCTACCTGATTTTTCTACATCTTCCAAATAAATTACGTAATCCAACTGTCCTTCCCATTGCATTTCTACTCGATGATAATTTTGCAAGGCTTTTTTAACTTGTTTATGTAATTTAACAAGGATTTTTTCATCTACAAATTCCACGGATTGTTGTTCCACTCGGTTTCGGCGTCGTTGAAGCCTTTCTCTAAACTCAACAGGGATCAGAGAATCAATTTGACTGATGAAATGACGGTATTTTGGTGTATTTTGTATCAATTGAAACGATTCCAATGTGTCATCCAAAGTTTCTTCAGCAGAGTTACGTTCTTGAGATAATTTTGCTGTTCGAAAGTAGGCAGCTGATAAGGTTGAGGTCAGTTTGGATTTTGACCAGATGGTGAGAGGGACCGATATCAATCTACAAAATGTTTTATACATAAAGAAAACTGTGCATAAATTGACAGATAAATTGTTTCTCACCCGTAACCCAACATCCCAACGAGAAGGAACAAACCCCACGAATTACTCGCAGAAGAAGCAATAGCTTTTAATTTTTGGAAATCCAATTCTAATCCAGGTCGAGTGGCCAAATAAATTAGTAAAATGACACAAATGAAGAGATAGAGCGAGTAGTAAATGGCATTGTCCAACAGAGCAGCTTGTAATTTCTTCTTCACATTAAATTCACCCGAATTTATATACGACAAAGTCAGAGGGAGGAGTAACCTATGAAATTTGATATCACCATTAATCCTTAATTAAAAATAATTCACAATTGTAAAATTTACCAAGTTAAACACTGACTCGTCCAGTAAACAACCCTCCATAAATTTGTAAGAACGTGAGAACCGACGTACGAAGGAGGTGGATTACATAACAGCAAATCATTCGTCGTATTGGCGAGGACTGACGTTACTGTCGTTGTGGTAGTCGTGATATTAGTTTCATTCAAGTTAGTTAAACATTTTAAATACGTCGTCTGCAAAATTAAACGGTTTTAGTTTGCTAACAAATTATTCTAATTTAGTAAATTTTACCGTTGAAATATCGATTGGTAAAACCAACACGATAATGAATGAGAAATACCAAGCCACCAAAACTGCCAAAGTTACAAAAATGTGGTGGCGATACCTGCGCAAAAAAAATATGTAATGTAGACGATTATTTCTACGTAAGAAGATTGAGATTACCAATTTCCATAATGAAATAGCAGCCAAGCGGCGAGAAGGAATGTGGCGATAAGATCGATTCCTAATTGGACGCTGGACATGGTCACATTTTTTTTGGCGACGCAAAAAAAAATTAGCAGCAGCAGAAATGAGATCGCAGATGTGACAGAGAAGCAGCAGCAGCAGGAGCTCGTGATCTTTCCGATCGATATATCCAAACCAAATCCGCTGGGGCAATGTGGAATGCATTTTGTAAATAACAACAAACATTTCCCATGAAAATGAACCCTTTTTATTTATGATTTTGTTTTCAAAGTTATTTAGTTTTATAATTCCACTATTTATATAGATCATCAATAAAATGTACACTTTACTACCCGCCTTATTACACACAAAAAAGAGTCACACACAATTAATTTTTTAGTTAATAATTGTTAAGTTTGTTTCTTAGAAAAAATTCACTTCTTCCAAATCGTCATCGTCCATTAGTTCTTTGTTCATTAGTCATAATTGTTTTATACACGGTTCGTGTTAATATAGCTAAGCAGTAGCCCCCTTGATAACGACGACGACTAAATAGTCCCCTCCACCCTCTTCGCCACTTCCTTGTAAGCCGGATACCCCTCGTTTTAACAATCCCCAACTGAAAGCGCATGGGGGGAAGACGTACAAAACTCCGGTTATGGTTTTATCCTTTGGATTAACGAGTGATATTACGCCTGCGGCTTCTTTCTGTTTTAAATAAGATACGAGATTCCTCAAGGGTCGGGATTGCGCTGCGACACCTTCGCCATTATTGTCGTTATTATTGGGGGAGGATAGGTTGGAATTCGTAGTGGGGGTGGTGGATGGGAGGGATAAAAATATTCCATGAGATGGGGATGTTGTTATTCGTTTCTGAACGTCATCCAATTTAGCCTGAAATAAATTTTATAGTAAATAAATTGAATATAAAATTAATTATTTAATAAAAACTCACCTTATCTAATTTTAATCTTTGTGTAATTTTAAGTTGGAATTTTCCATCTTCATCTTTCATGAGTGATTCAATTCCATCGAGATCACCATCAGTGAGGAAGAATCGGGTTGGAAATGACGAATTTTTCAAAATCAGTGCTCCCGTCCAAGCTAATGGAGCTCGAGAGCCAATTTCAGCAATAGTTCGAGCACTCGATAATGATCCAGACTCTCCATCATCAGAAACTCCTCCTGGTGAAGCTAACTCATTTGATGAATGCGGGGACGCTGTTTTGTCATCATCTATAAACACATAAAAATTATAGCACAACACAAGCCGAAAAAAAAACATTCCCAACTCACCTCTTCTCCCACTACCACCACCATTCCCATTTCCAAATTTATTTCCATATTCAAAATCCCCGTTTCCTCCTCCATCTCCGTACCCACCCCCAAAATTACTCCCTCCTGGTCCTTGTCCAACAAGAGGTGCACCAGCATCGGCAAAATCAGTCCTTAATTTTTTATCCGGTCCACCCAATGGATAACCGCGCATATCTTTGACAGCAGCTTGTGCAGCATCGATAGTTTCGTACGTTATATACGCAACAATTTCCCCATTTGCCCAATCAATCTTTTTAATGGATCCAAATCGATCAAATTCCCGTTCCAACATTGGTAACGTTGTCCAGGGGCCAAGTCCACCAACCCAGATTTTTGTTGTCGGATTCATTTTACCATATCCAATTTTACATTGGAATTTCCCAATATACTGGCCAGACAATTCTGCCTTTGCCCTGTAAAACATTCAAAGAATTAACATTATTTTCTATTCCCCAATACATAAAAATTCCACAAAACTCACCTTGAAGACATGTCTAAATTGACGAATCTAACGAACGCATACGCATTTCCCGTTCCCGGTGGTGGCCTTTTAATATCGATATCTTCCACGATTCCATACCGTCCAAAGATCCGTCTCAATTCTTCATCCGTAATGTTAACTTCTAAATTCCCAGCGAATAATGTTCTCGTCGCGAGTGGATCTTCTTCAGGATTCACATGTTGTAAATAATTTGGAAATTTATCCTTTTTATTTTCATATCGAGATGGACCTCCAGGCCCTCCACCTGGCCCACCACCGAGATGAGGTGGTGGCCCCATAGACGAAGAAGAATGATCCATATGCATCGGAGGAGGTGGTTGATGATGATGGCCGCGTGGTGGCCCAAGTGGGGGTGGACCTCCACTGTGTGACATTGGTTGATGGTGGTGATGCATCGGTGGGGGTGGACCTGAATGGTGGTGAGATTGTGGACCTGGTGGATATCTGGAAATATTTGTCGGCAAATTCCATTATTTTTTTATAGACCTTATTTTATGATGAGACTGCAATTTTTTCGTCTCCGTGACAAATTTTCCGACACAAAAGCCACAAAATAAATAAATAATCACCTCCCATACGGCTGATGGTGTTGTTGTTGTCGATAATCTCCACCGCCGCCTCCACCTCCGCCGCCTCGCCCATTATATCCGCGATCATTATTATAATGATGCATTTGTTGTGGTGGCATTCTTCCATCATTATATCGATCATAACCCCCACCGCCGCCGCCTCCGCGATCATCTCGCCGGGTATCATGATAGGTCGGAGGTGACCTGTGGAAGCTATTCAAAGTTAGGATCTGGGAAATTTCTTTGGATTTCTTTGGATTTTTCATTGTGGGGTGTTTTGTTTTGAAAATGGATTATTTTTACCACAAGGAGCCAAAGTGAACGAGAGAGAGAGGTGAGTTTTTTATCAACAATTTTGGCACTTAAACTAAAATGAGCGAGCACGATCGGGTGGTTATCGAAAAAAACACACAAATGCACGAGAGAGAAGTGAAAAAATAGTACTACCACCACTGAATTTCTGAAATATTTTGGTCACTCACAAAATAACTGAGTAAATATAATGGGTCTCAGATAATGCATCATCACACTAAAATTTTCCTAATTTTTTTTCTGAGCAGTTTGAAGCAGAGTGAACTACAATTTTTTTGTGAAGGAGAGAAAGCCAGTTGGAAGAATTTTTTTTGTCTAGAATTTGATACACAATCACAACCTCAATATTCGTAGATTTCTTTTTACCATATCACAGTCACAAATATTTCACAGAAGAACCACGACACCACCACTAATTCCAATTTTAGAGCATTTCACTTGGACACGATCATCACACACTATAGACCACGAAACATGATACCCTTTTCGTGCGTCGATGAATTTTTACATGACCTAACAATTTCCTGCCAACTCCACCTGAAATGCACTTGGTCGCCACCACACACCCACTTTTTTTCCCGAGAAACAAACTCTTCACTTTATCACAATTAACTTTCTTTCATAATTTTCTCCAACGTGATATAAAAACCAATAACAACATACCTCCTACTCCCACTACCACCACCACCACCACCATACTTGTCATACTCGTGATGATGATGTTGCTGTTGATGGTGTGGTTTACTCCCATACGATGGTGCCATTCCTCCTCCTCCTCCTCCACCTCCACTCCCACCAGGTGCGGATTCGTAGGCGGCTTCCACCTTGACGGCCCGGTCATAAATATAAATTGCTGTTTTCGAATGTTTCACTTCTCTCGCGTCCTCCGCTGATCGAAAATAGACGTACGCCACCCGCTCGTCCGGCTCATTAACCACTTTCACAGAAATGTCGCCATATCGTTTAAATTCTCTGTAGAGGGTGTCACGGATAAAATCGTCACTCGCTTTCTGGTGCAGTTTCGACATACAGAGGACTTTATACGGGTACGTGGTCGTCGATGGGGTGGAGGGTGGAGGGAGAACGCCTGGGGGAAGTGGTCCACTGGATCGGTGACTAAAATTATTATTACACCATCACTTACTTATCTTTATTTAAACAAATTCAACCAACCAACTCACTCTTTATATCTTCTCGAAGACCCACCAGCGCCGTACTCTTCATTATTGTACCTCCTCCCAGAACTCGACACTGGGCTCGAGTCCCTCCTCCCACTTCTGCTGGACGAGTGGTGATGCCGCCTCACGCTTCCGCTCGTGGTATTATCCAGCGGCGAGTCGCCATCACTGTTCGAGTCGGCATCGTTGTTGTTCGAGTAGCGCCCAACTCTTGACCGTTTGCTCATGCTTTGTTGCGACTGGGTCGTTGGGGGACTGCTGCTGGTGGGGAGACGGTCGCGCTTCATACCAAGGGCCAGAGTTACAAGAGTTTTTAGGATTTCTAGGGACACGAGACTTTTTTTGGGTGATCAGTTCTCGGTTAGATGAATTTACAGATAATTAATGACACTGGAAATTTTGACTTTTATATTATTTAGAAAAATTAAAGAGTTTGTTGACGTCGAGGAAAGGGAAAAATGGTGGACGAGTTGTTTGCTGCTTTTATTATAAGCTGTGAGCGGATGGAGTGGTGGTGGTGATGATGACGGTGTATCACTCCGCCGCCAGATTTTGGTACTAGATTTCACTCCAATATTCAAGCATTGAATGAGATTGGGTAGTCTAAAAATATGTAAACTTGGTGGGTGTGGCTTGGGAATGAACAAAGGAAATTTTCTATATGAAATTGCATTTTTGTACATATTTCATTTTGTGTCCAAGAAAAAAACTGGAAATTTCATTCATTCATTCAGTAAATTATTCCAGGCACAACTTTCTTTCCTCCCGAGTTTTTCCTTTTATTAAATACCCGCACCGCACTAATCCCCTTGAATCCAATGGAAAGAGAAAGCAACCCAGCTCAGCTCTTGCCCGTGAGTTCCGAACATGTCCGATTTCCACCACCACCGACTTTTCCCTTGCTTTCCCAGTCTTCTTGTATACAGACTAAATTTAGGGAGTGCCACCACCCCACTGGACAAAAACCACCTAAAAATTCCTTTCAATATATATCTATACAACTTTCACTGCTTTTTCCACCACCGCAGCCAGCTCCCATTCCTTGCAAACTTTCTCCTTTCCCCTCCACGACCACCACCAATCTACTTTCACTCCTACTTTCTCTCTCTCTTTCACATACACACTTATCCTCGTATTCAGTCAGTGGTTGGGTGTATGGTGCGTTTGTTATTGGTGTGTTTGTGTCTCCAATTTTTCACAATAATTAATTTATACGGTGTAAATGTCTTCAACATATTATGACAATAGCTACGACAATGCCTACTCGCAGCAGCAACCCCTCTCCGCCTCCCAACAGCAAGCCGTCGTCGCCTCACAGCAGCAACAACAGCTTATCAAACCACGACCCAGATCCGCCGCGGCACACCCTCTTTCACATCAGGGACAGGGCCAGGGTCAGGTCGGGTCGGTTCAACAACAACAAGCTGTGGCTGCACAACAACAGCAATATTTAGATGGTCAGTTGTGTATTACTTTCTTGTTAATTAATGTGGTCGTTAAATTTTAATGGTCAACTCGTAATGTTTATTTAGGTAATCAACGTGTCAGGTCGTATTCAGAGACGAGGTTTCTAGGTCAAGGGCAAGGGCAGCAATATGGGTATGCAAAAGTCATTTTTAGAGAGTCATTTTGTTTTATATGCAAATTTATTGATGTATAATTTTAAAATTTCCTGCCAGCCGCGACCCCTACTCTTCAAATCCTAACCAGGCTACCTCTGCTGCTGCGTATGATTCCTACTATGGAGGTCAAATGGACGATTATGATGTTGACCCTTACGGCCAGTCTTCAGTAAGGGCACAACAACAACAGCAGGTCGCAGCGGCACAACACAGGTCAAGGTCTACAACACGGCTCAATCGCTATGACCAAGGGGATTCTCAATTTATGCCCATTCGCGACAGGTCACTGGATAGACAAGGAATGGTCTCGCAGCAGCACAGGCAGCAGCATGGTACGTTTTTTAGTATATTAGTAACAATTCAGAAAGCAATAAATGTTAATGGGTTATCGCCAAGATTTATAACTTTTGTAATAAACTTGTAGGACTTGACCCCTCAGGAAATCCCAATTACTATCCGGATGATTTGGACCGTCTGGACCCATACTATTCCCAGCAAGCCCACTCCACGTCCTCCCAACCAGTATCTATCTTGAATAGGTCACGTCACTCTAGTCAGCCCACGTCCTCCCACTTGCAGTCCTCCCTCCGCTCGTCCGCCACAACGGGAGGAATGATGACTGACCCCAATCAGTACTTGGATGAGCTGCAAATCTCAAACCAGGAGTTTCAACGTGAACTCGGCACCCTCAAAAAAGAGTTGGAACTCACAAATCAAAAATTGGGCAGTTCCATGCACTCGATTAAAACATTTTGGAGTCCGGAACTGAAAAAGGAGCGTGCTTTGAGAAAAGAAGAATCTGCCAGATATTCACTTTTAACTGATCAATTGAAAATTCTTAATCAAGAAAATCAGGTGCGAATTAGTAAATTATTCTAAATAGTAATACATAATCAATTTTTCAACCCAAATTTCCGCAGAAACAATCCTTGCTGGTCCGCCAATTAGAAGAAGAGCTCCGTATTAGACAAATTCGTGGTGGTGCGTCACATGAAATGCAACGACAGCTTGAATCTATTATCAGGTAAGCAAATTAAATTTTTTAAACAATTCAGAAATTACAATTTTTCAGTTGCTGAAATTTTCAAATTTTCTTTAGTGAAAATGAACACCTGGTCCGTGAGATTCGGATTCTACGTGAAACAATAAAGGAATACGAACTGCGATTGGAATCACACAAACAGACATTACAAGCGAGGGACGAGTCCATCAAGAAATTATTAGAGATGTTACAATCAAAGGGGGTTGGAAAGGTAATTTTATGTCAATATTTCATTCAGTTCTATTGGGAAAATTGTCAAAGTTGTAAAAAGTAACGAATTAAAATCGATAACCTAATAATCGATAATCTAACTCCCATGTACAGGAGGAAGAACGGGCCATGCTCCAGCAGATGCAACTTCTCGCCCAAAAACAAATAGATGAACTTCGTCTTGAGATTCAGAAACGTGACCAGGAATTACTTTCCCTCGCTGCCAAATTGAAAACGTGTGACGAACAGCAACAAGATTACCAACGCCACATTGCCGTCTTGAAAGAATCACTTTGCGCCAAAGAGGAACACTATAACATGCTTCAAGCCGATGTGAGTAAACAACATTTTAATGTGAGTGTGACGGTGAATTGTGGTCATATTGTTTACTAATTATTCTGCATAAAGTTAAAAAATGCATATTTTGATCAGGTTGAAGAGCTACGACAAAGGATTGAAGAGAAGAATCGAATAATTGAGAAAAAGACCAACATTGCACTTCAAGCGTCCCAAGAGAGGAATAGAATCGCTTCCGAATTTGGTGAGATTCGTGACCAGATGGAAATCAAAGATCGAAAGATTAACGTTCTCCAGAGGAAAATTGAAAACTTGGAAGATTTGCTAAAAGAAAAGGATAATCAGATTGACATGGCAAGAGCCAGATTGGCACAGTATCAAGTGGGGGCAGGTGGGAGTGGCGGGATGGGATTGATGAATGATCCAATCAGTTTACCATTAAGTAATTTAGAAGATGCTATTATGGACAAAGATAAACAAATTGGGCAATTAAGAGAACAGAGGGATCGGGCAGAGGGTGAAAAGGTATGGGTATAATTTTTAATCAGTACCAAGTAAAACTTGTCTAACTTATAATTTTCACAATTTTTCAAACCTTTAAAAAATATTTCTAAATTACACACAGAATGAAGAACGAGAGTTGCATGAACACCAAGTACAAGAATATAAAATGAAGGTTCATTCCATGGAGGCTGAAATAGAAAAACTAGGTGTTCGATTAGAACGTGCTGTAGCAGAAAAGGTAAATTAACTCTTTCCAATAATACCCAACCAACTACCCACAACTTTAAAATAAAAATAAAACACCTCCCACTATAGGAACGAATGGAAACTCGGTTGGACGCCTCCCAATCCGAGCTGGGTAAATGTAAAGCTGAACTAGAAAAGACACAATCTGAAGTGGGAAAAACATCCACGGAATGGGAATCACATCGCCAACGCGTGTCTAAAACAGAAGTAGAAAACGATCGATTGAAGGTAGGTAAGTTATAATAAATCCAATTTCCGCGATCTAATTAAGGTTAACATTTTTCTCGTTGTTAAATAATTTAGACGGAAAACGAAAGGTTACGTGGGGATTTAGAGCGTAGTCAGACAACATTTGGTCGCAACACTCTCAACACATCCGCCGAATTGGACAGGCTTCAGGAACGGTATGACAAATTAGTGTCTGACCTTCGCCGTTCTCAGGCCGAACTCAGGATGAACCAATCCGATTACGAGAGAGCCAACACGGATCTTAAAACTGTACAAGAGAAAATTGAGAAAAGTCAGGGCGAGATTTATCGATTAAAAGCAAAGTTAGAATCTGCTCAGAGTGAGAATGACAATTTGAAGGATGAACTTGAACGGAGTCAGACATCTGTGAGTAGACTGTTGACTGAAAAAGATAAGTTGACACTGGATCATGATAAGCTAAAGGAGGATCTAGAAAGGAGTCAGACCAGTTTGGGCAAGTATCAATTACAAGTGGAAAAACATCAAGTCGGATTCGATAAATGTCAAGGAGAATTGGATAGAGTTCAGGAAAAAGTCGATAAATTAGTTCAAGAAAATAGAAGAGTACGTAAAATACTATATTTTCAAAATTGCAAAGCATACACTTAAAATATATTTTATGAAAAAATAATTCATTTCAGCTCCAAACGGAGCGAGATAAATTGTTATATGATTCCGACCATCATCAAAACCATCTTGAGAAACTTTCTTCGCATACGACTCGTCTGCAAAAGGAAAAAGACACACTACAGCTCGAGTTGGAACGTTCAATAGAGAAGCAAGAGAAATCTCACCTCCTTCTCACTCGCATTCAAAAAGAAAAAGAAACTCTCGCCACGGAAAATGAACGTTTAAAGGAACGCTTGGATCTCATCTCGACACAACATTCGAAATCACAACGAGACAAAGAATCATACCAAACGGAACTTGATATTTTGAAAGAACGACTAGAAAAGCAAATCACTACAATTTCCAAATTCCAATCCGATAAAGATGCACTGGAGACGGTAACGATAAAATTTCATATTATTTGGTTTTAAAATTGTAGTTAATTTATATTTTTTTTAATTGACTCAACTTATAGGAGTTAACACTGGCACGCGACAAATACGAGAAAAATTCAGTAAATACATCAAAACTTCTTGAAGATAAGGATGGAATTAAACTAGAATTGGATTTGGCGACCGAAAAATTGGAGCGTTCCACCTCTGACGTGTTCCGACTAAATAATAAATTGGATGCCCAAAACATTGAGTTGGAAAAAGCCAACAATCTCGTGGCCAAGTATACAATTGAACATTCAAAATTACAAGATTTACTCGATCGGAATCAAGCCTCGTATCACAGAGTGAAGGACAGTGAAGAGAAAGCGAGAGAGGAATATGACCGAGTCAGAATTGATGCAGATTTGAACAGAGAGTTAGTTGCAAAAGAATTGTAGAATTATTTTTTTGTGAATTTTATTTAACAGTTATTTATGCATAAATTTCAGAAAATTGGAGAAATTAAATCTCGAATTGCGAAAGGAGAGGGAGGCGAAAGTGGAAGAAATTTCAAAATTACAAGTAGAATTGGACAGATTGCATACGGTTTATGGAAGAGCACATGCGTCAAGTGAAAAATCCAGTGGTGAGTTTTTATTATTATTTAAAAATGCAGACAAATTTGAAAAATAAAACTATTAAAATCTATAATATTGTTATTGTAGAAGAGCTATCCCGACTCCGTTATGATTTAGAATCTGCATCGCAAACTAATTCTCGCCTTCAAACTGAACTTGCCAGATGTAAATCACGTATCGAAGACTTAGAACAGCGACCACCCACTGCCACACCTACTACAACTACTATTACTGCCCCAACAGCCACACCGTCTTCATCTACAATATCCTCTACTGACCAACAACTCTTGATAGACAAATACCGATCCCAAGTCCTTCTTCTTGAAGAACAATTAACCACTCAGAAGTTAGAAATCTCAAAACTCCAACAAAAATACGACATTAAAGAGAAAGAATCTCTTCTCCTCCTTCAAAAAACAGATACGTCTGATAAAATCACTGCACTGCAATCCGAACTTGTCTCAAAAACAACTGATCTGACCACTTTGACGGAAGATTTAGCAAAGAAATCATCACAAATTGATAAACTAACTGCAGACTTAGAGACGAAATCGACAGAATTATCCAATTTGAAATCTGATATTGCAAAATCCACGACCACTTTATCATCCGAGATAGACAGTTATAAACAGAGTTTAGAGAGTCAAAATACATCGATGCTCAAATTAAAATCTCAGTATGAATCTCATTTAAAATCTTATCCACCAGAAGCATTGGACAAATTAAAATTAGAAAATACAAAACTACGCCAAAATTTGGAAGAGAAAATGAATGAACTTTCACGTCATAAAACTTTGTTTGAAGAGAAATTACAAGAAATTAGCTACAAACAAAAAGAGGAGAAAAAATTGCAAGAACGATTAGATCGTTATAAATCAGGGCAAGACAAGTATGAGAAACAAATGTCTAAAATGGAACATGAAATGATGCAATTAACCTCCGAAAGAGATGAATTGGTTACTCAACTCGAAAAATCTCAAGAATTGCTCGTCCAATTCCAAAAAGAATTGAATAACAGAGTCGCCAATGATGAGAAAGATAAAGAAATTAATATCTTGAGGCAAAAATGTACTGAATTAGAAGCAGAAATGGGAAGGTTGAAAAAGTCCTGTGAAATTGAAAAGAAAAAAGTTGGAGATTGGTTTGAAGGAAAAATTAGAGAAAAGGATGCAAAATATCAAGAAGAAAAAGATAAATGGAAAGCAAGATTCGAACAAGAAAGTAATAAGTGGAGAGGAGAATGCGAAGTCGAAGTTAAAAAAGTGGAGGTACTTACATTCATTTTTTTCGACATTTGCTAATAAATAAATTTTAAAAAACAAACTTAGGTGAAGGACGCGCTTAAAATATTAAAACAAGAAGCATTACAAAATGTCATAATATCGTTTAATATTTATTAGCTTTTACTTCACAGTGGGCCCAACTTTTTCATAATAATTAACAATAAATGTAACTAAACTAACGACTTGATTAACAAATAAGTGCACCGTTACAGGGAGAGTTACTAAAATATGCCAGAACATGAACAAATTTCCTCTATAACAGGTGTCGCGATTTATTGAAAGATAACCAATCACATCTTGCAAGCTTAATATACAAATACTACGTATTTCGAATAATTGTTCCAAATGCCTGAAAGTATAGCTTTTCTCCTGTATTAGTTGGGCCCACGGTGAAGTAAAGGTTAATAAATATTAAACGATATTATGACATTTTGTAATGCTTCTTGTTTTACTATTTTAAGCGCGTCCTTCACCTAAGTTTGTTTTTTAAAATTTATTTATTTAATTATTTTTAGTGATTTGTGAACTTAAATGCATAAAATAATATGCAATTATCAAATCTTAAAAGTTGATAATTCTCCTGTGGGTGGATGCGTGGTATACTAAAGTAATACCCCAGTGGGTGTGGACGTTTGGTATACTTATTTAATCCCCCAGTGGACGCTTGGTATACCAAATTAGTCCCGCAGTGGGTGTGTATGCGGCCCTACTAAATTAGTCTCCCAGGGTATGCATGCGTTAATATTTGTATTTCATGCAATTTGATCGCTGCTAATTGTTTCAGCCAAATATGCTAAACACACCTTACATTTTTCGCACACGTTAGCAACCAGTAACCTAACACGTAAATATACATACGTAAATAGGTTGCTTAATGGAAATATTTCAAAAAGCTCTAATTCCGTGAGTTTTCATCCGATTAAGTCCAACAAAGGCTTAAAATTTGCGTATTATCCAGGAGAATAATAAAAATGGCAAGCCCCCGGTCGGAAACACTTCCTTGATGCCAAGAAATGGATTTGAAACTTTAGGCATCGGACTTTCTACCTTAAGGAATTAAAATTTCGGAAAAAATAAAAAAAACGTATCTGTAAAACAGAATTCTCTGGTTTTTTTGTTTCAACATGTTTTCCATGCAACGAACGGTTTGGGCTACATCTCAGTGCGACCTTTTCAAAGTTGCAGCTGAATGCATACTTAGGCTTCGCCGTAACCATGGTGATCTTTTAACATGATCTCCTTTTGGTTACTTTTCCTTCACCTAAGAAAAATATTACTCTACTAATTGATATTACGAATAATTTGCAGGCCCACTTGACCACTTTGCAATCCCAATTGTCCCAAACCACCGCAGAACTTGACGCCACTCGGGCCCAACTCTTGGAAGCTGAACAATTACAAAATCAAACCCAACAAGCATTACAACAACAATTACAATTCCAACAGAATCAACCACCACCACCCGCCGCACCTACTACCTCACTCCCTGCCGACCTGGAGAAAATTGCCCAACTACAAAAGACGATAACCGACCTCTCCCACAAGTTGGACTCTGTGTCTCAAATGTATTTAGAGAAGGAGACAGAGTGCGAAGAGATTGTCAAGCTCATTAAAGAGCGTGACGTCGAGATTAAACGGTTGCAGAGCAAGTTGGACGAAGTTTCAAACATGAAGAGGGAGCAGGTTCAAGGAGGCAGCGAAGAGTTGGAAAAAGTCAAACAAGAGGCAAAAAGGACGCAAGGAGAAATGGAAAGACTTTTACAACTTATGAAAATGAGTCAAGAAGAAATGGGTGGAAAAGATAAAGAAATCGCTAGATTGCAAGAGTAAGGGTTTCTAAATTGTCTACATACTTTTTTTTGTTCCCACTAATTTATTTCTAAAATTTATTTCCCAGGACCCTCCGAGCTGAGCGACAGAAAGCAGCGGCGAGTGATCAGGTAAAAGTAATTACAATAATTTTGTCAATTAACAAACAAAAAATAACCTTTTGTGTGTGTGTATTCATAGGGCCCAGCGGGTTTCCTAAAGTCACTCTTTTAAAAAAGTCATCTCTAATAAATTCCATCGCCTATAAATAATTAAGTAAAAAAATAATTAAACTAATAATCACACCGCATAATCAGATAACATCATATCTTTTTTTATTATCAACTAATTTTAAAAATGTCGTAGTAAATGGTGCTTTAATTTATATTAACAACTCTGCGTTTAATTAAAATATAATTGAGAATTTGAGAGTGAAATAAAAATTGAATGATTTAAATATTTGTTAGTTTGATGGAGTAATGGAGAGTTTGGTGGGAGGTGATGAATTTGAACAACTTGTCAAACTATGCCAAGAACAAAGGACACAAATCAATTTGTTAAAATCAGGGTGGAAAATTGGTCAAGATGAAGATGAGGCGAGGTGAGATTTTTTATTTCTAGGTTTTTATTTTATTTTGTTTATTTTTAACATTAATTTTTTTGGGGGGCAGACAAATAATCTCCAAAACGGACGCTATAATAGCCAGCGTGGAATTGTCCACGCCAGAAAGTTGTGTGCTACCACTTTTAAAAACGTTAAGATCAAGTCTGATTTCTAAACTTAAATCGAATGATACACTTAAAATTCAATTACATTCCGAAAAGTAAATTTTATGTTTAAAAAAAGTGAATAAAAATGGGGGTGTGGGTCAGTGATACAAATCACATCACACTGTAACAACTTCCTCCTTTAAGTCCACACTGCCAAAAATAGTCTTTAAAGCCGTCCTTCAATCTCATCTCCTCTCATCGTCGCGTCGTTCGTCAAATAAAGGTGAGTCAAAGACAAAGCTTTAAACAACAACGCCCTGAAGGCAAGAACCACCACCATTACTACCTTTTCTTATATTAATATATTACATTACGCAATTCACCTTGCAATCCTACCCACTCGACCACTCTCTTATTTAACACCCACCATCTCATCATCATCATCGTCTCTCAAAGACTTCCCTATTAGAGAGAGATTCACTTTCATTTTATCTCTCTGGTCATGTAATAATTTAACAATGGGAGTTATAAAAATCATAATTTTGGTAAGTTTGAAAATTATCAATCATTCCCCGTAATATACACTTGTTTAAATTCACAATTTTCTCTGTAAAGGTCGCCCTTGTGACCACTTGCTCCACGCAAGAAATCAACGAAGACGATGCAATTTCGCAACAGCAATTCGCTCCCACCCTCACGGCCACATGTCAACTTGTTTCTAATCGGATGGTGGTCACACTCACCACCGGATTCCCATTTTATGGTAAATTGTACTAATTCTTATTAAAATTTGTAATGAAGAAAGAAAATCCAATCAAAAATCATTTAAATCGATGAACAGGCGTCCTGGTCTCTTCTAACCAAAGAAACAACTCGCATTGTTACACCGAAGGGACAGGCCTCACCCAAACCACGCTCTCGTTAAATATGCTCGCGTCAATTAATGATCAAGATTACTGTGGCGTTTCCATCAATCATGTAAGATTTAAAAACATTTCAACCTAAACTAAACTTTCAACTTTGTATTTAACAAATAATTTAGAAAACCTCTGAGAAAACTGCTCAACTTTCCGTCCGTCAAAATCGTGTGTTGGAACTCGCAGATGACAAGAATTATCTCGTGTCCTGTTCCAAATTTGACTCTCGTCCACCTTCCACCCCGAAACCAACGCACCTTGCACTTTATGACTCTGAAAATAGGGAAGCACTCGAAGTCGTGAAAACGCACGGATACAAGCTCAAAATCAAGACATCAAAAGAGTTCAAAAATTTTAGAGTTCGTAATTGCTTCGCTTTCTCTCCAGGATCTGCAACCGTTCAAGTTCCGCTCATCGATGGCAATGGGTAAATTTACATAAAAATAATTTAATAATGAATTAAACTAACAAAATCCCCTCTTCTAGCTGCCCCGAATCGAAAATAATATCCCGATGGACATTTGCTGATCATTCTGCAGAAGCAAATATTTATTCCATGTTTAGATTTCAAGATTCTCGAGCATTAACTTTCCAATGTCACGTTTTATTCTGTTCTGAATCCACTTGTCCTAACCCACTCTGCTCAGACCTTCCAGCCTATCATTTCTCAACCCCTCTGTCCCCAGCCCCATTAATAAACTCGAATGAAACTGACGCTTTGGCCTCAACAACTGTAACCGTCCTTGAGCCTGGTGAAAAATTAGCCCCACTCACTTTATACACCACGGATTCGGACTCAACTTGCACGGGTCGTTTTTGTCCCCCTTGGATTTTGTGGCTTGCAATCGCCCTGGGTGTACTGTTTCTCTTAATGTTGCTAGTTAACCTTTTCCTTTGCACTGCTTTAACCTGCACATGCACGCGGACGGAGCTGGTTGAAAAGGACCCATCAATCATCGAAGATTACGATCCGTACAATCGGAGTGGGTATTTCGGAAGCGATAGTCATTACAATTCCAGATACTCAATCAACCAACCGATCGCGAGCAATAAAGCGTACAGGTAAAAGAACAATCATTTAAATTCATTTATTTAAGTTAATATCAAAAATTTAATATAATTCTTTTTTTCTTAAAAGTGACATGAGCGACCACTATGCAACTCCTGGAGGTAACCATAGAAACCAGGAACAAATCTCAAGACCTAACTCAAGGTTTAGCAAATAACTTTTTATTACTAATAACTTAAAATCCTCTCAGAAGCTAAGAAAAAATGTGCCAATTAACTTTCACCTTAAAAATTAATTAATAAAATAAAAACAGAAATATTGTCATAAATGTTTCGTTGTGTTTTTTTGTTGCTAATTATTTTTTTACTACTTTTTTTCCTGTTTCCATGGTGATAGGGTTTAAATTCTACTATTTTTTTATTATTGTTTCGCCTTACATGTCCCCAAAGATACCTGTGTGGAGTTTAAAGTGGTTACTTTTCTTTAAAGACAAAAATTGTAAAAACATATTTACCAGCAAAGGTTTTCTTTAAATTAGAAATTCCAGTATCTAATTCAGAGTCGGTGTTGGTGGCGTTGGCAGTGGGTGTGGCTGTAGTATTCGAAGCAGCAGGCGTGGTTTCCGTCCCCGCCGCGCCGGCCTGTTGAGAATTTTGTCTGGAGAATAATTTATTGCTCACGCTGCTGACCCCTTGCGCCGCGGCGGATACGGCAGATGAGGCCGCAGATTGAATTGATGACGCCGCTGCGTTCGGTAACGCCGACGTGGTACTCGAACTCGTCGATCCTAATCATCAGATTTGCATTTTATTTAATGGTTTTGTAAAAAAAATTCGATTTTTAAGCGCACCCATTGATTCTCTTCTAAGATTCCTCTCTCCACTGGGTCCGTCTTCTCCGTCCACACTTTGTCTACGATATTTGACCCGTTCCTTTTCCTTTTCTTGAACAAATGTCATCCTCGAAAGGACTAATTCTGCGATATGACGACGATCCTCCTCCTGTGTCTCACCCTGTAAACACAAATGTTGTTTAAAAATATTTCTCAATTAAAAATATTAATAAAAATCCTACCATGAGTGAGAGTGCTGAATCGTTGACTTCAATGATCCACTCCTTGCCATCCTTGCCGACCAGTACTTCCAAAGCACACACGTCCAGGCCTCCAAATAACGTGGCCACATTGTCAACCCACATTCTGCAAGGATAAAAATTTAGATAGGACGGAATTTAAAAACGAGATTGCTTGGACAAATTCCATACCGATATTTCTCCGTGACGGGAATCTGTTCTAACATTGTTGATCCTCCAGATGATTTCCAATGTCCAACAATGCCTTTCCGCCTACAATAATCGTTCATTTACAATTAGTTATACCTCCCGCAGAGATAAATCCATAAGCTCATTCAAGATTGAAAATCTCACATAAACGCCTTGTACTGGTTCCCAATTTTTTGAATGTGAACATCGCATCTTGCCTCTACATAAGGCTCCGAAGTGCAATAAGTCCCCGTAACAGCGACAACGGACGATGCATCCTAAAATTCACGTCAAGTAAGACGAAAATGTTCTCGCAAAATATTTCCAAACTAGAAAATTACCGCATAATCATTAGTGGTTGGAACTCTGATTTTGCCCAATCCTCCATGAGCATGTCCAATTTTGAGTACGCATGGGAGTCGTGGTACGAAGCCACCCATGAGGTTGAAATTGGGGTAGAAATTTTGTTCGATGATTGGAAAGTTGTCCTTGCCCAATTTCCTCTGAATTGCGAGCATGTGGGCAAACACCCATGGCTTATCTTGGAAATTGTAAATCGCCCCCAAAGAATTCACAGAGTACAGACCAGCGTACATAAAGGCCAACAGGGCGTTCTGCATACGGAAGGAAATTATAATAATTTTCAGTCCTTCTCATTAAAAATTATTTTATCCACATTACCTTAAAGTCCCTTCCAGCATCTCTAAGATTTTGCCTAATAAGCAAGAAATCAGGTATGAATTGTCTGAGTTGACGGCCGACCCCGGTTTGATACTGAATGTAAGATGCGACGACGATGGATTCATATGCCACGACAGAAATTTCGGAGAATTCGCACTGTTCGACTTGAATCTCTAAATTTTGGATGCGTTTCGATTTGAAATACTTTGACCAGTCCGTGTTGTGGTCATCGATGACGAGGAGGATCAATGTGGTAGGATCTTTGTAAGGTATTTTCACTCCGCCAGATAATCCAGTGCCTGTGAACTGAAAATTTACATTTGCTTAGAATTACGTAGTACGACAACTAAAAATCGTAATCTCTAGCTCAAGTATACCTGCTGAATATTTGAAGAAATATTGCTCGCCACTCCACTCACGCTGCTTTGTAATTTTTGAAATATGTTGACACTTGATGATCTGGAGGGCGAGGTGGGTGCAGAAATAGTTTTTGATGAGGGTGGTGGCACTGGTGGGAGTGGTGCTGGCACTGCATCCGGTTGAACGGACGATATTACTTCTTTCGCTTGCTCTTCGTACCCTGCAAACAGAAAAAAACACATTTAAAAATTTAATCAGCAAATTTCACTGCAAATGCTGAATACCCTCATTTTCGAGATCCCCACTGGAAAATCGTCTCTTTAATGCGACCACATTTGATGTAAATGATGATTTAAACGCAGAAAAGTTCAATTTTTGTGATGAACTTGATTGTTGCATTATTGATAAGCCACCACTCTCTCTCTCTCCGTCTGTGTGGGTGGATGGGATTTTTTCGGTGTGGATTTAGAGAGTCTGGAGAGAGACTGGCAAAGAAAGTCCAGCAGGAGACAGCTTTTTCAGGGTGTGTTTTTTGGGTGTGTGGCTCTTTTAGTGTGGCCATGCGTACGAGAGAGAAAGCAGAGAAAGTTTAGGGTTGGGCTGGTGAAAGTCTTAACTTTCCCCACAACTCTCTACCCAACTCTGCCTTTACATGATATGAGTTCCATATGGAAATCAATCGCGTCGCGTCGTGTATCCTCATATTTTTTTTTTAGAAACGCATTTAATTAGCATTATGTTGTAATTAAATTTCTCAGAATTTTTCGACATAATTTAAAAGGTACAACAATAAAAAATAACAAAAAAGCATTTTTTAAATTAAAATTTTTTCATACTAATTTTGTTTAATTACTAATTAAATTCCATAAACGATCGTTAATCGTTCAGCCAATTGGGGAGGAAAATTTTCCGTTATTTGTTTCCAACATCCTACATTGTTCTCAGAAGATAGTTGCTGTTTATAACCGTGGAGGATCTATATTTTTGCATTTTTTTGTTTAAATATCTTTTAATCATTTTATTTTTATGGTAATCTTACCTTAGAGAACATGTCTTTAAGATCGGGTTTAGGATTAGTCCAACTGGCCACAGCATCACAAAAGAAAATGAAATCATTAAGAATTCCAGAAGGATTCGCTTGGATCATTAAACACATTCCGCGAAATGCTGAATCCTTCTCCTCATTGTCACGGATGTTTCGTAGACTCGAGCACCTGCAAATTTGTTATTTAATTAAAATGGCAACATCTTTTATTATTATCATCATCATCATCTTACCACTTTCTCACAAATTGTGGCAGACTTGGAGCAACTTCGGCAGGACAGACGTAACCCAATCGTCCTATCGTGATTGCTACAAAAAAGGTCATCGATTAACAATTTTAAAAATCGTATAAAAAAGTAGCAAAAAATATATTGATACCCGTATTTTCCATGAGTGTTTTGGGTGTGGTAGGATAATTAATGATGACGATGAGTTGATTTAGTATCATAGGGATATATCCTCTCATATCGGCCCCTAATTTGACACTAATTTCCCCAATTGCCCATGTGGCATTATTACAAACGGAGATCAGTTCTGGGTTTAGATTCTGACCGAGTAGTGGGAGGAAGTCGGCTAAATAATTAGTTAATTATAATAATAAAAATGAAATCATAAAACTTTTTCCAACTATTTCTTGTTTAATAATAAAAATAAAAAAATCTCGAAACTCACAAACGAAAGGTGAAACGTGTTGAAAGCAAGCTTTAGTTAAATCACCAAGTAATGCGAATGAGGACTGTCTAACCTCCGGCATCGGATCCTGTACGAAAAATACACACAACAAATACGAAAAAATCAGTGAAATTAAAAAATGAGTGATTTGTAAGGAAACAAATATAAACGGATAATAATTAACCTGCATGCACTGATAAAGTAACTGTAAGATATTAGAATTGGCGATTAATTTTTCGATAAAGCCGTTCAATCCTTCTGCCAGTCCGGATAAGAGATCCAACGCAACAATCATAAAATCTTTATCCGGCGCTTCAAACTGTTCTGGGTTCTGTACGTTTGCAATGTGCTGATTTAGAGTTTGCTCAACCAGGGACACACAGCGACGATATACGGGTTCGGAATAAGGTAAAAATCCTGCTTGTAATGCTGTCGCTATCGAACTCAAACACTGTAAACAATTTAATCAACAATTTTAAACACCATACTTAAGCACAAGTTTAAAATAAAAATCTACAATTTAATTAAAAACTCTCCGTACCTCAAGTAAAGGAAATAAATCTTTATCTTCATCTTTCAGCAGATTCCATTTGTTAATAAGTGGTGGCATTAATAATTGTATGAATTCCGTGCTATTCAGATGATGTCCTACACTGTCGGCCAGTGTTCCAATGGCATCATAAAGAATTAATAGATTTTTATGTTGATACTTTCCAAAAGCAAAGACCAAAGTTTCCAAAATGTATCCCAAGTAAGGAACCAATTCTGTGCAAGCCTCTTCTTCTAAAGTGGCAAATGCTGAGCAAGCAGCTTCCTGGACGCGCTTGTTCGTATCCAAGATTCGTTTCAAGAGTTCAGTCATTAATGGTTTTAGATAAAGTTCGTGGGAATTCCCTGTGGCGGTGGAAACTACCCAGTGGGAGTAACGCGATAGGGTCCAACACGTGATGGAGCGCACGAGAGACTTTTTCTCATTTAATGACGTGATCAAATATGGAATCAGTTCGGGAAGGTGCTGGAGCATCCCACTCATGCAACCTGTTATTATTTATTAGAATTAAAATTAGTTTGGCCATTGAGAATTGTAAAATAATAACAATTAAGTTGTATTAACCTTCCGCAATAGCTCCCAGGGCAAGAATCGCACTCTCTTTAACTTCCCACTCCGAATGGAAAAGGGTCTCTTTTAAAATTGGGAGCAATGTGGGTAATAGCTCATCACGGAAAACATGTGCTAATACGTCCAAAGCAGCAGCACTGCATTTTCCTAATGCAAACAAAAATAAATATTAAACTCTGGATAAAAAAATATTAGCTTACAAACTCACTTAAATTCCAATCTGATAATCCAGAATCATCTTCTTCATCTTCATCCTCGTCTTCATCATCTCCCAGCCCATCGCCACCACCTCCTCCTCCGAGATGTTGCTGTTGATGATGTTGTTGATGCTGTTCAGATGGATCTCCGCGCTTGCTTTTACTTCTGTGAAATCTAGGCCGAATATCTTCCTCTCGATCCGGCACCATCTCATTGTCCTCTTCTACGTCACCCTTTAGCAGAATTATGTCGATTTCTGAGTAGCGCATCCCCTTCACCAGTATCTACACATAATGCATTTTAATAACATGTAATATACAAAATACACCTCTGGTCAATCAATTTATTAGTAAACATACCGGAATCAATCTTGGTAAATACGGGGCCAGTACTTCATGACAAATAGTCGTCTCTGCCAAAGTCAACCAGAATTCACACGCTTCTAAAGCAACAGACTCATCCGGATCCTGCGTCCGGACCAACATATACTCGATAATTGAAACCATGTGGGGAAACAATCGGTCTAGTCGAACATCCAACAGCATCACGAGGGCGCGACAAATATTCTTTTTCACTTCCGTATCTTCATCTCCGGCCAAGTGGAACAGGGACTACAAAAAGCGTAATTCGAATAAGGTTGCTAATTAAAAGTTTAACTTTACATAATTGCAAACAAACCTGGACAAACAATTCGATATTATCTTGTAACGCTTGACTTTTACAGACGATGAATTGGTTAACACAGGCGATAGCATGTGATCTAATTCTTGCACTAGAATGTTGAAAAAATTGTAGAAATTTAGGAATCAAGACATTGAGGGGACGATTTGTTTCATCAGCTTCTAAAACGTCGGCACTATCTTCACAAATTTTTTGCAACGCTCCGAATGCTCCCTCAACAGCGTGATAGTCATTTGAATCTAGAAGATGGCAAAGGGATGGGATCAGTTCAGGCCAATTTTCAATTTTCCCCTTAGCTTGGATCGTAGTGATGAGTATCCCAACCGTGGCACGGATCAGGTTCGAAGGGTCGGAGAGGGCGTGAAGACATTCGGATTTTATAAAATTTATCGTTTCAACGGGCAAAGAATCGTAGTGGGATTTTAAATTATTTTTCAATATTAAACCGGATAATGAGCGGGTAGCGTCACCTAAAGAAAAACGAAAAATCAAAACAATTAGCCAACTAAAAAATAATTAATTTAATCTTCAAATTACTTACTAATTTTGAATTCTTGATTATTCGGCCAATGTTTCGCTCTCCCATCCGGTGTTAGCTTAGTCAGGACGTAAATTAAATAATTGTTGAAATCTGGATATTTTGATAATTCCTCCAATTTCTACACGCACAAAATACCAATTTAGTCATCGAAATCACCTTATTGCGACCTGTCAACAACTCTCACCTGATGAACGACCCGCTGAGTGGACGTATCCGGACTTTGCGATTCCTTCAGAAGGTTCAATATTTGGAGGAGCCCTTCTTCCGCTGGGGCCCAATTCGTTATAAGCTCCATTCTTCCAACTAATGTCACTCCCAACACCGATTCAACTCATGTTCACATTTATTCAAGAACTTTAGGAAACGTTGGGCTAAATATTTTCACAGACTAAATTATATAAAAAATTTAACTGGCTGACTTGACTGACTGACTGACTGAAGTGATGGAGTAGATAAAAGTATTAGTGTTTGGTGGTGGATTTGTGCGAGTGAATTTGCTTGATAGGTGGCAGATGTGGTGGCTGAGATGGATTTTTGCTTCCTGAAATAAAAAGTGAGAGTGGTTTCATTCAGGACCAAATAGAGACGAGTCAGTAATCAGCAGGTCATTGTTTTTAAAATTCTGCGATCATTTCCATAATTTGGTTGGCTTGACGAGTTATGTAGATCGTAATTTGCAGTTAAATTAAAATCGAGTCCAAAATTCTAAACTTTTTTAATTTCTCTAAATTTCTCTCGCTAATAATTGTCGTTTTATAAATAATTAGCTTTGAGATTAAAACCATGTCCTCATCCCCACCATCATTGACTGAGGAAGAGGCTCCAGATTGGACGCTGGACACTCTACCTGTTGAGGTATGTGTATAAAATTCATATTCATAATGTCTCCAAAGTTTTAATAATAAATAACTGAACAGATCCTCCTTCACATAACGACCTTCATCCCCGCCCCCACACTCGTCCATTCGTTATCATTGGTATCAAAACAGTAAGTACAGCTTGTCTTTCTCTAAGCACTTAAATTAAAATTTGAAGTCATCTAATTCCATGTTTAATTTTTTTTAATAGTTTCCATAAAATCCTATCAAATGAGAAAACATGGGAAATTCGTGCTCGGAAATTATGGCCAGGAAAATTTCCTCCAGTAGATATTTCCTCGTCTGTCATTTCTCCCACCTTGCATCGATCTGCTTCCGTAAAACGAGAAGAAACTGTTCATCTCTGGTCACAAAGTAATAATTCTTGTCTCGTGTTAACTCCACATATTGCCTGCGTGGATTCCGTCCTCCTCTTCAAAGGTAGCTCTACCTACACTAATCACCACTTTGGCCAATTTGTAATCAAAAATCTACAATTTTCATTGTAGGCAACTGCATGTTAGCATCAGGTTCCCGTGACCGTTCTATTAGTATAATAAATATTGATTCGTGTATCGAAAACCCATCGTCCATCCCACACAGTGAAGTAACCCATTCCAAACAAAATTCGCATACTGGATGGATTTGGGATTTAACGACAATGAATCAACAAGAAACTTTGGTTTCTGCTGGATGGGATGGATTCGTGAAATTTTGGGATATTCAAACTATGAACGAAATAGATGTGGTCAAGTAAGTTTTACCACACAAATATAATTTTTATAATAACTCATGCAAGAAATTCCTCTCTAACAGAACAAGCTCCCCCAACTTGTGCCTTAGTTCGCAATCGAATCTTTTGGCCATTGGGTCATTCAATTCTCGGATTCACCTTTACGACATCCGTTCACAAGCGATGATAAAAACCTACAAGGTTCATAAACGTTCGGTGCTCTCCATAGGACTCGAAACTGATAAAATCGTCTCAGCCGGTGAAGATAATCGTCTAGTCCTCCACGATCTACGACAAGATAAAACAGCATTATCAACAGTTTGCCTCCCTCAATTACCCAATTGTCCAAAAATATATCCAAAATCCATTTCGTACGCTAAAACCAATGCATCCAACACACTTCCGTATTTCTACGTGGGCGACATTCGTGGGAATTTATATCTAATCAATTTACCTTTATTTAAAATCGAACGGTGCTATCCGCTCATTCACTCCAAAGCGATTCAAGGAGTTTTCCATACGATTGGATCCGTCTACACTTGCTCCTCCGATGGTATGCTCATTGTCCATGAGCCTTCAGAAGAATTAGGAATCGTTAAAAGGATACATCTCGATAAAGTGGAATTACCAAAGGTTAATTATTTTTTATAAATTTTATTCTAATTTATAGAAAAACAATTTCATAAAATGAAAAAAAACATGCTTTTTAACCTGCAAAATAATGTTTTATTTGCAGGTCCACTGTCTCAATAATCGAGTTGCCCTTGCCGGGGGGGATTCCTTAATTAGAGTTTATTATAATTAATTGAAGTTTTTTGTTACTGCTGATTAAATCTTCGAAGTCTATGTTGCATGGCGTTGAATAACGATTCCATGTCCGTGTAGGAACCCTGTGTGAAAAATTTGTTATCGTTACCGTTTACTAATTTTATATCGAAATAATAAAATAACCTCACCATAACAAGAAAGACTTTGACGCCACCCATGCTGGCTTCGTCTTGAATATCGACTGCTGTGAATTTGACACTTTTATCGTTCGGCCTCTCCACCACCATTCCATTGAAAACTTTAGTGTTCAACATCAGCCGCAGTGATCCTTGGGTGCGGACGATTAGGCGAGAATTGGTGGTATCAGTGTCATTTAGCCGAAGTACACCACGTGATACTCGTTCAGTCCAATTTGTTGTAGAGGGGTCAAAATTATACAGTCGACAAGGGACCTACGGAAAATTTAAGCTTGACTTAAATAATCTACATTATGTATATCGATTTAGTTAGCCCGAGTCAGGGCCAGAGTCCGCTTCTACACTTTTGTCAAATGACCCAACTACTTTTGTCCGCTATCATAATCGCCAAAAATATTCCCATAATCGCATGCATGGAAAATTTCAGCTTCATTCGATAAATTTGAAAAATCTCTTTTTAACTCCTCATTTACTACATACATGTATTAAATTTCAAATCGATAGGATGCGTTTTACGAGCGTAATAAATAGACGGTCAGACAAGACGGGCACAAGCCCTGACTTGACTCGAGCTAAACATAAACAACGCCAATTGGTCCTACTCACCTGGATAACGTTAATTTCCCCTTCTTCCCCCGTGCTAACATCAACATCTTCTAAGGCAGGAATTTTACTCGCAGTCGGTTGATCTTCTGCCTCATCTCCGTCACATCCCACACTGCTGCTCGCGGCAGTACCACACCCTCCATTACTAACTTTCCTTTTTCTATCCGATGGTTGACTACTGCTAACACGATCTTCTAATTTCTCTCCAAATAAAAATTCTCCCTTTCCACCACCCCCACTTCCAGAACTTCCTGCAGCTCCTCCTCCTTCTTTGTCGTCTTCCCCTTTGCTCTCCCCATTGACAGAATTAGAATCCTTGGTAAACGGGACAAACGTTGGTTTCTGTTCCCCTCCTGTGGCTGAAGACGATGAAGATGAAGATGGAATTGGAGGTGTGGTTGGATTATCTTTAACCAAAAGTTTACTCGGTCGTAAAAACGACATGCCTCCACTACTCGGCTTTGGCAGCTCTAAAGTTGGAGTTATCGTAATTTTTGGAGCTGTGGTGGAAGATGAGAAGGAAGCTGGTCGGAGAAGGATGGAGGGGCGGAGAATAGATGAGGATGAAGGTGGTGGAGTGGGTGTAGTCGTCGAGGACGATGTGGTGGGATCTGTAATTTTATAAAGAAATTAAATTAAATTTATACAAATTCCTAGAAAATTTTGCAACGACCATAACATTAAACGAACCATTGCTGGAGCTATCTTCCTCCGAATTGCTGCAACTGCTACTCGACGAGGAGTCATTGTTTGAATTATTATTATTGAAGTTCGTCGTGTTGTTGATAATGTCCTCGTTGCTTGTCGTCGTCGTCACTTGATCTTTCCCCGTCTCCACGTCACCCGAAGAGGACACATTACTTTGGGTGTGACTGTTGCTCATTTTCAATGGAGTGGTTAATTCCGGAGGTAAATATTTACTTTTAGAACACGCACCACTGCTAATAATTATCTTTCAATTCACGCAACTTATTAGTCAGCAGAGTAAAAATGGAATGAATGAGTGAATATAAAGCGGGGTAGCCGGTCTTCCAGCGGGAATGAGCACTCTTTAAAGTCAGACCTTTCATCATCAATGAAAAAAATATCTCCATGTGACTCAATTTCCACATGACATGGATATTGGCTTATCTTAAGAAACCGTCCCTTATATATTTTCGCAATGCTGCCCACCTTCTTCCGAACCCTGTTTTCGAAACACCCACTGACTGTAAACACGATCTCGGGTGCAGGGCTGTTTATTGTGGGGGATTTTATCGAACAAAAAATAGAATCTTGGCGTGGCGTTCATGGAAAAGAGTTGGACACTCATAGATTGGGTAAGATGATTTTGTACTGATTAATTAAATGGAGAATTATTAATCAACTTTTAATAATTAATCAGGTCGGATTGCAGCTGTTGGACTACTGGAATCGCCACCACATTATTATTTTTACAAATATTTAGACATTCATTATCCTGGAAAAAGTTTTAAAATGATCTCAAAGAAAATTCTACTCGACCAAGTTATAGCTTGTCCAATGTTTAGTGTTCTATTTTTTATACCGTTGGCGCTCTTGGAGGGGAAATCCTGGGGGAGGAGTTGCGAAGAATTTAAGAATAAATTCCCTTATGTTTACTTGGTAAGAGAATTTAACTTTTAATTTTCACAGATTAAACAAAACAAAATTAAAATTCTTTAGGTGGATTGGATCTTGTGGCCCCCATGTCAGCTAATAAATTTCTACTTTGTCCCTGCCCACTATCGCGTTTTATACGTCAACACGTTCACTGTGCTTTGGAACGTTTTCCTATCATACATGAAGCATTATGATCAATTTGAATAGTTGTTTTAACAAACCAAATAGTAAATCTTGCCAACTAGTGAAATATCTTACGTTTTGAACAACTTGAAGATTTGTTTTATTCTATTTTACTATTGAAAAAAATAAATTTCTGGTCACTTAATTAACTTTTTAACCCGCTTGACTTTGTCTCATTGGTTTCAATTCATCCACAACGGCGAACTCACATCCCGTTCCATCCACAATTTCTTGGAGAGTTACACCCTCCGCTAGCTCAGTTAATGTCAAACCTTTCTCTGCGTCCACGGTGAACACGCACTAATTGGAAATATACTTATTAATTACACCACTTTATTATATAAATCAAGTGTTATTAGTTCACAAACCTTCTCTGTAATGATCATGTCGACACATCCCTTTCCCGTTAATGGTAAATTGCATTTGGGCAAAATTTTGTGAACTCCCCCTTTGGCTGTATGTTCCATTGTAACGATCACTTTGGTTTTTCCACCCGCACTCACTACACAAATATCAAATATAAAACTACATAATTACAAGCAATGGTGTTTAATGTATGGATAACTGACCCAAGTCCATAGCGCCACCCATCCCCTTGACTAACTTGCCAGGAATCATCCAATTTGCTAAATCACCATATTGTGAGACTTGCATCGCCCCAAGGATCGTCAAGTCGATGTGACCACTACAATTTTATTGCAAAAATTTAGAAATTCACTTCCCAAAAAAGTCAATACAAAATCTACCCTCTTATCATTGCAAAACTTTCTTCTGATCCGAAATAGCTTGCTCCTGGCAATACGGTAACGGTTTCTTTCCCAGCATTGATCAAATCTGGATCCTCCTCTCCCTCATATGGAAACGGTCCCAAGCCCAAAACTCCATTTTCTGATTGAAGATGAACCGTGATCCCCTCCGGGATAAAATTAGAGGATAACATTGGCATCCCAATACCCAAATTGGCATACATTCCATCCTTAAATTCCAACGCGGCACGACGTGCAATTTGTTCGCGAACCTTTTTAGCTGGGTTTGCCGTTGAAGCGGAAGCTGAGACTGGTGCAGGATCACGCTTTCTCGTTGTACGTTTCTCAATACGTTTTTGATAGTCTTTTCCTAAAACGACGCGTTGGACATAGACGGAGGGGACGTGGATATCTTCTGGGGGGATGGAGTCCACTTCTACGATTTCTTCAACTTCGGCAATCGTAATCTGGGAGGCTTTACAAATTGGTGGATTGAAATTTCGAGCGGTTTTTCTAAGAAAAATGTTTAAGCATTAAATTTAGTAAAATTGGAGTGAATTAAAATAAGTGTACTACCTAAAAATCAAATTTCCTTGTTTATCCGCTTTCCACGCTTTAACTAAACTGAAATCTCCTTTGATCGCTTCTTCCAAAATATAGCCACGCCCATCGTACTCTCGAGCTTCACGTTGGTCCGAGAAAATTTCAATCTACAACAATATTAATCATAAATTAAAAGATTTTCATGAAATTTGTGAGCGAATAAAGTTTAGTTTACAAACCTTGCCATCTTTTGTATATTTGATGGGAGCTCCTCCTTCATGGATCAACGTTCCGAATGCAGTTGGGGTAAAAAATGCTGGTATTCCTGCTCCTCCTGCACGAATCCGCTCCGCCAAAGTTCCCTTAAATAACATTAAATTTACGTTTAGCTGAGTAATTCCTAATTTACTAGAATATTAATTTACTTGAGGAGTCAATTCCACTTCTAACTCTCCGCTGAGAAATTGTCTCTCGAACTCTGCATTTTCGCCCACATAGCTCGCAATCATTCTCTTGATCTGTTTCTGTTTAAGGAGGAGACCCAGACCGAAATTGTCCACACCGGCATTGTTGCTCACCACGGTCAAGTTTTTCACTTGCGACTTCAACAGGGCGGATATCAAATATTCAGGAATCCCACATAGTCCAAATCCTTTCAATTAATCCAAAAAAACATGATTAGTTAATTACACTAATTAACAATATCTCGTGCTAAACCATAAACTAACCTCCTACGAGCAATTTGGATCCGTCTGGAATGTCCTTTACAGCTTCCTCGGCTGAATTATAGAATTTTGCACCATGTCGTACACTCGTGGTTGACAGGCTTCTCTGAAGAGAGGAAAATATTAAGGACGACGTAGGGCGAGTTTTAAGGACCAGGGGGAGAAGCATTTTAAAATATTTAATTAATATGTAATTAATGGAGGAAGGAAAGATTATATAATAATTTGGGAGAGAACGAGTTCAAGGTGAGCAAATTATATAATCCTAACACCCGTAACGCATCCACACACTAAATGCTCGGTCGAATATTTAGCAGTAAAAACGCAATAGTAAACACAAAATCATATCGGTTTGTATTCATTCATATATGTGATTTGTGATCTCGCAAAAAAAGAAGCGCAGGCAGTGTCACTTTTCCCATATGATCATCTCTAGACTAGTCGAGTGCTTTTTGTTATCTCATCTGTCGAGTCAAATTCCATCCTTAAAAAAATACGATCTGTATGCAAATACCGGTGTGGCGTATCTCTTTGATAATGTATATACCTTCACAGCCCTATTGTCGTGGTATAAAATAATTACGAACCCAGCCAGGCATTCTTTTATATACTTTTCATATTGTAAGTAGATCCACTGCCAAAAGTCTCGTCTCGAACTCGAGAGAACCCAGCTTCCGAACGTCGTTTGCTTGTTGTTAAAAATACCAACATCTAAAAATAACCAGTGTGTCTTCAGACACTCTCTCTTCGTCATCACTGGTGTTCCTGGTTTTAATTTTTAATTGGTCAAAATGGATCCCGAAATGTTTTTGGAGTAAGTAATTTTTAGAAATTAATTTCTGATGCGGTTAAAATAAAATACATTTCTTTTAGGGTGGCGAACCAGGTGACGAAGTTAAAAATGTTCCCGTATTTTGATATTGCTCACGCCGTCCTTTGTTGTCTCCATGTCAGAGAGGATCTGGGGGCCAGTGAGTTTTTTATAGTATTTTCATTTAAGAAATTTGGAAACAAAATTATAATTGTATTATCTGGAAATTTCAGATACCCACCCCTTTTCTCGCCGCCACCCTTTGACCACATGGATATGCTGTATTTTCGAAATATTTGCTGGGTATTAAATGATATGATCCACAATGCTTGCTTTCATCAATCCAACCAAATCTAACTGTCCAAATGATTAACTATTTCAGTGGAATGTTGGCCTCGTTATTTTTAGGGGAACCAGTTTTAAGTCCTTTGAAATCCAACCAGCACTTGTTACTTTACACTGCCGTGTGGTACGTGATATTCTATTGCCCATTCGACGCTGGTTATAAAATATCCAAATTTCTTCCCGTCAAACTCACCTTTTCCGTTCTCAAAGAGATTTACAGGTAATCTTCTTCGGCCTAATTAATGAATTTGACAGTAATGAGTAAATTAATTAATTGCCCCACAGAGTTAAGAAAGTCTACGATGGAGTAACTCACTCATTGAAAATCTACCCAAGCGGATATCTTATCGCCCTCATAATTGGAACCATCAAAGGAAATGGGGCAGGATTCTGTAAAATCTTTGAACGATTATTACGAGGGGTATGGACTCCGGGAGCTATCGAAATTCTTCAGCCTTCCTTGTAAGTCACCTAGTTAAATTAACCAAAAATTAAAAAAATAATAATTTAAAACCACCACTTTCTTTAGCCCCACGAAAGCTTGTATCGCCGCATCACTCATTTTCTTATTGGATAAGAAAACCGAATTCATCTCGGCACCTCACTCACTTCTCTACTTTGGAATCGTCGTCTTTTTCGTCTACTTCAAGGTCTCGCTACTTTAAATTGAAACACATGCAAATTATTTTTTGCTTTAGTTGATACAATAAATGTAAATAATTTCAGATCTCCTCAATCCTTTTGGGAATCCACGATCCGTTCGCCCCCTTTGAAAATATTTTCTGCGCTCTATGCATGGGTGGATTGGCAGATGCTATTACTCGGTAAATGCTATAATTCCTTTCTGTCTCTTCACATATGCACATTTTTATATGCTAATATTGCAAATTTCACAGTGCGTTTGGTGGATCACCAGGGTCTAGCCCTTCATCCGCAACTCAGAAACCAACTCCGAGCTCTCCCACTCCGTCTCCTGACGTATCTTCCGAAAAGAAGAAAGATTGAGAATTATTTTATTAATTAATTAATATATAAAAACCACACCCCCTCCATCATCCCCACTGCCTATAATGCAATATTACACTTGTAAGCAGTTATCTAGTCAAATAAAGCTATCTTGTGTGATCTACAAGTATTCCACGATATCACATTTGATCATAATGTTGGGACAAGAAGTCATGAATTTCCGATGACGCTGTCTCTGCTTCTCTTTATCCCGCAAAGATAAGCGTTCCGTTCTCAGAGATCGCTGCTGTTCCGAGAGCAACTTGTGGAAAATGGGGAGCAGCGAGACGTCCAAATTTATCTCCGTGGACGAGGAGGAAATCTGACTAGAGTTTATGTGCAGTTGTGATGGGTAGTGCTTATCGTTCAAGCGACGTCTAGGGCAGCACAGGTAAGTAATTATTAACAAACTTATTTGTAACATAAATTGTTATTGTTAATAATACTTACGGGACAGAGTATGAGCGGGTGGACAACTTTTGTGGAAATGCGGCCGGTGTGGGTATTTGATTGTGAAGCATGGGGGGACTTGTTGACAGATTGGGGGGAAGTTGTTGAGTATTGTGATTGCCGTGATTACCTAATTTATGGGAAAATGATTAATTAGTGAGAACAGAAAAATAAGTTTTAAACCCGAAGTTTAAAATGTTGAAATTACCATTAATGAAAATTTCTCCCCCACCGACGCTGCCACCATTGAAGACTTTGAGACATTTGTCCACCACAACTTTTTCGCCATAAGCACCAATCGAGTTTTGTTTGTAATTGCGCTGAATGTATCGACTTTGTTCCTTTTGGAGCATCAGTTTCCACATTTCCTCGTCCTCCGTGGTTTTTGAGGCGGAGGGAGATTTTTTGGGAGGCAGTTCGTCAAAGGAGGAGGATTTCTTCAACTTATCGTAATTGACTTCTTCCGTCAGGGTATTGATTTCATACAGGGATTTGGAATTTAAGCGTTTTATGGGTGATTTCTCACTGATTATCTCTGCTTTTGGGGTTGTGGATAAAACAGGGGGTAAAATTGTGCTGTCTTGTTTAAGGGATGTGGTTGTGGGTGCGATTTGGCTAGTTTCAGTATTTATTAGTGTTTTGGTTAATGTAGAAGACCAATGGGGAACATTTACAACGGAGAGGCCTGCAAAATTAAGAGCATAAATTTAGTTTCCAATATCAATGTGGTATGTGATATCAGATATGCAAACAATTTTAGTAAAATGGGGGTGTAACGTACCCGCCAATCCTGCAGCTATTCCGGGGTACTTTTTTCTGTAAAATTGCATAAGTTAATTAACTCAACGAAATTAAAAATCAATCCTAAAATATAATATCAATAATACTTTGGCACATCCTCCTCTTCTTCTTCGTCCTCATCTTCGTCATCATAGTCAAACACATCTCCGCCCCCCTCGGAATTCAATGAGTAGAGGGAGGAGACATCAGTGTCTGTTATTATTAGTTGAAACACACACACACAAACCACAACCACAAAAAACCACATTAGTCAAACTCGTATTAAAAAACCAAAATAATATCAAAACGTTTTTCTTACCCTCCTTTTTGAGCACCTCACTTTTTGGAGCCACCAAACTATAAACGTCTTGGAGTATTTTCTAAACAAAAACCAATTTCAAATTTAAAATAATCTTAAAAATCTATAATTTCCTTATTCTGACCCCCCTCACCTGCACATCTTTATCATCTTTCCCGAGTAATTTGGCAATAGCTTGAATCTCATTATCAATTTCTCTAATTTGTTTCCGTATTTTTAAATTGTGCTGTTTTGCAGTTTTCAACTCTGTTTCGTACACGGATGCCGCAGATGCTCTTCGGTTTGACATGTTCGTCATTGAAGGTTGATTGTTGTATGAGGGATTGTGGTGCGAAGAATGGGAGGAGGATGCTGGTTTTAGCAGCGTCGCGGCACGCAATCTCTTTTCCACCGTGCCCTTTGGATTCCGTCGAAGCTCAACAATTTTCGGGATGAAAACCAGACAAAGGGTTGCAGTCGTGCAGAAAATGATGAAACCGGAAATGATTAAGAAACCGGCGTCTTGTTGGTCGGATAGCACATGAGAAAGAGGAGCACCTGAACAGAATTATTTTTTTATCAATTAATTACTGAGTTTCAACAATTAACCAGTTAATTTCTCACCAAGAACACACATCATGACACAGTTGTAGACTGACATTCCGATATATTTGGAATCGTTGAGGGCAGGGATGGATACATGACGGGTTTCCCACGCCAAAAAACACCCAAACATCTAAGAAAATCATAAAACACAGGTAAAAACCACTATGACTTCTCAAGAAGGCAACATTTTACAAACTTTTCAAACATATCAAAAACTGAAAAAGATCACAAGATTGAAAAACAGTTCATACATAGTAACTCACCATTAGCAAACCTTTATAGGCGTAAATTATGCCCATAAAATAGCTCATGTAGTGACTCTTGCAATACTCATTTTCCGGAATAATTTCAATATCCTCATTCGACCCAGAAACATATGGCTCCAACTTTTTCGTGGTGCGGTACATGGGGTCGATAAAATGCCAACTGGTGAGTAAAACAACGTCCAAACCGAGCAGAATTCCTACGACGATGAAGAGCTGCATGTCTTTGATAACTTTTTTGTTCAACTTTACATTCGTAAAGATTGAGTGCACACGCCAAGTTTTTGAAAACATAGATCCGAATGACATTGAAAATCCAGCCATCAAAGCCCACGCTATAAAAATTTTAAGAGTAGTATTTATTTACTAGCAATTCAAACCCATTTATCAAAAAGTTTCAGTTATCCAACTGATTGGAAAAAATGTCGAGGGCAATTTAAAGTAGTTTACCTCTTGCAGTGCAAACATAAGGAAAAGTATCGACTGAAGTATGTTTCGAATCCAATCCGAGTAAAATGACCGACAAGTAGGTGAAAATGCATCCAATAATTATGAGATTGTTCAGATAAGGGGACGACATTTTAATATAGCGTTGATTCCGGAACGAAATATTGACCGCTAGGAAAAATCCGGCCAAAAGAAATCCAAGCCCCGCCAAAGACGCCAAGCAAAAGTAGAGCACCTTTAATATTTTAACGAATTATTAATTAAATTTTACTGTAAATTAAATCAAGGGGTCATCTTACCTGATTAACTCGTGTATGCTCAATAATTTGAATCGTTCTATCTTTCGGTGGATTTTTTCCATTCCAAACAATATTCAATCCTTTAGCGAGATTCATTTGTTGTGTCACACCGTCGAATTCACCAACTGAAAATTTTAATAGTTCTTAATTCTTATCAGATAATAATAACACTGCAAAACACACCTTTAACTTCCGCATTGACCGTGTTGAACGCTTGAAATTGTTTAATCATCACGGTTCCTTTTCTTCCATTATCTCTGAAACGGACGGGACCCTAATTCGTTGGATTTTTAGTTAAAAATTGTATTTAAAACATTTGACAATTTTGGAAAAAAATGGTAAATTATTATCCTAACCGTGACCCCAATGAAAAACGTATCCTCCATTGCATTAAGAAATGCTCTCTCCCACATGTCGTTATGATACTCAAAGTTTTTCAATATTTGATGTTTCCTAGTTCCTCCACCCCCTCCCTCCCCAGAATTAATATACTTGCTAATATTATGCAAAGCGAGTGCTATGGCCCAAATTCCGTCGTAAGCGTACCCATGAAAGCGAGAGTATTCTCCTAGGTTTACTATTTTGTAGAGTTCCTCATATTGGAGGGCGGTCTATTTTTAAATTAATTCGATTATATTATTTCAACGCTAATTTGCTTTAGAGTTTAGGGTAAAGATCTTACCATTCCGGAGACCGTAACATTTTGACTTGTACTAAGCGGATTTAAATCCATTAAGATTGCCCCTTTTAGCGCAGTTTCAACCTCTTCAACGGTACAATTGACATCCCTCTTTCTCCACCAATCTAATTACACATATCGCAAGATTTTAAATCACATCCTTTCTCTTAAAAAAGAAGTCTTAAGTCCTCTTAAACTTACGCGTAGTGTATGCAGCCACAATAAGCCATTGGTACTTCCTCCCATACAATTTCTCATGAAAAGCTTCACAGAAAATCCTCCGTGCCCAGGTCTCGTTAAAATTTCCGAGTATAATTCGGACATCTTTTTCCTTGAGTTTGGCCATCTGATAATGAATGTCGTCCGAAAACGACTGGGCAGCCACAACTTCGACCCCTATGGTTTCCAAGTCCGCCACGAGTTGGTTGTGAGCTAAAAATTTTTTTAAGATTCGGATTTTACGATTAGAGAAACCCAGATCGGTTAGCGAATAAATTTATAAATAAAAATAAAAATTTGATAAAAGTTATGAATTTACCTAATGAGTAGCGTGGCTTGTTTTGATATAAAGTTCCCACCTTGGTCCAGTTAAATTTCCTTAAAAGTTCGATCCTCGGTTCATTAAACTCATTCTCAGAAGGGACAATTCTATACAAATTTGGAAAATTCTTTTTTGAAAACATGGGATGCATATCTGCGTAACTGAGTTGAACAATTTTCCAGTGTTTGCTCTGCAATTTAGTAATCAAAGACTTAAAACTTGTGTAAATTATTTTGATGTCTTTGGTTAAACAAAAAGACATACCGCTTTGGCTATGGGATCGGTGACAGAGGTGCATGCGTCTCCAAATAGCATATATTTCATCGGAGGCTGGTCCATCATGTCAAAGAACTAAAGAAAAATGTTGCAAATATTGAAACTTCTGCCTGCCTAAAAACAAACGCTATGATGCGAATTAAAATTTCAAACGTACTGCTTTCATCCCATCCGCAGCGGAACACTAGATAAAAATCCACATTAATTACTTAACAAATTCTAACTCCTAAAAAATTTAGTCAAGTCACCTGTGTATTATTCCATGTAATATGTAATTTCACATCTTTCAAAATCTTTTTGTCGTTATTGATGTGAAACAGTGCTAATTTTACTGCGGGGAGGACGCCTGTTTCATAGGATTTTAAAAGAAAAATTAATTAATAACCCATCATCTTTTGCGTTATTGCATTTAAAAATGAGTTACCTCTCCCCACCGCACCCTCGCTGACGTTCAACCCCATTGGGAAGAAGCCTGCTATGTGAATAGACAATTCTGATCCATCCACTATGGCCACCCCCATTCCCAACGACGCCACCACCACCACCCACGGCAGCAAGTACACCCACCGCATTTCTCACTCACCTTCACCTTCCTTCCGTATCTATTTCATTTGGAAAACTTTATCTTGGAAAAAAGAACACGCCCAGAAAAGTGGAGATTCTCACTTTCCCACAGGTATATGCACGCATATAAATATTTACTACTTCTCTTTCTCTGAGTGACGTCAACCCGGAATCCACCGAAAAACCCGGACCCGGACTACGACTACAAAAAGAAGAGCACACAACACTCGGGTAAAGTAGCAAGTAAGAAATCTCTCTCTCTCTCTCTCACTCTTATTTAATTCATCTCAAAAACACGCTCCGAAATAACTAACAAAACTTTTTCTATTTTATAATTTTTTTAGTTGTAATAGTGAAAAAATGCAACTATTTTAGTAAACTACATAATCTTATCAGTCTTCCTCATCTTCCTCTCTGTGCACTCGATGCTCTTCTTCCGCCTCTTCCTTCACTGCCACGCTTTTGGGTAATTTTGGTTTCGCCATAACTTTTGGTTTCCCCGTGGAAACGTTTGAAATGGTTGAAATCTTTTTCAGCGTGCATTGATTTTGTTTTGCGAATACTTCTGCTCCCGTCACGATCGTTACTTCCGACTCGTCCGAAGATGATGAGGGGGAGGAGTCGTTGTCGATAGAGTTTTGGGATGTTAGTACTTTCAAAGGGGGTGTGGTAGTATTTATCATTGCGGAAGTGGTCACGGTTGTCGTGGAGGAGGTGGTGGAAGAATTTGACGAAGAAGAGGAAGATGAAGTCGAAGGGAGATCCAAGACTAGATCAGGGGTAAATTTCGTCTCTAATGAGGAACGCTTATTATTTGTAGAACTGGATGTGGTCTCGTTATTGTGATTATTATGATGATTATTATTCGTAGTTGTTGAGGTTGGTTTGGTTTGGTCATCATCATGTTGGTCGAGTTTTGTATATTTCGGTGGTTTATTCTGAGAAGCGGAAAATTCAGTAGGAGTCAGCGGTGGGTCGGATATTGATAATTTTTTCGCATGCAACGGTGGAGTGGTGGAGGAGGATCTGTAAAAATCATTTCAAGAGCAACCCTAAATTATCTAACTTGTCAAATCATATTTAATTTATATTAATTTAATTTACGCACCCCCTTGCGCCATGTTTATGGTAACTGTTTTCCATCCCTTCAACCGTAATATATTTATGCGGAATCAGTCCAATTGTATCGTTCCCTCCATTACTTGACGCTTCATCCCCGCCACCTCCGCCCTTACTAACGATGAACCCCTTCCACCAATCTCCACTAACTCGTGTCACAAGTCTCAACCTCTGCCCCTTCTTCAAGTCTAGCTCTCTACCCGATCTGGCTTTAAACTCGTAGAGGGCTACAGCATTCAAAGAAAGCTCCTCCGTCGTAGAGGAGGACTCGTCATCCGTCGTGGTCGAATTGCCTGACCCACATTGACTAAAGGTCATTATGGCACGGTGGGAAGAGGAGTGACCCCCTCCAGGCGTCGATGTCGAACAGGATGTCGTCGCATCGTCACTACAAATAAAATATAAATATATTTCAAATGTAAAACATAATTATCATACTCACTCACCAATACTTGCGATAAAGTTCTCCTCCACATTCGTTTGTAAAAATCTCATGTGCAAAAACAATTACGTTCTTGATTAGTTCATTAACCAAATTTTGAAATTGAACTTGGTCCTTGTCATCTGGAACTGGGACTAGCGTTGGACCGAAACAGACTGTAAAAAGAAATATTTATAAACATGGGAAATCTTCATTATATAGTTTTTTTAGATGAATAATTTTTAGTGAAAGAGGTTTCTTACTTGCGATATTATACGGGTCCATCATGTTTTCTTCGTTGTACTCACTCAGACTACATTGTATAATTTAATTAGTAATCTAGTTATTTGTCCACTCACAATTTTTATATCATTAGTTGTCTTACTGGTTCAAAAAATGGAACAAATATCTCAGTACGATAAAAACTGGCCGTGGAATACTTTTCGTGACCAAATCTCGCATCCGTTGTACAAATATTTTATCATCGTCCAATTCTATATTTAAATGTTATCCGAAATTCATAAATATTTGAAGTTACATTTGTTGTAATTGTTAGAAGTGTAACCACTTACGAGCAACTTCCATAAAATAGTCGAAAAACACTAGAGGAAAAATTGGTTCCCTTAATTCTCTCAAGTATAACTTGAGCAAACTTGCCACGGAATTGATATCGCTCCTAAATTATTAAAGTAATTATTAAATAAAAAATTAATTACATAATTAATTATCTTACAAAATACAAACTATACTTACGCATCCGTCAATTCACACAGTGGATCCTCTCCCCGTTCAAAAGCATCCCGGAAATTATTAATTTCCACTATGGAAAAAAATTGTTATCATTTTTCCAATTTCAAAGAGGCCAACCTAATAATAAACTAAACTTTAAACTTTAATCCATGTACCTTGACTCCCCGAAACCCTAAAGATGCCCTGATGATGCATCCCAAAAAGATTGACGACTCTGACGCATGACTTGACAATTAGTGGAATATCGCACTTGTTGACTTCCAAATACTCTTCGATTGATCCCCCGAATAATTTACAACTTGAACTAATCCGCTGTCCGATTCGTTTACGTCGTTTCATTTTTTCGGAAGAGTTTATATCGTCATCTGAAATGGTCGAGGAACGTTTTACACCCAGAGCGGTTTTTATATGGTCAAATTTTGCATCTAGTCGGGACACCCTTGATGTGGAAATCATCCAGTCGCGATATTTCTGAGCAATTTAAAAAGAAAAATATTAAGATGAGTTTTTTAAATTAAGAAATATTACAATTCTTAGACAATTACGTTAATATGAAACTGATCCGTTTCCACTCGGTCACTTCGATTTTTAAAGTTCCCCTCTTTTCCATCCTGCAAGAGGGCATTGTTTGCGATCCCACCCACTGCGAACCACTCTCTGACGACGTTACAGGACCAGTTTTCATCAATTAAATTTAAAAGAGTTGACTCTGCCGTTTTTGACAAAGAAATCAGAATTATGTAGTAAATTCTCAATATTCCCCAATTATCATAATGAGCAAAGCGATTTGAAAAAGAGAAAGAATCTTCATCCCTCTCATCAAGTAGTATTATTTTTTATGAAATTTTCAACCAATAAATTATTGATTAAACGTAAGTACTTATCATGTGTGACATTATTATTACTGTTAGTCTGTTCTCATATTACTATCACATGATTTTCAAATTGATTGTCCTTCTGTTATCATTATTAAGGTGAATGATGAGTGATTGTTCGGATGATGATGATATCGTCAATCCGCCTACTTTCTCAAATACTCGGAAACAAGCAACGCCATCAACATCGTCCAAACGGAAAGCAACCACTCCCACCAGTAGCAAAGCAAAAACGCCCAAAAAGAAGAAGGATGGCGATGCTGCCGGGAAGGATGACGATGAAGCTCAGGAGGAGGAATTGACAAGTTTTAGGTAATTAGCCAAATTAGTGAAAATCAAGGTAGGAGATTCTTTGCTTATCCAAAATTTTGTCAGATTTCTTAAAGTGGACTCGAATGATGATGATGAGGAGGAGGAACCGGAAACGAAGCGAGAGTGGAAAATGGTTCAAATGGAAGGAAGTACGAGATACTCAAGAGGTCCACCTACCTGCCCCCTATACAGAGGTTATGTCGATAGGAAAATTAATGAACGAAAGGATAAGGATGGAACTATTTGGTGGAAAATTGGCGAAACCTTGGGCACAACTAAGAAGATGTCGGATAAATCTGAAGGTGAATAAACTATCTACACTACATTCTATATTATAGCTAAGTGCAGTGTATGTGACATGTCTGGTTGATGATTTTAGACATAGGGGACAATAAACTGCGAGAACTTTTCTGCAGATTGGCAAGAGAAGTCGACGAAGAAGAGGAAATGGGATCGCAACAATCGACCGCATCTGATCTCACTACTCTCACCCCGGAAATAATAACGGGGAAATATCCCCCTCTCAATGCTGCAGAACGACTCGTTGCAGAGACAAAGATAAGACAAGCTGGGGCAGATGGAATTATGGTACCGGGCACAGCTTCTAGGGTTACATACTTGTACAAATTGTATAACTCCAGACGATTACTCTGCCCAATCTCATCCTCTTTGTATTAATAGGCAGACCAATTCAAAATTTGTAGATAAGAAGTCTTGGGATATAATTCATATGTACCTGATGAAGAAGTTTTCAGTTGATGTGTATTTAGGTCCCAAGACGGCGGAGTAGAATTTACGTTTTTTTTATATTTGTTTTTTTAATCCCTAGAAACATCCTTACCTTCTTTTTTGTATATATATATTTTCTTTTGTGTTTATAATAATTACTCCTTACCTGCAGTTTCCAAAGTTTTCCATAATTCGTTTGACTCGATTTTTAACGTGGTTAATCTCCTCTCGAGTAAATACATGCGCTGCTCTAGTTCCTCGTGAAGAATAGGAGGTGTTTCGAGCGAGGGTGGTGAGGTAATTGATTCCTGAAAATGAAGACAATTTACATCGGTGTCGAATTTTAATTAAGTTTTAGTTAGTATTTATGTCTCACCTCTGGATCAGTCAAGAACTGGTTAAATTCGAATTTTTTCGGTAAAACAAAAGCAGAATTGTGCGCTTCAAGAAACTTTTGTTTGTCGACCCGTGAGTCCAGTGAGGTTAGAATTTTGTTCAATTGATCAATCGTAATCCCGAGAGAATCTTTCTTTATCTCTTCGGAATATGCGTAGAGTTTGAGACAGGTCGAAATGGACTCATAATACCCGAGGTCCATGCACTATAAGTAAATCATCAAAAATTGTACTATTAATTAGTCATATGTAGTTAAATTAAATAACTCACGTCAATTAAATCACTCAAATCTTCTACGAAAAAACTCTCGACTGAAATTAAAAAATTATTTAAGGTTTAAGTATATACATTCAAAATTAATCAAAATGCATCCTTTCCGTGCTAAAAATTAATTTCAAAAAGTATATCAATTACCTGCTGCATTTGCGGCATCCATGCAAAGTATGTATTCATTTTTAGCTTTCAGAGCTTTAAACTTTGCATCTGTAGCTTTACGAAGGCGCTAAAATGTAGATACATACTCAATTTAAATAAACTATTGATTCACCTAATTAATAATTATGTGCTCACCTTTTGCACCTCTTTTTCTAGTGATTTACATTTTTTGCTCTTATCAATTTTCTCCCTGGAAAGCCCACTTTCCGCTTTAGTTTTCTGATTTTCCGCATTCTTCAATTTCGCTTCGGCCTGTTTCCATTCGATATTCTGTCCTTGATAGGATTTGGAACTGAGGTATAATTCTTGTAGCACTTTCACTAACTCTTCCTGACCCTCAGAGCAGACTTGAATGACCTATGATTTAAAAAAATGTGATTTTTACAGTATTTATATCAAATTTTGATAAAATCTTAATTTCTCAATTGATTAAGTACCTGCTTGAAAATTCTAGTTAAATCTTCCGAAATCAGTCCAAGTCTGTTAACAATCAAACCACAAATCTCGCTCAGAACTAATCTCTCTTTTGCCTCCTTCTTAGTCTCATTTAAAAAATTGAGCATTAATGAATTCAACATCGTGGGGGTCCAAGTGGTCGAGTCCTTCCTGCTCAATTTACAAGAGAAAATTTAATTAATAAATAACTACTAAATAATTAATCATAATTTGTCCCTACCTCTTCCAGTTGGCACACCCCTTGTACATTTTGTCCAACATTTTACTAAATTCTGCCTCGATTTCCGATTTTTTCTTAAAGTACTCTTGCAATTCTGACGTTATAAGTAACTGAGCTTCCAATCGAGATTCCAATGACTTTAATTGTTCACTTAATTGATGGCGGAGGTCTGCAAAATAAGCAAAAACAAACCTTATCAGTTAACTCGCTTCTTAACGCGTGTATGTAGTAAATATAAAGCGTATTAGTAAACAAAATCCCACCCGGGTAGATGACCATCAACTTTTTCCTGTCTAAACTACCCACCACCAAATCGTTACTATTTATACATTGGAACATTGTATCAACTCCTTGAATTATCTGATTTCACTTTAAAAATCTACATTTTCCTCATTCAATATTCTTAATTGATGAGCAAATATCAAAATCTCAACACACCCAAAAAGACATTTTCTCAGAGAATAGAGCAATCCTATGATAGCTTATACCAGTCACACGCAACAACAGTCGTAGTAAGTCGATCTCCGTATTGGGATTTATATGGAGCATGTTGTTTTTTGTCCCTTTTAAGCCCTAGCCCTCTATATGCATTTGAGTAGTAGCAGCAACCAAAACTTGATCTTCAGAAGAGTCGGCTGTATTCGACTCTTGTTAAAAAAAGGAACAAAATCTACAAGAGAGCCGACAGACCGAGTGGGTCTCAGAAAAAATTCATTTTTTTGTAGCAAAAACTTGAGAGAAAAGGGGGGGCAGTTACTTACGTTGGTAAAAAGGCATCTTTTTGAGACCGGAGCTGACTGCGATTTTTGTCATTTTGGAGGAGGTGGTGATTTGTCCGTCGACGAAGGACTCTTCATTTTCTGGGAGGTCATCAGTGAACGTGAGGTCAGCCGTGATACTGCTCGTGTCCATGGTAAGACTTGGTTTCCTTGTCGCTTCCATTCTGTTTATGATGATGAGAAATATGGGATGAGATTGTTGGGTGTGGTTCACGAGATTCCTTTTCTATATTGATTTCAAGAGATGATGCTGATGATTTTATATGATGGATTGGTTTGATTGATTGATGGGGCACTACTCTGGTGGCTGTTATTTAGGAAATTGCAAATTGTGTAAACAATTATGCAAATATCTGGAATTAGCTTATATGAAATTTTTAGCCCATAAAACTATAAGCGAATTGTTGTATTATCTTTCATGCAGACTCTAAATCAATACACAATAATTCGATTTTATATGAAATCTAAATTTCTCACACGAAATTTTTGTATTGCAAATTACAACTTGAGATTCTCCTCACCTTTTTATGCAACCACTCTCCTGCTCCGCTTTTCTAATTGTACGCAGTTCTCTAATTAATTTATATATTCATATCCACGATCCAAACATGCTCCAATTAAACCTACTTCACTTACACTACTCCCATTAAATGCACATTAGAAACAACAGAGTTTTATTTTATAACGCAAACGAAATTTCCTCGTCTGGCGTCTCTCTCACTCAAAAACTGTCAACTTCCTCTGTTTCTCAACAAAAAATCCCACCACCACAATTTTTTCTGTACACTCCTCCTGGAGCTAAGCTAAGCTGATAAGAAATAGGTTAATCAAACCACAAAACTATTAGTTAAATTTTGTCATCGCAGTGCAGTCAGGCCGGATGCAATATTTATCCAGAATATATGAAACTCTGTCACAATTTCAGTCTTTTTTTCTCTCTCCACAAATCTCTCACTCTTCTCACTCTATTTATACGGCATTTTTAACCGAAAATTTATAAAACGAAAAAACCGGAGAGTCTTCTCTTCTCCAGCCAGTAGCAGAACTTCCAGTAGCAGTCAGTAGCGAAATCAAACAAAAATCCAAAACCGGAGAGAGAGCAGGCAGCAGCAGGAGAGAGGAAGTAGTTCATACGCTTCAACATCATCATTTATTATACACAAAACTTTAGTCGCTCGTGTATCCAAAAAGCAGTAGCAAGCATAGCGTTTTAGGGTCTGCTGTCTGTATAAAATGAACAAAAATCATCATAAATGAAATAGTAGAACTGGAGCAGGACGACGAGGGAGTAGCCGGTTACAGAATAAGTGGTGGAGAAGAGGGGAACGAGAAATGTTTATGATGATGATGACAGACGGTTCGTTATTATTTAGGAGAAACATCTGACAGTCTCTCGCTCTGTATCTGTTCTCGTTAAAAATTGTTAAATTTCCGATAAAAATTGTTTCCTTTAGAAAGCATGTCGCATCACGGTCAACACCACCAAAATTATTACAATCCCAATCCCCCCACCAACAATATGAGCGGACATCACCAAAATCACCCCCCTCAACAACAACAAATCGTTCCTAGACCTCCGATAAATGAAGATTTTCAAAAACAGATCCAACAAGACTGGGCTAATCGGGAGTATATCGAAGTAATTTCGGGAAGTATTAAAAGAATTGCAGATTTCTTAAATAGTTTCGGTATGAGGGTAACATTTGTTTAATTAAGTACAATTTGTAAGGATTTATTTAATGATGAATTGCCCCATTTATAGATCTCAGCTGTCGTTACCGTTTGGCCCAATTAAATGAAAAATTGACAAGTTTGGAGAGGAAAATTGAGGTTTTGGAAGCTTGGGTTAGTTTTATTTTTATCGTGGTTGATTTAATTTGTGGCCTGTCGATTGCAATGTACAATTTGTAATTTCAGATCAGCAAAGGAGAAACGCTGCCTTGATTTATTATGCAATAATTTGTTAAAATACGCATGTAAGTTTTTCTTCTATACCTAAAAATATTCACTAAAAGAGAGGAAGTACCTCATTATTATGCAATAAATTGTTTTGTATCTTCATATTTGAACTAAAACCTAAAAAGAAATGCACACATGTTTACAACATCTGCTTCAACACGAATGTTTATCATCAACAAAGACACGCTTAAATTCGGGACAAATTGGTGAGTCATCGTCACTCCCGTACTTTCCCCGAATGCAATTTCCTCTCTGCAAAACAAACATTAATTTCATCTCGTGTAATGGATTCAAAGAAAGCATCACCATTACTTTTGGCAGTCAAATGTACCTAAATCTAGTATAATATCATTTTAACAGCAGCATAGCATAGCACCCACACTAAACGCGAGATAATAATATGCATGTCATACTCAAAGTAATGACGTCGTCGATTCTTACGTCATTACACGCTATGGACCAATCCGACGAAACGAGGGGTTGGACATGAGCCCTTTGTCGAATGAAAATTCGACAAAATGACGGCTAAGCCAGGCCCACACAATCGTATGCATACATCCGTCCACATAAACTCCATTCATATAAAAGAATAAAAACTCTGAGTCATCCGACGAGGAGGCTCACTTGAAAGAAAGTATCGCACGTTTTCCTTTCGCTTTAGTCGTCCGAAATATTTGAAAATCCAGCAATATTTCTGCCTAGTGAAGAAACGAAGAGAAAGTGCACTTTTAATTAAATAGATTTTAAAATAGGCAAAGTTTGGAATTGATAATTTTTACTGGCGTAATTTCTCAAGGTCTTTCTACACTAAAAAATTAACATAATAACAAAGAGTACCTGTGAAATCCTCTCTCTTCTCTAATTGGATACGAATTAAAGGTAAGAAATAATTGCATAATGGCCTTTTTAACAAATAAGTGTATTTGTGTTTCTAATCTATTCATTAATTTGTACAGATGAATAGCAATAAACGTTCTCTCTCCGTGGCACATAATCACCGCCCCTCGATGACTCTAGACCTAAATTCCCCCCTCCCCCCGAAACGTACGAGACTATTGAAAAACCAAACGAAGGCTGACCTCTTGTCATCGCCAGATGTACAAAAGTTGAAACTCGCCTCGCCCGATGTAGAAAGATTTATTACAAATCCACATTCACTTGTGACACCGACGCAAGTGTTTTTTCCAAAAAACGTAAGTCCCCTATTACTCGACTAATTAGTACAATAATTGAAGAGTTAGCTAATTTTGCCATTATCATTTTTCTATAGGTGACCGAAGAGCAGGAACTCTATGCAAAAGGATTTGTTGACGCTTTGGCCCAATTACAACAGGATTCGTCCTCTTGTTCATCAACCAGTCAAGATTACAAGCCCGACCTGAACTCCTCCTCCCACCCGATTGATATGGAATCCCAAGAGAAAATCAAACTGGAACGTAAAAGACAACGAAACCGTGTGGCTGCGAGCCGTTGTAGAAAGCGCAAGCTTGAAAAAATCGCAAAATTGGAGGACAAGGTGAAATTGTTAAAGGGAGAAAATGAAAAATTATCAGACGTCCTCGAAAGACTTAAAATGAATGTGGAAGATTTAAAATCGAAAATTATGGTTCATGTCGGTTCCGGATGTCAGATCATGATTAACGAGTAGATTAAGTTATACATACAATAGTTAATTAGTCAAGTACAATTATTATATAAGAAGGGAACGAAAGAGAAATATTTATTTTACACTTTAGTTAAATTTTCTTTGGATAAATTTTCCTTGTTCAAATAATGCAAAACGTAATGAAGAGTTGTGTCGTAGCAGTACTTGTACTCGGTCTATTTTTAAAATATATAAATATATATCTATATATTTTGCAATGCTTTAAATGAACTGTTTTTTGTGTGTAATTTATTTACCATATTTTCAATCATTTGTGGTCGATGGCGTCGTACGGTTTTCACGGCGGTAAATACGTCAACTTCACCGTATAAAATTACTTGTTCGATACAAGCGTTCGCCGCACAATAAACGCCACATCTACTTCGACCATCACTACAGAACATTGTTCGGTTTTAATTGTTATATTTTTACATATGTCGAAAAAGAAAATAACTTACGGACTAACGACCACAACTGGACCATAACCCGTCCTAGCTCGCCAACGTTCAACCATGTTCATCAACTCGACCTAAATATATATATGACATTCAGGAAAAAATTAGCGTTCCAGCATAGATTGTATGACACCAAATTACTTACCAGCGAGTTTGTGCTCATGGGTACTTTCTGTTCCATAGGCCAACAGGTTAATTGAAATAACTGACATGTTTTCGGATCAGCTTTTACACCAGCCTGCATAAATTTCATTTCTCATCAGACAATTTTAAAATATTGGTTATATTAATTTAGATAAATATAGTTAACATACCATCAACTCAGTTAAACTAACGATTTTCTTATTGATTCGAAACACCCAGCTTTTAATATTGGGATAATGATTGTGAGATAAGTGATCAATTGTAAAAACTGGTCCATATTTTTTTGATCGGCTCGTCTCTGGCCAAAAATGAGGGAATTGCTGTGAAAAGTTAATAATTAGTCCATTGAAATTAACTTTTGAGTATGATGTACATAAATACATCATTCAATTTGTACCGTGCTTGCATCTGGATTACTTAAAACGACCACAGCACTGACATCATAATCATACACGAGTGACCACAAATAGCTTATCGTATCTGGTAAAGGCCATTCCGTGACGATGTACTCCCTGGCACAACGGTATCCCTTTAATGTAAATTGTTAATTTAAGTTAAGTGTCATTAATTAAAGCGGAAATCTAATAAATTAATACATCCACAAAGACAGCGTTGATATAATCCGTGAATGAATTTCCTTGGAACGATGTCAAATACGGCCGGAAGTTGTCAGCTAATAATAAAAACACGAGATTTTTATCGCTTTAAAAATTTACAGAAAAATTAGTAGAAAATCTCACGTGGAATGATAAGGACATCCCTATTTTTGTCTCGATTATCTCCACGATGACCACCAGCACAATCGCCAATAGAGAAACGAGGAGTTTGCTTGCATATTAACTAAATTGAGACAAAATGAGACAAAGTGAGACTTTTGAGGTAAGTTGAGACAAGGAGTAAATCTCGCATATACCAAAAATTCTCTCTGATATTCATTAATCTTCGTATGTGGATCTTTTAAGGATTTTGACTTGAGAATTTGCGATAGCTCAGAAACTGGAAACCACGTTTTACGACAAATTACAAATTCTTCTAATGTGTCATATACAAATTTTAATTGGTCCTAAATTAAATAATAGTTAAAAATTAGCCTATATTTAATTAATTATTTATTTATGTATTTGCTCACAATGTTTTCCACTAAACCCTTTCTGCTCATTCTTAACTTTTTTAAATAGCCAAAAACATCCAGAACGCCGTCTTCTTCTAATAATTCGAGATTTGCATCGATACTGCAGTAGACACCAGATCTTCCCCCTCCATCGCTGTAATCAGTCAGTGGCATTAGTTAATTATTCAATTGTTAATTAGCCAATTAAACTCACTAACCTGCAATGAATTAAGACCTGCCCTTTTAAATTCAAATGCTCTATTAACTGTTTGACCCTCCTCCTAAAATCTAATAACGCTGTGGAAAATGGACACGTGTGGACTGGCCATTCTACAAAATAATTAAAAGATATTAAATTGACCAATTATGCTTAGCTAAATAAAAATTTACCAGTATAATGGAATTGCATAACTTGTCTTTCTTCCTAAAAACCATACAACCCTCGAGTCACTTTGCCAAATCTTAAAAAAATCGCCCACTATTTCCACCAACTTACAAACTCTCCCACTTCCGGTTTAATCATCAACGTCCTCACAACAAAACATGCTAACTGCTCTTCTTTAGCGATTTGAATCGTAATTCCGCCATACGTCACGGGCTGTTTCGAATCCCAATCTGGCCAATATTTTATGCACATCACCTGCACATTTACATATTTCCTCATTTATTTCATACATGATCAACTCCAACCTTATTAAACCACTCACTTTAATGAAATCAAAAGTTTTTGTCAACATGATTATCGTCGTCACATTCTTTTGCCAGACCATTCGCCTAGAGTAACAAATAAAAATTTGCTACACATACATTACATTTCCAAACCTTCAACTGCTTAGGAAAACGTATTTTTTTACGTACCAAAAGTCCCCGACCGTTGTTTCACTGGGACCTTGACCTACAATGTATGCATTTGGACGAAGCAAGCTCTGTGCATTTTACAAACCTTGTTGTTCAATCACGACTTTACACTTATATAAAATCCCAACTTACGTCGACATAGCTCGCATTGACATAATCTCCGCTGAATTCTTGATTCGTCGGATCCAACACGACCCGGTTGTAGTCGTCTGCATATGTATCGAAGCAGTACGCAATCATCAAATTATTTTTTTTTACTAAACAAATGAATGAAAAGTACATATATTTATATGGACTGACATGGAATGACTTTTTGGTTCTGATTTTTCTCCTTATTGGCAACTTTGGTGGCATGTCTGGTCGTGTTACCACTCTCATTCTTCGTCGCTATCTGTAATTCCGAGATTAAACAAAATCTTTTAAAACCTGTTCTTTTTCGCAAAATGAAAAAAAAATTGCACAAATCTCTCGCAAATATACAACGAATTCGCATCCACACATGAATCGGATGGCCTTGTACTTGTTCGAGAGAGAACTCTCTTTAAAAAAAGCTATAATTAGAACAAAACGCAGTAAAATACCGACGACGCTTAACTAACCATGCTTACCCAACTATATAGGTTCGTGTTATATATCAAAAGCCGAATGTGCATGTAATAAAATCCCTAAAAAAATTTAAGAAAATAAAAATAACAATTTGCAAACCTGAAATTCGACTTTATATAAAATTGGGAATTTTCTCCTTTCTTCACACAATTTTAAAAACATTTCCTTCGGCACGGCACGTTTTGGCAGGGATGACAGCACTTTTCCATCCTCATCTTCTACAATATTTTTCAATACAAATTATAATCACCTCATAATTCACGATATGTAATAATTAAAAGATAAACCGCACTGCTGAATTTATTGATAGAAATGAATCCACTGTTCAGCATGGATAACTTCACCGCGTTTGGAATTGACATTAGTGACGTTGATGTTTTATGTTTTATTTGACTTTTTGTTCTAAAATTGTCCTGTAAATCGTCATCCTCTTCTAATCGTTGCTTCGTATGACCGTATTCCAATACGGAGTTGTTGGTCGACATTTTGAAAAAAAATATATTTATTTCACAATTTTCAACAACACATTTTTTTCTTATGATTTAAATTTTCTAAAAAGATCTGGAAGAGTACGAAAGCGTCCCTGTTGGTCTCATGCACTTTTTCTTACTAAACTCGTCTCGCGTTTTCTTTAATGAAATGTGTGACGCCGAGAAAAAAGGATGAAAGTGATCTTGACTCGGATTCTCGCTTAAAGAAATGTGCAATATAAGTTGTTAACATGACGGGATTTTTGCACTATAGACAGTGATGCCAGATGCCAATATACATAATTCATGATGAGATAAGATATACATACATAATGCAGCTCAAGACAGTATGTTTTCGTCAAATTGTATATTTTTTTTATTTCAAGTTCATAGAATTCTTTTATTTTTTTTTATAACTTTTATAATATTTTAGTCTTTCTTAAAGAGTTTACAATATTTTTTTTAGATATCTTTCATCAGCCTTATTTTTCATTTATAGTTTTACACATAAATTAATCAATTAATGATAGAAAAAAACGATATGAACAAAAAAGGTAATTTAATATCCCGAGACGGTTTTCAAAAGCATCATCAGCATGGCAGATAAGCCTCCAGAAACTGGAACGGTGACTAACCAGGCGAAAATTATGTTCCTGGAAATATTATTCAATTGTAAAATTACCAGAAATAAATTGACGGTTAAAAAAAATAGTCCTCATACCGAAACAACTTCCAATCTACGGAATTCCTTGATCGGACATAACCCACTGAAACGACAGATCCAACTTTGCAATGCGTCGTACTGATTGGAATCTAGGAAATAATTGATAGAATAATTAAATACACTTAAATACTAATCAATTTCGAGCTCATTACTTACTCCCATTTTGGATGCGCAAAGTACCGTGATCGCTGCACCGATTTCAATCGTGAAACCGCTATTTTTTCAATAATATCATTTTTTAGTGATAGTTTCAGTTTAAAAATGTAGACAGAGAAATTACCTGCTCGGTGTAATTTTGGTTAAATCTTCCCCCATAGTTTTGATAACTCTTCGTCCCCACACCCACAATCCAAGGGAGATGCCAACACCTCCGTACACCAAGAGTAAAATTGGCGTGGCCGCTGTTTGCTGAACGTTTCCGTGCGAATATACCAACCAGAGAGCTATGAGGGGGCCGATTGCGTTACTGACATCGTTGCCTCCGTGGGCAAAAGATCCAAAGGCGGCGGTCTAGTAAATTAAAATACTTCATTATTTCCGCAAAAGTTTCCCTTCGTAAATAAACAACGCACCATGATTTGCAGGAAGGAAAACAACTTTCCGACGCCAGGTTTATCCTTGTCATTCCTCTCGAGAATTTGTTTTTCGATAATTTCCGAGTTGTTACTGCTCCCAGTTTCAATGAGGGTGCTGGATGCGTTGTTATTCCCATTGTTGTGTTTGATTAGTGGAACGGCGGACGAGTTGGGGGACAGGCCTTCCATGGGGATTGCAATTTCCGGTGTGGCATTTCCATTCGGATGGTAGTGATGCTTATCTGAGGGTTCTGGCGTTTTGTCACCTCCTCCGACGGTGAACATGGTCTTGTTCTCGAGAGATTCGTTGTCAGCAGTTATTTCGTCTGTGAAATAAAATTAAGGTCAAATTTTCATCGTCATCACGTTTCTAATTCCTTACTACATATTTTTTTAAATTCTACGACAAATTCAGTTCTTTTTTTTTTGTAAGAATTTGTACCCATCACAGTTTTCCTCATTCTCGGCACGACACATAAATAAACCACGATAGAGACAAGGACGCCAATCCCGACAGAGAGGAAAAGTCCAATTAACATCCCGACCCAGTCTGGCTGCCCATCGATGCTTATCTTGAGCACTATATGGCAATTTAATTAAAAAAGTAATAAAAAATGACGTCATATTTATCATCTGGGGGATCATAAAACTGCAATTTTTTATGACTCCAACCGTTACTTACTGTCAGGTCCATCGATGATGATTGAAACGACATTGATGAAGAGCGTAACCCCGTAAAAGAACGGGAGTGAGGCAAGTCCAGGCTCGATGGGGTCAGCTTTCGATAAAATCCACTTTCTGATAAGCACGAATATTGAAGAGGATACGATCCCGGATAATAATGGAGAGACGAACCACGACGCCACTATGTATACAAAATTTTCCATTGAATAACAAAGCAATTAATTAATTGATATATGGCGTCATATTTGTTTTACCGATTTTGGCCAACGATATGAAATTAATCCCTTCAAAGCCACGTGCTACTAGAGAAAAGCCAAGAACGGCACCAACTATGCTGTGCGTTCCAGAGATCGGCATCTAAATAATTTATTTAAATATTTATAGACTGCAAATTTATTACCCATTTATTAATCTCACTTTTAAAAAAGTGGCGAGTAGAAGCCATATTGCGGAACCACCTGAGTAAAAAATTGCCATTAAAAAAAATTGCCAAAAAAAACTGAAAAATTATCATGCTTTTTTTAACTACCAAGTGCAGCCAAATTTCCAAGCATGTATTCCTCCGGAGAGTTTGCATACACGGAAACATCAATGATTCCCTTCCTTATCGTGTCTGATACTTTATAACCTATAAAAATTTGCATGGATTTTTTTAATAAAATTGCATTGTTCTTTAATCTTCATATTTAAAACTGCGTAAACTTAAATAGTTAAAACTCCTCTAATGTTAACCACAAAAAGAAACTAATTAATTATATAAATCTCCACCTAACAAAACGGCGCCTGAGATTTCAAATATCGACGCTAGAATACACGCCCGCTTTAATGTCAACACTTTTGCTCCCACACTCGTTCCAAATGCTGTAGAAAAATTTGAAATTTAATCAAAATCCAAATTTAAAATTAGATGGTAATCTGCAAAGCATAATTTTGTATTCTTACCATTTGCTACGTCATTTGCTCCTAAAAAATATATATAAAGATGTCTCAAACGATATAAAAAGAAGTAAAATTTTTCAAAAAAATGCTCACCTATGCCAAACGCGAGTAAAAATGAGACAACGAATCCCAACGCGACGACCCAGATGACATTATCCATTTTTAGAGATTCCTTCTTTGTTACACTATTTTGAGTGGGTATTTTTTGAACCAGCAAATTTTCCACCAAGATTTCGATTTACAGTCTCAATTCTCCATTTGTGTGTGTCTCTCTCTCTCGTAGTTTAAATTCTATAAATTTCTAAAAAATAGAGGAACAATCAAAAAATTACCGATCGTTGTTGCCCCCAGTAATTCAAAGATGGTGGCGATGACGCAAGCTTGCTTTAAAGAAACGACCTTTGCACCCACCGACGTACCAAATGCTACACAACGTACAATTTAAAGTTAAATCATATGCATTTTGATTGATATGTAGGTCTGAAGAAATTATTTGCAGAAAATAAGCAACATCATTTTAGGTTATTACAGTTAGCAACGTCGTTGGCCCCGATGCCGACACCTAATACAAATAAAATTAGGGAAATCAGGGTCAAGTGGCATGAAAAAGAATCCCAGATTTCTAATGAGCTAGTGACCCGATTCGTTACCCATAAAAACTATAAAATTTCTTACCAAGAAATATTGCGATAACGAAACCAAGGATTAACATCCAATAAAGATTTCCTTGCAAGGCTTCTAACGTTTCCGGACTCATTGTCGTGGTTAACGTTTCGAACAACGTGTCCATAACGGACGGATGAGACATTTTGGCAGAAATAAAAATGTATGCACTAAAAAAATCCTGGCCAAGAATTGGCACGCGACACCTCAGATTTTTTCTTAACTGCTTCGCCTCAGTGTCATTAGTGATGATGACGCGTCTCTCTGTCTGGTTTTATTTTAAATCTGGGCACGTTTCATACGTAATAATATGAAAATTATACGTGAACAAATTTCTAAAGTAAATTATTTCCGAAAAAATTCCAGAACTACGTAATCCGCACCAAAGTCTAAACCAAAACTGATTTCCACTTTCCATCGCCGTCTCCGAAAGTCGAGTTGGTGTTTTTATTAGACTACTGATATACATAGACATTGTGTAAAAGCTATTGCACTCTAATCTAAATTTGAGCCTATCATCCTCTGAGCACGTTGTTTTGCTCACCATTTAACAGAAGACTCATTTACAACCCTTTTGGTGGATAATCCCAATCCAACCGAGATTTATGTTATCCTCATTAAACTCTTAACTCCTCTTACCACACTCTTCCACATAGTATCAATCAAAATGCATTTTTCTCCATTCTTGTTAACTTTTCGTAAAAAACATGTATGTTTATATAAATGCGTCATTCATCACCATTAAGTCATAAACAATTAAATGTTCGTTATGTAAACTTATTGTGACATACCTTAATTTTTTTCAGATAGATGTCCAACCCAAACTAGTTTCAAATCTAAATTGAACTGGTTCTCCCAATAAAAATACTACTTTAACCCGCACTATTCCGCTCAAAAAAAGTAAAAAAAAAAGAAACAAAACCAAAAAAGACTCGCCGAAAAGAAAAGAAAAAAATCTCCAAATTAATTATTATCTTTTATTAATTCCCCTCTCAATCAGTAGTCGTAGCTTTGTAGAAGAATTATTAAGGATTTGGACATTATTGGAGTGAGACATGATTTCAAATGGTCATGTCACCAGGCGAAATTTCTCCGTAGGAAGATGGATCAGGTCCCTGCTCAGGTTAGCTGTAAATTAATATAAAGAAAACACTATCATTATTATTACATAATAATACCACAAAATGTGGAAAGTCACGTAATCGTCTCTTCTTTTTTTCCTAACCGCAACGCAACGACATTACATTTTCAATATATTTTTCTCCCCAAGTTCTCGTGATGTGATCTAATTTTAACCTGGCAAAATCATCGTGTCCTATCATCTCGGATAAGTCAAAGTGCATGTGAGTGAGTAAAATGAAGGTAAAACCGGCTCAAAGTAGGAGAAAGAGAATGATAACCAACTGTAACAAGTAGATCAACCCAGTAAAAAGGTCTCTTTGGTGGTGGTGGATTGCATTTTGCAACTAATGAGAGAGTTTTGCTTGCTACTGCCCGCATTGAGATTCATGTCAGGGACGTGCCATATATTTATAACATAAATAACTCATAAAAACAGTTTCAAAAAGTGAGATGCACGACTTTGATAAGAAAAAAACGAGTTTGATTCACTTATTTTTGACGAGTTTGGAACGCAGATTTTGAATGGGAAAGGATTTAACTTCATTAGCTTTTAAGCGTTAACATGTAACAATTTTGACATGTAGTGCAAGTGAGGAGGAGTATCTTTAGCAGGGGTCGTTGATGCACATAATTAATGCTTTTCAAGTGGGAGCAGTAGAAGATAATGCCTAATTGGGATGTTTTTTTAAAAATTTTTATGACATTTTATGCATTTTTTCGTAGCTGACTAGTTTTTTTCTCAGAATGTGATATGAAATGGATACGTCGCGTCATTTTGCTTAATTTGACAAGCTTGAAAAAAATTATAAATTGAAGTGCATCTCGAATATGTATTACTAAAAATTTAGTATTTCTCTCTCTGTCAAAGTCAAACTACCGAATCAAGTTTTATATAGTTTACTAAAGCCAAGTAAATTTCATCATTTCCTTTAAAATGGAAACTTTCTCTCTTTAAAAGTGAGAAAATAATCATAAAAAATATCCAATAAAAAAACCAAACCGCACACGATAAAACTTTAAAAAAATATTACCAGACTTTAATCCAATCAATACTTGGTGCCAAATTAAGTATATAAAACTTGATTTTAAATGGATGAAAATAACTTCTTTTTTCTTCTCTATCTCACTAAACAATAGTCAAAAATATCACAAAATGCACCTCACCTTAACCTTTATTCCGTCCGTGGTCTCACAATTTTACGTGTTCTCAAACCACGTTCTCCTTTCCTCTTGATCACGAACGAATTTCAAGATATGAAAATCCGGGACAAGACTTCGGCTCTTACTTTGATACCAAACTGCATGCTTCCTCTGCATGTGATGCCTGCCTTGAGTGAGAGAATATAAAAGCTTGCGAAAAAAATCATTTTGCAATATCCCACCATTCCTGAGCATGCTCACTGAAAACCAGTGGTGAAAAAAAATCAGTTTCTCGGGGAATGTTCCGAGACAACCGAACGAGGGACGGATATGACGAATGGCAAAGAGGGATCCAGAACAAGGGGGACATTTCACGAATGTATGTACTCACCACCGGCATTTTGCATTCGTCAACTAAATATCTTATTAGCAGACGACAGGATCGGATGTGGAATATAATGGTTGATGTCATTCCACTGTTACTGGATGGATGAACGACATTCTCACTTTTACATCCTTTACGTCTCTCCTTTGTTAAATAATTGAGTCGTTTATGGATTGTTCCAGTCTAGTCCACACCACATCGTCAGCGTCATGGGAACCACCACGGCTTGAGGTACTTTGACACACAAATCATTCAGGAGGAGCATGCAAACGGAATTGGAGTTGTGTGTTATGAATCGTCGTATTTCATTTCTTGGAAATATTTTTATGTAGTCATCACAAATAATCGTGTCGTTTTACTTATGAGCTATTTTCGTATAATGTGACCTTTGCCCATATACATTTATTTCGGTATGTCGTATGGAAATGATACCCGGTTTAGTTGGGAAAACTATGCATGAGAAATATGAAACCTTTACTAAATGCATATGCATTACATGTCCCGATGTGCTGCATACTTTCTTAAAATTTCGCTTAAACTGCATAAAATAAAATTATTAACCAACCACACAAAGTACCCAAAACGAAGTAAACTACTGTTGAATAAAATTTCACTCCTGATTCACGAATGGATAAAAAAAAGTTTAAGAATCAATTTCTAATATCGTATCGCCATGCATGCACATTAATTATCACTGTCATTTATGTTTTGTAGAGAAAATAAGCTGCTTTATAACTTTTTCTTTTAGTAATAGAATATATGAAATGAATTGACCTCATCTCTGACACTTGACTAAGATGACAGTTTGCACATCTTGGTTTGACTAATTGCTCCCACGAACCTCATGTGATGCGATGCATTCCCCCCGGAAAGAGTGTCTAAGTACGATCCACGCAAATTCAGAATGAGGAATCCAGGCCAAAAATGACACGTTACAACGTATGCACAAACATATATATGTACAAATGTCTGTATGATAGTAGTTGTCACATCATCATAAATAAGTAAATGACGTAAAGCCGTTATCAACAACCGTCCTGTACATATGAAAACCCTTATACGGCTCATCAGATTTACTACCACTACTTAAAACTTAAACACTTTTCCTTTACAGAGATTAGCTATAAAAAATTAGACTTATGTACAAAATGCAATTTTACTCTCAATTTGTGTTTGTTACCACTTCTTTAACAATAATAATGAAAACAATTCTGTTTAATTCCTGTCTCCACATTTAAATGGGGGGAAAACCATTCCGCAACTATTTATAACATGGTTGCTTAATCAAATGGCATAAACTCGTTCCTCTCTCTCTAGATCATAATTTAAAAGAAACAAGTTTATGAACAATTTTGATCCCAGCCACCAGCGTAGACCGAGTTTTGTGACATGTCAACTCAGAATTTATTTAAAACGGAGTGATCCACTTTTCTAAAACAAATTCAACCAAAACTAAATTAACTGAACGCGATATGGATGACCAATGATACCTTTGCTATGTATGTTTGTACTAGTTATTGTTATTACGTACACCAAATTCCATTAATCCACATCCACTAAAATAAATGCACTGTACCTCAATAATATTTCAATTTTTGTAGACAAATTCGCATCCAAATCAATCATGGAATGACATGCAGAAAAAAAAGTTGCTTATCATTTTTTTACAAGCTCCTTAATTTTTACTACTACTACCTCCTACAACTACCTATATTTGCGAACTGATACATACACAAGTATTACATTGTTGCAGTCATTCATACAAAATAATATTCTAATCTCACACGTCTGGGGTAGCAGTCGTCGTCGTCGTCATTATCAGCAACAGCTTATGTAGCTTGCATACATACTAGTAAAATATTTTAGTCGGTCGAAAGTTTAACAACTTTTTATCCTATGTGCACTTAAAACAAGTTTTATAAAAGCGATATTTTTTCAACCAGGAGGAGAAGAAGAGTTAACTGCTGCACATCATCATCATCATTCCGATGGTCATGATCATCTAAGTAAAGTGACCACCACAAGTTGTTGGGTTCAAGATAATGATGATCAAGATTCAGTTAGAATCTGCATTCTGACTGACACCGTAAAACAGGCGACGGCATAGCTCCGGGTGGAATATTTCTCTATTTACTATTTTTTAGACATTTCTGTGACGATTTCTCTAATAATTTGTGAGCTCAATGGAGTGAAAATAGGAAAGTGGTGCCGAAAGTGAGTGTTTGTTTTCTTTCCCAAGTTGTGTAGATAGGAAGAGGGTGCCCAAGAAAGTACAATGAGTATGGAGCGTTTGGTGAGTTTTGAAATAGTGCTTGATTTCTTTTGTGCATCAGATTTTGGGGGATTTTCGAAATAAATTTCTTTAAAAATTAGTCATTTGTCTAAAAACTACCCAAATGTGGGATAACGGTAAATACAGAAATTCTCATGCAGGTAGTTTGTAATCGAGTCACTCGTATGAAAAAAACCAGTTTAAGATGTGACTCTTCTGCGCTTCATCCGCATATTTTTTCGTAACGTGACCGACCAAAGTCAAATAACAACATGAACTAGAACTTATATAAATTTGGTCCATTTATTTTTTTCACGTTTTCAAAAACTTAATGAGATTTTCCTTTATTAAGATGATGAAAATGAAATTGATTTCAGCAACGCGTCCTCCTTTTCTCCGTCGTTTTACTGGCTGTGATATTTTTCTTGACGGTGGATGGTCAACAGCAGCAGCAACCAAGTAGTAAATTCAGTCACCGGCGGATTCAGTCCGGACCGCCCAAGTTCAATAGGAGGCCACCCCCCGGGGGACCACCTCCGCATAGGCCGAGGAGACCGCAACGACCGGAAGGACCACCACCACCCCCACCTCCGCGAGAAGGGGGCGGAAGTAGAGACAGAGGACCACCACCACAATACAATAATAATAATGGTGGCGGAAAGCCGTATCATCAACGGCAGGTATAAATCATAAAACGAAGTTTTAGCTAATTTTCCATCATTTTGAGTCAATCTAGCTTATCGAAATTCTTTCTAAATTTTCCAGCCACCAGGACCCCCACATCACTCCAATAATGGTCCCCCACCATCCGGCGGACCACCCTCCGGACCCCCACCTACTCGTCCATACAACAACCATCACTCCAATAATAATAACAACGGACCCCCAAACCTATCACGCCCCGGTCCTCCATACCCACCCCAAAATAACAACAACCAAAATTACAACAACAACAACAACAATCGACCCCACAACAATAATAACAACAACCACAACCACCACTCTCAACCACCCCTCCATCCGTTCACTCAACAATCTCCCAACAATCCCAACAATCCCTCCAACCTTAATGCACCCCTCTCTCTAAACACACATCCTCAACAACCCATGACAAACCCACCAATTTCAGAATACGCTCCACCCTTAAATACCTTTAAGTCAAGTCCAAACAACAATTACAACAAGGACTCGTCCCCCTCCGGCGCCGCTCAATCCCAACAAATCAACATTGGCTCAGGCTCCAACAATACGAAGCACACGATAACCTTCACCGTAACGAAGAAGCCGTCTGGCGCGACGGCGATCAACTTTCAGATTCAGACCCCACAAAATGGAGGTCCGTACGGTCCGTCGACTTACAGACCTCCACTGGATGGGTCCTACCCTGGCACGTCGTATTCCATGCGGGACAAGGATGAAGCCTCCGCAAACGATTTGCTAAACCCACCCCCAGTTTTTTACAATCCGCAAAAGGACGTCCTAATGAACAAGGCGCACCCCTTGAATCAAATGAAAAACGAAATTGTTCACGATCCGGTAAAGGATTACGATTCAGCGGGGTCCTCCAAATTCTCTCAACCCGATCCCCTCTTCCACGAAGAAGACGATAAGACGAGTGACTCTTCAGTGGCGTCGTCAATCTCGCAAATTTTAATTGCGGGGCAGAAACCGATCAAGAAAATTAACCCCAAGGATCAAATTCCCGACGCTAACACGGCTGCAGCCCAACTCCTAGCGGCACTGGGGTTATCCAAGAATCCATTAATTGATAAAGGTCAAGGGGAACCGTTAGGACTGACCGACTATCTCAAATCGCATCAACCCCTTTTTAACAAACCAGACAGGATAATTAGTCAAGAAAACGGCAGTAATAAGAAGAAGGATCAAGATTCTGCATCTTCACAGAGCGAAAGTCAATTCCCCAATTTGTACGGGGATGACTTTGACTCTTTTAATTCTGGTTTGCTAACTCCCCCCAAAGATTCAGAATCTAGCCTGAACGGTCACAACGACGATGTCGAGAGTGTCGCGAAACTCAGCTCATATTTGCAACAAAGGCTTCAAAGTTTGAACCGGCAACAACAGAATGATTTTTCTAGTGACGCTTCGACCGGAAGTAGCGGCAGTGGGAGTGGAAATCTGTACGGTGGTGGTTCCGCAAAAGAACAACACGTCGAAAGAGCTGGACCCATCTCCTATATCGAACAGCGTCTCAAAGGTGGAAATAATTCCCCCCTCAGTAACGCATTCGGATCACCTCCAACGAATAATTTTGGATCAAATTTCGGCCTATTAAATAATAACAATAATGAAAACAGGCAGACTTCATACCTCGAACAAAAGTTGAGACAGGATCAATTACAGCAACAGCAGCAACAACAACAAAATGAACAGTCCTACATTCAAGAATTACTTTCTAATCAAGGAAAACCAAATTTCCAAGCGTCCGATCTGACTGGAGCATACGCTTCTGCAAGTCAACAGAATATTCATAAACCGTTAGATTTGAGTCAATTTGCTGCCCATCAACAATCCCGATTCGGTCCAAGCACCCAATCCCCGTCATCTCTGGAGATGGAAGAGTACAGCAATACCAAAGATATCGGTGCTGGGTCAGTATTCAACGGGGGTCATCAAGCGTCTCAATTTAGTGAACACCGCCAACAAATCGTTCCACCCATTAAAAACGGTGGAGGAATTGGCTCCCTGTCAAGTAATGTCTTACTACCTGGTGGGTTTGGGGGGACGCATTTACAACAACAGCAACAGCAGCAACAATTTAATCAACACCAACAACTTAGTCAACAACAACAACAACAACAATTTCAGAGTCCGATCTTTAATCGACAACAATTTCCTTCTGGGTCAGGAGGTCAAATCGCTGCTGCACCATCTGCCGTTTCTCCCATCTCCCACCACTCTGGGTCAATAGAACACGGTCAAGCCCCGTACAATTACCCACAAGAAACACAACATTTTCAACAACGATTGAATTTTGACCAACAACAACATCAACAACAGCAAGCACAATATGCTGCGGTAAATCCGCTCCAACAAACGCCACAACAGCAACAATTTCCTCAATCTCAACAATTCCAATTCCAACAGCATCAACAATTCTCTGGCCAACAGGGTCAACAATCCATTCAAAACTTTAACTACCAACAGGCCCCACAACAACAACAACCTCAACAGCAACAATTAAGTCCTGCCCAATCGCAACAAATCCAACAAACTCATCCACACCCGAACGCAATTCCTCCCCCAGGTTACGGTCCTCCAGGTCACATTGGTGGTCCGCCACACGGCCCACACGGTGGAGGATTTGGTCCAGGAGGTGATTTTGGTCCTGGTGGCCCTGGAGGTCCTGGAGGTGGATTTGACGGTCCGGCTGGCTTCGATGGTGGTCCGACCCCACCGCCTCAACAAGTCTACGTCGTAACAGAGGCAGAACCTATAATTGAAATTATCGTTCAAGATTCCAACGTGACTCTTCCCCCGCATCAAATCCCCCTCCCACCACCGCCTCCTCCTCCCACGCCAGAACCAGTTCATGTCTTTTATGTGAAATATTCCGAAAATAAATTCCCACATGGAGGACCACACGATGGTGCAGGTCACCTCCTCCATGAACCGGAAATCAATCTCGAATCCCCCATCCCATCCATTAATGTTCGTGGTCCTGGAGGTCATCACCACCATCACGGAGGAGGATACGGGCCCGATCGTAACTTACAAGTTGATCCAAATTATGACAATGTTCCACAATTGTCAGAATCACACCCACAAACGCAACAACATGTCGTCAACGTTTCTTCGCCACCACCCGCGTCATCATCATCTGTCGAAGAAGTCACATCGTCCACAACGCTCCGAACGATAATAAATCCATCCCAGAATTCGTTTACCAATACGAAACTCGCCGTCCATTTCGACTCCCCACCGGAAGCGTATCCATTCGACATGGCCAAATATCAGAAGCAGTTTCTGGCCTCGCAAAATAATAATAATAATAAAAAGGACAATTCCGAACAGCAGCAGCATCAAAATCAGCGAGAGGCTGAACAGAAACAATTGGAACAACAAGAAATGCATCAACAAATGATGCAACATTTTGAGCAGCACAAGAACCAATTTCTAAATAAGAGAATCGGTGTGGAGGATTTTTCTTCCTTGTTGGACGAAGAACCAGGTCATCAGGGTCAAGGTCAAGGTCCTCACTCTCAGCAAAATAATCACGATAAAAGTAAAGAACTTCCCCCCGATGTTCCACACCATTTGAAACAACAATTGATAAACTCTGGAATTTTAAACAATGCCGAAGTTCAAGTACATGATTCAACCTTATAATTTTAATTGATCCATTAACTAATTATGAATTATATTTTAGGTCGTAAATTTCGATGAGAATTTGTTTAAAGAATTATCCTCCCTTCCTCCCGAAGCAATTTCTGCCCTTCAACAACAGCAACAGCAGCAAACCGAGTTTTCCTCACAAAATCAACAAAATTATGAACAAGAGGATTTTAGTAATTTGCAAAAAAGACACGTAAATAAAATATTCATCGAGAAACGAGGGGATGCCACGAGTGGGGTCAAAAGGTCATTGAAAAAGCGACCTCGCTCAATCCTATTCCAAACGGAGGACAACCATTTGTACAGACTTTTAACGACCAATATTAAGAAAGGGATTCACAACGAAAAAATTGATAAAATTTGCTAAAAAAGTGGAGAGAATTGTATAATGTTAATGAAATCTTAAGTTAAATTTTATTTATGTATGGGGATAACATTTTTTATTAGTTGAGGATGCATTTTTGTGTACAAGTTTCTTTACGAGTTTTGGTTTATTTTTAAATGAATGAACAATGAAATAGATGAATGAAAAAAATATTGACATTAAAAAATGATAATAAATTCAAATAATAAGTGCAGAATGGTTATAGAGTCAGAAAATTTGTTATATGCATTCTTCCATCAAAATCTCAAAATTCTCAAGTATTTATTTAATTTATGCCTAGGTAAAACGCCGTTTGTAGTATTTTCCGATTTGCAATTTGCTAATTTTATACATAATTGAATAGCTCGCTATTAAAAATATTAAGTAATGTAGTTAATCGTATTTATTTATAAATGCCAAAATATCATCAAAATATCATCAAAATTTTAAATTAGTCATTTTCATGCAATTGTTATTCAACAAGTGGACTTTGGAAGATTGGACTTTGCTCGCTCTCACAGAAAGAAATTCCACTATTCCACAATTCGATCAGCAGCAGAGAACTCAAATCCACTCGAGAACCTCACGTAACAATATTTGTCAACTAATCGTCCCGTTTAAACAAAATACTGTTATATTCATTTTCAAAAAATAAATAAACTGGTAACTTTTTCCGACAAAAATTAATACCAATTGACTAAAAAAATGGTTTCTCTAGCTAAAGGTAAACATAAATTGCGTAAATAGTCTTTAAATATTCACCGGTCGGTCAAATTATTTGTTTTGACTCAAATTAATTAATGAACTTTAACCCTTTCCTTCGTAACGATGGATATATCCGTCCCCGGATTTCGAACGTTGCTGCGGAACAATGGAAATATCCGTCGTCATAAACTTGGCGTTGTGACGGAACAGAGGATATTTCCATCCTAATTTTTAAGGCGTTGCGACGGAGCAACGGATTTATCCGTTGTCTCAAAATTCGGCATAGACACGGAAAGAAGGAAATATCCTTTATTTTGGTCTGTGACTTTATTGCGTAGTGAAGGATATTTCCTCTCATTGAAAAAATATTTTTTCCATGGATTTACACATCTTGAAAAAAATTCGGTTTTTAGCCCGAGTCAGGGGTTGTGTACCTGCTTTGTCCGGTGTGTCTCTGCCTGTCTGGTTATCAATAACTCTCATAAATCTATCCTATCGACTTTAAATTTTATACTATTACTTTGTCATTTTTAATTTTCCGAAATTTGAAGTTGATAGAATAAGTTTCAAGTAAGTCAAGACGCAAGACGGACGGATGGACAACACGGGTACATAAGTCCTGGGTCGGGCTAAAATGTCTCCATGATTACGTCATTTTTGAAGTAAAATGCCTCCACAGAAAGTTGAATAATTTTGGAAATATATCCATGGAACGTATCACTGAAATTTTCATTTGCTCCGTGATAAAGTTTGGTAATTCAAAAATTGCTACGCCACAAGCTATGGTTGTGAGGCGTTGCTATTCCGCAGCAACGGGATATTTTTGAGAATTCTCTTACGAAGGAAAAGGTTAATAAACTTCAATTCATGAATTTTTTTCATATAGGAATTTTTATCATCTCGGCGAAAAGGACCCCATTCGGCGCTTTTGGGTAAATACGTAGTACAAAATACCATAAACTTAAACACAGTCTTGCGACTTTATATAATTGATTAATTATTTCTCCAAATTTATTTATTACAGAGGAAAGCTTGTCGACAAGACATGTGTCGATATGCAAGAACATGCATCAAAAGCGGCTCTCGCAGCTGCAAAAATTGATCCATCGTTAATCGATTCCGTTGTGATTGGGAATGTTATCAGCGTAAGTTGTACATAGGAGAAATATATAGCAGCATTAATTTTGACATTTCAATTAAATACTTAATAGAGCTCAAGTCCTGATGCAGCATATATTTCGAGACATGTTTCACTTCGATGTGGTAAATAGCTACTTTTATGTCTGAAATAATCTATTAAATTTAAATTTCCCTAAAATGTTATCAGGAATTCCTATCGAGCGTGGCGCCCTGACCGTAAATCGCCTTTGTGGTTCTGGATTTCAATCAATAGTTAACGCAGCGCAGGAAATTTCTATCGGGGAGTCCAACATCGTTTTAACTGGTAATTAATTACTAACTTCCTCTAATTTGGTAAGCAATTACTGATTCTCAGTACGTATAATAAATAGGAGGAAGTGATAGCATGAGTCAAGCTCCGTTCGCCGTACGTGGAGTCCGTTTCGGGACAAGATTAGGTGCACCTTACAACGTAAATCACTCAATAAATTCAAAAAGTTTAACCTTTTTTAAAAAAATCGAAGTACATTTTGAAATATTTTAGTTGGAAGACTGCTTGTGGGTCTCACTGACCGATCAACACTGCAAAACACCGATGGGCGTAACGGCTGAAAATCTTGCGGAAAAATATAACGTAACTAGATATCTGTACCCTTTAACTAAGTTTAAAGTTAATTGATTATTTAAAAATTTCTTAATCTAAACCCTCTAGCTCACCCGCGACGATTCTGATCAGTTTTCACTTCGATCACAACAAAATTGGTTCAAGGCGAACGAAGCCGGCTATTTCAAGGCTGAAATTGCTCCCATGAAATTAAAAATTAAAGGAAAAGAGGTCGAAATGACGGAGGATGAGCATCCAAAGCCAAAAACGACACTGGAAGGACTTGCAAAATTGCCAACCGTGTTTAAAAAGAATGGAACAGTTACTGCAGGATCTGCGTCGGTCAGTGTACTACATTATAATAATTAAATTGCTCATTAGTTTATTAATTTAATTTAAATCCATCAGGGCATTTGCGATGGAGCTGGTTCAGTAATTGTGGCCTCCGAAGACGCCATAAAACAGCATAAGTTGAAACCGTTAGCCCGTGTAGTAGGCTATGCAGTGGCAGGAGTTGAACCGACCATTATGGGAATAGGGTTTGTGCACTTCTCGGAAGTTGTTTTCCACGAATTCTAATAATACACAACTATCTCAAAATATAATAATAACAAACTTACAGGCCTGTGTCAGCCATCACGAAAGTATTGAAAGCGACCAACCTGACGTTGAATCAAATCGACCTGATTGAAATAAATGAAGCATTTTCTTCGCAAGTTTTAGCCTGCAGGAAAGAATTGGGAATCGATTTAGAGAAATTAAATCAAAACGGGGGCGCGATTGCTTTGGGTAAAAATTATTTTCATGATTTTCAGGAAGTTTGTCATGTAAAAATATTTCTATGAAATGTTTTAGGTCATCCACTTGCTGCTTCGGGATCTCGTAAATAATAAACTTGTTATTTAATTTCTTGGCATTTTGCTGAGGTTAAAGAAATGTTATGACTAATGTGTTTTGTCAATGTTATGCTTATATAGGTATAACCGCCCACTTGACGCATGAGTTGATGTAGGTTTTTTAATTACTGCTTAATTTAATGAACTTAAACTATGTTCGTACTAATTTCTATTATTATGTAGTCGTCAAAACAAGAAATACGCCATCGGATCTGCCTGCATTGGTGGTGGTCAAGGAATAGCTCTCTTACTGGAACGAGTCTAAACAGGGATACCATTCCAGCCGAGAACATTAAAAAAAACTCTACATCACAATCAGAAAAATATTCTTTTAACAATTAAAAAAATCAGTCCATGTTTATTTTCTTCGATATTTCGACAAATAAATAAATAAAAAATATATAATATAAATTTTCAATCCTAATCCACCCCCAAAGTCACAAAACGAATGGATAAGATTGCAAATACTGCTGGACGGGTACAGGTAGGAAAATATGGTCACGACAGCTTAATCCATTCAACGCCAAACGACTTAAATGTTTCAAACTAGGAACTGTTTGTCGAAGAGGAGTCACTAATTTCACGGCTGAATGCGTCCTACCCGTCGCACTGTCTATCCAAACCTGGAAATTAGTTAATTAATTAATTATTTATATTTTCATCCAAATTTTTATTATCCTCATTTTGTAGTTGTTGCTTGTTTGTACGTACCTGGCGATTGGACGTTTTTAACCCTTTCCTCTCCAATTTGTTCTTACAATTCGTACGATTATTCTCCTCTACATAATACTGGACTAGTTTGACCACATTTTCGAATCCCGGAAGTGCCCCGATCAATCTTTGGTCGGCTGCATCAAGACGAAATTCTCCACCCGAGGTCTCCGTTTTCCAATAAACTAGTCTCACCGAGGTTGGTCCTCTTTCTATCGTAATTTAACTTCCATGCAAAGGCCCGTTTTTTCATCATCTTAGCATATTTTTTAAAGATAACCCACCAGTTTGAAGCGACAAGGTAAATAAGTAGTTTGGATCTGACGAATCACGAACCAAAAAGGTACCAGGTGAAGTTGTCGATAAGAGTTTTGTGCAGGTCTAAACAAAAAAAGAGAGACGAGGGTTAGATAAGAATTAAATGGTTATCATGATTTTTTAATTATACGCATGCTCGTAATTATATTGTTATTTTTTTTCGGAGGCCAGTGGCCGATTAGGTGACATGCAATATGCGAGTCATTACGAGAGTGCATTTCATGTCAAGTGGTTACATGAATGGTTTCACTGAATAGTATCGGTTAGTAGGTTCGCAGAATTAAGGCTGAGTGGTTATCTTGATGATTTTATTATTAGGCCGATGATAAGCAAGGTAAATCATTCTTAGAATTGTAGAGGGAGGAATTTTAACTGAATTTATGGCTGCCTTTCACTGAATTCCAAAGCCCTATTTGATTCCGGGTGATGATGATTGAGAAATATGAGACATGTCGAAACAATGTATGTAGATGATGGGGTCACACACATGAGAATTATGTCATTTTCCACGTATTTTTGTTTATGTATGTCCGTCCTCCCTCATGTGATGTAAATTTAATGACCTAGTCCAATGCCAATCTTAAATCAGTAAATGATTTTCCATGTGACGCTTTACATCGTGTTTTAGGTAGAAAATGGATGCATGTAGAAACCTGAATTTCCAGACCACTTTTACTTACGTATAACCAAATAACCAACCTTTAGAATCTAATAATTCCCCCACTAACGCAATACTCCATACCTACTCAATATTTTTATTAACTAAAAATCTCATCATCTAATCCTTGTCATGAATTGATAGCACAAAATGCATTTCAAATACTGATATCCCATTTTTCTAGATAACTACCTCAGCTAAACGCACTAAACAAATCCCCTCTCTCTCTACCACGTAGCTAATCTCTTCTCAGAAAAACTATCCCTACGCACATGCATATGTACATAAGTCTCATCTCCCCCTTCCATCCCACGCCTATAAGCTTGCACATCGTTTCATGATGACAAATCATCCACACCACTGCTGCATTACAGTGACACACAATTAATCACTATTTAAACAATACTCATATTTCCTTGAACTGAACTCGCTATTTATCATCCATTCCACTTCCTTCCAAATATTTTCGTTTTCTGAAACATAACGCGTCTAAATATACATCAAAATCGAAACGAATCGCTATCTCTTTCTTCTTACTACTGCATACATACCACTGTTGAAAAAGATCAAGAGAAAAAAAAGATCTTCAAGAACCCCTTGTTGCTACTTCGTCTTTCTTTCTTAACAAATCCACTTCCACAGAATTGAATGAAAAGCAAAAGACCATATAAAGGAAGCACTGTATGCTTACTAAAGTATACAGATGCATAGCCTTTTTTCCTATACACGGCTTTCGGAGAAGTCGTGTATAGGAAAAAGTCTAACCTCAAATATACACTCACAATACTGAGTAAAGCAGCCAATTTACCAAATGTTCGAGTTCCAAGAACGTCCTCCACCACCACCAAACCAAACTATGTATGTACGCAGTGGCGGCGGAAGTTGGGGGACATCTGGGGGCATAAGCAGTGTAGGATAGGGGAGGGAGGGGTTTTATAGCTGATGGGGACATCGAACAACCATGGGGATATTGTCCCCATGCCTCCGCAGCCACTGCATACTACTCGTTTTTAGACTACTACATATTACGCTCACATTCGCAAATCCAATCCACTAAATCCATCCGCAATATACAGATATGGCAAATTTTTCCAAGAAAAACGCTACGTCACAACTCACAAGTATCTATCTCATCATCAGGAGAGGATCAGGATTATGGATATAGCAATGTCAATCGTATCGTGGTATTTTTATGGCATCCCATCACCACTCATAGCAAGTTTCATCTTAACCGATGCATATCATGGTAAATATACGTATGTATATTACTTAACTAACCATGATAATTAAAAAATTTATCATAATTATCATGTTCTTTTTTCTAATTAACAAAACCTCACCTCTCCGTTGAATTCATTTTTCTCATAATAGAATCCCGACAGTCTCAAAATTTCCAAATTTCTCACTAGGATGTCACTGGCTTTATTTCGTCGCACTCCCACCACACCCTCTCCCACTCCCCTCCGCTTCTTGACGAAATTTATCTCCACACTTTCCAACCTGTCCAAATCCAACTGTAAATTGAGACGATTCGTGGACTCGTCAATCTCCACACTTTTCAACGTATCGTTACCACCCTCACTTTCAGAGTCAGAATCAGAAGAGTCAAACCGCACCCAGTCTTTCCTCTGGGGACGAACCACTCGAACAATATTTCCTAAAGTGTTTGTGGTTGATGTCCGATGACTTCCACGATGTCTCATCACCACACCGGGATTACTACCACTCCCATTTCTACTACTGTCTGTGTGAATTATTATCATTTTTTTTAATATATGTATTACAAACTAATTTGTAACCGACTAATTTTATAGTTTTTTCTTTAAAACTAAATTGTCAAAAACTAATGTATGTAAGCGTTTACGGTGTCGTCTCACTCTCGTGCGTCGCTCAGTCGGTAGCTCAACGCTGAATGAAGTCAAGTTTCACTATGTACGGGATGCCAGGGCAATAATATAATGCAATTCTGTTAGCTCACTCCACTCTAGTGAAATTGCCAAGTCAATTCTTCGTAATGATCAATGTGAGACTGACTGTACCCTCTACTACTGATTGTACATTTGTACAGACCTTACTTACATACAAAATTTCATAACGATAAATACTCGGTATTAAAGAACGGCAGCCTGATTCTCACACACTATTCAACTGTACACTCGCTACTACCTCCTCAGTTCACAACAGCGCATTTAGCGAGGAGTTTGTTTGTAAATGAGGCGATTTGAAATTTTAGCGATTAGATTTCTAAGAAACCAAAAACAATTACTCATTTGAATGAACTCAATTATCAAAACGATTCAAGTAACAAAAGGTTTCTCAACCACTTGTATTTTTTATGATCATTTTTCGTGTTAAAAACACCACCAGCAGGCAGGATAAAAGAGAGATGAGTAGGGCCAATAATATTATAAACAGCCATCAACTCGTGAAAAGAGGTCGATGTCTCATTTTCCCAGGTGAAGAGATGTCTGTTTCTATATATTTGAGAGATTAAATGGAATCGAATTATAGTAGCGAATAGTGACCTGAGTTAAATAATGTTGGGGTTTTCATTGAAATATTATAATTTGTAGCTAATCAATTTGCAGTAAAAATGCACATTTTCCTTGATAAGTCCATGTCAACTATAATAATCTAATCTTGTCATTTCGAATTCTCCGAATTCAATAACTATATTTAATAGAAACATCTAGTAGTCGGACATACAGTTACATATGTAAATGATAATCCTCCTCTTCAACAAGAATGTCAATTGACCAACAATTAAACGTTAATTTTCCTATTAAATACTACTACGAAATCATAATTTCTCAACCACAATCCAACTAATCACTAACTATAACTCTGGCAATGTATTTCCACGAAGGGACACATTGTACCTATGTAGAACGGCATAATAAAAATTAATACTTGGAAAAATGTCGTGTTGTCGACTTCACAAGAAATTTCATGGCATGACAATCCCTCAAATTGCGTGGCGTGTGGATGAATCGCACGCAAGTTTTTGAGACAACTTACCTTTGCTATTGATAAAAAAGGCTAAATTTTTATTACAAACAAAAAATGATTATCAGTCTCTCAAAAAGTATAGGATTGTCTAAAACTGAAATTTTTTTATACATAACATAATAATACTCTACTAAAATTCTAAATCAAAACACCAAAAGGTGTTCTTTTCTTTGATTTTTGGTGTTGAAATGAGGACTCGGCCCGATCCGAGTCATCTCCCAATACGAATGATGGATAAGAATACTTCTCTGCGTAGATGTGTGGGTACTCCTTTTGGAACTATACAGAGAGAAACATGCAAATTTTGCATATTAATTTGCGTCACTAATTTCATAGAAAGTCCGCACACGTACCTTCCTCAACTGCTTCTTTCTCAATTTTTCGTCTTTCAACGAGCCAATCTCGTCCAACAAGTTTCTCAAACTTTTGGCAGTTTCTCCAAGTAATCGTTGATTCTCGTATTCAATCATGGAAATTTTACTGCAAAATGACGAAACTTCCATTCCCATTCCCCCGTAGTTGTTTTCCTTACTGCTTAGAGAACGGGAAGAAGATCTAGTTGGAACTGGGATCTAATATAATATGCAAATCATTTTAGTTACTAATAAATATACAAAAAGTAAGTATTTATTAATAGCTTGGTGGTTTACCTTCTTAAGCTGTCGCTCACTAACCACATCGTCCGCTGTTTTCTTTAAATTTTCCAAATATTCTCCATTAAACAAGGAATCAGCGTTGGCCACCATAAAAATGAAGAGTCCAAGTTGTGCTGGTTCACTTGGGGAATCCATTGCTAACCGACCAAAGAAATCGTACAACTGGAAATTTCAAAATTGATTTAGTTTCCTTATGTAACCAAAAAATAAAACAACCAATGAAAATGTTAATACTGACCAAATCCTTATTAGTAGTAGCCACGTCCAACATCAATCTATAATTCTTTTCGACTTTTCCCATAAACTTGAGCAGTACTTCCAAATGTTTCCTTTTATTATAATCCAAAGTGAGGAGTAACAACGTCAACGCTTCAATTGTTGATCGTTTTGTTTCCGGTAGTGGGTTGATCTCTTCTATAAATTACAAAAATTCCATATTAATAGCTAAGTAAAAATAAATAATTTCGTCTCGTTCTTAAGGAACGTACGCAAGATCAATTGTGGTCATAATTCCACTTACCGACAAACCCTCCATTATCAACTATATCTCCACCACTAGCCACACTATCCACCAACAAATTCCCCTCAGACAATGATTTCCTCCCTTTGAACAAATTCTTCCTAATACTTCCATACTTTGGATGGTTGATTAAATCCACTGGACTTAAATTCAAGTTGGGATTATCATAAGCATACATCTCTTGGGTACTCAGCACTCTCGTCACTGGCGTCCCGACACCGAAATTTGTTGCATAATACACACTCGCACTCGCATCCTCGCATCGGTAACGTGACGTGTCCACAATTCCCATCGGTTTTACTTTCACTTCTTCTGACACTGAGTCGTCAAAAATCCGTCGTCTATTCTTCCCCATGACAAATCTTGATGAATTTTTTCCCTTTGGGGTAAAAATCTGGTCAATTTCTTCCAGCTCTGATTTTGGGAAGGGGAATTTTTCCTGGTATTTTGACAACATCACTTGTGGCTCAATGTTGGCTAATGTATCCACAAAGAGGGCAACATTTGGGATGAATTGTCCTATACGTTCGTACACGGAGAAAAAGTAATCAGCGACGAGGAGGAGGACATCATGTTCGAAATTTGGGTAATTCACGTGCACTTTGGATTCATATGGATAGTGAGTGAGATAGCGCATTGCGGGAAATAGCCAGCTTGGGAAGAGGGGTGGTGAATGGGGGGTAAATGTTAAATTGCTGTAAATGTTGGACGTGCGGGGGAGGAGATCCTCACTCAACGAGAGGGATGTCAGCGGATTGAGCCTACAGTTAAAATAATTGTGTTAAATCAAGCAACAATTCAAATTATATCAAATAAATATAATAGCAAAAATTGACCAACTTTTCCAGAAAGAAATCGAAATATATATTTTCCTTGTTCTCTAAAGATAACGGTGTTATCTCCACCGAGTAATTTTTCTTCATTTTTCCACCAGACGTAATTTTTTTCGTATTTCCAGATGGCGACGGCGTCCGTGTCGTTGCGGGAACGCCGGGACGATCCATTGATAGTCTAACAATTCATTTTAAATAATTATTAATAAGCACCTTTAAAAACACACCCATGATTATGTGATGGTAGATGGTGGACAATAATGAAATAATCAAGTACCTATAAATATGCATGTGACTATCCTTAAAGTCATTTTCATTGACTTCACCACCATCCAGTTCCTGCTGTTCCACATTGCAAAAGACGCCGACACGATAGAATTTCCCTAAAAGTTTCCTCGTCTGTTCTCGACTGATTTCTTGGTCGAAACTTTGCTTCAATTGGTCATGAAACCAGGTCACGGCTTCCCCACCGGTGAAAGTGGAATCGTACACTCGCCAAAACCGAGTCTTTGATCTGTGCTGCGTTAAGGGGACAGAGGACAAGAAAGTCTCCAGAGATTTGTGCCACTGAAAAGAAGTTATTTTGAGTTACTAAAATCTCAATTAATCTTTCTTAACCAACACAAAATTTCAATTGCTTCACCATCTGCGTCGCCCTGTACTGCGTTCTGGGTCTGCAATAAGTACATACATTTGACTTATACATAATTGATGATACAACGATTAATTAATATATTGATTGATTAATTTGATTTTACCTTGCATAATTTGAACTGAAAAGGAACGATCCCGAAATCTGGAGGCTATTGTTGCTCCCCTTTTTACTACTAATAGGACTCATTTCTATTATTTGGAGTTATTGATTGTTGTACTGTTTTTATTATTAATTTGGAAATATTATTGCAAAATTAGTTAGTTAATTAATACTTGTCGTATTGTGTTTGTTTGTGCCAGATGCACAAAAACAAACAAGTGCGAGTCGAAAATACGCAAAGCGAGTTTTTCCATGGAACGACCGTTACTCATTTTATTCCCACCGAGATTTATTTCACTCAATGATTTACTTTGTTCATTTTGGTCGTCGTGTAGATAAATAAAATCATAAGCATTTTTGCATGGAAAATTATTGGGTGGATAACAGGATGAATCAATAATTGATTTCCTCTGAATCGTTATGATATAAATCTAGATATATATATCCACGTTCGGCACATACAAGAAGATATTCTTAATCTTACAAGGGAACCTTAATTAAGTACTGTCCTATCTCGAATTCCTTTCGGATAGTCTTATTTGATAGATAATTTAGTGTAACTTAAACTTTGTCATACAACATACGGGGCAAAATCAAGTTGTCGCGAAGTATTTGGCGAGAGCTGCTCCAAAACGTGTCATTTTTCCAATGCTTTTAACATAAAAGCATTGGAAAAATGACACGTTTTGGAGCAGCTCTCGCCAAATACTTCGCGACAACGTGATGTTCTATGATAAAGTTTAAGTTACACTAAATTATCTATCAAATAAGACTATCCGACAGGAAATCGAGATGGGACAGTACTTAAGGTTCCCTTGTTAGCTGTAGATGCCCACGATGTAAAATTGCATTTTATGATTTCGAGTAGAAATTTTCGAAGGATGTCCAGTGGCGGTTAAGTGTGGAAATTGTCCATGTAATTTTGGTGGGCTGTATGTAAATATGTTTTTGAAGTTTGTACATATTCTGAGAAAAAAGGGGAAAAATGGTTTTTAAATTGTAAAGTTAATTTCTTTAAATTTTCATAACTAGATACTTTCAAAAGTCATCGATAAGTCATCGATAAGTTGACTCTTAGTTACGTGAAGCTTGGTGTTTCCTGATAAACACCGGCGTAGCCGTTACTGATTGACGAATCCTGGGTGGATAACGCTCCAATTCGCTCTTGTCTGTCAATTTGGAAGCTATTATGAAAACTAATTCGAATTATGCATCGTTTTAAGCAATGAGGATTTGGCATCCCATAAGGAATTCCCATTAGGAATTGTTAAATGAATTATTTTGTACAAAAAATATTATGATTTCGACTAATTTTTATTAGATTACGGAATTTATTACGAAGAAACTCTCATAAAATATGTATACTAATTTCAGTTGGGGTAACTATTTTCCTTTTAACGTTTTCGTACTCCCACTGCTGCTTTCGCCCCCATCACTTTTAATCGTCTCCGTCCCGTCACTGCTAATGGTCACACCTTCTTCGGTTGTCTCCACGAAGGAGCTCGCCACACTTGAAATGATGCTGATGCCACCGTCCTCAATTCCACTCGTACTGTCCCCAGCCAACGACCCTCTCCCGATACTGCCCCGCTTAACCCGGGCCGCGAGAGCAGCAAGTTTCGCCGCAGTTCGAAAGTAAAATGGAGGACATCGTTTCGCCAAACGTTTCGTCTTTTCGGGGTCCCTGGAAGGGAGCGATTTCAAATATTCACGGACTACTGCGCCATTTCCAGGATCCGCAATAGCGAGGACGGTGAGACCTAAGTTCAGAATTTTTTGGAGGGGCTGGATGTATAATTATTGTGTTATTTAATTAATTGGTAAGTAAACCACCTACATCCATCCATCGTTCCTAGCACCACAGATTTCCCATCCGTCGTACTTTCAATTGAAGACAATTCTGCAGAGACGCGGTACTCAGCAATCCTTTCAGCATCAGAGGTACGGAAAACCTGGGTCAATATTTTAAAAAGAAATTCAAAGTTTCCATCAACTTGGTCCTGGCATTATTCTTGTTCCTGTTCCTCACCCGCAGAGTTTTTCTCCCCCCATGATAATACAGGACATATTCGTCAGTCTTGTTAAACATTGTTATGATGGTGAAAACCCCCTCGGCAACTTTTGGGATAAAAGTTCGAATAGTTTTCCCATTTTTTAACTCAATCAATTCTAATCCACCTCGTCCAGGTGCGTACAAACCATATTTTCCATCCTTTGTGCATCGTCCTCCCCATTTAGGCACACTTCGAATAAAACGTTTCGTCTTAACGTCGATAATATTGCCCTTGTCAGAATCTATAAAGGCAATTTGCGTCGCTCTCTTCGGCACGGCAAGGATTGTGGTATAATCCTTAAAATTTGGGTACTTCAAGACAACTTTGTGCATCAATAGGCCCGTTTTCGCATTAAATATGAACATGGTGTCCTTTAGTTTTTCAAATCCTGGACCAACAAGTAAACTCCCGTCCGAAGTGGGGGTCAGATTTCTCAAATTTTTTATCGGATAGTCAAATTCGTATAGGAGACGGTCTTCTTCTTCCGTCTCAAGAGTGACCTTTCGTCCTTTCACGAGTGACCTCATTTCCGCCCCGGCAACAACAATTTTCGACACTGCAATTAGAATTGTGTCCTTTTCGATGAAAAAGAGCTGTTTTATAGAATCTTGGGCTTCCTTAAATATGACGAGAGTTGGAGAGTCGGGAGGATCCAAGATTGGATCAGGAAATTTCCATATAAGAATGTTTCCGCTTTCCGCTGTGGCGACGTATTTGCCGTTTTTTGTTATCACGGCCTGAGTCACGATTGCACCGAGAGGAGAATCCGCTAGCTTGTCGATCATTCGACCCGTGCGGAGATCCCAAATACCGACGCAGTTTCGCGTCGCAGTAGCGGCGATATTACGTTCGGGGGATATGCTATAAGAAAATTGGTAAAACAGATATACAGAAATTTTTAAATATTATTGGTTTCTAATTATTTCTACCTGATTCCGTCAATTTGTAACTCGTGCCTGTCAATAGTGTGGACTTGTTCGAAAATGTTGTTAATATTCCAAACTTTTACGGTCCTGTCGATCGACGAAGTTATCACAGAGTTCCAGTTTCCTGGAAGATCCGAATAAATGTGGTGTAAATTACAATAATTTCTTATTGTAGTAAAAAAAATCAGTACCTATCGTGAGACTCTGTATTTTGATAATGCGACCGAAATGTGCATCTAAATTTTTGAGTAATTCCCCATTTGACATGTCCCAAATGTAAAGATTTTTTCTATAAAAAAAATTTGACTATCATCATTAACACATTGTTCATTGACATAATTATGTTACATAATTCCTTGCACCCACCTCACACCCGCAATCGCGTAAATGTTATCTCTGCTCATGACGCAAGAATTTGACTCCAACGGTTTCGTAGATATGTTCCGAATTCCATTATCCGGAAGCAGCAGGATTGACATTTTCCCAGATTCTAGATTCCACGCCTGTCATAACCAAATAAATATGTGGCATACCTACATAAATATTATTCGCATATCATTATTTCAACCCCACCTTATATCCAAACATAAACGTTCCAATCGCAAATTTATCGTCCTGACTGATTGTCAATTGTATCAGCTTATCACATCCTTCATATATTCGTTTTTTCACCCATTTACCCTCCTCTGGATTAAATCGAATCTCTATTACATTGTTCTCCACGCAGGCGTATAATTTATCCTGGTTTATAGCGTGAATCACAAGTGCGCTAAACATAATCGTAAAAATTGTTACACTAACGTCACTACAAATAATAAAATTGAGTTCTTCCTACCCCTGAAATTCCAACTCGTCTGACCTTACGCCACCCTTACTCCAGCGGACTAAACGCATCCCAATGTCGTCCAAATTTCCTGTCCAATAAATTACGTCGAATTCGTCCAACGTGTAAAACGTCATTCTCAATATTTGCATCTCCTTGTCCGCCACAATGTCGTCTAAATTGTTGTCGATTTCTCCCGTGATAGAATTATAGACGACGGCCCCCTTCCCGCAGTAGACGACGAGGTGCATGTTGAGCAAGGAAAGGCCGCAAATTCCCGTCCGTTTGGCGACAAAGGGATGCTCGAAGATTGAGTATTCGTTAGTCAACATGTTAAGGAGGATTATCTGGTTGATGTTTGAGTAGGCTGCGGCGTAGCGGTTATCAGGCGAGATGCAAAGACCTTGCAGAATGCCTGATAAGACAAATATGATTTTTTTAAATCTCAATTTCCCCATAAATTTGTATTTCGAAATTTGTGGATCCGTATTAAACTTTGTATTACACAGTTACTTACCCTCAATTCCCGGAGTCACATCGCGACACAGGTCAGACGTTGATAAATCCCAGGTGATGAATTTGTTCGAGATTGAAATCACATAGCGATAGTCGGCCGTAAGACAGAAGCCAAAAACGGCGAATTGATGGCCTTCAAGGGAGTACTGGCAGAAAAATAAATTCTAATTTATTTTATTACTGTTTATTTAATTAATGGTTTAATTAACTACCTTTAATGGACCTCCTGGAGTATGGAGGCAGTGATAACTCGGGATGAGAGCTAAGGAAATAAATTAATAAGAAAACGCAAAATCATTATCCATCATTTTAGGTACAAATGTACATGCCTTGATGCTCAATCCCTTCATTGTCACACTGTTCCAACAACCGCTTCACGTTCGGATTTCCTCCAATTTCCGGTAGCAGCCGTCCGATTAATTGAGGTGCCAACATTTGCGGATGGTTCATCAATATGGCACCACCCAAGCGAAGGGCATCCGCGACAAGCATAATTTCTCTGTATATTATTTTATCGAATGAATAGAATTTTCTACGTACGTATTTAAATTAAAGAATCCATGCATTTACCACAAACCTTCTAAGTTGCCGTTCACTTTCTCTAAGCAATTTAAAATATAAGACATAACATGCATAACACTAAATTAAAAGCATGCTTCAAAATAATAGCATTCCCAATTATTTAAATACAAATAAAAATATTAAGAATTTATTAATTCATGGTCAAAATATCGATTCGAAACCTTGAACTTTCGCGATCTTCCACATGGGCGCACGCATCCTCAAAATCGCTGTAAGAAAATAATTAGAAAATTTTATTCGTCTCGTTTAAGCGTCATTAATCTCGGACCAAATTCCATTTTGCCATTTTGCGGTGGAAAAGAGTTGACTTATGTAGATACCTTAGACATGACTGCAGTGGACAGCTTGAAATTTTTGCGTGAAGCCATTTGTAGTTAAAGAGGACATTGTCGTATAGATCTTTAAACCGCATTGATCTCACCAAATGGTACGGAAGTTCTCCAAACTAATAAAAGAATTGGAAATAAAATTTATCCCCCCAATTTACATGAAAATTGTGCACCTTTCTTAAATTATAGCGAGAAATTTTCCCATCCTTTCCCACATAAACTAACGGTTGTAATGGCACTTTTCTATCGGCGGCTGCATTTTTGTCCTTCAGACCGAATCTGTGCTTCTGAATTTCCGTATACTGGAAAATAGATTGGTTGAAAATTTAAGATTAAAGTAATTAATTTCCCAATTGGTTTAATAATATAGTTTAAACGTCTACTTGAAACGGTTTAGGATTTCCGCCTCCCCAAATGCCCAAAAAATAGTCGGCAATAGAAGAATGAAAATAGATTGACATCCCTTCATCCTTAAAATAGCGTTCATTCGCAGCATCACGGAACTGTCTGTGTGATTTCAAGAAGAGGTCACAATTCAGTTTGACCTAATATTACCCGTTTTATACGAACCTGTGATACCAACTCAACACACTGACCCCATCGGCCTCCCTTTCGCTCAAATAATTTGGCAAGTCGTTCCTGATCCTGGTCCAAAGAAGGGGTGGGATCCTGTAGAATTATAAAAAGTGTCATTACGTCGTCTGTTAATATCCCTCCTCACCATGTAGATAATTTAATAAGTTAATTTTTTTGATATAAAATATTTACCTCCGCACGGGCGGCAAGTGATACTGATAAAATATTATCCCCCCACACATGTAATTGATAAAATTAAGTTTTTAAGTATAAAATATTTACCTTCGCACGGGCGGCAAGTGATACTGGTAAACGTTTCGTCAAGCTCAGTTGAACCAAGCCGAGCACGAGCAAGCTCGGTTCAACTTAACATTTGGCTCACCTCTAGTATTTGTCTGACATTTAAGTTTGGGTTGGCGCAGTTAAATTGAAATAAATAAAAAAATATGGAGCTACCGAATATTGAGTGTGTTAGGCTATTTGAGGAGATGACTTTCGTGCAGTTATCTGCTACACTCCAATCAGGACAAAATATTTTGTCGCGTAAAGCGCGAGAACTCGCTTCTGGTGGTGAAAGTGCTTCCACGGATGGTGGTGAAAGTAGTACTACTGATGGTGGTGGAGAGAGAGATCCCAGGCCCAAGAAGAAGAAGAAGAAAGTTGAGGTCGATTTGGAGACTTTGAACTGGTTTGTTACCAAACCATGCAAGCGTGAAGGTTGCGGAAAGTGTGACAAAGTATACTCTGGAACCGAGTTAGATAATAGGTATGCATACTAATATATCACAAGTGATGGGATTTACTTAATTTGCATATTTCACATCCTTAATTATGTTTAGGTCGCCATTTTCAGAGTCCATCCAGCTCCAAGACGAGCCCCACTACTCATGTCTCAATGATAAGAATATCGTATATGGAAAGTGGTGCTGGCATCCAGGTGGATGCTTAAGGGAGAATGGGCAACCCTCTCTAATTAAGATAGGACAGACTGGGACGCCGTTGCATAACGACCGAATTGGTCAACAATTGCAACAAGTGAAAAGCTGTACGACCACCAAATACATGCCCAACACGGAAGTAGCGAATCATTTTCGACACCACTGGGAAAATGATGATGAGAAACGAGACCCCTATCAGTTTGTTAGTTTCTCCATTCTTCAACAACTTGGCACTGACAAGGGTTAGCATAATAATTGCTATTCAATAAGTGTACAAGTTTGGAATGTTTATAATGCGATATTGTTTTTTTAAACAGATGAGAATGATAGACTGAGAATTGAAAGGGCGTTGATAATTCGTTTCAACACCATCCTCCCAGACTATGGAATAAATAGGAACATTCCTAACCCTTCTACTGAGACTGAAACACCCCCCAAACAATCAACTTCCTCCCCTTTGGTGAATTGGGCACAAAATCAATACATGAGAAGTGCAGAATCCGAACCGTGAGAATACATGTGCGCATTAAATATTATGTATGCATACTAACTGGGTTGCGTATTATTTAGGAAAAGACCGTTTCCTCTTAAAATCGCAGTGGCTCTAGCACTGAAACAAACTGAAGTCCCTTTTCAAGCATTGTCCTCCGCCATTTCAAAATTTTTGTTTGACACCTTCACTTGTTTTAGTGTTAAACCCTCAACAATCCGGTCAATTTTGCACTGTAATGGAGACCAAGACTACGAGTCCTTCCATGTCTCACAGGAGGATAAGACGAAATGGTTTTATACTGCTGTAAAAGGACGACCGGGACACAAAGGATCAAGAGCCATACCAACACAAATTGGATTTCGTGCAAGTATTTGGCCTTCAACAAATCGGAAATTGATCGAATGGTTAGGAGATGCAGATAATATCGCTATTCTTTACAAACATGCCAATCCAGAGGTTGATTTACAAGCCATCATCGATTTATCACTTACTGCTTAAATTATTATTTGGGTTGTCAAGGTAAAAGTTTGTACTACCAACTACTAGTGTAGTTTATATTTTATCAATGTGTTTAAATAAAAGTATTGTACTACCAACCAGTGCAAAGAGCAAATCCATTCAAGTACAAGAAGTTCACACACCTGATAAACGTCATCTAACACCTTATCGTCCAAGCTTATCAAGTCTTCTAGCTCTGTCTCACCTGGAATTATAAGTCCCACAAAATCATGCAATCTTAATCATTTTTCATGTCGCATCATTTCATGAAGAAAACTAACTGAGTCCACTCTTCGCGGCCGTGATATACGCCAGCGCATGGGTCACGAGCAAGCTTCCGTGCTGGATTTCGATTCGTTCAAACAGTTTGAAAATGCTTTCTCTCACATTCGTCGCTAAAATTAAATTTGCATACAAGTTACTTGCATATGCAAATTAGTATGTATGCACATACCCAAAAGCGTGTCAGTCTGCTTGGAATAACTTTTCCACCTGCAAATCTCTGCAAAAACCAATTTCACAAAGATTGGAAGACTGCATTCCGCCAAACCTATATAGGAAGAATAGGATTTTTATTTTATTTTAAGTAACATAGGTCGTTGACCTGTGTTACTTAAACCCCACACATCTTCCATCCACACACAACTCCACTCAACTCGGTCGCTCCCTTTCTCTCGCATTGTTGTTATTTTTTAATTAATAATCACCAATTAAAATTAGTTTGTTTTTGTGAAAATGTTGTCAAAACATGCGTGTTCGGAAGTGGAAGGTAGTCCCACACAGAAGAAGAAAGTTCGATTAAACTTCACAGTGTATCAACCCCCTCCTGGCTCTTCTATTAAAATCTGCGTGAAAAGCGAAGATGGAGAACTCCAAGAAATTGATGGTAAGCTTTAAATTACTTTATTAATTCTCGTATAGTTTAGTCACTAATTTTAATGAAAATGTTTCTAGAGTGTTCACCCTTCAACTCCCAAGAGACTCAGACAACACGCTTTCTGTGGAAAACCGCTACTTCCCCCTCCCCTCCAGAAGGTCAACCATGGACTCCACCTACTCCACTCTCAATGGCTGACTTCATATTCCGACATGTGAAGAATTTCCTGAAATATGATGGAGAAGACAGGCTCATGAAAACCTCAGATGACATGAAAACACTGCTGAAATCTGGAAGAACCATGAAGATCACAAAAGATGCAAGGAAGGTGACAGCCCAAACTATACAAAGGAGAAATAGAACACCTAATAAAACCAAATCCAACACGGAAGTGACCACTATTGTGGATGTCACGTTTTCTGGAGGAAGAATAACGTGGAGAACTGATGGTGGAGGGAGATGTGGAATATGTAAAGACGGGGATTGCTGGAAAATACAAGCAAACGATGGGGCCTGTAATGAACACGCCAACTGTTATGTGACACACTTCCTTGTGAATGATGAAAACAACCCTTTGCCCACTTACACCCTCCTGACAACCAAACCCCACGCTACAAAATTCACCCACACTTTAGATGGAGTTCTACAGACATCGCGGAATACTCCTACGAATTATGCCGCTTTTTGCAACTACGAGGAAAAGCAGAAGGAAGCAAAACTTTCTCCTAAATGGAAGCTGGTGACGCCACGTCCTTGGATAGCGAAAGGTTTGGACTTGTCCAAAACATTTCATCAAACCACCAGCGTTACTCTCGCCATTATTTCCACCATCAATTCACATGAAAAGAATGCAGCCAATCCTGTGAAATTCGTCAGGGATCGAATTTTTGTTGACCAAGTCGATTGGGCAGTCGTGAAGACTATTTTGGAGAACTCTGGCTTCAAACTGGAACTAGGGGAGACCTCAGAGTATGGAGAGATCAATGAATCCCCATTATTGAAAAAAGATGACCTGAAGTGGAGGGATGGCGACAGCTGGATCTACATGAAATTTGGCACTACAGGAAGAATCTACGTTGGAAAGGTTAAGCAACGCAATATGGGTAGAGGGAGTGGACCCATGCCTCAATCATTCATTCATCGAAGTCATCCTCCTACGGATAAGGGAATCCCTCTCTTCCAGTGTGAAGGTGAAGATGACTTATTATAATAATTATTATTAACTTGAATTTATATTAACTGTAAATAATATGGAAGGTGACGCTGACTGCATAGAGGAGGAGACAAACAAGATGGAAAGTGTTGGACAGTTGGGAGTAATCTTTTGTGAGATGTTGGGAGGGGCTATCGACGGTCACCCGATCAAAATTGATTTTGAGAAGTATGAGAATTTATCCGAATGGGAGGATCGTCATGTGGATAGACTGAAGAAGCTGGTCGGATTTTGGACCAGTCAAAAATTAGAGTTTACTATCCCGGAAGGTGTTGATGTTTCATCAATTAATTGGGAACCCTTAAAAAATTTGTATTTGGGACCCCGCTCAGCAGCAGCTTCATCAAAATTTGATTTTTAACCCAACCCAACTTTTTAACTAGAAATTCAGTTATCTCACCGTTACAGACGACACGCCATTGATAATTATTCACGTCTCGATTCGCTGCTACTAGCCATCTAATCAATTAAGAAAATAATTTAATTGGTTAATTTCTATATGAATTAATCAATCCCTCACCTCCGAATGACCACAGTGGCTAATTGTTCTCCTAAACTCGTGACTTCCAAAAATGCCTTTTCATCATCCAAAATCCTCCTCAGGAGCAAATAATCCGCACTGATTTCATCGTCGTTTGGCTCATAGACACAACTTATTATGATTTTACAGTATTTTGGCAATTTACTGGGAAGCCTACAATTATCATCGATCATCAATTAATTCAACTCATTTTCATTCTATGAAAATTATAATTTCTTACCAAGTCAACTTATTCGCCCCACTCGCCCCCGTCAACTGATCCACGGAGTCCAGAAACACGAGCAGCGGTTGATCCACGCTTCCATAGGTAAGGAGATTTTTAAAATGTGCCGTCAGCGGGACCAAATCATCAGGAATATCCTAATCAACAAAATTTAATCCCCCACAAAAATTAACCCATCGTTAACATGGCCTAATAACCGAACCTCCATGGGAAGCATGAAATTATAGCTGATTTGTTGACACAAGCTGATCAACATTGGCGTCAAGGCGGAAGAATCTGGCGTCGTTCCCAAAAATCGAAGAATCAAAAGCGGTGTCGATTTAATCCATTCGAAACACATGGCTGCAATTTTTGCGAGTAAAGACGTCTTCCCACATCCGCCCTGACCGTAAAGTATCATTGGCTTATCGCTTGGACCAAGGATGTACTCTTTTCCTAATTCGAGGGAATGTTCCCGGCCGTAAAATACCTACAATTTACATACATGATTTATCTACTGTTTTTGTACAATTTATGAGAATATTTCTCTCATACTTTCACGGATCCGTTGCATGCATGCAAATGTTGCAAGATTTCGGTCACGATTACACCCTGTGCGGACGAGTCTTCCTTTCGCATCGCACGATCCACTAATTTTGTAATGTTTTTGTAAAAATGGGCCAAAAATCCGGACAGATATTCTTCATGCGTGTCACTGGAGATCCCTTCACGACCCATCCATTCCACTGTATACCTATAATTAACATTATATTTTGTTTAATCTACATAAAAGTTTAGCAATAAAATTATTTTACTTTTGCATATTTGTTGCCTCGATTTTGTTTGGAAGGCGTTCATCTCTTAAATTTCCTAAAAAAAATATTTGTCAATGTCTTTAAACGCTTGTTTAAGGTAAAAGATTTATGTAATTCAGAAAAAAATATTACCTAATAGACGCGACTATTCGAAAATATTTAAACATGTAGACATAATTTTTAAATTAAGGATTTATCTAATGATATGTAAATATAATTTAGGCACGCTTACAGCCTCCTGATCAATCCCACGGTTAATTATGTCAATAAAGTTGGAAGCCTTCTTGATATTTTGCAAATTGATGTTGTTGATGTCTGCTCGGTTAAATTGTAATTAACAATTTTAAAACCTTAATATTTTAATTAAAAAGTTAATTTAACTCACATCGAACGTATGCTAAACAATGAGCTTTTGTGTTTTCCACGTTTAGCACACCGTTTATAACTTCTCTTTCAGTGACTATTACAAAAATTAATTACTTAATTAAATATTCAATCAATCAATTAATCCTCAAATTTTGCATACCGCTCATGAAATAATTGTGCATCGCATCGTGGTCAACTTGACCATTTAAAAAACAAGTATGAACGGCTTTACGGAGTAATTTTTGCATTTTGTTTAACGTGTCCCACCAAATGGCTTGGTCTTGCGACTGCATAAATATTTTTAAAATTTGTCATAATTTCCTTTTTCTTGAACAGAAACATTATAGAACTCACTTGAAGTTTTGGGACACGCTGCGCAAGTAAATAATTCATTTTTACATGCGCATATTTTTTTAACATAAAAGACTAAATATGATCCACCTTGTTATTAAAGTTGAGTAAAATTGTTGAAATCGGTTGCAAAATGAAAACGTTGGGGACAGCATTTGTATCTTTTTTATACCACAAGTCCAACAAATAAGTGTCCACGCCCATTTGAACCAACGTTTCCTTCAACATGATCAACTCGCTCGCCATGATTATCGTGGGAATCGGTCTGGGATAACACTTAATTTTGATCTTGATTGTCAAGAAATTTATTAGTTAATTAATTACCTGTAACCATATTTTTGACCTAAGAATACCTAAAATGAGAATAAAATGAGCTGTCAGAATTAGAATAAATGCAAATAATTACAATTAAAAACTCGGGTTTTACCACAAAATTAGGCCCCATACTTAACCTCTGGCAATTAATGATCTCTCGCATGCAGAGTTCTGTGGTCATGTGATCGTCCGTAGCTTCGTCTCCTGCACAAAATTGTTGTTTTTAGTCTTGTTTTTAATTATTTGGATTATCAAAATTCTATCCACTTACGGACACCCCATCGCATATCCACAACCTAATTATTATTCAAATAAAAAGTTATACCGAAATAAATATAGGTATGTCTGAATGAAAATTTTAATTCGAAAAATTACTTGAAATTCTAGACCATGTTTTTCCCTACAATATTCTTTAATTTTTGGATAAACCTCCGCCATCAGAGTATTTCTCTCAAGGGCCGTGTCTATAAAAATTTACTTGATTATCAATTTCGTCCATTTAACTACATTAAATTTACGAATTACCAGTAAACGTGGAACTGGTAAAAATCCTCACAATTTTGGAACTAACGGGAGGCAACTCTTCCACCAAACAACCCGAAAAGACACGATCTATCGTTCTGTCATCCATTTTAACCAATTTTTAAATTTTTACTGCCAAATACTTTGCCCTATTCCCTTCACCACGCTCGTCCAGGATCAAACTAACCCACATTTTCAAAACCAATACGGATTTTCCTTCTCTCCAATGTAAGTAAGTCATTCTCCTCTGCAGGAGGAAAGAAATATCGTGCGAAAAATTTGACAGTGTCGAAACGTGTATCGATTTAACAAAGTCATTTACGAACCACAATGCGAAACTCCATAAATAACTCTGACGAAGAATAGATTTATCATTATTCTCAAAGCAACGAATTTTGCTATGCCGATGATTTCCTTGTGAGTAATCAAAACAGGAAAGAAAATATCTGCATTTTATTATGCCCACGTAATAATGAATTAATTAAATGCGCTGAAAATTGTCATCACAAAAAATTAGCACACAAAATGGAACCTCAAGTCGTCCTTCCCCCAATGAACGTCACGTCTTCCTCCACGGCCTCACTTACCAGCTCGGGAAGCACGCTTATCACCTCAGATCCCGCAGTGGTAGGATAACATGGCAGGAAAATTAAAGATAAGCGGAAAAATTAAAATTAACATAATTTCTTGCTTATAGGGAGGACAAGATGAAGGGACAGATTCTCTCATGAGAGACCAAATTGGCATAAAACCTCAAGCTCCAGGACAGAGTCGGTTAATTATATTTATTAACTTTTAACTATATAATTCACTAAATATCTCGAAACTTTGCAACATAGATATTTGTAAATATTGTGGAAAAGAAATTGATGACCCGGAAGAGAAGAATATTCCATCGAACGTGGCCTGGCTGTCTTTCTCGTTCCTGTTCCTATGTTGTCTTTGGTGGTTATCTTGGGTCCCCTTCATCGTGGACAATAAGAGATGCAATATTTGCAAAACAGCCGTTAAGGTGATTTATTTAGTGGAGTGGATTTATCCATATTTCATTTTACCTTATTGTCATCTTATTTGCATATTGCATATATTAAGGTTTGTCCCCATTGTTATCGACGTATCGACCGACCTCCCGTTTAACATCTCCCCTGTGGATTAAGTGGGAGAAGAGGAAATAATAAAGGTACAAATTGACATCAGCAGGGATTCGGAAACAAGTTGGTAGAATTTTTTACAAGTAAAAATACAGAGAATAAAATAACTTGTGTTCAACTTCGTAATAACACTTACGATATATTTCATCTCGCCTCAAGGTACACATAAATCGATACTCAAATATTCGGAGAGTGGTGAACGTCTCATCTCACCTCCGCTTTCTCAGCTTTTATACAGTGCTCCATATTTTGCATTGCATCATGCATCACTTTCTTTGGGGTGAGATTTTGATTATGATGATGACTTGTCGAAGAGTCATTTAATAAATGCAAAACTTATAAAGCATAAAATATAAATTCATAGAAATTTGGCTCTCATTGATCATATAGTTTTATCCCATTTTTATCTTTATACGCTATCATATGCTGATTAATTATCTATATAATTTTTGTTCAAGAATAATCAACCACCGGATGTTATACATACATAACATTGAAATTTACGTAAAGGTCATAATTGTGTTCTTGAACTGATTTGATAGAAAATTATGCATTAGAATAAGTACATGTACCATCATTGTGATTATAAGTATGTACATATCTGGAAATTTTGGGAGTCGTCAGTTATTTACATATCTACACTTCCGATCTCATTAGGATCAAACAAAGCCAAAAAAATATTGTGCGTGCAATCATTTCATACAAATTAGCATTTCCTTCCGGTCAGTAACATACATGATCCAATTAACGAACACAAAAGAAGATCTGGTTGACATCACTAATTGAACACACAGAAAGTGACCACTTGCATTTTTTATTTAATTCTACTTTAGAATTAGTCATCAACCAAAACTTATTAGGGATTGATTCAATTTCCCAATAAATCGTTTTCAATATGGTTAGAAAAACGACAATCTTCATCTCTATATTATTTTTTACGTTGCCAATTTCATCCGGAAATGAAAAGGAAGGAAGAAACCTAAAAATTGCTAAAGCAAGAAAAACACAGCCACAAAAACGTGCAGGGTATGAAAATATTAACTTCAAAATTTTTCAACATATATAATAAAATTCCATCATTTTTTAGCGAAACTAACTGTGCCTGTGGAAAAGTTGCGACAAACACTGCCCCCAAAATAGTAGGGGGTAAAAAATCTCAAAATCATGCCTCCCCTTGGCTTGGGGCGTTAGTTTATGTACTAATTTTACCATTTGCCCCCATTTTTCACGACATTTTTTTAACCAAGATTGTCTTACAGACTGGTGGTTCACAACCCTCTCAATTTTGCGGCTCGAGTTTAATAAATGACCGCTACGTCGTGACCGCAGGCCATTGCGTTGTTGGGAAGATAACCACTACCCAAGGTTATCAAGTGTTTCTAGGAAGTAACAAAATCAATGGGACTGATGCTAAGAGGGTTAACATTGTGGGAGTTATCGTCCATCCAAAGTATCTCATCATTAGTTTTCATAATTAGTAACCAAAATTGCTGAATATTATACCATCCGCAGTTATAATTCTCAAACCTTGGAAAACGATATCGCTCTTATTCAATTAGCCGAGCAGATAAAAATCACGCCTAAAATCCGTCCCATATGTCTGGCCAAAGGTCCCGCAACCTTTGCCGGAAAAAATGCTAACGTTGCAGGGTAGGTTTGAATTAAGCAAATTTAACTATTGAGTTCCTTTAAAATGTGTGCCTTGGGTGGGGCCGCCGTTTAGATGGGGAACCCAACAAAAAGGTGGAAATGCAGTAAATCAACTAAGAAATGCTTGGGTGCGAAAATATTTAAGAAAATTATAAAGTTTTTTGGTCAAAGAAAAGACAAATTTTAGTTACACTTTGAACTTATTACAGGTAAAAATAATGGAAAATTCTGTATGTGCAAAAAATTATACGACAGCCAAAGTTAAAATTACTCCAAACATGTTGTGCGCCTCACTACCTGGAAGGGATTCTTGTTCTGGTGGGGGATGACACAATTATGAATTACATATGTATGACTAGAAACACTTTACAAAAATCTTGCACATATGTAAATTACAGGTGACAGTGGCGGTGCTTTAGTGGTTAAAGAAAATGCAGACACATTTCGCCAAGTAAATAATTATTATTATATTTATTCCAAAAAATTCACGTATTTAATACGTACAAAATTAAATTCCAGGTGGGGGTCGTTTCCTTTGGCATAGATTGTGGTAACACCCACTACCCAGGAGTGTACACGAGGTAAGTATGTACATCCGTAAAACAAAATTCTACATCTTAAAATCGTTCCAAATTTAACATAATAAATAATTATACGCTTCAGAATAACACGATACTATAAATGGATTCTGGAAAACACACAGGATGCCATATATTGCTCCAAATAAAATAACCCTTACAAATTTGTTGTTAGCCAATTAATTAGTCAATTATACGGATTAACCGCTGTCGAATTTTCCTCTCCATGAACCCACGCACAGAAATCGGATGCTTCATCTACACCTCCAAAGCAGTCAATTGTCCCGTCACAAACTTTTCCAATTTCGATACACCCACCAAATTTGCACTTGAATTCGGTCTGAGGACTGTAAATTAAATATTTTTAGGACCACTTTATCTTATTTAGTGTTTTAAGACTTTCTCACGAACTCGCATTTGACGACGCGTTTAAAACAAGACCTGTCCGCGTATCCTAATTCGTCCTCGCCCCCACCGGGACAATCTTTGTAGCCGTTGCACACTCGTGACTTGTGAAGGCACGAGGTCCCATTAGCACAACGGAATTCTTGGCATAAACACGGCTTATGGATTCCAACCCATTTACAGCCTAAAATTAAATTATTATTAGTCAAATATATATTACAAAATAATGTCATGAATTATTACCAACTAAGACGGCAGCCAAAGCCAGATAGGTGGTTACAACAAGACAATAAATCGTTAATTGTTTAAACCCCATCGTTTAAAATGCAGACAAGAGCTCTTCCTCCGTCGGCCGATATGTATTTGGAAATAAATAATGGTGTGATTATTCAAAGGAAGTGATTTCGTAAACTCTAGTCTTGTGTGATCATCTAAAAAAGAGACTGCTCGTGCAAATATTGCATAGCCTGTTACATACACTTAAAGAGGCAACTTAGTAATTTATTTATGTGGTTGAGTATTATTCCATGTTCTTTTTATACATTTAGAAGGTGCATATACCTTAAATCATGAGAAAGTAGACTTGTTTATTTGTTTTATCCTCACAAGACGTGCATGCATATTATGAACATTCACCTTCTCAAATTTTTCCACCCCTTTGTAAATTGCTATCATTTTGTGCACATGTATCCTTCCTTGCAAAGGTCACTTGCACCATTTGCAATAAATGTTAATAAAGTGCAACTATAGTGCAAGTGCAAAATTGATTAAAAACCTTGAATTTTAGTCGAGCCACTCATCTAAATATTAATGGATTGCATGAAATTAAGTTATAGTTAAAAATTCTGCTCGATTTAAAATTAAGCATTCGTCTGCGTCAATAATTTTTAGATACCACACGCCTCCAATCCGTGGATAATTATTCTTTCGAGAAACCTTGAAATTTAGGATGCACCATCTTCAACTTGAATCTTTGTCGGACATGTTCAAGGATGCCATTAAAAAATTCGTTAGTATTATGATCACCATATTCACCACACTTCATAGAGTTGCATGGACCTCACCGAACCGTGTTTTTGTTGACGATCAGCATCTTCCTCTTGAAGTTTCCCTCGGAAAATTATCATTTTATCATCTTTATTTCACAATTATGTATGAATTAGCCTCTCGCATGCAAAGTTTCAGGATGCTCTATGATAATTACTTGAAGAATATAGACTTGCCATGATAATTAAGGATCCGACGCAGACGACAACGCTTCTAGTTGCTGATCCTCTCATTTGCTTGGGGACGGCTGGGTTTACTACCAATTAGGACGCCTAAGTGGTCAGTGATCAGTCTAACTTTTCCTTTCATTTTCAAATCAAGTCTAGAGGAAATTATTTCTTACTATGTTCACGAGCATATTTCTAATCCTAACAGTCAGCAGTTTACATTGTTGCCTAGCCGGAGCGATTAATAGGGTGTAAGTTAATTAAGATAAATGATATTAGTAATTTCTGTGGATAAATGTTTCTCTGATTTTCCATTTAGCAAAGAAATTCGTTGCGATTGTGGCATTCGGAACGAAGGTAAAAGACATTTGGGAATTGGGGACAATGTGAAAACTGAATTCGCTGGGAATCACGCCTGGTACATATTTGGATGGTTTTGTATAAGACAAAGATTTTTAGTTTCAAGTAAACTTATCATAAAATATATGTAGGCCTTGGATGACTTCCATTGTTAATGTTTCCCTGCCGCATGACCCCGGTAATAATAATAGTAATTGAATTATCAAAAACAATTCAGATAACATCCACCAACAAATTTACTGATTAATATAAAAGTTTAACATCACATAGTTTAACAAATGCTCTTAAATCCAATTAGTAACAAGTTTCTCGTAAACCTTCTTCTGAACACCCTCCTTTTTCATCTTATTGGTGTCTAACACCTGTCGCTTCTTCTCCCCAGCCCCTACAGTCTTAAATATCGGAACCATAAAATCCACCTCTTTCGGAACAGTTTTGAGCGTATCTTTCTTCACAACAATCTCTTTACCCGTCATCATAACAATAAAATGTTTAAAAATATCCTCATCCCAACCATGATCGAAATGGGTGAACTTTTCAGCTAAATTGTAAACGTCGTGACCACCGACTGTCTTCATTCCTAACATATTAGCGACGAGAACCCCCATGTGACCTAACGTCTCCACCTCCAGCGACTTTTTCAAACTCTCTTCTGCTGTGAACGTGGTGGGGTCGGCTTGAAACACATGGTGCCTGTTCTCGGGGTCGATCCCCGCCATGGTGATGGATTTTGCGCGTTGGTGAGAATCGGATCCTTTAATAACATACTGACGCTTCTCTGAATGATTTTGACCGTATCGATAACCACCCTCTTTATTATCCCCCACATACACGTAAGGGAGCTTGCGGTTGAAATTTCTGGGAAGATGATGTGAATTTGCAAAATTAAGGGAGTTGTTGGCATCCATAATTTCGAAACCCATGTTGTTTAACGCCAGAGTTTTGTTCACGTCATCCAAATTTGCAGACTTTGTGTAGATGTCACAATTTATGAGTTTGATCTGCTCTGCTGGTTTTGTAGCGACAGAGTTGTGAAATGAAACCATCAGAGACATTTGAATCTGGGGGGGAACAAAATGTTATATTTATTTAATAATTGAATTGAGGAATTTCTCAGAAATATCACATACCCCTAAACTTTGAAACTTTCTCGTGCTTTCCTCGGAGAGATGTTCCCAACGTTTCTCTATTACAAACCACGCATTAGGAAATTTGGCGAGGTATTGGCCGATTGCCTTATGCTCGTAATGCACTCCTCGTAGAAATAAATTTATTCCGAGATCAGTGAACCGTTCCTTCCTCAAATCCGGGTGAACGATGTTTATGTTCACCTTGTCCAAATTGGCCACGTCCCTAATCATCAATATCTCCCTTTTCACTGTGCTGTGACTGTAGCAATATCCGTCCATCTATAAATATTATAATTTTATAATTAGAGATGATGTAATGACATAATAATGACAAAATAATAATAATAACAAAATAATGACAAAATAATGACCTACATAACTCATTTCAGGACAATTTTCCACCCTGCATTTGGTTCGGACAGAGGTCTTCCATCCAAATTTCTCTCCCTCCTTCTTGACTTTATAAAACAATTTTCCCCCAACATACTTCACTCCCACTGGTTGATTGTCGTGAAGAAACGTTACGCCGGGTGGAGACGCCGCTTTCCATGGGTCACTCTTCTCAAACTTTTTGAAATGTTTATTCCACAATTCCATGAGATCCTTGTACTCGGCAGTTGACTCCACAGTCTCCAAGATGAACTCAATCAAGGGATATTTCTCCTTGAGGTGATTAAAAATTCCCATTCGTACTGTGAAGAGGGGAGATTGGGTATATCGGTTCGGTATGGGCAAAATAGCGGATGAGGAGGGGGTGGGTGGACCTACAATTATTTGTATATATTAATTTGAGGAATTGCATAATCAGAAGAGGACGAGGAAAACAACCATTACCCTCGCTAAACAAATTCTCAAATTCTTCCTGCGAGTTTAGAAATCCAACCTCATAGTCATCATTCAAAATGACCCTGCTTTTCCAATCAACCGAAGTTTCCCGTTGTGGTGGGGTGACCTTGAGGGAAGGTTTTGGTTTCTTCACTGGGGGTTGTTCTGCTGATCACGAATTTATCCATAATTAAAAATGACTATGAAACTAACTAAGCTTATATTTTTATGTGGAGAGATAAAATAAGAAACTCCAACAATGTGATTGAGAGAAGATGAAAATGTGGAGTTTGTATGAAGTGGGAAAACAGTGAAAGCGGGGTAGCTTGACAGTAATAATGATTTAATTCAGTATCATGATTTCCAGTCGCGTATTGTGGTGCCACACTTATCAACAATCAATATATTCTAACTGCCGGTAAGTGCTTATTGCTTATTTTACCTTTTACGTCTTACGCAGAAATTATTTAATACAGGTCACTGTATCCCAGACATGCAAACCTCTGGTTTAGGAAATTTTAGGGTAAATTTAAAGCTTTACAAAATTGCGAAAACCTCATGATAAAAATACATGACTCGTACAGGTCTGGATTGGAACAAATTTCATAACAGATCTCGCCTCCGATTTTGACGATTATCTTGACCTCGAAATCTCTGAAATAAAATCTCATCCCAAATTTGATTTTGAAACTGCCGAATATGATGTAGCTTTGATAAAAGTGAGTGAACCGATAAAATTTTCGAAACGAGTACGCCCCATCTGCCTCACACAGCCAGAGGAGAACACTCTGGTTGGGAAAATTGGAGTCATCACGGGCTGGGGGAGCTTAACTTTGACCACACCCACGGAAGAAGAGCTTAAAGAGTCAGATGTCGTCATTGTGACGAATGAAGAGTGCAAGAAGAATTATACGACGGTTGATATACCCGTATTGGATACGATGCTTTGTGGATCAGTTATGACATTAGATGGCCAAGACGTAAGATACATACGTAATTATTGTCACTATTTGAAAAATTGAGAAATCTAGCAATTTTTTTCTTTGTATCCTTCAGCCATGTAAGGGTGACTCTGGTGAGTATTTAATTTCTATTTTATATTTAATTTAACTTCAAGATTCCAATTATTTATCTATTTACAGGGGGCCCGTTGATGCTCAAAGTCAAAAATAGAATTACGCAGGTAAATACACAGTAGAGCAATAACTATAAATTATTCATGACGTTGTGATTTTTAATTCATAAATTATACGTATAGATCGGTATAATTAGTCACGGTCAGGGATGTTCATCTCCTGCTTTTCCCACGATATTTTCTAGAATGTCTAAATTTATTGAGTGGATTCAACAAAATACTCAAGATGCGTTATATTGTAGGGGATCTTTTTAAGAGATGTAAACATATCACATGCAGTTTTATTCAATGTTATTTATTTACAACAAAAGTGTAAAAACAAATGTAAATATTTTAAGGATTAAGTAGTCTGATGTACGATGGGAATTAATGTTTTATGTAGTCGTGTTACCACCGACGTTACAATTTGCTCAAGTCCTTCATCGGTCTCGCATTTCACTTCCTGCCGTGATGAAAAATACAAGTATGAAAATATGTAAATACAATATTTATATAAGAATTATCTACTATGTAAACATACCAGCTTATCAAAGTCCAACGTAGCTTTATGATTATTAACAACAATGTCTACCGTTGTCTGTTGCGTTTTCACTTTGGAGACGCAATCTCGTCCAAACTGGGGGGAAATAATATCAATTAAATCTGTAATTGTCCAACTAATTAATTTGTACGAACTCACAATGTCCTGCAGCGTATCCATAACACATTCTTTAAAATGATCGAAGCTTGTATCAGGATTGGCACTCCCTTCACCTGGAGGCGCAACAATATCCGCAGGTCGTGTCGTTCTACTGCATGCATCAACTTGTAAAATACTTGCCAACACGGCATCAGCATAGACGTCATTCAACGGTGAAGCGATCCATTCTAAGGTGACGAATTTATTCTCAGCATCATACGAGACATCAACCGTATTGAACACGCGAACGGTTGGATTTTTCTTGGATTCTTCAATCTTGATATCTTTAGCCAAGTGTAGAAGACTATTCTTTAAGATATCAAATGATCCTGCAAATGATAAACTTTGACGCTGTGTCACAGTCGATATTGTGAGGTCGGTGTATTTTGGGAGATCTGATGGAGCGAGAATATGGTAATTGAAATTCCTCTTCACTAATATTCCGGATAATTTCTTAGATTTTCCTCTCTCTCCGGTAACAGAGGAGGCCAGGGATCCCATCACTTTGGCCATTTTTTCTCCACGAAAACGTAATACGATGGCGACAGTATTTTTTGGGTTGTAAATTGTCATCTTTTCCCCTTCGAATTCACGCTGCAATGCGGCTTTTAAACGATTCATTTCATTCGCTTCGCCATGAACAAGTACCTAAATACGAACACGAAAAAGGTGTTTTGTTGGATGGGTTACTAAAATAGACTAATAATCATGTAGCTAATTAATCTCACAATATTTGGTGGTCTTAAAATCCTAATAAACTCAGAAGTTTGTTCATAATCTGTATGTGCGGAGAACGAAATGTAATCCACACTCATTTTTAGCAAAGCTTTGTTCCCATTCATCAAAGTTACTTCTTCCGGTTCGGAAAGTATTGTTTTAGCAAGCGTTCCTTCAACACAGTAACCGGCGATTATTACACTGTAACAAGAATGGGGACAATACAATTTACCAAAGTAATTTATTAAGAATAATTTATATACAAACTGACCCGTTTTTAGCGTCGGTGCACCACAACTCGAATAATTCTCTACTCAATCCGCTCTGCATCATTCCAGGACTTGCCATTACAACACAAGGGCCAACGTCTTCAAAGTGATCGATGCTCTAGAAAAGTCACATTAAAATCCACCACATTGAAAACCACACAAACAAATAATTAAAAAGCAATCACCTTAAGATTAGAAATATGTTTAAAGACAAAAGGATTATTAATGGCAATTTGTCTGCGAATTTTTTCATTCATTGCGTTGATATACGTTTGATACACGGCCATGCACTTTTTCGCTAAAGATGAGGCATAGTAGATTGGAATATCGTGCAATTCTGGGTGAAGGGACCAATATTCATCTACAAAATATATGTAATATAATTATTTTGTTACTTATTATACAAAATTCCTACAAAAAAATATTACCGAGAATCAATAACAATTCCTGTGCTCGTCCTAATGCAAATACAGGAATGAGACAACGTCCACCTCGGTTCACAATGTCATGAATAATTCCTGTGAATCTACTTTCGCGTTCTTCTCGTTTCTCATGAATATGAGTTCCATAGGTCGACTCCTGAACGGAATAACAAAACATAACCAAACCATACAAATCACTATTCACATAGTTGTGCAATGGTTTCGTTAAAAAATTTACCACAATCATAACATCCGGTTTAACGGAAGGAATCTCAGCAGCCATAAGATGACGATCCTCTTGCCGTGAAAAGTCGCCCGTATAAAGAACTTTAACACCAGCTATTTCTATCATGAACATTGCAGCTGGAAGAAGATAAAGTTGAAAAATTACCATATTTGCAGCATCTTTATTATTTAATTACACTCACCTCCTAAGACATGACCGGCATGATAAGCCCAAAATTTAATCCCCTTCACTTCCTTCTCTTCGTGGAAGTTTAAAACTTCGATTTTCTCCATTGATGCTTCTAAATCTTGATCTGTGTACAAAATGTGATCTGAGGAAATGTTGCTGGAAACGAAGAAGCAAATTTAGCCAGTTGTATTAAAAATCCTTATGCTCTTAACTTTACCTCGGCCTTACTTACCTGACTTTAATGTAATCTGATAACAACCATCTGTAAATAGCTATGAAATAAAAGATTGTTTAAATACTTATAATTCATTTTAATAAAGTGTAACATTCAATTAGGCTACTTAATTATACACACCTTTGGTCGCATGGGTCATGAAACATCGACCTTTAAATGCGGTTTTTAACAAGAACCAGGGAAGTGCTCCACTATGGTCTAAATGGAAACTGTAATTAAAACCATTGGAGTTTAAATTGCGAATTTAATTAACTATCTCTCAATTCGTAAATACTAATTACTAATTAGTTACTTACTGTGAAACTAGTAAAAGATCGACTTCGTCTGCCTCGATAAGATCTACAAACGGCAAAGCTTCCATCCCCGTGTGACCTGGATGAATACCGATATCCAACTAGTATACAATATAACAATTAACTAATCGTAATTAAATCGCAATTAAAAACGTTTGGTAATTAAATTAAATCACCATAATTTTCTTCCCCTTAAATTCCAGCATAATACAGGAACGTCCAACTTCTTGACCGGCCCCACTAATTTATAAAACATAATTATATACAAATTTGCACTAGTCTTTAAAACTAATTGGAACAACACGAATTTAAAAAAAAAAACTTCTTACAGCGGTCGGATGATAAGTTCGTCGGATTCTTCCACAGGTCCGATGACCTGCACACTTCCGGGAATGCTCATCTTTCTGATCGTTCCTTTCTGTGCGAAGAATTCTAATTATTTCGCTAATTAACTATCTTAGAATATTTTTAACTGAGGCCGATGTTTTTTTAATGAAAACGAATGCCAAATTCCTCTACCGCCAGCCGGTTTATTTTGCGGGCATGTGCTTTCACTTACTATTCTCAGAATCACAAAACAACCACGAGACTGGCTTCCTCAAAGACTTACAAAAATTAATTGTTACACGTCCGATGATAAGATAAAGTAGGTAATTAACAGCAGTTATCTGCAAGTATGTGCAGCTTCCAAGCCATTGCTCGTTTACAGAAAACTACTACATTTATTACTTGGTATTACAGATTACCGAAGGAAGGAACAATTCATTGAATTTAAAAGGTAAGATTAAAATAAAACGAGGTACAAAGATAAGTAAAATGAATTATAAAAATTATTTCAATATTTAGTTTATGTTTAGACCTTGACTTGTACAAATTGTAAAAAAAAATTATCATGTCGTGTGAAGTTTAAAAAATAACGATTTTACAATAACTTTCATTTCAGCAGCTTCAGTACCGGAAATACGTGGAGCAATTAAAAAAACTCGCCGCTAACACTGTCAATTATTACCCGAAAGTATAAAACTTTATAATACATATTAATTAGTCCTAGATTAGTTTTAAATTGCATATTTAGCCATAATTTAGTTCACTTAATTTTACGTTTACAACGAAAATGCAGCGAAACAACAACTTTCTCCATTTAACAATGCCGATAAAAAGTAGTGAAATGTTGTCCGAAATTTATAACCACATGTCCTACGCGGACATTATCCTTACCTGCGCCGATTCTTCGACCAATCAGAAACCTGTCGCTCACAAACTTGTCCTCTCCAATTGTTCCCCCTTTCTGAAAACCTTACTCGAAACAAACACAGATAGTCATGAATTAATTATTCCGGACGTTAGTACCAATACAATGATGCATATTTTGAAGTTGATCTACACCGGAGAGGTCAAAGTTGGAAGTGAGGACGAAATCTCTGATGTTATCGAAGGTATCGATCTGCTCGGGATTAACTCTGTCGTCCATGAAATTGGATTTAGTCAAGAGGTAGAGCAAACGACGTCAAGAAGTATTAACGAAGAAACGGCTCAATTAACTCCACCACCAGAAATATATGAAGAAGAGTGGACCACGTCTCAACTAATTTCACCCCTTTCGATCGAAGATCATGCAAGTTATTGGAGTGACATGACCACTTCCGAAGTGGTTGGGGTACTCCCTTCCGATTTTGTACTGGAAAACATAAAGACTGAGCATGTAGGACTGCTGTCGTCATCAAATGATTCTCATATTCGCCAAGACGATGATGCAAACGAAACTCTTGTGGCAAAGAATACACAGAAAAATAAGAGACGCACGCAATCTTTTGTCTTCCAAAATGATGACGAAGATAATGATGACCAAATCCACCACGTCCCCAAAAAATTAAAGACTGAAGATCACGAGTTCTCTCAGTGGATTGGACAGTTACCAGTTAGTGGAGTGAATGATTTCGTCTTTCTTTGTGATGATAATGATCTTGAGGACGTAGAGCTTAACGACGCTGAGAAATTACTCGCATTACAAAAAAGCACCATGATGGATCACCCTTACGCGGTGAGGAAACAAAAATGTCTCAAGAAAAAAGGTTCCGACCACGACAAAAAATAATTATAAGTCTAATCGAAGTCCAAACAAAAGTTATCTCATTACAATTTACAAAGCACTTAATTTATTAGTATTATATTTATTGATTTTTGTACTTGACAGAATTTTTTAACGCCTTTTACTTTTACATAGACGTCTTAATAAAACTGTGTTTTAGATGATGAAATGGAAAAAAGTACTGAGCTGTCTCATCTCTTCTCGCCTGATGTCCACATCAAGTATAAATTTGTTGACGAAAAATTCCGAAAAAGTTTTCCAATCCCATTTGGAAAAAATTAGTGGGGAAGTAACTCACAACTTGTATGGCGTGGCGAGGCAACTCGTAAAGTTTCAACAAGATGCAGATGAGATTATTTCATTGCAAGGAGGTTAGTCCATCTCCCCTTTGGTTTAGATTAGTTAGGTCAACGGTCAACGGTGTACATACATATTTCATAAAATTTCTCGTTAATTGTAGAGGCGGAGAAAGATGCTGAACTTCAGTCCATGGCAGAGAAAGATTTGGCTGTTTTGCAAGAACATATTGCCACTTTAAAACACAGGGTTAGTCATGTCCATGTCATATTTAAAAGATCTCCATCCATCCTTGGGTTTCATACTTTCCTTGTATTATGCATACATAGTTCCTCACCGAGCTAGTTGACCATTACAGGATGGACCCCGTGTATTCTTCCTGTCACGAAGTCTTGCTCGAAGTCTCTCCCGGCGTTGGGGGTCAAGAAGCAATGCTCTTTAGTCAAGATTTACTTACCATGTATTCCAACTATGCTAGCTATATGCGGTGGAATTACTCTATTGTCCACCAGGACTTTAGTGAACTTGGTACATCATAGATTATCTAGTTATTCATTTTTCATTTTCATCATCACAATCTATTCCTCCTCATTTTAGGTGGCCTCCGCCAAGGATCTATCTTAATCAACTCTCCTTCTGCATACAAAACGCTAAACCTCGAATCCGGGGTCCATCGAGTTCAACGCGTCCCCAAGACAGAGAGAGCTGGTCGTATTCACACCTCCACGTCGGCTGTTTCTATCCTTCCCACTTTAGATGATGTTGATATAAAAATCGACGAGAAAGATTTAAAAGTAGAAACACGGCGGTCGTCCGGTGCTGGGGGTCAACACGTCAATACAACCGATTCTGCCGTTAGAATGTATCACACCCCTTCTGGTCTAGTTGTTGATTGTCAAACGGAACGGAGTCAGATTCGAAATAGAGCGGCCGCCTTGAAAATGCTTAAAAGCAAATTGTACCAATTAGAGTATGAAAGAAATTTGAAGATGAGCAAAGATTTGAAAAAGATGCAGATCGGATTAGCTGAGAGGTCGGATAAGATTAGGACGTACAACTTTATGCAGGATAGAATTACAGATCATCGATATTCGTATACGACGCATGACATGACAGGAATACTATCCGGTGGTATAGCTTTTGATAATTTTCTACAAGAAATCAAATTACGAGAGGTCGATCGTGTCTTGAGTTTGTTATAGACTAGAGTTTTTATTTATTCGGTTTCTTTTGATTGTCTATTTCATCCTAAATTATACACACACATGTATCGACGGAGGAGGTAGTAATTATTATATCAGTCGCCAGCAACTTTTTTAAAATTTATATTCGAGAGAAATTGGAGTTAATTGAGGATGAAATATTTTGGTTAAAATTAAAATTAAAATTATTTTTTATTAGGAAATAGAAATCTAAGACGGTTTATTATATTTCTAAATAAGTCAGGCCGACTATTATGTCACTTGTTCACCGTGATCGTTATCTCAGAGTCTTCTTCTTCTTCTATCTTCTCAGACTCGTTTTGAGGAGAGGCTGCAATAAGCAAATCAGACCAGAAATTAGCTACGTGTTGATTTCGATATTAAGAAAATAGCAACAGTGGTTTATACCTGGAACTAAACTTTGGTAAAAATCCCTGTTCTCTTCTAACATATCCAGAATATCTTGGGCATCGGGGTGCACCTATGATAATTCAGTTTTGTTATCCATGATCGCAAAATATATATAAATGAAAATACAAAGAAATAAAAAGTTAGTACTTACGAGGTCGGCCCATGTTTCCCAGAGTGGATGAACAATAAAGTCTATGAATCCAACCTGTATGACAATTTTTATAGTTTGTATGCATAATTGTACAATGATTTCTTATTCATCTCAATTCAAAGACACTTGTACAAGTTCGTACCTGCGACTTTTCAATGGATGGGTTATGTCGGTCGCACATTGCTGATATATCTATAAAAAACATAGCAAGGACACACTTAGTCATCTATTACTTGGATATACCGATTCATTATATGTATTATCGAGGTTTGTGTTACCTAGACCCTGTTCTCTCTCCTTGTCCCCTTGTAGGAAGAATTCCTATAGACAACGAAATATTTTAAAATTTACTCAAGAGATTATTGTAGTTTTTGATTAATTAATTTTTTCCATTACCTCCATAATTCTGTCCACCCATTTCCTATAAAGGTCTAGCGGTTTCGTTGGATTGCTCAAATCTGCACAGTGCACCATATTTTGAAGGACCTGAAATACATCACAATTCAATTATTTGACTAAAGGTGCTCTTATTACTATATTACCAATATGTTACCTGAATTCTGTCCGTGTAATTATCGAGGAGAAGCACCCCCGATCCAGCCACTTTCTTTGTCTCAACCATGGTCTTAAGATCGGCCAGTAAGCTCATGTGTTTACCTGTTTAGGAATTTACGTAATAATTACACTGTGACCACAATGTGACTATCAATTGAATATGCTAATAATAAGAGTAGCAAGTGGGTCTTACTCATATCTGTCGCCAGGACCATATCTGTAATAATGGGGTAATGTTAGATGGGAAAACTTATTCATTTACTCTTTCAATCTCTGCGATGTTTAAACTACTCGACCCGATGTAGTCTTTTAGTAAACAACCTGGTGCTTGTTACAAATGAATTGATATCAGTCACATTAATTAATTGTGTAGTCAATTTAGTCATGTCGTTTAGTGAACTTCAGGAAGTTATTGAGTTAAAGTTTGGTGAGATTAAAAAATATGGTAAGTTCAGTCACAAATTTGTCGTAAATGAGATGGTGAAATTTTGATTTTGTCTTTTTAATAGTGAAATCAATTGTAATCAGAGTGAAGAGAGTAGGGTCGGACGGATCATCCGAGGAACTTGCTAAAGTGTACGTTGTAAGACTTATGATGCACACAATTAAATTTGGAGATGTGATATTGTTACTTTCATTTTTCGTCAGGGATCGACTAGTGGAGAAAGCAAAAAAATTGGTGCTGGAGATAAATACAGCCATGTGTGAATTACACGATGTCGAGCTCGATTCCACTTCCAAACGCATCAAGACACGAGATAAATTGGCAAAAGAATTCGGAGAGATATTGGTCGGGTACCGTAAAACAATGTGGTATACAAAATTGCATATTCATTATTTATGATGCAAATGTATGACATAAGTATGACATAACTTTCGATGAACATTGTTAGGTCTGTTCTTAAAAAGAAGAAGAGTCTGATGTCCACTAATTCGAACCAGCCCCCCAGGAGGCAATTGAATCTTGACGACGTTCCGGATGGTACTTTAGTCTATGTCATTGAAAAAATTGATGATCAATACACCGCGTCCGCTAAGCAAAAAAACGAACTGCTTGAAATGAATGGTATAATTTGTTGACATTCAGACAGTATATCGTGAGTTCTAAATGTGCATGTTACAATCTAGGTGTTGAATTGAACCGCGTTCTGATACAAGTATACAGAGATGCGTTATTTAGACCAAGGGAGTTGACATATGGAGAAACTTCCCTGCAAGATAAGTGTCTTTGGGCAAAAAATGCAATTAGATCGACGAGTAATCGAAGCAAGGATAACGGTGTGAATGGGGGATCTTGTAGTTATCTGTGAGTTATTTTGTCATATGCAGTAACTGATTCACATTTCATAGTTATACAAAACTTTTAAATTTCAGCGATAAATGGACAATCCCATTGTTTGCTGATCCGATCGAAGTAATTGACCCCTTACTTTTTGGTGCCTCTTTCAAGAGTGCTGCAGCACTAAAAAATTATACCCGAGACTACAAGGAAGCTAAGTGTTCAATCAAGCCAAAGACTGTAAAGAAACTCTTGTCAAGACACTGGGATGTCATAAATTATGCTATTAAGTAATACCAAATGATGAATTTCTAATTCTGTATCGATGTTTTAATTATGGCGGCTTTGTTGGGTTTGTTTCCTAGTTTAGCAACAGACAACGTCGTCGATGTTGTCGAAAAAGAAGATGAAGTGTGCGTTGCATTGAGTGAACCAGAGAAAAAGAAACGAAAGTCCAGAGGAACGACCGGCAGATTAGGATGCGATTTCTGTGATTATCGATGCGACAAGCCTTCAGCCATGATTGTGTTGGTTTATAAAAACTACGTCGAAATCCATTGTGTCTTGTTGTAAACATGTTTAATTTTTTAGTCATGTCCGGACTCGCACGGCTGAGAAACCTTTCGTTTGTGAAACCTGTCACTTCGGATTTGCAGATAAATCGAGTTTTAATAAACATATAAACAACGGATGCACGTTCAAGGGGAAAGCTCGGAAGCTCGGATTCAAACAGATCGAAACAAAAAGGTACGCCTGTTTACGTAACTCTCGAAGTTAACAGTTATACCTTGCAAGTAATCATTTTTTGTTTCATTCATAGACAAGTTGTCGTTCTACCGTCTGCACCCAACGAAGGTTCAACTAGCAACACCGAAGTTGCCGAACTCAGGAACGAGATCCTCACACTCAAATCAAATTTGCGGAAAAAGGACGAGACCATCATCTTGTTAAATCAAAAGATTGCCGGGTTGGAGAAAAAGTTGACAAAAAGACACCCGTTTTCCAACGTGCAAACCTCAAACACCATGCAACACATAATTCCATTTCCGCGGAAAAGAACCTCACAGACTGATAACCCAAAATCTAATAAAAAATCATCAACGAGCAGCGAAAACAATCACTAATAATGTTAACAACATTTTTCCTAGTAAAAATAAAATGGGATATTAAAAAATATTTTTTTACCGATGCACATCTTTCTAAGCGTAGTTCTTTGTTTTTTGGATAATCTGCAAACCAAAATCTTTGTCAAGATTGGACTTTTACATTATGCATGAGATTGTATTTGTACGTGTTGAGAATATCCATCTCTGGATTCTGCAAGAGTTTGAATGCGACGGCCAAATGGTGATTTTCCAAAACCGACTCATCGTTGTACCTAAAGCAGTTTTTTGACAAATTTTTATAACTCAGCCCAGGAGATACAAAATATAGATAAAAAATTACATCAAAGCCAAGTCCGAACTCGAATTGACCAAAAACTGGTTCGTTAGTCCTGCGCACAAAATAAATGAAAAACACTCATTTATTCATTCGTACTAATTGTAAGTAGTAGTAATCCAACCACGCATAAACATGACAAAAACAAGTCACTCACCAGGATGGTCAACATCATGGATAGCTGCAGCAAAAATTGCCGACAAAATTTCGAGATGCGTAAATACCGACTCCAACGCTGGTGAAAGTAAGAGGACATGAGTGGATTGGGTTACATCGGCTGCGTGGAGACTATAAAAGTCACAGGAAATGTCTTATTATTTCAGCTCTTAATTTTTAGTACTCTGTGATTCCTCACCTGTTATGATAGGGGACCTCTCGTACATACGTATCTTCCAAAGTGAGGAGAAAGTTTACCAGCGTTTTGGTAGGGATTTTGAATGTCTTTTGTAATTCGCGTTCCTAAAAATCATCAAAACCAGGTGGTTACTATTACCATTCCAATAATAGCGAGCCGTAATTCATAAATTCGTACCTGAAAAATGGTGTAGCAGACAGCGGTGAGTGGATGCGTGTTGCTCAACTCGCTCAAATGGAATATATCCAACCTATAAAACGAGTAAAAGTATGTAGAAGTTTAAAGATAACTAGTAGTAAAGCTGAATTAATGTTTTACAATTAAAATTAACAGGTTAATAATTTGTTGTTTAAAAATCAAAAGTTGCTTACCCCCAGCGATCCACATCTTCCAGTAGCTACAGTAATAAAAGCATACGATGACACATTTTTATTACTGTCGTCCCATAAAAAACGAATAATCATTTAAAAAACGTGTCACATACGATGGCAAGTTCCTCCTCGTGCTCAGTCTCCACTCCAAATTTGGGTATTTTATCAGTACTTCCGAGGGATTGAGTATGCGACAAGATGCGACTTCGTGGTGACGCCCCTTCAATCTGTGACATCAACTTCCCCTCCAAGTTCTAAATCAGAAAATTAGGCCAATTATATAAACTTAGAAATTGGACCAATGATTGTGCCCTTACCCTCGCTCCACTCGCCGTTGGTGACGACGGTTCATCTTCATCATCATCTTCTACACGGAGGGATGGGATGTCCAGTTCTTGGTTTTTATCTAGGAAATACACATTTGTATACCTTTAATATCTGCGACCTTGAAAATATGGTACGTAATGTAAGATGTACGCGTATAATAAGAATGTCCTCATACCAACAAAAGTAGAAAAGATGTACTCGGAAATCTGATTCCCCGATTTACTCGATTCTCTATAAATAATATTCAAATTAAAGGTTAAAAGCTAGGTTAAAATTAACTAATTTACGTAGTATAAAGCCACTAAAACTTACGAGAAATGGCTGAGTTCTTTGTTAAGCATTCGTTTAAATTTTGAAGTTGCCATATCAGAAACGCTCCGATGGGTCTGGATGGTCTCCAATTGATCCAAGCACCAGTCCAGCTAATAATAATGTCAAGTAAACCAGTTTATTAACTAAATTGCCACCAGCTCCATTTTTGATCTCCTTACCTCATCAAGCGTCTCTAAAGCCAACCTTGTATACCCTTCTTCTGCAATTTGTCAAAAAAATAACATGTAATTTAAGTAATTTTCCCGTGTTAAATATTTTGTTCGTACCACCGGGTGTGGCGAATTTATTTGGCTGTTGTGGACTCGTACTTCCAGGGGAACCTCCCCCGGAAGTACCAGCAAGCGTAGTTGAAGACGAAGAACGTCGCGACCTTGAAGAATTTTAAATCCTTATTTGTTATGGAACTACTTTACCTTCCACATGTTTCACTTCTTACCTATGCGTCGAGACATTAGTCAAAGCGATGTAATTATTTCTCACACTCCGCAAACTCGCCAAGATTTGGGCGAACGGTGTCACAATATAGTCGTCCCCGTGACTGAAAGCACAAAATATATAAACCATATTATTATTACGATTATTGTTAACCCAATAATCCCTCTTTCCCTAAAATAATTTACATATTTCTAATCTCATGTTCATGATTAACGAGTAACTTGTCCCAAAACGAGCTCCGTTTTATACGCAGTGCAGACGTTGACAGAGTTCTGGGCAGCTTGTTATTCCCCCCACCAAGTATCGTCGAATTGCTGGCGAGTTGTAATAAATTTTCACTACTCTTGTTCGCCCCACCACCACTCATCCTGTCAGTGGGGTGGGTGTAACTTTATGTATGTCGTGTCAATTATCTCATCACCATCCTTAAGGGAGGCATAATAAATTTATTAATTACTTAATCCACCCCCGCGCTACTCAATTCGTGGCCCTGTTGCTACTTCTAAATCTTGATCTTATTCTGCTCCCAGGCAGGACAGCAGAATAGAACGACGTACAATACAATATGCTACTACTTACTTACGTATATCTACCGAGAAAGAGAAGAGACGATGGTTTGTTGCTAGAGATGTGCTCGAGATTCTTATGTATGTAGACCATGTTATGTGGGATATCGATCTCATTTTAGCAGTTCTTCTACGTACGTACGTACACTTTGCACAATGTCCTGGGAGACCCAAAATCCTGCCAAAATTATTTTAAGGCCCAAAATCCTCCCATGGGGGTCGGAGACCATAAAAATGTGGTTCATTTTGATTTTCGAAAGTGGGTGTGGTCAGGAGGGGGGTTTTTATGGAATTTTCAAAAAGTCGCAAATCGCCCCTAAAACCACACCCACTTTGTTCAGAATTTAACGCTGATGAAAATGAGGTATCATACATGCCCCTAGCTCTTACCATTGTCTCGCAAAAAAATAAAATGTAGCGGAAGATCGGTGTTTTTGTCAAAAATCGTCAAAATGGCCTACTTTGAAGGGCTCTCAAATCCTTGATACTGAATTTGTGCAGGAAATTGTTTCTGCATTTTGAAGTACTATCATAGGACTAACTTAGGCCACCGCCTCGGTCGGATCTGAGACGGAGGTTTTTTGCAAATTGAGCTCAAAGTTGACGAAAAAAAACATCGCGATAAAGGTGGATGGGAAGGGACTTTTGAAGGGCCACTAAATCCTTAAGGATAAACATTATCACCAACTGACCTATGCATCCTAGGCTACGGTCATAGTAATATGTAACAGCGTGACCTTTGTTCCATTATAAGCAATAGTGTTCCTATAAACGCGGGTCAAACTTGGCTTTCCTGAGGGCCGCAAAAATTCCTGAAATTGGCCAACTTTAAACGGCTCTCAAATCCTTGATACTGAATTTGTGCAGGAAATTATTTCTGTATTTTGAAGTACTATCATAGGACTAACTTAGGTCATGACCTTGGTCAGATCTGAGACGGAGGTTTTTGGCAAATTGAGGTCAAAGTTGATGAAAATAGCGTCGAAACGACATCGTCGGGATTTTTTGTTTTTTGTGATTTTGGGGGGAAAAATTTTTTATTGTTGATTTGCACGAATCATGACCTCTAGGTCACGAAAAACAGGTTTTTGGGGCAAGTTGAGATTTTTGGGGCAAAGTGAGACAAATCTCAACTTGCCCCAAAAACCTGTTTTTCGTGACCTAGTGGTCATGATTCGTGCAATGGTTTTTATGGTCTCCGACCCCCATGGGAGGATTTTGGGCCTTAAAATAATTTTGGCAGGATTTTGGGTCTCCCAGGACATTGTGCTTTGTCCTAGCCTGGGCTCTGTACTATTCATTCGGGAGAAATGCCAGCACATGCGTTTTCCGAAGTGAAAGAGAAAGTCGGGACACTACAACTAACTTGATGCATGGTCAGGGTGGCATATGATCATCATCATCATCAGCACCATCATCTCTAGTAGAGCTGATATCATCGTCTCCTAGCTTGTACCTACTGCTTACCCGTAGTAAACATCGGCAGAAGAATTGCTCGCGGCGAGTGGATACTGCTGAGAAAATTGGGAAGTTGAAGGTGTCGCGGAAGCTGCGGCCGCGATCCGCGACAAGGATGACATGGTTTTAGGTGACATGTCGAAATCCGAGTCTGATCTGTAAAGGAAGCTTTCTCTGCGTGGGGCTTGAGATGGGAGGGGTCCACCGCCGCCGCCGCCGCCATGGTGGTGCAGGTGGACACCCGAAGAGGAAGACGGTGATTGAGACGAGGGGTCGAGCAACCGGTGGGAAGAGTGTTGTCCGGGCGGGGGTTGATTGTCAACGTCGAAACTGCAAAGAAACAAAAACAATTAGTGAAATTATTACTATTATCGTCGTATTTTTACACTGTCTGTACAAATTATTTGCACGCTACACACATTAACAAAATTGTGAATGGATCTTCTAAAAAACAAACAATTTTGCGCAATTTTTTCCCAATCTCTTTGAAATTGTGCCGACAAAGGGAATACAATGTTTTCCATTGTGCAATATAAACTACTTTAAATACGAGTTAAAAACATGAAAAAAAGTATAAATGAGGGACCTGTAATGCAACCTGCTCTGTTGGATGAGGATATTAACGGGCGATCTTGGCGAGGAAAGTAACGGAGAATGTCGACTTGGTTGACTGTGTGGGGAAAGAATTGTCAAGTGGTTGGGTCGACCACTACCACCACTACTATTTGTCGTCGACATGAAATCCAACTTTAACGACAAAGGTGATGGTCGTCGAGGTCGGGGCGATTTATCCATTTTAATTACACTATTTGTATGAATGTATAGTATAAACAAACCAAACTTTGAACATCTGTTTTTCAAGAATCGCGAAAAATTTTACCCCCCAAAGAACAACTAGTCGAATTAAAACTTCTCTCTTCTTCCCATGCAAATAAATCTATTTTTAGTGAGACTACGATGACAAGAATGAAACACACACACACACGCCGCACACAATGTCGGCAACTCAACTCAGTTAGTTAGTTGCTCAGATATTTAACGGTACTATAGTACAACTAGACCAAAGGAACATATCACATGTAAAACACCGAGCACCAGATAACACCGATTCTCAGAGACAAAGAAGAAAAGAATGCTGTTAAAGAAAAGTGTGAGTCGTTGTTCATACGTCAAACTTTTTTTAAAACGTGAGGAAAGAAATGACTCAGTTAATGGGAGAGAGAGAAAAGGAAACGCGTAATACTTAATAATGCAATCCCCCCTGTTTAAAAAGAGGAAAAATATGAATTATCTCATCATCATCATCTCATGTGTGGGAATAATTTCAACAATTTTAACAAGGCTAACAGTTTTTTCAGCTATTATTATTACTATTGGTCTTATGTATGTATAAATGTTGATGAGTTTTATTAGTAAAAGTTCACTGCATTCAGTCATCCTCAGTCAAGTCAGGGTAGTTACTTTACTTTACTCGTGGAAGAAGAAGAAGGTTTCAAATGAGCAATAAAATATAAAAAATGTTGGCAGATAGTCAACTATCCTATGCCACCACGGATAACATTCTTCATTTTCAGTACAGAAAATTTTCGCCCATTTTGCGCCCAGAGATTCGCAGTTGTCACGATCAGTCAAAATAAATGTTGTGTTTATATCTCTTCCTCTTCACCGTTGCCCTTTGCTTGCACGAAAAATAAAAGTTATCCGAAAAACATGAGGAGACTACGTACGAGACGGAACAACGTTGTATTTTCCGTCCTCGTGTCTCCCCTCTCCTGTCATTTCGAAATGAATGCCAACATGCTTTTTTTAAATTGCTTTAATCTCCTCCTCCTCCTGCCTTTAACTAACTATCGAAAATACCAACGTCCACGATACACCACCATTCATTTTACTGATCGACTATCTATCTTATTCCCAAAAAATAGTACGGATCGATAGATTAGATGGATCGGGAGGGGATGGAAAAATTACAACATTATCGAATGCCCTATCATGTTGCATGACCGATTTATTTATATTATTTATGTCCTCCATTCCATCCAACTCCCAAACCGAACCCAGTGAGAAGAATATAAGGTGTTTTTCACTAGAATACGCCAAGAAATAGATCGTCGTGTTAAAATTTTGGGGCTGACATTTAACTGGCGACGCTGAGACTTTCTTGGCTTTTTTAACGAAATTAAATCAAGGTGGATCTAGAAATATTTTCATAAAGAAACCAACGATATACAACATGTGCATAGTACAAGTAAAAAAAAGACGAGGACCGAAATATTTAAGGACAGGTTGAGTTGGATGATACGTACAATGTTCTTTTGCAGAGGTTTAAATAAGTTTTTCAAGGTTTTTTATATTAAACTGATGACTAGTTTAATCACATAAATCAAGCAATTGCAGTAAAATGGTTTTTATCCTAATGTCACTTGTCAGAATTGAAATTGCATGTGAATTCCTTAACAATTTCACGCAACAAGAGAACTCTTGTAAAACACGGCTGAATAAAAATTGTTTGCACTTATGCCCCATAAATTTTTTTATCTCTCCAAATCTATACAACACACCTCGCTCTCTGTGCAGATAGTTTGGAATTTCGGCCGTGTTTAACAGAGCAATTCAATTATTTGATCGTGTGCAATAAAAAATGTGTGAAGAAGAATAAAACGAAATCCGTCACGTCACTTCGTCACTATTTGCTCAACAAATTGTAAAAGTACAATAATTTTCGACACGAGTCTACGTGCAGATAAAAATTGAGTTCAGAAAAGCGTAACAAAAATGTGTATGCAAATATGTAGAGAGACGACCGTTAAACAACCATACCATGTTCGCATTTTAAACTATTTAAATACTTACTACCCGTTAACGTAAATACTACAAACACCACATACCAGTCATATCCAGTATTACATGGTACAGATAACTGGTTATCGGAATAAATTACTTGTCGAATTACTCAACCAACAACAAAGTTTAAAAGAAACAAAAATTATCATCATGTACATATGGACAAATTGCTGTTGCGTTTTTTGTCACAAATTATTGGGCAAATGTTCTCTCACCATCAATCAACACGTGAATTTTCATTACCTACCTCACCTCACCTCACTTCCTCACGTCACTTAAATGAATGAAAGGTAAACATGCTAAAAAATTAAAGATAATTCGTACCCTGTTCCATAAACCCACGAGTGTCTCCTTCTCCCCGAACTTTGCTGTATGACGGATAAGTAACTTTTACTCGTGTCGACGGCGTTGTTACACCCACCACCAGAACCACACCCACCACCGCTGCTAACACCATCACCACCATAATCTGTACTCTGATCGTCACTCATAATAATAACAGATGGACTTTCGAACAAAGAAGATTTTCATCTTCTTTTTCCCCTTGCACTAATTCTAATCTCATTTAATTTCTCTCTTAATTGCTCCTTTATTTCTTTTTCTCTGCTTAAAAAACCTTATTTCTTTACGAAGCACCATTTTTTAAGGGCAACATTTTTATTTTACGGACTATTTTATTTAGGCCATTATTTTATTATCTCCTCCTCCACAAGTAGTAGATACTTATCGATTATTGATATATAATTATTTTAAACGCGCGTCGTGTTTATTTATCAATTAGGTCGCAATTTTCAAGAAGACAAAGTGTTGAACAAGACAAGGCGGCGGTAGTAGTAATAATAATAATAACTATAATTATTATTACTCTAATTATTGCAATTATTTATTGTAAACATGTTTTTTTTCTTCTTCTAACTTATTGCTCTCCTCAGATCTGTATACACAAGCTGCTGGACTGGACTAACTCAACTCGACATGGTAAAATAAACTGAATTTTTGTCAGGCCGACTAGATGGATAAGACTGAGTTTCATTTATTAGTTGCTGAGATGGATGATTACAAAATTAAATTAATTTAAATCCACATGTTCTCCTTTCAGAGAGGAGAGAGAACCAGCTCTCTTCTTCTGTCGTACTCCTATTTAGCTAAAAGACTAGATGTGTAAAAGTGCCATACGAAAACTAAAAGGTTGCCACTGCTGATCTACATGCTGCTGGATCTGCTATTTACTACATGCTTCCTTTGCTTACTTATACTACCACCAACCAGCCGCAGTGTTATTTTATACCAACGAACCAACGAAGACGTCTTTTCTCGTGGTATACTACTAAATTTATTCGAATGCGATATGTACCAACCAAAGTAAAGCAAAGTAGCGTGAGAGTATGTATGTAACATAACACGCTAAAAACTCTGCGCCTGGTCAGACCACGCTTTTGCAAAAGTGAATCTCTTTAAGCTCCTGCAGCTCTCGGAGAGATCTCCGCCGAGCAGTAGAGTGAGGCAAATATGCGAAAAGCTTTTAACAGAACCTCTCCGTCGTGGTGGCAGTAAAATTATTATAACAATTTTTGATATCAATTTAATACACCTAATGAATGATGATATGTACAGCGCATCATCAGTTTTATAGCGTTTATCACTTATAAAATTATACTGCGGATTGTAATAATGAGATGAGACGAGACGCCGAGGTAGTAGTTTCGGGTTGATGAGATGAGATGAGACCACCACGAACCAACCAAACGCCTACTGTTATTATTACTTATCTATAAATTTACTACCATTATTTGCAATCTAGATGAGCTACCTATGAAAATATGTGGGCAAATATGTACATACTGCAGTTAGTGAAATAAATATAATAATATTCACGAATGGAGATGAATGTTTTTAATGCTTATTCCAAATGTAAATGTTTTGCCTTTTCATGCACCTCCACTTATATTCATTCCTTGACTCCTAACCTATTATGTAGTTCTCTCTACCGCACTTATTTATTACCAGCTTTTGTGCGAAATGTATGTAGTATGCAAGTACATAAGATGAAGGACTTGTTTGCGTTAATATATGACACTTTGGCTTTAGGCAGTTACTTATTTACGTATTCATAACACCGCAGTGGGTGCAGCAGCAGTAGTGGCAGGATTATGGATTATTGTGTTACACGAGGGTTAAAGTAAAGTGTTAAAAGCGTATGCAACACATACATATATTCACAAAAGCCTGTAGCTAAATATTACCTAAATCTAATCTACGACATAACGAGTTAAGTGATTGCGTCGTCGTCGTTCTCTGTTACTTACACACAGTTTCTCCGTGACCCAAGCCACACACACACATGTACACCACGATATTTCGCCACGAATTTTTCGCCAAAATTAATTAAATGTCGCCAAAAAAAATCTTATACGCATATCCACCACCCCCACACAAAGACACACGTATATATATGTACCCAATACGTGACATTTCAAGATCATTCG